CCTATAACTAATGGATTTTTCAGGCATCATTCGGACTGCTTTCTACTGCCAAGGATTACGAGGAGACGGAGGCATTTTTCAAGGTAAGGATAAGATAACGAGTAATAGATGCAGGGGGATGTGCTGACGGGTGGGCAGGACAAGGACGTTTCCAAGTACAACCTGTCACTGGCACAGACGCTGGACACGATCCGTGCTCGAGTAGGATACATTGAAGGTGGGACGGAGGATCTCAGTCTGTGGCTGAGTGGATGGCGGGGACGGACAGATTTGGGCAAAGAGTTACATAAGGCGATCTTGTAGCGTCACGGTTGTCCGCGACTTTAACGGCGAATTCTGTAAATTACCCGAGGCAACTAAAGGCAAACAGCTTGACTGGCAAGGGATGCCTAAATTTGACCCAGTCCGCGATGCAGTAATGAACTCACCCCGAACCCCAGCTCTTTCTCCTTCTCAACCACGACGAGCAACCGACCTCGCCGTCCTCCTCAATGCCGATGCCTCACACCGCTCCCAACGCCCGACGCTGACCCAGCTCTTGCGTCCTCCCCCCGACTCCCACGACGACAAGCTCTCCTCTTCGCAGCCCCTCCGTAGGCACCCCTCCATCCTCGACCACGACCACGACAACGACTACGCCTCATCCCCGTCGCCCGTCTTTTCTCGGCCCTCCTCGTCCTCGTCCTCGTCATTCCAGCAGCCCCATCCGTCCTCGACCCCCCCTTCGACCGTCTCACCCACCATGCAGCCGCCGGCCCTCCCTGCGCCGCCCACCACCATCCCATATAACCCGCGCAAGCGAGTCACCCCAGCCCTGTCCATTCTCAAGCCCATGTCCCATGCAGAGATGGCCATGTACAAGCAGTACCATGGCAAGGGCACGTCTTGTCTCACAAAGCGGAAACGAGAGCCAAGTGACGACGGCTCAGACGCCCGCAACAGGCCTCCAGCTAAAAAGGCTGCCGGCGATGTGGGCATGGTCATTGATCACTGTGTGTCCCAATCTTTCCATGTCGTGCTAACTGCCAACCCTTCTTGACCAGACAACTCCCGTCCAGAAGTCGGTGTCTTCCAACGCCTCGAATCACCCATCATCGGTCTCAAAAATTTCAACAACTGGGTCAAGTCCGTCCTCATCTCCCGTTTCGCACATCCCGCCCTTCACCAAAAACCTCAGCAACCCTCAGGCCCTGGTAGAGGACATAACCAACAGGCCGGTAAAGTACTTGACATGGGATGTGGGAAGGGTGGGGACCTGTCCAAGTGGGCGAAAGCAAAAGTACGAGACTACATCGGTGCTGGTGGGTCTGAAGATTCATCTTTATCTATGCAGCTAACGGATCGTAGACATTGCTTCTATATCTATCGAGCAAGCTCGGCAACGATGGGAGTCACAACGAGGAGCTCGGTTCAATGCAACATTCGCAGCGCTAGATTGTTACACACAGCCGCTCAGCCAGGCCTTTTCATTAGATCTGCTACGGCAGCCCTTTGATGTGGTCTCTATGCAATTTTGTATGCACTACGCCTTTGAAACCGAGCAGAAGGCACGGTGCATGCTCGATAATGTGAGCCGGTGGTTACGACGGGGGGGTGTCTTCATTGGTACCATACCAAATGCTGAACAATTACTGTAAGCCTCTCACAAGTCTTTGATCATTTGGCTCACACACCCTCTCTCATAGCCAAAATCTGGATGATCTCCCTCCCTCTACCGAAGATTTGACCTTTGGTAACTCTGTGTACAAAATCCGTTTCGAGGATAGGAAGCATAGACCTGTTTTTGGCCATAAATATTGGTTCTTTCTCCAGGATGCAGTTGAAGATGTCCCAGAGTATATAGTCCGTTGGGACCCTTTTGTACAGTGGGTGGTTCAGATCTTTATTTGTGAAGTCGAATTAACGAGCCTTCGTTAGGCTAGCTTCAGAATACAACCTGTATCCGGTATATAAAGAAGAGTTTCATCATGTATTCGAAGAACATCAAGAACATCCAGAGTTTGGTCCCCTGATGGTACGGATGAAGGTAGTCGACGCCAACGGCGAGAGTTCCATGGATGAGGACCAGTGGGAAGCTGCTAGTATGTCTTTCTCCAGTACTTCCTGAAGGTCCTAATGTTTGCACAGATATTTATATTGCTTTTGCTTTTGAGAAGCGGTAGCTATTCCGTATATCCTAGCTATCCTAGCTATCTTTATATGTTGTCTGTACACATTCTAGTAATTGATATCTCAGAAAACCATATAATATTTGACTACCTGTTGAAAAAAGGAACAAATTAGATAGACGCATGGGGAGTGTTAGGTTGTTTAAAGTATGAGGTGGTGCTACATATATCCATTACTCCTGTCCAAATCCAACGGTTTCCCTAAAATGATGTCTGTCAGTGCTGTGTCGAAGTCAAAGGCTGGAATACTCACTCTACCGCTAAAGTGAGCTTTTGCTCTAAACTTGCATAGTCTTTGTATGGCGGAAGGTCTATACGGTTGAAACATGTATGACTTTTAGGAAGCTGCGAAGGATCGCCCGACTTTTCGATGGTGAACCGTCTAGGCCCATCTGATCCCTGCAGATCCTTGAAGCCATTTACTGGTATACGCGATGTCCCAGTAGCAAACTGTAACAGGCGAGACTTGCGTTCAGGTGGCCAGCTACGAACACATTTCCAGAACCACTGAATGACTTCGTCATTCATCTCATAGCCACGGTAGTCAGTGAACTTGGTCCAATCATCCCTAAATATAAATTAGGACACTATTGAGAGAGCAAAGACGAGTGAATCGTACACGTCAATTTCCGACATTCCACCGATAAGAAGTTCCAGCTCCCGTTCATCAAACACAGTAATGAGATCTTGGGGAATCAATTCGCTGAATCCGGACATGAATGCCTCGAACTGCTCCTTGACTCGCTTGGATATACGGTATTCGACGACATGCTCAACGTATTCCTTCTTGTTGTCTTGTGTCACCGGAACATCTGCACCACCAGGTTTCAGCTCAATGGTGACCATTTCGCCGAAGCGCTCCTCAGTGGTGGTGAACGTTTCGTCAATGACATCGGTGATATCGTTTTCCCTGCATCACAGTCAGTCCAGGTTTGAGTAAAGAAAATATGATCAGCAACTTACAACATCCACGTCATACCGCGGTGTAGTTCTGCATCCACACTTTCCAAGTCGGACAAAGTCACCTTCTTCTTCAGAATCATCTTATAGAAACTGACAATAAAGTAGGCATCCAAGAATCGCCGGTGGAAAATCCCTAGACCTAAGCATCGTCCGATAAACTTGAAATAGTTCAAGTGTTCGGGGTTGACGCCAGAAGCGGGATTAATTTGGAGAGTATAGTTATCGTGGGCAGAGTATTCAAAGAGACAATAGAATGGATTGAACATCTCGTGGGACAGCAAGAAGAAGAATTCTCTGTGTATTCAATCGTGAAGCCTTAATTCCCTGATTGAGGATAACTTCACGCACCTTGAGAGACCACCATAATCTAAACCATCCTCACCGTCGAATTTGATCATTAGTCGTTTCTTCAGATCATTGGGAGTTTGCCTCATGATCTCTGCATAACTGTCTTCGAAAATGTGGTTTCTCCTAATCTTGATCTGGCAATTGCCAGGCTGAGCACGCATGGCAGGCTGACTGCGGAAGTAGATAAGCTTCCTCCTAAAGTCACGTTTGTATTGCGGTACATTGGCGTCAAGGGTGGATGGCAAACGTGGATCGTCCCATGTCGTGGTCTTGGTATTATGATCGACGAAATACACACGGGCGGTGGAAGTGAGTCGCATCTCCCACCCAGACGGAAGAGGACCCAGCTGGGAGATAGCTTGGGGCTGCAGAGCCGGTCCCTGACCGTTGGGCCCCATCACCCTGATGATTGCCTGTCGTCGGGGATCGACCCATGTCGTGGTTCGAGTGTTGTGATCGACATAATAAGGCCGCCCCTCCAACGTGAACCGTTCCTCCCAGCCATTGGGAAGTTGGCCTGATCCCGGCGTAGTGGTGTTGTTTGCAGCAGCCATGGCCGCAGGTGCATTCTGGGCAGCAGCTGGGGCAGCCGTAGCAGTAGTGTTGCGGAAAACGCTTGAACTGCTGTTGTTAGCTTCAAGGAGGTCATCAGCAAGGATCCGGCGTGAATGTTGATCACGGGCAGCGTTAGTTTCACCCTCCTGTGTATTACTATTGACGGCTGCACTCGCAGAGGGCCTATTCCAGGTGGTAGTCCGAGTGTTATGATCGACGTAGTATGTGCGCCCTAAGGGATCGATACGACGTTCCCAACCGGGTGGCAAAGGTCCATATTGATCAACATTGGGATTGAAGTTCCGCATCTGGTTGTTTGCTGCCGAAGTAACCCCAGACACAGGCGCCTGGGAGGCGTTGCTATTAGACGGAGCCGTAGCGGAGGCTGGGGAAGTAACGGGAGCAATTGAGCTTGCGGGGCGAGAAGAAGAGGTGGAGGACTGAACCGAAGGCTGTGGCTGCTCAGCGTCCGGAGAAGTTGCTGGAGAGGGTGTGGGCATCGAAACGGGTGCAGGGCTGTTAGTATCTGCCCCTGTGGCGTGGGAACTTGAAGCACGAGAAAGAGATCCCGAAGGCCCTGGAAGCGCCAAGTTCGATGTGCTTGCTGACGGCGAATTGTTCAGACCCATGTCGGCAAAGGCGCTGCTCAGACCGGACACTTGAGACGGTCCAGGGTTACTGATTGGCTGATTGATATTCGTCGACAAGTAGATGATGAGTTTGCCGTGAACGACCAAATTGTCATTGGATTTTTTCAAGTCCAATGTCAACATTTCTGGAGAACGAATGTAGGAAAACGAAATGTCCTTCAACCGGACAAGACGCACCATGACCGCCCAGTTCAAGATCAAGAACATCACTGACTCTCACATTAACAACACCCAAAAAGCCCTGGTCCCTTCTCTTGAATTTTCGCTGGTCGAATATCTGTACTGCGACAACAGATGAATCCTTTACCGTGCTAGACGAAATGGTCGGCGAATCGTAGATGCAGATCAACATAGCGAACTGACATATCAAAACTCTCATTCCAGTACGGATTCAGCGTCTTCTTCATCACACTCGTCGTGTGTGTCTGCTCAGCATCGACAGTGATGACGGCAAAGGGGTCTGGAAGGCGGAAGACATCTCGCTTGGAAAGCCCGTCTGCGGCAACGACTAGCAAAGAGTACGGGAAAGAACATGAGCGCAGAAATGGTACAGTGACGCGAGTTGTCTTACCCGTTACCCTTATCTTCTTTCTACTGTGTAGCCAAGTGAATACGGCGCTGTAGAGGTTGGGACTGTGAAAAAGCACTCACAGTGGCCCTGGAGGAGCAGACATACTCTTCTCTGGACGACAAACGAGAAAGAGAATAGATATGCTTGGAAATGGGGATGCAAAGACAGAGACCGGCGCTGTGGTCCCAAGTTGTGAGCGTCGACTGTTGGGCTCGCTTAGTCAAAAGGCCTCGGTTGCTAACGAAAGATCCGGCAGCACCATATTTGGCAGGATCCGGGTTAATTTCCCGGTCACACAGCCTCACGATTGATTTTCCAGAATTAGGCCATTATTGGCCTCTCGTGCCGTATAAAAGTATGTCCGTCTTCATATCTTGTCTGTGTGTCTGTCAATAACTGTTCCCCTTGATCCTTGCAAGGGTCCACAATTTCCACTTGACTAGGAGATTGGCCATCGTCATTGGCGCCGGAAATATCGGTGTCTGAACAGCATCCACGCTGCGCATATCTATTCCTCGGACGGCGTTTCTTTCCAACGGAACGCTGGGTGTGGTTCCCGATAGTTCTGCGTCGCCAGATGGACTGATCAGTTGTGTCTCCTCTGTCTGAATTGTTGGTGTGGATTCGGATTTCTGACCCAGAAGGAGCGCCTCGAATGTATTCTGCGTCTCCAGATACTGTGACCTTCCTGATCCAGTTGTGTTCTGCCATAGCGGCCAAGTGCAAAAATGAAGCTTTTTTCCCATTTGCTTGGCTTGTCCCCCCGAAAGTCTGGCGGAGGTGCCCTTGTTGGTCTTGATATCTGTCAATGTCAATGTTTAATATCTGCCGCACTTTCCAAGGACATGACGCACGAAATCTGCTATTCGGACCTTCTCTCTGTTGGCATATCCGCCTTGAAGGACGTCGCCTAAGTTTGTGTGAGGTATGGCTTTGAGAGCAAAGTAAGAGCTCGGACGTCTCCGTCGCTGGGGGATCGTTGGAATGCGATTCATGGAGCAAGGTTACCTGGTTATTAGAGATTTGTTCTTTCGGAATAGGGACTATGTTTCAGACCTTGTCTACCTTTCTTTTGAGTCATTAACCGGTGCTTGGCGCCTACTGAGCCAATGTGTTAACAGCGGTGCGGTGCAGCAAACTATATATGGTAACCATCGAGACTTTTACCTATCATTGCCTTCGTCGCCCGCCAAATGCAACAATGCCGCAGATTGACATGCCAATGAATACTGTAAACCTCTCTATCTAACCATCTCTTGATTTGTCTCTCATTGCCGTCCGCTATGATTACTAGGCACACCAACACGCCGCCAATGCAGAGGACTTTCTCAACAACGGTCTACTTATTCCAGCAGCAGAGGAGCATTCGAAAGCCGCAGAAGCGTATCTTGCTGCCGTAGAGAGGAGTACCGATGATTCAGTTTGTGTCATTCTGTATGTTACAGTTCTTAATTGATGTGGTGGATTAGGCTAAACGTACACTGCAAATGCTCTACAACGAACACCGGAAAGCTGGTACTGAGCTCGAGAGGAGAATAGAGAAGCTCAGGGAGGACGGCAAGGACCCCCTCGTTCCTCAGAAACGCGATATACCCAAACTCTCAGCCACCCCCAATTTCGTCGCTGATTTTTCACCCAACTCTTCACCGCCTCCTCAAAGGCATATGACTGACTTGCAGGCCACCGTCGATGAATCTTTCATGCTCCTAGGCGGTCAGCGTGTAAGTGCTTACTCCACCAGCATCGCTTAACGTCGTCTCATTGACCTTCAGTCAGATCCAGGCGACGCCTTCAATCACTGGTGGAACTTCGTGCAGGCCAAATTTGACCAACACTCAGAAGCAGTCGCGTTTGCCAGTGCACCTTTAGGTTTTCCCGATACTGTTGCCACACCCCCGAGGACCACAACGCCGCCTATTCACAGAGGACTGAACAGGGACTCCAGCCTCAGCAGCGACGAGGAACCCATGATGGTAAGGCTGACGAAACGACTTAGGCTTCCCGGAATGTCCAAGGACGCAAATCGTTCCCCCTCCAAGCCTAGCAATCTGACGCTGGGTCCAATAAATCCTCCCTCAATAGGAGATTTTGGCGAAGAGATATTTGATGAAGGTAAGCCTCATTTCTTTGCTCGGAATTCTATCTAATAATATAATCATAGGCGACGAACTGTCTGAATCTTTCTTCCTCATACCTTCTGATTCGGAGCCCTCAAACGCTGCACTGAAGAAAGAGAACATCGGACTGAAAGTGGAGGTAGAAACTCTGCAACGGCGTTTAGAGGCTGCGGAAAAAGCCATGGCCATAAGAAAAGAACAAGACATTCAACTCCGGGACAGTATATATCAAGCGACGAAGGAAGTTGTATGTTGGCTCGGCTGAATAGTTCTGTCATATCTTTGACGACTCCTCCAGGCTCAACGAACGATGGGTACATCCATGAATCTCCAGCGTACGGCAATGGATCTTAACCCGCATGTACCGGTACCTCTACCAATACCGGGTTATCATACTGCACGCGAAGCGCAGTATGCCCGTCGGGTTAAGGAACTCGAAGATGACCTCCGAGCTGTGAGAGTGGAAAACGAGAAGCATGTGAGTAACCTACCGGTGATATGGTACTGCTATTATCCATAACGCCACCAATGTTACAGAAAGCTATGATCGTCAAATTCCGCGATCAGTGGGAAAAGCTGAAGGCGTCAGCGAAAAGAAAGAAAGAAGCAAAGGCGAAAGCCGCTGCTGCAGAGCGAATTGTAGAAGAGCCGGAAGCTGAGGAGCGACTGGATGATCACTGAAGTTGCGGGACCTGAGGCCTGAGGCGAATACTCTTGTTTACGTGTGCGGACTCAGAACTGTATTAGTAGCTGTATCTATGCCTTTTCTAATGTCTATCTTACATTGAATGAAGGAGAACTTGGCTTGTATTCGAATAATAATCTACGTGGTAACTTGCCCATTTGAGGATGAAGACCTAGGCAAAGAGCCCGAAGTCAACAACAGTCAAGGACCGGACAAATGTGTCGAACTGAGTTCGTGCTGTATCACGACCAGCTTCTCCCACTCCACCTCCATCATTGGATTGAAGAGGCACATTGAATGTGACAACTAAATCAATTCCCTCTTCCTCCATACGATAGACGGCCATCAGGACAAGAACCTGGTCCGGCGTCGCCTGATTGCATTTTCGGATTGCCTGATGACCAGAGAGGACAATGGCTGACGGCATTCTATCTCCTCTATCATTTGGAATGACATTCACTGACTCTACGTTGCTCTGAAGGGCATTATTATCGTGGGCCAGAGAGTCAAAATGAAATCTGCGTCGGTAATCAAGATGATGAAGGTAGGTGCTCTGTTGGAAGGACTTCACTTGGCAGCGTCGCGAAAATCTGGAGGATCAACCCTCTGAAGAATTTCTACAATGATGCTGACACCGGAGTCACGGTAAAGGAACACCTCTTGAGTGTCTGGAACTTGGCGGATAGCCCTGAGTAATTGGAATGATGAAAAGTTAGAAAGTAAAGGATGGGCTACTGACGAGGCGTCGATAAGATTTCTAGGGCAGATCGCAGTAACTGCACCACCAAATAATTCGCGGACACTACTCATGGTGGGGATGGAAGGCTAAGCTGTTGAAGGCTTAATGCCGAAGGTGCCGGCGGCTCCGATTCATATATCACGTGATTGTGACAAGCGCGCTGCTGTCACCGTCACACCCTCGGTTGGCCTCTACCATCACCAGACGCGTCGTTATTGACGGATTTCTCCGCCATGGATCTTCGCCGCCGGTCTGTTATGCAGTCTCTTGAACCCAATGCTGGACGGTCTGGAATACCTCTTCCATCGACAGCTAAGAAGCCTACCCCCAACTTACGTGCATCTCTCGCTGGGGGGCCAGCCCATCGAACTCCATTCACTTCTCATTACGGTTCGCGATCGAATAATAGGCAGTCCACATATCAGTCGCAGATTATGAACCCTCTTCTTCAAAGTGCATCCAAGCCGTTACCGAACCTGGGTCGGACACCTTTGAACAAGTGTGTAGCGATTACTCTCTTCGTTCCGTTCGCTTATACTTGTCGCTGTAGCAGTGCTCGTCGTACGTCTGTATGGCCTGTCGGAGCTCTTGGTGGAGCTCCATCGAACAATCAAACAGCGAAAGACACTCGTCCCCTTCGCGACAAGGCCTACCAAGCTAAGATGCGTCATGATATACTAGATTTCTTCCAGAACGCGGGTCACGAGACAATCACCATGAACACTCTGATTAATATTCAAGGGAAGGACTTCCGTGCGATCTTTGACTACCTAGTTCTTTCCTTAGACGCGTCGTATCCCTTGAACCCAAAGGCTTCAATACAAGAGCAATTTATACCGGCTCTCAAGTATCTGCAATACCCTTATGTATCCCAAATCGATAACAAATGGCTGGCCGCGCCCGCTAGTATGCACTCGTGGCCATCTCTTCTCGGCATTCTTCATTGGTTGGTGCAGCTATGTCAAGTAAGCAAGATTTGGCCATCATGTTTTCCGTTGACTGTTATGGTCATCAGATGCGCAACCATTATCTAGCGAGTGGACATCCCACCCTTCAAATAAGCTCAGATATACCGGATGAATTCGACGACCCGATGGATCATACTGCGCTTGCGTTCGAATTTGCTGAGCAAGCCTATTCCCTTTGGCTAGACAGCAATGATGAAGACAGTAGAGACATGCTGGTCTTTCCCAAGCAGGCTTTGGAGGAGCGTTATGGTAAGATCATCTAACAACTGTTTGTCTCATCTCACGATGGATAATTCAGCGAAAAAGAATGAGCGGGTACAACTTGATCTGGAGCAGCTGAGGAAGCAGTTGGATGATGCGACGATCGAATACGATAAACTGAAAAGTTCTGCCGTACGTGTATGTTTTCTGAAGACTCGTGCTTGCAGACTGACTGGTCTTTCAGGCTCCGATCGCGAAAGCCCAGGACGAGAACGGCCTGCTGAAGGGTGACAATGAGAAATTTCAGAAGATCCTTCAGCTTTATGAGGTCAAGAAGAAGAAATTAATTGACTTCATCGCTCAAGAGAAGGCGGAACTTGCACGAAAAGGTAGGCGATTCGCGAGGTCTTGATACCGTTCTCAATCATGCGCCAAGATGACAGCCTGATCCAAATGAAAATGGAACAAGACAGGCTGTCGGATATTGTCAAGACGCAAAACCTGTCTCCCGAGGAGGTCAGTCGCATGACAACGGAACACGAAACGCTTTCAAGGAACTTAGAGGACCTCAGACAAAAGATTGCTGAGACCCATCGGACTGTTTTGAATCTGGAAGTCAATGTCACGAATCGGGCCGCTGCTACAGAGGAGGCGCTAGATTCATACGTTAATCTACTTTCCTCTTTGGAGCTTCTCCCGCCTCTACCGCCGCCTTTTGAAGGCGTCGATCTCATGCTGGAGCTGAACACCGCTGCCTCTAATCCTCACCAACTTCTAAAAGGCGCCGAGATTAGGAAGGTCATCAGGCCTACCCTCAACAGTGTTGCGGAATCGAAACGGTCCGAGCGCGCGTCTATTGAGAGCGATCGGATCAAGGTTGATAATGAGTTGGATCAACTTATGGCGGAATGCGAGAATCTTGACCTCGAGACGGCAGAAGTGGAGAAGAAGGTCATTAGCCTTCATGAACAAGCAGAGGATTTAAGAGATGTAAGGTATTCATTTGACTAATCCATTGTCTAACCGGGGCAACATAGGCAGCACAACAAGAAGCACTGGTTGCTAGCAATGAAGCAACGCGAGTAGAACGAGAACTCGCCCACGCTAGAACGGCTGCACTGGCTAACGGCATGGGTGTCAACACACGACTGACCGGCTTACAATTCAAGTAAGTCGTCCAGCACTCAATTGATAGCCATGTTTGACACATATCAGATACCAAGAGCGGGTGGAGAGGGTCTCTCGACTGAAAGAGGAAACCGTTCGTGCTATCATCAAAAATAGCAACGATATTGCCCTGTTCAAGAGCGAGGTCTCTCGGCATTTAGCTGATCTGCGGGAGTTCGTAGACATATCACAGAGCTGATGCAGACATTATGGTTGTGGCTTATTGGCCTTCTGTATTCCTGTATTTCCGTGGACGTCAAAAGCGGAGTTAACTGCTAACCGGTGTCAGAGGGATATCCTGAGCATCGGTGTGGGTCAAACTTCCCCAACACGTTCGTCGTGTGTACTGTAGTGAAGCTGGACGCTTCATATCGACATTTGTGGCGCCGGGGGACAAGCCTTAGAACGAGACAACGGGTCCGGCACACTGTCATGTAGGTGATGGGACCCTTCGTCAAACCGATTTCATTAATGCCAAATACTTCTTGGTCCTTATGACTTTCTATGCTGCCTACTGTAATATCGTGAATACAAGTGAGCTTATCTTTGACTGGCGGTCCGCGTCGTGGCCTTGTCGGGTATGGACTTGCGACCGACTCCAGGGAAAATGTAGGTGTGTGCCTGGCTCTATCGCGGTAGTTTGCTAAATATATTTCTTATTTACATGCTAGATGGTCCATCGCCGGGTAATGGCTCTCCCTCAAACTTGGCGGTGAATCGGAGCAACAATATTCACGTTTGCGTGAGGTGGCGCCAAGTGGTTCCCGATAAATAGTAATACTTACAGCAGAGGCTGCCACCCCTCCTTGTGGCTTCAGGAATTCAGGGTTCGAAAGATTACTGGCGAGCTGGGATTGTGGATGTTCGGCTACCTTATCAAGGAACCGGCGTCGCATTGCCATCACTTACCCTTTTCGCTGACAGCACGCTTCGCGAGGTGATGTCGTGTTTGTGTTTGTTCTTGCGCCTCTGAAGCTGCGAATGTTATTCGTTGTCTATCACAATTACGCTGACAAGGATCATGCCATAGCATGGCAGATGGATATTCAATTATAAGTTCGGCTGCCGCTGGCTTTCAGACTCATTTTATGTGTTACATGAATGAGAATCATTCCGGTTTAAATACAGGAATTTTCTCGATGACACGTCAGATTGCAAGGTAAAGTCACTCCCGATAACGCGAAGGTAATAACCGTGACCGTACGTTACATGTGGATCAACATCGCTTGGTTCCGACACTACGGTAAGTATTTGCATACCAACTCGCACATTAAGACTAACTTCTCTACTTGGACGTCCACAGAATTCTCAGAGTAGAGGTCGGTTAGTTCGATTGGATGCTTCCAACGCTATACAACTATCTGTCGTCAAGCCTTTTGGAGGTGTTTTTTTTTCTTTAGCCAACACCGAATCGCTCTGAGAAAGTTATTGAAACCGGAAATCGGCACACAATGCTTCCGAGAATCGCTGAATCCACATTCTAGGACTGCTCGGAATTTTTAAGTCATCTATCTATCGCTCTTGTCGTTAGACCGTTCTAAACGGGACAACATTGGCACCTAACGCGTGTAAGCCGCCATCAGTTGCCAGCACCATGCTTCACATAAGAAGCAGCCGGTCCCAATCTTCACTATCCCTACCCTTTGTTCTGGTCCCCCCCCAGCTGTCCTGCCGTTGCTTCTGGCGACTATGGGTTCGAATGCGACGTCGACCGACACCGAACTAGGTCTAGGGTCCGACCTGACACTGGAACCTGCCCCATCAGAAGACACACGTCCCGAGGAGAAGGCTACTGTGGTGAAAGTCGAGAATGTGACCCTGGAGAAGAAGCTTGACAATAAATTTATCACCACTGCTATCCGACCCATTTTCACGTCCAGGGCTCCGACGAAGACGAAGAAGAAGGTGTCGTTATGGATTAGGTGGACTTTATGGTTTAATACGTACAGGTAACGTTATTACTCTATTTTTCTCTTAGACACTCTAACAGTGTGCATAGGAAGTTTTTCACTTTCACGTTCGGTTTGAACATGATAGGCTTAGGCTTAGCTGCCTCGGGACACTTTCCCTATGCCATCAAGTTCTCTGGCGCTATGGTTGTGGGTAATCTCAATTTTGCGATTTTGATGCGAAACGAAATTTTCGGTCGAATCCTATTTTGGGTAGTGAACTTTTGTTTCGCGAAGGTCAGCATAGTACAGTTGAACGTTCCCTCGAATCCGATCTGAGCTTTGCACCATACAGTGGACCCCACTGTGGTGGCGTTTGGGTTGCACCTCTGTTTTGCAGGTGGGTGTTTCTCGACATTGCATTTCATTTCGTTCAACGGAAATGAATACAAGCATCTTGGCGGTATACACAGCGGTTGTGCCCTATCTGGCTGTATCTGGTTACTCTTCAAAGTAGTGACCCTCTTCACCATGCTTAGTGTCGAGCATGACGCCATACTCATCATGGGAGTGATCACGAATACTGCTGTTATAATCAGCGCGCTCAGTGCTTTTCCGTGGGTCAGAAACACACACCACAAGTGCGTCCATCTCAATTAATCAACAACTGCTATGACCCTGAGCAAGCTTGTAGCGTATTTGAACGCCACCACCGATTTGCTGGTTGGATCGGTCTTCTTTCAACGTGTAGGGACACTTTGACTTTCAGCGACGTCGTGACTGACATGAATATCGTAGGGTCGTTTGTCATTCTTGGGGATATTTACGATCCCGTCACACGTCGATGGAATCTCGACGGAGTGGCTCTCATTCGACACCAAGATTTTTGGTTTACGGCAGGGATGACTATCTTGTGTGTTAGCTTCAGGTTTCTTCGCTATTAATCACTTATATTCCAATCACAGCGTCTCTCTCCCATGGATATGTGTACGTGAAGTCAAGGTTGACATCGAATTAGTACGTCCTACAAAGTCTTAGATCAGTAATGACGATACTCATCCTATTGTGAAGCCCTCACCGAAAGTTGCCATCCTTCGTTTCGAAAGAGGGATGCAACAAGGTTTACTGGGAAGGATCAGTCGGTCTTCAATAATGGAGTACCATGCCTTCGGGATTATTTCGTTAGTCCAACTTTTAACAATAGGACCGGCCACTGACCAGTTTATAGGGAAGGCACGCACGCCAAGTACCATTATATGATAGCGGGTGTACAAGGTATGTTGGCTGTAGTACTACTGGTATAAGTTGATATAATTGACATAACTATGCTCAGGGGACTTTACGAGGACTCTTGTCAATGATCCCCCGAGGACGTTGTGGACACGACAGGTTAAGGTAGCGATGACTTTCAGTACGATGTTTGCCCACACCCTCTGACTGGCTGTACAGTTCGCAGGTGTTTCCAATACATCTACGCTGTACACAAGAGGCATCCGCGTCTGCACAGGCACTGGGATTGGTGCCGCCCTTTCGACCTGTATCCAGTCTCCAAACTGGTAAGCGTACATGCAATGTGTTATGAAGGCACCACTTACACCAATTGACTCAGGTTCTTAATATGGATTGGCAAGTTTTCTTTCCTCGCCTTTGCAGATTATTGACGAATTCTGTTTTGTAATTTAGGTTCTGACCAAGAGAAGACGTTCGGACCCACCATCAGCGGATTGATTCATAAGTATATTGAACCAGAGAGATTCATCCTTTGGGACACTAAAGAGCGAGGCGGGCGACCAGACACCATGAAGCTGGTCAAAGAAGTATACAGCTCGTTCAATGCCGAAGGTATGGTCGAGGGGAATTAAATCGTTTTCTGACTCACTGTTCATTCGCAGTTGTTTTCATAACGTCAAATTATATCGGTAACACTGAAATCATGCAAGGATGTAAAGAGGCTGGCATACATGCCTTCGGGACATTGTGGGACTTCGTATGTCACTCCTTAAACGCTAGATTTTGTAACCCAGTTAACACCTCATGGCAGTAACCTTGTCGACTCGTCCCCAACATCTTTGCATATATGTTGAGATTTAAGAAGGTTCGGCAAACTTAAATATTTGGCCCGCGCTGTTGTAGATATACTGATCCGATGAATGTACCACTGCTTTCAAGCAACAGATAGATTGTGCAGCCTGATAAAAGCCGCCGAAAGGTGCTGCGGCGTAAAGATTGCACGTTTTGCTAATTTACAAGGACAGAGTTATATGTACTCCTCGATAACTTTGCCATTCTTTCCCATCCAGGGCCAGCGGCGGTGAACATTGATGCCCAGGTTTGGTCTGAGAGCGATGCCTCTGCGCGCAAGCTCAGTGACTATTCTAGCGATGTTGCGAGTATCCTACAGAATGCCGATCAGTGCTAGTACCGTCACGATGATGGGTTCTCACGTCAATCCCGGAATGTAAACTGCCTTCAAAATCTGGCAGCCCAAGAGCGTTTAACTGCCGTACTATGCCCAAGGGGCGGGGTCGGTTGTTGGGATTCTGCATAGTTTGAGGAAACAGTAGGTCATGAGGTAGTAATCGTCTTGCCTGGGCATGCATCCAAGAAGTAACTTGCGCTCTAACGTCCAGTATATTACCTTGCATCCAACACGGCATGGGGGTCTATCGATGAAATCTAAGAAAAGATATACAGAAAAAGTATCTTTTTACCTTGGAGATGAAACATGTTTTCAGTAGAAGATCTTGAATATCCCATGGTCCATCAGTACACCAACAGAAACGGGTCAAACTTTGCTCCGTATCCTTGTCGATGAGGTTATGTTTTGCCATGAATACTTTGAGTAACGAAAACACTTCCGAAAGCGATGGAGCTTCATCAATTTGGGTCTGTATCGAGATAAGAATAGGATACAGGATAAATGTGCGGAAATACGAACTTGTGTTATTCCAGTCAAAGTCGTACAATATTCTGAGAGAATGGGCTTCCATGTAGGTTTGACGAATGAACGGAATTCGTCTACAATGGCTAGTTGACTAGCTGTTCCGTCGGAAGTTTTGTCTTCCCATTTAAGTAACGCTACAGGAAACTCCTAGAAAAGATATTCATTAGTAGGGCGAATAGGTCAACGAGAGGCATATATATATAAAATCTCACAATAATCTCATTTGCATAATTAAATCGCGAGGTCGCTATGCAAGTCGCCTCGAAGTCCACAACGAGAAATGCATCATACGGCTGTGGTTTTCGAAATGGATACGTTTGGCCTGGCGGGGGGGCCATTTGCTGACTGGTTTTCAGGTATGCATTCCTAGATAAAACAGGTGAGGATGCGCGGCCAGCTTTCCCTTCAGCAGGATTTAAACGCGGTGTAACGAAAAAAGTGCGGGGTAGGTGACGGTAGGTGAGACCCGACATTGCAAGGGTTAGGAAGATGAGAATGAGGCAGTATATAGAACTAAAGTGTTTAATCGATTCACAGAGCCAGAGGGGGGTTGATAGAGAGCTATAAGACGATAGCATACCAGAATTAAGAGGGTGCGTCCATCAGGCAGTCAGGAAAGAAAATTGTTACTGATCGGTAACGCACTGCAAAAGGTACTCTTGATCACGTGCATCCCTTTAGTCCCGTTCTGCAGCCCACCGACCATTATCTTGCCATGCATCAAGGAGGAGACGACCTCGAAGACGACTTTGTTCTGGACATTCCCGAAGAAGACAACGATGGATTCCACGTCGATGACGCCCAAGATTTTGTAAGCGAAGAGGAAGGAGACTCGGCGGGCCAACGGGACCAGGCTGGTCCTAGCAACGCCAGAGTTGTAGAAAAAAAGAGGAAAAGAAGGGAAAAATTGAAAGAGCGAAAGGTGCGTCAAGTCGTCATGAGCTTTAATATTGTTCATTTACTGTGTGCTAGAAACGGAAACTAGTGGATAATCCTGGATCTCTTATTGCTGTTGACTCTATTGCGGGACAATCCACCTCTGAACTTGCCAACTATCTGTCAGAAGAGCAGAAAAAGACCTTTCCGGATATGTCTGCGATAGAACTGGAAGCTACGGCAGTACCAGGTCAGCCTATTTGCACCTTTGATCGAGATAGGCTTGTGTTAAGAAATTTGCAGAGTCTGCAATAGCAGATACAACTTCATGGCAAGAGCCAAGAACCCTGGATAAACTGGCGGAATTCATCATTAAAGGCACATGTCTTGGTGTCTCCAGCGGCGTCCATTTACTAACAAGACATTTACTGTAGCTGTTCCATCACTACGAACTCGACTCTTACAGAAATCTAAGGCTACTGGATCACCAACCCTTCTTTTCGTAACGGGCGCGGCTCTCCGTGTCGCTGATGTCACCCGTGTCCTGAAGGACAAGAGGCTGAGGGGTGAAAAGGGTGGCGAGGTGGCAAAGCTCTTCGCCAAACATTTCAAGTTGGCTGAGCATGTAACTTACCTTCGGCGGACAAAAGTTGGTGCTGCTGTCGGTAAGCCAAGTGCGAAATCTTTTTGTTTTTTTATCTCATACAACTTTAGGTACTCCCGGGAGGATTGGGAAGCTGTTGTGCGAGACAGGTAGAATAATGTTCGACTTTTATTACTCGTTCCTTTATTGACAAGAAAACCTCAGATGCATTGACAGTGTCCGCGCTCTCCCACATCATATTGGACGTCACCTTTCGGGACGCCAAGAAGCGAAGCTTGCTGGACATACCGGAAACACGGGATGAGTGCATGAGGACGGTTCTAGGATGTCCACAGGTCATCAAACAAATGAAAGCGGGTAAGATACAGGTGATACTGTTTTGAGAAGCACCCCGTATTAGTGTTTCTTGTCATGATGTATCTTTTGTATACAGTACAGCTGCGAATAATAGGCTAGAATCCCTTGGGATTCGTTCGAAGGGTCATCTACAAATGTGTGTTAGTTTGCTTTTGGCAGCCAGAAGTTTCTTTGCGCACTCTTGTCCATTTGGGCACCTTATGTATACCCTTTCTATACCCTTTGGCATGAGGAGAGAAGATGGTGTATTTGTCGCGTGCAGGCATTTCATGTTCTTTCGGAAGCTCCAGCGCCTGGTCCTATAGCAAGCAGCATTCAGCAAAGTCCACAGCGGAAAAAGATGCGATATACAAGTGCACTGCACTCAACCCCGCTAGCCCTTACGGCTTCAATAACCGCGTCAACTTTCTTTAGTCTTGCTCGAGCATTTGCTTTTCTGGTGGATGATAATCTCCACGGAATCTTCCTAGTATAGTCTTCAGTAACGGACACACTGAAAATTTACTATACAACACACCAGAGGAGGCCACCAAGGTTAACCTGGGTCGCTCGAAAGGCGCCAAACATCGACGTTTGAAGAGAGAGAGGCCGTGAGAAATATTTCCTCACTGCTTGACTTCGACTTACATCACAACCACAACTGCACTTTATTGACATAACGACGACAATGAGTGCCCTCATCGATTCTGTCGCCAACGGGCATGTCAATGACAACAGAGATATCTTGATGGAACAGGCTGGCGGGAGATTTGCGAGCGGTCTTATTCTTCCTCCACCGGAAATCAAGTGTAAAGCGGCTCTCTCTTTCCATTTCCATCTCTCTTGCTGAGCGTCTCCATATAGCTGTTATTGACAGAACTGCCGTATTTGTTGCACGCTCGGCCAATCCACCCCAATTTGAGGATAAAATACGCGAAGGCCAGCGTTCCGACCCCAAGTTCTCCTTCCTCAATCCAGCGGACCCATATCATGCTTACTATCGGGACAAAATGGACAAGGTCTTGCAAGGAGACATGTCTGGTGAACCAACTCAAGAAAAAGAAAAAAAAGGGACAGAGAATGGAGCAATGGAACCTCAGATCTTGGATATTGGACTGGAGCCTCCCGCCCCAGTATTTATCATGGACATGCCAAATATCACTTCAATTGATCTGTACGTTTGTTTTCTTGCCTCCTTAACCAATTCTAATGCTGTCTGGCATAGCGACATCATGAAAATGACCGCCCTTTTCACCGCTCGTCGAGGACACAGTTTTCTCAATTCGTTGACCATGCGAGAAGGTCGCAATTACCAGTTTGACTTCCTACGCCCCCACCACTCCCTCTTTGGCTATTTCAATCGGTTGGTGGAGCAGTACACCAAAGTCTTATTCCCTGACAAGGAGATGCTGGAACAGTTGAAGGGTCGCACTTCTGAGGGGTCGCGATGGAGGACTCTGGAAATTGCCAAACGATATGCCAAGTGGGAAAGAACAAAGCGTGAAAAGGATAAGAAACGCCAAGATGATCAGGAGGCTGAACGAAGTGGGTATTCGTTTGTTAATCTTTGTTTAATGTTCACTATATTGGAACAGTTGCATTTGCGGAAATTGACTGGCATGACTATGCTATCGTTCAAACGATCGAATTCACGGCCGCGGACGCAAATACGGAATTGCCACCACCTATGAACGTGCAAGAAGTCGAGAGCATGACTCTTGCGCAGAAGAGAATGGCCGCGATGATTATGGAAAATACTGTAGATGATGTTGAGGCGCATAGAGCTCGGCAGGCAGCAGCAGAGGCAGAGGCAGCAGCAGCAGTCGGAAATGCTGGCATTGGAGGAGGCGACGATGATGCTGCTATGGAGGAGAGTGATGACGAGGGTGAAGCAGAAGAACGTAAGCGTCGTGAGGAAGAGCAGAGACTTCGGGAAATTGAGAGAGCCAAGGCAATGCAAGCTTCGTCAAATACGGCTGGGCCCATGAAGATTCGGACAGATTATGTTCCTAAACGTGGGTCAGCCTCATTTTCATCTCTGACTTCTTTTGACAACTCATCATAGTCGGCTCAAAAAACTCCAAGACCGCGGTGACTACCTGTTCAATCTGTGGGCAACAAATACCCGTCGACGAGCTACAGGAACATATGCGTATTGAACTCCTTGATCCTCGTTGGAAGGAACAGCGAGATGCATTGGAAGCACGCAAGGCACAGTCTTCGGAATTGCAGCGAGGCGCCAATGTTGTCTCTTCATTGAAGAACCTTGCACGGACTCGTGTGGATATTTTCGGTGCAGAAGCGGATGAAGAACGTCGTAAGAGGGAGCAGGAGGAGGAGCGTGAGCGGCGGAAAGAGAGGGAAAAGGTCGTTTGGGACGGTCACACCAATTCCAAGGCCAACACCCTCGACAAATACTCCACCAACGTTAATTTCGATGAACAGATTGCTGCTATTCACCGCGCAAAAGGACTCGGACCGTGTGTTGAATATATTCGCACCGTGTTGAACATTAAGCTGACCTATGTATATATAGGCAAGAGGCAAATGCCATTGGCCCTGGTATAGGCCCTGCTGCCGTCCCTCCACCTCTAACATCACTGCCGCCAGCGCCAGCTTCTCTACCCGCACCGCCTCAAGGTTCAGGTAGCGCATCTTACTCTACGGCCACTGTGTCATCAGGCCCTCAACCAGCCTCAATGTACCAGCCACCACCGGTCATGCTGCCTCCCCTCCATTATCAGGGTATGGATGCCGCGCAGCCATTCGGGTACCAGCCGCCTCCATCCGGCGTGCATCCAACCAGAATGGCGGCATTGGCCGCCGCTAACAGTACGCTGCAGGCTCAAGCCGGGATGGTTCGGTCTGCGGATGAAATGGAGGGTGTTGTTGATGAAATTCCGCCAGCTAAACGTCAAAGGGTTGCCAAGGTACCTGGCAGTCAAATGTATTCGGAAGACGATTGGATCACGATGCATCCGGTAGAGTTTCAGCGTTGTTAGGGTAAAATCTAATACTGACTGTCTTTCATTCAGTATCCCATATCGCTGCAAGTACAATTTCCCCATGATACTTCGAAACCAGAGTGGAAACTTGATGGTTCTACTGTCACTATTCCTGATCTTCCGTTGAATCTCTTGGTTTCAACGCTACGTGACCGTATTGTCCAGCATACCGGCATCTCAGTACCCATATCTAGGATTAGGTTGTCGTACGCCGGAAAGATGCTTACCAACTCTAGCTCAATAGCGGTCTACAATATGGAGGATGAGGAGTTGCTTATGCTTAGTGTCAGTCCGGCGAAGAAAAAGTGATTGTGCGTTCTATTTACATAACACCGGATTCAAGTGCCTTCTCCTGTTTCTCTTCTAGCCAATGTAAACTATTCTCAAAATAAAATATAACCTGGCATCAATTTATGGCCCAAACGGCCCGAAAACCCAAGTAAATATTGATACAGTTGAGTAGTCTGCTACATATGTGATAGTATGGTATAATTACGATCTGGAAAGATATTGGCTGATGTAGATGCTGGATGACGGCCTGCGAATTCGGCGTGTCTTGTGTGATATACACACATGTATCCAGCATGCTTTCAGAATACCCTTGTTTTACCAGTCGTCGACTACTGCCTACGCTTCATGATGGCGGGCGGGTACGAGTGGAGGAGAATGAAGTGCCGGAGGGGAAGTGGTGCGCAGCTCTGCTGTGCGGCGGAGCGCTTGTTGCTCTGATAATGAAGGCCCCCTCGAAAGGGAGGATGAGGAAGAAGCGGTCGAATCCATGCTACCCTTCCTTCCTGTGGTGGGAGTCGCTGGGACGGTATCCTGCAACCACTGCTCGTCCTCAGCGGTGGGTGTATGGGGCGAGATGGCTCTCTGGAAAATGCTATTGGGCGAATTGAGAAGAGGTGACTGGAGAAGGGACGGGGGAATTGGCATGTGCATCGTTTTCTGGTGACGGTTGGATGAGGTCCGGCTCTTTCTACGACCAAAATCATGCGTTGCCTTCCTTTGTGAAGGATAGGCGTAACCGCCAGTGTCAGAAGGATTCGAAGAAGTAGAGGAAGCTGCCTGGCAGGACATGATTAAGGAAGAAAAAGAGTCCCGGCTCGCGTATATATTCGAATTCGCAGACTAGCTGATAGATGAAGAGGATACATCTGAGACGAGACACGTCCTATTATATAGTACCAAATGTGCGGCTCGATCGTTTCAATATTCCATTTTACCGTTGCACAGTACAGCTGTTTCCCGCCAACTGAATTTCATATACTGCCGGGTTTTCCATTCTGGGTGAAGACTTAGCACAAATTCCATTCTACATTTTGAAAAAGGTACATCCACGCTAGTATCTATATCATCTTCCTACAAAGCAAAGCAAAAACCAATACAAGGAAGAAACATATCGCTGTATCCAATAAAACGGGGGGTCGACGCTGCGGTTGTGGGGATAGACCATGCGTCTCATGCTCGGGAACTGTAGGGGAGGAAAATCTTTCTGGCATTGACAGAGAGGTCTCTTGTGCAACTTCGTCTTCTGCTTCTTCGGATCGAGGACTAACAGAGTTCGTGGAAGAAGCATCATTATGTTCTGGAGGTAGTGCCGATTCTACAGGAGGAGAAACAGAGGAGCTTGGACGATTCTCCTGACCGGCTGGTGGGTCAGGAAGTATGTCGAGATTAGACTGCTGACAATGCGGGCAGACCCAATCCCGAGATCTGCGGACGGATGGAAGTAAGAACTAGCCAGAATCTGTGCCAGTGATCTAACATACAGAGCGGCTAATCTCTTCCTTTCTAAGGCAGGGTATTCAACAGATCCGACACCTGCAGCAGCCTGCCCTTTCAGGGGAAAGAAACCTTGAAGACCCAAAATTGCTACCGGCCAAGTTGAGTGCAACCCAATTTCTATTCCATTGCAAACTCTTACCGGTCCGTACGCCCCAAGCAGGTTGCCACAGTTCCTCGTGGTCTATAATGATGGTAAAGATGATTCTCGACACGAAATTGTTGGCTCACAGTTGGTGAAGCTTATGCATATCTAGGGCGTGTAAAATATCCGTTTTTCCGTAATATAAAGCACGCGATTACCTTGGTATTCAATTCGAAACGGCCGTTGGGCGTGAGAATCATTAGCGATGGCGGTCGGAAGGGATATTCTGCGGGCAGTAGAATGCGAACATGATATAGGCCACCCTCGAACTCTGTTCCTGCAGGACCTCGTAATGTGCAATGCCATTCCTGAACTGTATCGTAAGCGCCATGGTAATATGATAGGCATATATAAACTTGCAAAGATATCATCCTGGAATATTGGTCAACGTTTCAACAGTTATAGAAGGCAAGAATAAGTGTAGAACGAACTTCCAAAGGTCCTGCAGCATAGTCAGTTGAAGGGTCATCGGATAGCTCTCGAGCCTCCTGCATGATGCGCTTGACGGCTTGAGTGAGATATAAACAATTTCGCCTCTATCTGTACAAAGATGAATACAGACCAGAGTTGTTCTTATTGAGGGCTGACATTGAGGAATGAATCAGTGAAATTCAGGTAGCTGGAGGGTAAGTAGGTAGGGTACTGGTAGATGTAACTTATAAGTTATTTAAGACGACGGATTGATGACACTTGTATGGAACAGTACAACGTGGCAGAACCGGAACTTAGGCCGGTAGTGATCCGTCCAGTATTGCCTGTTCCAAGCCATCTCGACTGCTATTCAGACAGCTATCCTGCAAGTTTTCTTAATTTTAATGTGCCTTCAGAAATGTAACAAACAGTACATACTTGTATTTCTGGTATCGAAGAATTATTCCACAATCCGTCATCGGACCGCTTCGGACCGCAACCCTAACCTTTGTTTTCTACCATCACCGTCAACCGGCATTGCAATCCCTACTCGCCCTCCAGACACCTGAGCTACTTCATTACAGCTAAAGATGGGTGTTCACATTAGGGAGCTCAAAGTTCGTCCGCGAAAGCGTGTGTACCGTCTTTTCTTGTCGCGACCTGCTCTCATGCCCCGTAGGTCAAATGGATGGTATGTGCGGCGTGCAGCTTGCGGCCATGCTGGGTTGCTGGGCATCTTCCAAGGACATTCAGTCCATGGGTACGTGTCGAGCTGCTGCAGAAAACCTGTTGCATTGCATGAGGGTGACGGTGCGTCGTCTATACATCTCAACACTCTGGACTGACAACTACCGAAAGCCTCCGAAAAGGCAGACACATAGGCCTGCAATTAATTTCCATCTTGCAAGATTAGGGAAACGAATGTAACTGATATAGACCTTGTGGCCACATACCATCTCTTCTTCACGTTCTTAGTGTCAATGTCCTCGAGGGGGCCACAAATTCAAGGATTTTTTATCAAGTCTCCGTGAAAGCATTACTAGTGCGCCGTTTCATATTACAGGACTGAGAACAAGGGTCACCTTCTGCGAAGAAGGTGCACAACATCAGTGCTATAAAAGGTGAGAAATTCTAACGCCCCCGTGATGTGTACAGGCCGGCAATTCCCCTCCCCATTAATTGTTCGAAGTATGGGCGCCAACTCATTCTCTTACTTTCATCATGCAAGTGTCCGACCGTGTCGCCATCTTCTGGGACTTTGGTGCATAATACTCTTGCATAGTACGTGACGGGTGACTAAATTTTGATTCATAGAGAATTGTCCAGCGCCCTCTGGTGCTTCAGGGTACGACCTTGCTAGTAGCATCCGAAACTGTGTCCAGTCGTTCGGTCCTATCAAGCTTTTCAAGGCATATATAGATGTGTCGGAGCAATCAGCAGGCCAGCGGGGGTCATGTCTTCGCTCCGAGTTGCAACTGTCTGGTGTCTCAATGACTGATACGCCACATATGGGGCGGAAGAATGTGGCCGACCAGATGATTATTGGTGAGCACCTTCCAACATGCAGCTCAAAGTTCTCACTGTAGATCAGTGGACATGCTTGCATATGCATTTGATAATCCGCTGGCCTCTACCACGATCGTGTTAATAACTGGAGACCGAGACTTTGCGTACGCAGTAGCCATTCTCCGTCTGCGTCAATTCCACGTCGTGGTGATCTCACCTTCAGTCCCATCGCCGCACGCCAGTCTGACTGCACATGCAGCAGTATGTATAGACTGGAATACAGCAATCATGCAGAATATAGGATTGGAGGCCTCGGCTTCTCAGCCTGCTCCACCAGATCGAACGAAAACAGAGTCACCACCGGATTCTGCTCCTGTTGCCTGTCCACCGACACAGCCAGTGAATTTGGGTCCTACAAATTCGTCACAGCTACCCCAACCAAACCTTCCCTCCATATCTGCTAACCCGCTAAAGCCCACTCCCCTTGAAATAAACAGCCGCTCTCGCTCTGCTGATCCCATTCACAGAACTCACACTCCTGATTCTATGGACAGTTCTACGCCTGCACCAACATATACTGCTCAGCTGCCACCAGTTCCTCGGGTTCCACTCGAGCCGCCTGTCCAGGTGCCACAATCTGGCCTCCAGCTAGGCGGTGACCACAACTGCATGCCCCCTTCACATACCCCTGTCCCAAGAGCACAGCTCGCCCGAAATTTATCGATGCCAGTACAGTTTCCTTCAATTGCGCCAGGATATATCGCCACATCGCCCATCATGGCACCTTCCACTGTATCGGGAGTTACGTCAACCTTTCCCTCTATCTCCGCTCCCCTGTATCGTCCAGTAAAGACGTCTGAAATGGTCCCTTCCTCGTCGCCCAAGGTCCCCCCTGCACGATTTTACGGCCTTGTGAGACTTCTGGAGGCTCATCGTCTGAATGGCGCGTCTCGTCCTTCCCGTTCAACTATCGCTCTTGAGCTGGTCAAGTCGGATAAAGCGGTTTACAAGAAAGCTGGAGTGGAGAAATTCGGACAATACGTGGCCCTGGCCGAGTCCGAGGGCATTGTAGAACTTGGGGGAATGGAAGGAGGTGCTTGGATAGGCCTTCGTACCGATTGGTATGGGTGTGTCGTAGGCTAATAGAGCACTCGGCATTCTGAGGGCGACCGTGTGCTCCTTTTTTCTCACGGTACTAGCTGACGTTCCCGTGTGTGCAAAGTTGACAATTTATGTATTAAGGTTCAAGGGTGTTTTCGACTATTTCTTATTGTATTTAGTGTATGTTCAACCATTCAATATCCAGACAACGACTAATCTTGTCTAGTATCCCAGATACCTACCAATGTATCGTTAAATCTGTCTGTCTTAACATCAAGCCGTTGAGCGGCTTTCTGTTCCTGTGGCTCTCACACTCTGCGACGGTGGGAACGACATGCCGGTGTGCGAGAGTGTTCCCAGTCCCCTCCTGGGATTTTACCTCCGGCTGCGCATGTCTGGTAAGATGATCGCATCTCTAGGCGCTATAAATCACAATGCCTCTCTTGATGGATGATTCCTAGCGTCGTGTCACCTTTTCATCCCCAGCATGAACCGCCCTATTTTCTTGATTTTTGTGTCGATTTGCCTGTGGCTGACATTTTTGCATCGGGTTTCCGCACTTCACGGTGATTCTGCTTGTGGCAAATTCCTTTGTGTGAATGCCACAGTGCTCTCTGACACAGTCAGATGTGGGCCTCCAGTTACGCGAGAGTACAAATGCCAGCTGACGACGATTAACAGATGAACTGACGGCATTAAAACAACCCTTAGGCTGGGCGGGACTGTAAGTTACTACATCGTCGAAAACGATGATGATTGATTCATGTATTCTAGCGGTTTTGGCCGCCGAATGGCGGAGACTCATATGGTTATATTGTGGCCTAACGGTGATGGTTCTGTAACACTTTCGCAACGATATGCGGTCGGACATAGTGAACCTCGTGTAGTATCAAATCCGCCACGACTTGCGACGCTTCAGGCCCCAACTGACTCCGCAGTGGGTTTACTCACGGTTTTGATTTTCTTGACATCATCACTGACATCAGTTGTAGTGGCATATCGTTGATTCAACTACATTCGCCTTCGAAATTGAGAGAGGAACGGGTCCGTATTCCGGAAAAGACGATGCAATGGAGCACTTTATCTGGGCATACTCGCAAACGAATCCTGAATCTTCTGACCCCGAAGCTGATATCACTTTCCACTATGCCGCTGGCTTCTTGACGCTCGATCTAATGAGGGAGCTGGCAAAGACGGAGTCTCCAAGCCCACCTTCAGAGTTGGATAGCTCAAACGGCGATTCCACAAGCATCTCACCGAGTCACGAAAGAGTTGTGATTGCTCACGGTGCATTGGTATCCCTTGGCTTCCTCTTTCTCCTACCCATGGGCTCTCTCGTTGCCCGCTGGAGTAGGACCTTCACGCCGAATTGGTTTAAGGTCCATTATGCTGTGAATTTTTGGCTCGGCCTGCCAGTCATACTCGTTGGTTGGATACTTGGTCCTGTCGCTGTCTCCGACACGCAGGCTACTCATTTTCTGGATTCACATCAGGTGAGAGAACATGTCTGTTGTCGTGTGCATTTTTTGACCTTATTTATCTGTCGTTAGATCTGCGGTGCATTGTTGCTGTTCCTCTACTTATTGCAGGTAGCTTTGGGACGCTACATCCATAACCGCAAAGGACTATCCGCTCTGAGACATCCCCCCACTAATTTTTTACATGCAACCCTAGGATTGACGTTATTGTGCCTGGCTTTTTTTCAGGTGAGTGCTTATGTTTCGGAGTTCCTGTGGACAGATAATCATTCCCTTATTAGGTACGAAGCGGGTTTCACGAATGGAAGACTGTAAGTGGAAGAACCTCCGTACCAACGTGGGTCCATACTCTGTGGTCGTTCTGGGCTTTGGTAAGAACATTGATCTTTTTGAATTGATTGCTCTCTCATACACACTCACACACTATCAGGCTGTACTCATAGCTTATTTGCTGGGCCTCGCGTTACTTAAGCGCCAATTTCAGCAAGAAAAACTGGGAATCATTACCAACCAATACGTAGCGTTGAATGACGAAGTTCGCTTGTCACCGGATCCTTCTGTCGATCATCGCCTAGACGCATACGAAGAAAATTCATTAAAGGATTTTGAGAGCACACCGTTCTTGTAAAGTAATATCACATTTTATGTACAAACACTTATACGGTGATACAAATAAATATATAAAGGATGAGAAAACGTAGTAAATGAAGGTATATGTGATGAGGGTATGAAAGAGTGTACAGTTTTGTGTGCCAGATAACCAAAGATAACCATGATAACCCGAATAATAGAATGATATCACGCAGGTTCCGTTCTACGGGAGGTACACCGTGCTGTATCGCAGATGCATTGCGCGTGTGCATAGACAACGCGGATGCGCCATGCAAGATGCATGCAGTCTCTGCACCAGGGACACGGGGCCAGAAGGGCATGCAGATGAATGAAAGAACAACTATCATTCCACGATCCCTTATACGCCTTTGGAAAGAATGGACGCGAGATCCTTTTCGCTCGCAGCCGGCAGTTGGCGGGAACGTGCTTTAAGTCGCACTGTGTGAAGTGTTAGTCAATCACAATACGAACAAGACAAAAAAAAAAAGGTACTTACAATTGCGGTCAAGGCTCAAAAGAACCACCTTGACAGGATTGATTACATTTCTGACTATACCATCGCTTCTCAAAAGGGCCGATCGATCTACCCAATGTTCGTCGTGCCAAATGGCGGCTTTGAGGATAAGGTCGTCCATGTTTCGGTCAGAAGTGCCATTTGCGAAGTCCACCTCCTCCGTCCGCACATTCAGGGTAGTCAGGTAATTGCCCTTGGAAGTTTGGACTTTCAACGACGTAGAGTGGGTTCGTATGTGGGATGTCATGTAAGCCATTGCACCTTGCGCTGCGTCACCCAATTGCGATAGACTCGAGGACAGGCCATCGAGTTCCATGATGACAGGCAACGGAACAACCACTGTCCATCGCAAACTTTCAACAATCGATGCAAACATCGAAAGTGAAGAAAGTAGAATGTTGGTATCCACAACAAGGACCGTGTATCCAGCTAATACAGGCAGAGGCGGGCGACTATCAGTGTTTTTGCGACCCTTGCGACGAGAAGATGAAATAGGCATGAGGGTTGCGTGACCAGAGTGGAGCAGGCTTTGAAGATATCTTCGCCTCGCCTTGATAGCAATCAGTAAAAAGAAAAGAAACACACAAAAAGAGTTGCCTTACCTTCAAGGCCTTCACTGCGTCAGTGTTATTTTCATCATCGCTTTCGCTTTCCTCGGACGCATCCATAGGATCATCGTCGATATCCATGGAGTCATCAACCCATCGATTGCCCATGCGTCTGCGTTCTTCTGCTTCCCTCTCGCATGCATCTTCCTCCTTCCATCGCACAACCTTCTCCGCGAGTTTTCCTTCAATCCTCCACTCGCGAGTTCCTTCGACCCAAGTGAACCCGTCCACAACACTGGCTATTCCCACAGCACAGCGAACAATGCGTACCCATCGCTTGCCAATGTCGCTGCTCTTTCTCTCGCCTGCGTCATCATTATCGTCATCCTCAATCTGGCCGTCTGTCATTTCTTGCGTTTCCGACTCATTGAGTACTTCAAGTTCTGCCTTGCGGTCCTCACCGCTCTTCCAAAAGCCTCGCTCGTAGACCTTGCGCGCTACCCACTCCATGCCGCGTAAGCACCAGTCCTCAGCTAAAGGAGGCGCGCAGCCACTTGTCACCATGGTCCATCGTTCCGTATCACAAGGTATGGACTCATCCAAGCCCTGTCTGGTCATGATGCTACGAGGCACGACAGCAAAGAATTTAGCAAGCTCTTCCCATGGGATACTGCGTTCCAATACTTCCCGCGACGGTTCATGCTTGAGAATAGTCGCCAGGAACGTCAACACGACGGTAAGGTACGGGTTCACTGTAGAATGTGCGAAGGGGGAAGTTTTCCGTGTTGGTCGACGCAAGACATGGGATAACATGGTAAAGGTGATTCGAAGGGCAAGCTTAGAAGCATATGGGAACTCTCCAGAGTCGGCCTCTCTTTCTGAGAGCGCAGGAGAGACCTGAACTGTCGGTTCGTCAACATCCATTCTGTCCTCGGCAAGAAGTTCACGTTTCGCCATAACACGCATAGCGGCAGCAGTTCCTGAGTCACGAGGGCCAACACCACCGATCCTTTTCAAAACACCGCTCGGTTTGCCATACTCTAATATGGAACCGATGTTGACAACGGCCATCATCGTCCACTCTCGGTCTTCGGCACCTTCTATTTCCAGGCGTTCAACGAATCGTGCGAGGGTTGGGTGGAAATCATCGAGTTGAATGTTGGTGAAAAGCATGCCATGCAGCAAGACGAACAAGTCAGGAACATGGGCATCTGGAAGGGATCGTCGGGCCTGAGCTGCGACGGACCAGATAGGAAGAACGGATTCACGCGACGTCATGAAAGGGTGAAGGGTAGTCATGCTAAGGGGAAAATGCTCAAAAAATGTTTTTTTTTAAATAAGTGATCTGAACCACTCACCTCTTGACGAAATGATAAACACCTCTCAACTCCTCGCCTTCGACTTCTCTACTCAACAAACCCAGGTGATGATGAAGTTTACCAGTTCCAGGTTGATCGGTCAATCCGGCACCATACCAATCCCTCGCAATCCCTCGCCATCGCTCCTTCTCAGGTTCGACGTCTAATAGCCGTGCTGCAGCTAGACCAACGCTGGGTGATGGAGAGTCGTCAATCCTGGCCGCGGGTGCATCGCTGATGGATTTGGCCTCAGCTGGCACAGGAGATGCCAAACCTTCGGAAGGGAGGGTGCCTGCTGTGCGAACGACTTCCGATACATTAGCAGCCGTGAGCGAGCCTCCACCATTTGAAAATCCAGTGACCATTGCAGCAACGGCCATTCGATACCGTGCCAGATCACCCAGGGCCTCCAACCACCCACTCTTGAAGGAGCTGAGGGCAGGTTCCTCTAAGAGGCCTGTATAAAACGTATAAGCATAATATATATAGTCCTGGAGATGTTCCATAGCCAGTGGAGAAGTAAAAGAGGAGCGCCGCAGAGACTCTAGGAGCTTATGAAACCCATAAGTCCATAGCCGTACAATGATGTTGTACTTGGTAGGGATGTTACGAAGGGAGGCAGGAACACTGGGAGCCAAAGAGATTTCCAGGAGATTGTGGATGTTCTCGACAAGGCTACAAAACAGAGGGTCAGCACCTAAAGCGGGATGCATGATAGACGGCTAAGGTACCGCACCTCTTGTGATCATTGATCTTCTTCTTCCACTTGTCCTTCTCGAGGTCCTCGTCCTCGACTTGTTTGCCTTTCAACAAGATCCTACCCCCATCCTCGTTCTCTTCGGGGTCCTCCTGATTCACCTTGGATTCGAGGCTGGTAATTGTCCTGTATAGCTTTTTGAGTTGCACAGCAAAGACATTGGTACCTTGCTCCTCAGCCGACTTTGGTTGGCCTTCAAAGAGGGCAGAGGATGCGGATGATCCATCGGTCGTCGACGACAATGTGAAGCTGGAGGAGGTCTGAGAGGCAGCATATGATGAAGTAGAAGAAGCAGATATGTAGTCTCCCGACGACTTGGGAGTAGGGGTAGGGCGGCCTGGGGTCCTAGCAAGGACAGAGAAGCGTACAGGGTCATCCTTACGATGATTGAATAGCTGCCTGGCAGTGGGGTCTCTTGGACCGTTTCTGGAGGCATAAGAGCTGGCGGCATCCGACATGGTTTCAGGCTCCATGGTACGTCGCATCGGTATTGGGTCCCGATCTGGGTCAAAGAGTTTGTGGGACTGCTTGGCTACTTGAGCCGGTCGAATAGACGGAGATGAAGGTGATATTTTGAGGCGACGAGAAAAGTCATCTGGGTCTGCTTCCTGGGACGGACGTGAGACGGCGAGCTGAGGCGAAAGATGGTGCTTTCTTGGTGAAGGTGAAGGACGTGCAGGAAGTTGAGGGGCGGGCCTTGGGGAACGTTCTAGACGAGCAGGTGGCGGCGGCGGCGGTGGTGGTGGTGGTGGAGGGGCGGGCCGCTCAGACTTGACCCTGGGCCGACTGGCACTAATAGAAGATGATGATAAGCAAGAAATGGCAAAAATGAGAGAGCAAAGCGTACGCTGCTGTGCGACGACGAAAAGCAATGAGTTTTTCGTCGAGATCCGTGGGCTGAGGGTCCCTATGTGGATCCCGATGCATGGGATCACGTTCCTTGCCCTTCCTTGAGGGTCTCTGTATCTCTGGCTGCGAAAGTTCGAGCTGCATGATGGATGAAAGGGAAAGAAGGACAGCGGGGTCGTCGACTGCGGCTTGGGTCGCTGGAAGGAGACTCTGAAGGAACCAAGAGATGCGCAGCAGCCCGCCACAGTCCACAGTACTGCTGCGCTCGATCAATATGTTGAAATTCACGTGGCCGGAGAATACCATATTTCGCATATAATATTATATTACAAGTATATATTATATCCTAGAGTAGTATAAATGTCCCCCCCAAAATATTCATGCCTGCTTCGGCACATGTACAAGCCAAGGGACAACCTTGGCATTCGCACGTCTTAATGTGTGCGATCCAAACCATGTCGGCACCTTTCCATCCCATTGATCAACCAATCTCACAATCTTCTCTTCACGGTCAAGGTCAACGACGACAATCGAGTCAATGACCTGGCACGGACTCAAATGGTCAGTCCACCGCCAGATCCGAGTAACACCCTGCGCACCTTTTTATGCCCAAACAGTCGTGCTGTGTACTCTTGTTTCTGCGCAAATACCAATCGGTTCGGGGAGCTCGTCGACGACATGATTCTCGTAGACAGCGTCTCCGACTTGGAGCACAATTTCGGCTTTGGGTCTCCAATTAGCCAAGGAAATGGGATTTATACACACAAGATATCGAACCAGAACAAACCACTGTGAAAACCGTCAGTCACAGATGTAGTCTAATAGTGATGTAGACAACGTGCCTGGGCAGCATACTCTTTGTAGCCTTTGCAATACGAAAGAGGGTCCTGTACGAATTGGTTACAAAGAGGCTGAATAAACACCAGGCTTCAACGTAACCTCAAACACTGCGTCCTTGTTCCACGACCTTTCGAAAATCTCCATGGTAGGCCGGCAACAATAGAGCTCCTTCAAGTCAGCCATAATGCGTTGGTGGTCTGCTTTCACCGGCTCATTGGTGGAGGTCTCTCGTCGATCTATACTCGCTCGTCTGTGTTTCAACGTTTCTGGATCTACTTTGACCCCTGAGTAATGGGCGGCACCAGCGACAGACTCGACAAGTGCCGGGGTAGGAATAGGGTGAGGTAGAATCGACGAGTGAAAAGTCTGCGATGGCGGTGACGGTGAACGAGGAGACAACGAACGAGTCGACCCGCGAGATAGCGAGCGGTGATGATGATGATGATGACTGGGAGGCATCGCGATAAGACGCTTGGATAATTGGAGACAGAAACAAGAGCTGCTCAGTACGCTGTCACACTCTTGTCACGCCAATCATACTTGTTGACGTAAGTGCACAGCCGTTATCATTATTACAGGCCAATAATCTCGACCAAGTTGCAAATGCAAAGACTCATACAATACATCATTCAGAAAAAAATGAACCTTCTCAATATACAGCAAAATCCACCTCAACCCCCGTTCGTCTGTCCCTGCCAAAGTCCATAAGTTTTCCCAGGTGTAGTCTGCCACAGTCGTATTGTTCCTAGGGGGGGAGTAAGAAATCAGGAACTGCACCATAGAATTGCAGGATCATACTTACCATCCTCTACGGTGGTTATCAATCACAAATCAGTTAATTGCCGCTGTCAGAAATCAAGGCGTCCACGCACCACTGCCGCTAGCATACATTTCTCCGTCGGGGCTAAATTCGACGCAATGAACGGAACCATGGTGTCCTTTTAAAACCTCCCTCTCTTCACCATCCATCGCGTGCACCCGAACCCATTCATCACCCGTGTTACCAGTGACAAAGCGGTCTTGTAGAATTGGATGTATTGTCGCAGACGAGGGCGAGTAGGGAAGATTCAGACTGTGCGTCAGTCCGTTGCTATTGGGAAGAGCAGGGATAAACGCGACCGTTGTACCCGAGGTGACAACTAATCGTCCCGTCTGTGGTGACAATTCCATGGAAGTGATAGATTTGGGAAAGGTCATGGTATTCGTTAATGTCCTCGTTCGTAGATCCCACCACCTAGTCGCGACTCAGCAATCCTCGCAGCTCGAGCTAGAGATAAATACGCACTTGATAAGACCATCCTCTCCCGCAGTCACGCCGGTGTGGTCACCAACCCAGACGACGCTTTTGACAGTTCCCTCATGCGAAAGGGTACCAGGCTCCCCGAGATAATCTGGGTCCGCATCAGGCCTACCAAGGTCAAACATCCGTACTTTCTTCTCTTGCCCACCGGTGAGCAGATGGGACGATGTCGGGGAGAGCGCTACGCTGCGGACAATGTGGTTATGCGGAAAAGAATGTAGCAGATTTCCTGTGTATGTGTCCCAGACTTTGCTGCACCCACATGGTAAGTAGGATAGAGTCACAAGGATTGTCAGACGTACGCAGTAAAATCAGCACTTCCGGAAGCTGCTCTGGACGCATCGGGAGACAGCTTGGTACTCCAAACAGCACCCTTATGACCAAGAAAAGTACCGATCCAGTCGCCAGTCCATTCCCTCAACATCGGATTTCCATCTTTGCAGCTCGAAATGAGCAAATACGTGCCGTCGTCTTGAATGGGAGAAAAAGAAAGGTGGGTAACGGGGCGAGTGTGACCAGACGCCACGAGAGGTGTGGCCTTGGCAGGAAGGGACATTAAATCGTACTAAATGAAGTCTGTCGTCGTGATACAAGCGCACCGCGCTGCAAATTGAGAAGGATGCAAAAACGACGAGTCCAAAGAATTCCTCTCAGACGCTGCTTCGTCACGTGCTGATCACTGTCTTCACCACACAACCGTCATCATGGGCGCCGCCTCCTCCAAGGCTGCAAAAAAATATCCAAAGATGGCTGAGAAACCGTCCTGGGCAGGTGCTAGAACGCCTCGTACTGCAGAAACAATACCCAGACCCAGGGCTAGTGAGGTGAAAAATCAAGGTGCATCCATCTATTGTCAACTTTCGTCTCTCTTCTCCTAAAGCATGTCTAGATATCGAGCGCGATGCCCAAGACCCTCATTTTTTGTCTAATTTGAACAAACTGGGCCCAGTACGCGTGGATCATCATATGCAATCTTTCCAGCCGGTTAGGCCTTCTCTCTACGCCTCTTTACGAGACTAACATTCTTCGAAGGCTGCGTCCAAGAGCAGCATGCTTCGCTCGCGCGCCCGCGCTGAAATGGAAGAAACATCAAGTGCTGGACGCAATGTCTATGCTGCGACACTCAGTTCTATGCTTAATCAACAAAAATCATGCACCACGCGTCTCGACATCGAAACTCTCGCTCGGAACTATAAAATCGATATCCAAAAACTGAAAAGTATTTCAAAGTTTGTCAACAGTCCTAGCGTCGACTCCAGTTCCCTTGTCAAAACCGTGGACAAAGATGGCAACGAGAGCCGGAGCATGCTGGTATGTGAATCGAGGTATTCCTGGGAGACCGGCTCACATTTGACAGGCTGTATGGATTAAACCGAACCTTCGCGAATGAACACGATATTCCACAATTGAACGCTTCGTCTTTTAACCATGAAAGCCATGGGACAGTGAGTGCCCATACATTGCGTCATCTAAAGCAGCACAACAAGAGCAGTCCCCGGTTAAATTGTACTGATATGTAGCAACACTAATAATGATTCGCTACCAACTCATCTATTACCAGTCTAAGACTTGAAAGTGAGCTGCCTGCTGTCTTTCCACTTTGTAAGCATATGCACAACAGCTTCATGATCTTTTTTGTCCTGCAACAAATGTACGGGTCAAAATGAGGAAAAGAGATATAACACCGCTCAGACATACTTATTGCGTCTCGTACGTGCTATTATTTGATCTTTCATCCGAGATGACTGTTCGGCGGCGACGGACAAAATGCTTTCTGGAAGCCCGGCGAGAGCACCACATTCCACACCAAAGGATTCTACATAGATTAGCGAAGGATTAAGGGGTGTCCAAAAAACATACCTGAAGCAATTCCGCTAGTCAGACGATACAAAAATGTAATGTCACGAAAGCCAGCAATGCTGGTTTCAGCTTCATAGCCCATATGCAGGTTATGAATCGCCTTGGGGAACTTCTTCTTCAATCCCAGAGCTATCGAGGGATAGTGCGTGATAAACAGCGTCTTGCACCCTACAGAGTGCACCAGATGCTGCAAGACAGCATCCGCGATTGCCATCTAGTGAGCTGTAAGCCACGTGTCATGGAAAATCTATCAAAACTTACCCCATCAAAAGTCGAGGTCCCCCGCCCAAGTTCATCCAGAATTACTAGACTTCTCTCCGTCGCTGTATGCAGAATTTCACTCGTTTCCGCCATCTCCACCATAAATGTAGATCGTCCTCTCGCAAGGTCGTCAGAGGCTATACGAACATGTCAGCGGCTGTTCCCCGGTACAAAATTTCACGTACCTCCCATTCGTGTAAGGACAGAATCCAGTAGATTGATTTTGACAGATGCGGCAGGGACATAACTACCAACCTGGGCCATGACAGCAATAAGGGCTACCATGCGTACCGAAGAGCTTTTCCTAGCCAAGGACTTGAAATGACACCTATTTGAATTGAAGGAAGGTAAAAACTTACCCTCCCATATTTGGTCCTGTGATAATTTTATTCTTGGGTTCAGAGCCTCCCATAAGGACAGTGTTCGAAACGAAAGGATTATCCTGCAAGACCTCAACCATCGGATGCCGCCCGTCAACGATCTCGAGGACATCTTTGTCGGCAAGGCATGGTTTAACATACCCTGGAAGTAAAGCTACGTGTGCTAAGCTGAACAAACAATCGGCAATGGCAAGTTTGGTGACCGCATTTCGCAGTACGCCATAGTATTTCTCGCTGATTTCACCCAAGAATGAGAGATATGCTTTATGAGCCTCAGCCTGGTATCTAATTGAGTACTCTGATAATCGAACGTGAATGTTTCACAACGCACTTTCAAGCTCTCTTGTCCTTGATTCCTTTCTTCAACTTTGTGTTTTACAGATAAAGGTTGGTAACGCTCCAAATGCTTCGTTCTTCGATAAGGTAAATATTAACCTCAATCAGAAGATTCCATACGATAATATGTGTGACGAACTTTGAAAGTCGACTCCAATCATCAGGAATTGGCCTATGATCGCTTTTCTTTAGTTCCACAACAAACTGTACAAGTTCAGCGACAAAATAAAGAAAGACATCACCGCTCACATCTTCTCCCGAAATTGTACTCCATTGAAGGGACGGAAACTTCAAGAGTTTCCGAACTGCTAAAAATGAGTCATGGTCGTACACCACCCCTTCAACACTCACTCGCTTTCAATTCGTCTTCCAGCTCCGCTTCCACCTGCAGTATTGCCTACATCAACACCCATCACATTAGTGTCTCATCTGAGATTTCTGAGCATAGAAAACAAACGAGATCACGATCCAAAACATCAGGATATCGCTCGGGGTCGACCCACATGGTAGCCTTCTTGCCTTCCGCTGCTTCATTGAGATTGACAATGCTCAGCATATCGGCGACGGGACCCTTTACATCTTGAAGCGAAAATATGATGTCGTTCAAAAGCATGGAAGCGAGTCCGACGTCAGACGATTTCCCCATGACGCCTACAGACTCGGCGATTTTTTTGAAAGCGCGTATAAGGATCGCCAGTTCTTGAGGAGTACACTAAGCAGGGCAGCGTGAGAAATGACATCTGACTGAAGCACCAAACGGTTACCTGGCCGTAGTGTATTCTACAGAGGCCCTTGGCGAGATCAGGGAGTCCTTTGAGAACTTGACGGAGGCCGACGAGTTTTTCGGAAGAACTTGCAAGAATCTCTTCTACTGCGTCTATTCGTTGCTGTAGAGCACTACCAAGGGATTGAGTCCTTCACACAAGACCGAGTGAATACCGACATACACTTTATCGACTAAGGGCCTACCTACCCAGTACCTCAATAATCGGGCTCCAAACCTTGTCTTCGTATGGTCCAAAATCCACATTAGGGAGCCGCGAGTTGTGTAATCCGTCTCGTTTCTATATATCTCAAGATTCTGAAGGGTATTGGCTGCCAGTAGCATGTGAGCACGCGTCGTGAATTTGGTGAAGAAGTTAGTTTCCAAAAAGGCATCGGCGAGGCCAAACTTGGATAGGTACTGCATGGAGTGCGCAAGAGCGACCACAACCGACTTGGGCAAGTCGGAGATATCCGCGAGGATTTTTCCTGGTGAAAGGATGAGCACATGAACGTAAAAACTTTTATCCACATGTACCAGATCTGACACTATCCGAAACCGTGGGTCCTGGTTTCTTCTTGGCGTAGAAATCGGTAATGTAGGAATATGCATCTGTATAGGCCATCAAAGCCTGAAAGTGCTCAACGCGAATGCTACCATCAGTCGGTGAGACGCTAGTATGATATGTTAATTCGCATATTCTCGTTACCACGACATTGAAACGTACGTAGTGAAGTGAGATAATATTTTCTCCGTTGCTTTCGTTAAACCACCTTGATGTAATAGTAACTCGGCAGGTTTTGTATGTGACAACCTCGTCTGATAAACAGTGAGAGAAGACCACCTGCTGGTAAATTTGTAACGGATATTACCTCTAGCTCTAGGCGCATGAGGGTATCTAAAGTGTAGCTTTTGAGTCCCGGTCACCGGCTATCATAAGAAGCACACCGCACCTTCAAACACATCCCATATAACGTCCCCTGTACTTGGACAGATACTGATTAAGCCAATATGCACATCCCCGTCGTGGCGGCCCCTCTTCTCCTCAACAATACACATAAAGGGCGGAGAAAGATATTTGTCGACGTCATCTACAGAATCGAGATCATCCACAAATCTACCCTGTTGTCAGGTTGTGCATCCATGAACGTATTAAATACAAGACTCACGTAGTTGCTGTATATAGGCCAGTCAATTTCCGTTCAAAGGGTGCGTTTCGGTTGTCACTGACTTTCTTCAAAGCAGCTGTCTCTGTCTGTTGCACAATCCCAACTCGATAACCTTGCGATAGTAGCCTACAGGGAAAGTTGAAAAAAGTTGGTCAAAACAGATATCAAGGACATACTTTTTCAAGTGTATGTCTCGTCTATGGGAGGGGATGGAGGCTACAAGAAAGTTGCGATCGTTAAATGACACCATCCCAAGTTCTTTACTCGCGACCTAGCTTAGCGCTCAGCCAAATGATTGTCTTGGCGAAATACAAGTATCGTACCTTAGCATCATCTCCGAAGAACCTGTACTTGTATCCAACTTCAATCATCAACACGGTACTAGGGTTCTCCCTTTTGAGCTGTAGAACCTGTTACATGTTAATCAATCACCGATCACACACAGTCCATTGATAAAAATGATTCTCACCTGCTTTTCCAAAGGTGTATACGGCTGCCCGCATGGTCCGTTCTCTTCGATGACCTTTGGCGCACTCTTTGTGCGTACGGGCTTCTTGCTGGCGACATTCTTTGCGTTCTGATCCCCGACCGAAAACATCTTCGTCAATGCCTCGAACTTATCGTCCGACTCGTCTCCCGACAACTCTGCAACCTCATCCTGCACCTTTTCGGGTTCACGCGTGTCAGACGTTCGTCGACTAAAGTGATGATCATCTGCTAACAACTTCTTCCTGAAAGCCTCTTGGCGTTTCTTCTTTGCATGTATTTCGCGTTCAGTCGGGGGGGTTGGAGACGTAGCCTCAGTATTGAAGGGTGCATACTGCCACTCCAACGTCCGAGAAAGGACAGGAGAAGGGACGGCAATTTTTTGTTTCTTTTGAGGTGGCTGGTTGTCTGAAATGTCCGCGTCACCAGTCAAGTCGATAGGGCTCGACCTATGTTTGCCTCCTTTATTGGAACTCGAACTTGAAGCCTGAGAAAAATACGACGATATTCTAGCCTGAGGGGACTGCAAGCCGCTCTTCATAGGAATTCAAAGGACACGATAAAACGGTGACAGAAACAGGCAGAGAATAGTATGTGATCAAGAGAGTTGACAACCGTTTGAGTTTTTCTAGTCTTTTTATGTGTAGTTAACCAATTGCCACGTGATATAGCGTCACCTATGTCATGTCACGCCCAATTTCTTTTTTAGACCTTCCAGTGACGGTCTGCGCGTGCTGACCGTCGTTGTCGTATTGCTCTCGACTATGAGTTTTTTCTGCCGTCTAGTGCCTATAAGATCAGCGGTCGTAACCTTTCCGCATAACCTCAGGAGGCTTCAATCGACAGCTTCTGTCATCGATGGCCCTCCAGTCACGGAAACGAACCGTGAGCTGACTATTTTCTTCCTAGTTATGCACTCGTTGAAAAGGAAGACACATTGCAGGCGCAGAGTCGACGATGAAACGCTTTTGGAAAGATGTGGGTATAGAGAAACGCAGGGAATCCTTTACCGTAACTCTGGACAGGCGCGCACTCAAAACCCCCTCCGGCAATACGCTGCTACTGCCTGGAAATAAAATGTTGATTGCGACTCTCGTGGCTACTGAATGGGATAACCAGGACAAACTATTAAAGCCTCACGCTTTGCCAATTGTGAGTCAGCTGTTTGATACCATATCAAGGATTTGAAGGAGTCGCAGACATCTTTGGTCTCCAGAGCAATCGATTCCCTTGGAGAAGAGGCTGTCCGGGAAGAGGTTTGCCATGCTTTGCTTGAATATCTTGATACCGATACGATATGGTAGGCAATCTAGGCGTCAGTTGCTTCAAAGGGATAGAAGCTGATGCACTTTTAGCTTCCACGAAGACTACCCTCCTCAACTCGTGACGCTCCAAACGAAACATTGGGATCCCTTGCTGGAATGGGCACGTAACACGTTCAAGGTCGAAATCCACAAATTCGAGTCGATACTGTCAAACAAGCAGCCGGAAGCAACGAAGCAGAGATTCATCGAAGAGTTGAAAACGTTCACTTCCTGGGAAATGGCCGGTATGTGTATCATGGTCCTCAACGGCGTCGGGTCTCATGGGAAAAACAGCCATGGAACGAGCCACGTACATAACGAAATCGTTCTTGATTGCGTTGGCGTTGGTTAAGCGGTTTATCACGGTGGAGCAGGCATCAATAGCCGCTCGGGTCGAGGTGTCAAGCCAAATCGAACGTTGGGGGGAGGTCGAAGACAGTAGGTGATAATGTTCTAGGTGGTTATTTTTACTAATTCTGGGGGATACTAGGCCATGATGTTGATTTTCACGACATACGGCGTCAACTTGGGAGTGCAGCATGCCTATTATCCCTAACCTGATTGGGTGCGGCGGAGCATCCTTACAAATAGCTGGATTTTGCGAGCATCGGCGTAATAGGCATTGTGGCAGAAATCCAGACTTGCAGTGAGACGAGCATGCCCAACGGCTACTCGAGGGTTGCGGATTGCATCAACTCGTTTTCGAGGGTCGAGACGCATAAAATTACTTTTTGCCCCTTCTGAATAACCAATTGCATCCGGACAAACCACGGAATACGCAAATTGAAAAAGAAAAAAGATTCGAAGCTTTGTCGAAGACGAGTGATGAAACGATGAAATGAAATGCAGATAGAAGGCCCCGATCCTTACATCAGATGACAATAATGTAATGGTTGGTAAGGGTACATAGTAGTACGTACGCTAATTATTGACAACGAATATCAGTGGTCCGTTGGTTTATCCGCCGTCGCCAGTATTGATGGCATGCATGGATGATAGATGGATGATGTTGATGGGCGGAATCGGAGAAATCGGAGCTGCATCGGAGACCCAAAAGGAGTAACGGGATCGGCGATCGACTGTGGGGAAATGCAGGCCACGTGGAATACGGATACCTCAGCGGAACGCCGGGCTTCCCGGAATAATACCTTTCCAGGCGGCAGTCATAAACCAGAAAGAAAATTTGCGCTCATCCTGAGTTGCATGTGGTGATGGCTCGTTCGTCCTTCGACCCTTTTGCGGTCCATCCCTTCACCAATTCATCGGTGATCCTCCCTCAAGCACCCATGCCATCCCAGTACTATTCTCAGCCAACATCGTTCGTCGCCACCGCCCCCATCCAAATTATGGCGCCTAGTCCCAAGCGGCCTGTTGCACAATCAAAGGCGTCATCTTCGTCAACCCACCCGGTCTTCACTTCATTCCGAGTGGATACGTCTTCTCCGGATCTAGTTCTGAAATCCAAAGCTAGCCCTTTGTCGACCCAAGGCTCACACATCCAGCAGGGTTCATGATCTATTATGATACCAGTATACCCATATATCTTTGCATATTGCAGGTTCTATTGTTATTCTGCTTCTTGTAGCCCAAAAATCATTCACAACTTGCAGTGTCCTTTACGTTTCGGGATCCGTGCAAATATGGACCGTCGCCAGCCACCATCATTGATGTCTCTTTACAATTATAATCAATTTGCATTATCAGCTGTAAAACAATTTTCAGACTGACCGCGTGCCCATCGTTCGAAAGTATGGAGGTCATAGACATTGCCAAAGGTGTCATCGGAGGGCGTCATGCAGACGAAGCTTTTCATCAAATTGGAGCGAATGCCTCTGCCAAGAGTTTTGGTTCCGTAGATCGGGGGATACAAAGGTGGCGGAGACGAAAACGAACCATCTCCGTGAATCTGTGGGCTGCGTTCTTGACCCTAGATTTTTCCAAGAGATGAGAACAGACTTGCCATATGTGAGCGGTCTGAAGCAAAATACTGGAGATATACCTCGCCGGGCACAAGACGGAACAAGCTGAAATAAATGATCGAGTTGAATGGACGAAGAGTTGGATGCGCCACACTGGTATCACTACTGACCTCTGAAATTTTTCGGGGAATCCGTCGCTGAAGGTTTGACGGAGGTATTCTAATTTGTATCGGTCAGTTACCGGTATTCTATGGCTGTCATTGGATGATCTTCTAATACCTGCTAAAGGCACAGGTACCGGCAGGCGAGTGTCGAAGTCGTATACCCAATTGCAGTTTTCCGTGTCGGATTGGGGATATATCGAGATGTTCCGCAATAACAGCACTACGTGGTAGTCCCAGCAGACCGGAAAATCTTCATGGGGCGCACTCTTCTGGTTCCGAAGGGCCACCTAGAATAGGTTCTAATGTCAACTGGAAGAACCGTGCGAGAGAAGATTGCTGGTACAACACGGTATTGGTATCATTGGAAATGAAGACGACATATATGTTCCAGCCGCCGTTCAGGCCTGAATCGGATGTGAATTTCTGCGCGAGAAGGTATATGTTCTCTTCACAGTAGCAGCAAGTATATGGCGAATCGCGAGGCAGGTTGGGCGGCAACATGGCAGGCGGAGTTTGAAATCAACAAAGGGCACACTGCGGGCCTTTTGCTGCTGGCCAATTGGGCGACTCGCTGGCGGTGGAATAAATAACAGTAACGGGAGAATTGCGCGCTGGGCAGGACGTCGAGCTGGCCAGTAGAATATTATTACTTCCAGGACGAAGGGTCGCAGCGTCGAGTGTCGGTGTTGTTGAATTTGAAACTCAGGTGTGGCCCAGGACAGCCAGCGCCTTTCCTCGGTTTGCTCACCACGTCGCACTGGCACTCGAATTTTACACCCCCAACCCTCCCCATCTGACAGGCTGCCACTTCGGTGACAGAGGCTCGCTGTATCTTTCTTTCATCTAACCGAAAAACGACATGAGCACCAGTTCATCATCGACCTCAATGAATGGGCATGGCCATCCGAATGGGATAACATATGGACAGCCTGCGCCGTCGCCAGACTCGTTCGACGACTCGAACCGCTCAGCCACGAGCTCTGCATATCCAGCGAATGGGTATTCCCAGTTGGTCTGCTGTCCTTCGCGTCCGGGTCGTTGTTGATCTTTTTTATCGCTATTTGACAATGCAGCTCGTACCAAAATCACAATGAGGACATCGTCAATCATCTCTATAATGCTGGTTTCCAGACGGGAGTGAGTTTTCTTTGATGTTGTGGGTCTGGACTCGTTCTCTGACCGTGATCTCGCCTGAAGAACTATGCCGACACCATCCTCGTACGTTCCTTTGACTTGTCGTCTTCACGTATTCACTGATCCTTTCATCTCCGCATTTCCGATCTTTCTAGCAAGTACAACAAAATAGTTATCGTTTACATGCTATTATATTGTCGCGGTCCCCTTTTTTGGCTCACTTGATGTCAACATCACCACAAGGTGGGGGTCAAAGGGTAATATTTGTACCTCTCGAACAGGAACCAGAGGTTACCCAAGAGGTTCGTAATCATGTCTCTCATGTCAGAGAATACGTTCTTTAATTTTTCGCCTGCCAGGGCTTTGCGATAGGTATGACACCTATACAGCCATTTGCCGCTATCATCCCTGATCACCCGTTTCTTAGCTCTGGGCTATCTCTACTCTTCCGTTTCGCTAAGTTTGATTAGGCCGGATAATGCGCGCGCGGTCCTCGCTGCAGGTTGTCTCCTGGGCGGTACGGACGACCTTTGCCAGTTTGCATATGAGACATGCAGACGAGCTATAAACGTCAGTACCATTGGGTCGTGGCTCGAATTTGTTGATACACTTCCTCCGTCTTCACCCGACGGATCATCAACGCCTGATATTCCACCAGTCACCGTGTTTGGTCACTTTGCCCAACGAATCCGAGATGATGTCTTCCACTTCTTGGTTGTAACACTTCCCGAGGTTCTAGAGGTACAAACGACTCCAGACTCCGTACCGCCTACTCCATCAGGCTCTGGACCCAGTGGGCGTGAGGTGTTGTTACAGGTATTTTCTCGCGTCCCCTTCGAGATGTTCAAGGCAGCCGTTGAATCACCTACTTTCAATATCGGTACGCTCCCCTGTTCTTTTCTTTTCTTTTAGAAATCAAAGTTTAACCATAACTGTACCCCTGCAGGGTCCGACCAAGCACGTTTCAAATTTGCAAAGGAGGCTGTTGAGATGAGGAAACGGGGGATCGCGCGCGGTCCTGGGACTGAGGAAACCGTCGTTCTTGCTTTCGGCGGCGGCAGCTTTGGAGGGAGCGCTGTACATGTGACCAGGAAATTGAAGAAGCGACCATTATGGAAAGTGAATTCCTAGATTTTCTGTGTTCCTCGATAATGTTTATAGTTGCCTACCGTCGAGAATCCACTCTCTTGTGAGTAGCAGCTTGCCGGCTGCGGTTTTTCCTGATTTTCTCTCGTAGGCTTTAGAATTCTCATCAACGATCAGGACTGTCAATGACGTCGTATAACTATGATTGGAACGCTGAGTCTTTTAGAGGTCTGGACGATCCTAGGCAAAACTAGACGACGGGTCGGTGACGCATTGCCAACTTCTTTTCAACATGCACCTCGGGGCTGGAACATAAGGCTCCAGTGGCTCTGACACCGAGGCTAAGAGACCCGGCCTGACTATGGTTACCATTTGAAAAAATAACCTTTTAGTGCGACTCATCTCTTTTTCAAATAAGGATTGACGCCGCGTTGGGAGCGTCGGCACCGCAGATGTGCGGGATAGCGAGGAATACACATCCGCTGTGCTGGGCTGAACTTGACATCATCATATCGACCACCCTCCCTGACCTCTAGACCTTGTCCTCGCTTCTCTTCTTGCGCCACAATCGGTGATTTATTCCCATGGAACGCGCTAAATCACGAGTGCAACACAGTTCAATAATGGCTCTATAAAAAGCGGCTAGAGGCAAAGTTGCAGACCACAAACATTTGCGACTTGTATCCATGGCTGACCCAACATACGACCTCTTCTTCACTGGCCGAGATGACCCCCGCTCCTGTGTTATCATCGGTGAAGACACGAAACCGATTTACCTCTGTTTCGACACGCCCGAGCGAAGTATAGCTCCAAGTATCAGAACGACTGTGAGCTTGGAATGTTGACGCCTTGTCTTGGAGTCGGCTAACGGATGAATTCTCATAGGTCCTTAGTAATAACAAAGACCTGGTCGCGTCCTTTGACTGGAGCCCGGGCAATCATTTGGGGAGAGTGACGATTGGCAAACGACAAATTCCAATGTCACATCTCGTACGGCCTGGATCGAGACAAAAGTAAGTTCTTGACATTTAATTTTCTTAACCCTGCTCATGGTTTTTCCGGCAGTGCGCGATCGTTTGTGTCCTCCGATGGAAGACAACTAGAATGGCGCAAATGCCTTAACGACCCAACATCTTACGATGTATGTATCATAAGCATAATCAACCGTCAACTTCGCTGATTCGTGGCTTCTCCAGTTGTACGTAGCGCCGAATTTCCAAATTGCTGCTTTCCGTCGATATGTTTCTTCGACCGCAGTCGGACCAACACATGGACTGCTGCAATATAAATTCAATCATGACACATTACTGGTGGAAGCTTTGTTGGCACTTGCCCTGAATCGATGGATTGACCTGCACGGAATGTAAAAAATGCCTTGTACATTATATATATTATAGTTTTCGTCGCTGTGGACATTAATCAAAAAGGAATAGATATGCAAAAACAAATCAAGTCCAGATCTTAGGGAAATACATAATAAGGCCGCAAAAAAACCCGTCAACTATGCTCCCTTCATGGAGCCAATCATATGGTCTAGTCTTTCTTCTACCGTCCAGCCGTTGTCAAAAGTTGATAACGATGATGAGGGCGAGTGTACTGGGGGATTTACCGTGCGGAAGTTGAAGGATCCGGCCTCCATACCTTGCGAGATGTTCTCGATGAGGCGTCCAATTTGAGCTGATGAACTATAAAAAACCTGTGTACAATGATGAATAATGATAAATCATTGAATGGGGAGAAGATGGGCGGCACCAGGCCTTACCTTGGTCTCAGGACGAGGTGACTTTCCTTGAGGTTTTTGGGGGGAATAATTGGAGGCGACACTTTTCCTCAGATGCTCTCTAACGTAAACTTGCATGTCTTCATCATGGACGTCGTATTCCGAGGCCAGGCTGGTTCGAGAGGCATAAAGAGACTCCGAGTCATCGTCTCGGAGACCATTTACAATTGACCTACGTCGCGCAAAGATAAGAAGACGGGAATCTCGGACATTTTCTAGAAATTCACCATATAGTCTCTCCGTTGGCAAGTTCTATCACTTCGATGGACGGACCGGTCGCTTCGCTGGGACCTGCCCTTTCATTCGGGACCGATGATTGTGCGTTTGGCTTGTTGTCGCCTGCATACATGTCATACCTTTCAAGCAACGAGAAAAATTAGACACCTGCCATGGAATACATGACGGCGACACTTACAAGGAATCATAAGTAGAGTTGGACTTTTCGATACCTGGAACATTCAAATGGTTTTCCCCCGAGAGTGAGACGGATTGTGGGAGCTGCGGGACCGGAGGGGAGGTATCTTTAGAATACCGTCGTCCTGCGGTACGTGGTGGAGGGGTAGGTACCCGATCATGAATTGACCGTCCTGAGATCGAGGCAGCACTGACTCTGCGCCGGCGAGAGGAATTCTTCCTGAGCAGGGCGTTGATATCTACAGTCGAAGTTCTGGTATCCGATGGCACGATTATGGTACGGCGGATGACAGCACTGACAGCAGGATCACGCTCATTCTGACCTTCTCGAGGGCGACGAAGATGATCGGATTGTTTTCGAAGTGAGGGCGCCCGAGAAGGACCTCTATCATCTACGGTACGGCGATTGCCACCAGTACTTACTGGACGTTCATTGTCTCCTGCTCGAGCTGGACGACTGTCTGGTGTGACAAACGCCGCAGCGCTTGAATTGCTTCTCGTCAGTGTCGACGGCCAATCCGAAGTCCTGGAGGATGTTGATCCAGAGCGAACTAGAAGAAGGTCGTTTAATTTCTTTTCGTCGAGGCCCAGGTTATGAGCAGCATCAAACAGCTGTCTTAGAGCGACGGTTTCGTCAGGATCTACGGACTCTGGGTTACCCTGTGGCAGGGTTGGCGGTGATTGTTGATGGGGTCGCGGAGTCGTTGGACTTGTATCATGGAGGTTTCGCGGCGTACTTGAATCGGTCCGACGAAGTGAAGAAGACACAGATAACTGAGGGGAATGTTGGCCAACATACTGAAGGCTAGGATCAATTGTCCGCGGCTTATTGCGAAGACGGGAAATGAAGCCCTTCAGTCCTGGTCCTGCTGTAGCCGGAGGGCTGGAAACGGGTACTTTGAATCTTGGTTCAGTAGCACTCATGGCTCCCATTCCGTCTATTGCGGGGTTTAGTCGATCCGGTCCATACCCGATAGCATGGGTGGGCGGTGGAACGCCAACGACTAACGGGTAAGGCGTCACCTCCTCGCCGGTGGGTATGTTGTTTTTTCGAAGAGTTCCTCTCAGCTTCTTAAAACGACTGCCAATCCTGGAAGGACCTGATTGAGAAGCTGAAATTGATGCAGCGCGTAGAGGTATCGTATCGACACTAGTGGAGGCCGAAACAAGAGTAGGTGTTGAAATCTGATGGGGTGAAACACGTTTGCGAGAAACGGATCCAGATGAAGACAGCCCTTCAGAGGCCTTCGGAGGACCCGGCTTCTTCAAGGCCAACATCGCTGCCTCAGTCCTACGCTGCACTTCGCGGGCCAACTCTGCTTCCGCCTCCGGGGACTGCGGCAACCTTGGCGAAGGATTCTGCGTAAAGACATAGGGTGACGTAGGCGGCGATAGGAATTGGGTGTTCTCTGGAGTCGGAGCTGGGGGGGAGTTTATGTTTAGTGGTAATGGAGAAGTCAGGACGGGGACATTATCCATGGGTTCCTTGTGCGTAACGGGAACCATGGGTTTGGGTGTCGGAGAACTGTCGTACCCTTCGGCTTCATCATATCCAAAGAGAACATGCGCAAGATCCCGATTCTTCCGAGTGGTTGGGGATATGTCCCCGCCTGTCACGGTAGTATTTACCGGTTCAGGTGATGGAACCTTCCTGACGTCGACGGTAGCGTTCGACATTTTGGCCAAACCTTCATTAGGCGGGGACGCTGAAGGCTGTGATTGTGCGGGACTTCCGATCTATATGTATGATGATAATAAGTGCCCGTCAGCAAGGAGGAAAGCCCTAAAATGAAATCACCACTTACCCTGCCATTGACAGAATAGTTCGACTGCGCGGTGGACGGACGTCGTCTTCGTAGCGATGGAGCACGATTATAACTTTCGGATGATGACGAAGGCGTGAGCTTTGCGACTGCCACGCCTACAAGCTTTTCTTGAATGGCGAGGAAGTCCGCTTTTTTCAATCCTGCGTATCTGCGAATGATTTCTTCAGCATCCCATTCGTCGTTAGGGGAGCCGCCTGGAGTAATGGAGCTGGATTGGTCGGAAACATATACATCATGCCATGCGGGTTGCTGGGGATCAGTATCGTTAAACAGTGACATGCTATTTTCTTTGTAGTCTCCTTCCCAAGAATGATAGCTAGAACCTGCAGATTCCAACGATGATCGCGACGAGCTGGCGATGGGCGAGAACATAGTAGGGCCAAAATTGAAGGGGTTGGACATGCCATTTTGTCTGGACGACCGTTTGCTACCATTGCGGGGCGACATTCCACCACCACCAGGGAATGTGGGAGAAGCGGGAGACCGTAGGCTTTGTGTCGGAGTTGGCGATCGCACAACTTTACTCGTAGACGGAGTAAGTTCCATGATAGACATGGGCGAACCAGGGCGCTTGTCGGAAAACGAAGAGTAGCTCGAACTGATGGAGTCCAATGTACCGTGTCCACGATCGATCAAAGGGGAATCAGGAAGCGCAGGGGATTTGAGAGATCGTGTACCCCCTCTGTTTGACTGATCGAATGAACCGGAGACTTCTGCGCTACTGTTTGCATCACTGAACCAGCTACCACTTCTACTATGCCCAAACGACGACTTGGGCCCAGGCGAAACAGGTGGCGACCATGCACCGTTCGACGGTGTACCTGGTCGAGAAGCCGTTGTCATTGGCTGGTACGTAGCCGTGGAAAGAGGCGAAGCAGCCCGTCTGCGCCCAAGGATTGACGAGTTAAGAGACTTGTCAGAATCGACAGAAACCTCCGCCAACCTTGACGGCTCATCAGGTGTCTGCCTCCCGTTGACGCTACGTTGAAGAAACAAAGATGGTGAATTTAAAGGTGAAACGGGACGGGGAGACTGTCCCCGTGAAGATGACGGAGATGATGTTGAACTTTGTCTGAAAAGACCAGATACTAAACTGGGAGGGAATATGGGAGACGGAGAGTCGACACGGGCTGGTAAGGAGGGGGGAGATGCTGCACGAGGGGTAGTAGAATAAGACCGCTGCTCATCGGCATCCGCATTTTCATGAGGAGTCATCGGTCTCGGCATCCCGGGAATATAACCAGGAAGCGTACGGGAAGGAATGGGAGATGCTCGTTCTTCATCAGTGCGCATCTGTTTGTCCGAAGATATCGCCATGCCTGCCTCAAAACTGGGCGGGTCACTTGTTCTCGTCTGGTGAAACTGAGTACCGTATTGGCTGCCAGAAGAAAGTTACTCACAACTTCTGGTGAGCGACGATGTTCAATACCCAGACGCACAATTGGCGCCGACCTTGGTAACACGATTTCGTCCTCTGGTTCTTCTTCTTCCATTTCGCTAATGGCTTGTTGCAAAGCCATCGACGCTCGCTTGTACGCAGATGCTCCCAATGACCATGGCAACGCCATGTCTGATGATTCTGGTATTTGCTCATTGTAAGTAGTAGGTACGAGCAAGGGCGTAGAGCGAATTTGGAGATGGTTGGAGCCCATATCTGGTGGCGTCGAAGATTGCATGCTTTCAGAGGTAATAATCGACTGATGAGAGGTTTCCGCAGACGACATTGACGTCTGAGCGCGCGAATGAGACTTGTTGTGGGCAGTGCGCATGTAAGTATAATCGCGAAGTTTTCCTGAGCCGAAAAGGTTGTTGCTGTAGCGCTTCATAGAACTAGCTCTACTGGACGACGAAGGCGAATAGGAGGAGCCCATAGTCGTAGAAGAATGGGACGACTGACGTGCGCCACCGTCTGAGGCTTCTTCTCGCGACCTTGCAGGTGTCGAGGGTCGTGACCGACCAAGGCCCAACGATTCGAGGATCATATCCTCCTCCTCTTCCGTGACCTGGTTCTCTAAGCCTCTCGCCCTTTGCTCTGCAAGTTTTGAACGAAGGGCGTCGGCAGAGAGAGGCGCGCCGGACGATGAGCGGAGAACACTGAATCTGCGAGAAAGACTGGGAAAGGAAAGGTGAACAAAACAAGGTGGAAAATGAGGTAAAGCTAACACACTCTGGGAGAATAAGTGAGGTGCGAAAGTCACTGGCGGGCGGTAGCTCTGGTAAATGGCCAGGAAGGTTCAAGGCAGACTCTGTGTGAAGAGGTGGAATGTAGACTCTGTTCGCGTCGGACTTTTTGCTGTAAAGGATAGTCAGGCGGTGATCCCAGTGCCACTACGGCGAACAAACTTACCGAAATCGATGCATTGTCGGACCCTCGTTTTATACACGTTGGGCTGTAGCCATACAAGATTTCCGACCGGAAAGGAAAGTACGAGGCAACGTGTTGAACACGAGTAGTTGTGTTGGATGGAGATCAGAAGCCTGGGGACGTAACAACGACGATAACGGACACAGACAGGCGAAGATTCAGCAGCCAGCACAGGGAAAACAAGAACGAAGGAAGGGCGCTCGTCGTCGTAAATCTTCAGCCTCTGGTCGGTCCACATCCGAGCCTCATGGCAATCAATTCCCACAACAGACACAAATACAACGCGTTAAGTTATTTATGTAGACAAATTACAATGTATGTATCATACATATATCCTATTCAGCCTCATGTTGCATACCTACAGACATCATATATCAGCAAAACAAACCTCACGTTTTCAGAGAATTCTTTAAATACTTCTTCGTCCAGTCCTTCGCAGTAGCAAGAAACCTGCTCTTGTCATTCTTGAGGAGCTGTTGACAATCGTCAACAAAGTTTAGACACTTGTATGATATCCCTACCGCAGCTATATCTGGCTCAAATGGATCGTCAGTGCTCGGGTTGTTGACCTTGTCTTGAATGACAGAAAGAACTAGACAACGGTCAACTGAGCAACCCGCGTATACACACACACGTCTTGCACTCACCCGATGATAGTGTAACTGATGGTTTCCACTAATACAGAAAGGCTCCGTTGGACCTGTGTGGCACCGATACAACAGTAGACATACCTCATCGCGGAGCACGGGAATACAGATGCTGCCTTCTTCATTGATTCCGGGATGGTATATCTTGGTGGAGAACGTAACCTAGGACACAGTATGATGGCTTTCCATCACTGAATACAGTCGAGTAGCATACATTCGGTGCTTTGAAGGGAAAATTTTGAGGGAGAATCATCGAAAAACGGAAAGTTCCGCCCTTGTATGGCGAATCTGACTGAACTCAAATCGGTGAGCAGTCGAGATTGGACTACTGTATAAACCGTGCACACTCACAGCAGCCTTGATCGAGCAGTTCCAATGGAACATATTATCATCTGCGGTGTCAACAGAGATACCCTAAACAAATTTACTGCAATGAACGAGACTGTCGGTGTTGCTGAATGAATACCTCTATCGGATTCGATGCAATGTCTTTCAGTTCCTACAACATCGATGAGCATGGCAAAGGACAAGTAAACGCAAGAAACGGACCTTTTGGATTCGACTGCGTACACAGAACGGGCATCAGAGATATATGGTGGTAGATAGACAGAAAGCTCGTTACCGAAGAGCAGTCATGGTGGAAGTTCGTCAAGACGGCTGCATCCCAAAATGGACGTCATCGTACCAGCCATGACGGACACCGTGCCATCACCTCCTCGCCACCCTCCCTCTCCTCAGCCTGCGAACCACACACCATCTACCAGCAAAAAGCGAAAGCGTGCACCAGCAACTGCATCTCCCGCGCCAGAGGCAGGAGCACCACCTGTGCCAGAGTCAGTTTCTCTCGTTTTCTGCTGTCGTACATAACCGCCAGTTAATAATACATAATGTCAACCAGGATTATTTCCTCTAGAGCAGATCTTTCATCTCGACCACGATTATCGATATCTCGTGGACCATACTTCACCCCATTAAAAGAGGGCTCCGAATTCTTCAAAACTGACCCGACTGGAATCAATCGTGGCCGCTTTCGATATACTCCTGCCGGAATCAATCCTCCTGGATGCTATCAGCCATGCCACACCATCGAGACTAATCCTACCTCGTGTAGGATTAGCTGGGAGGATCGCAGTCCTTTTCTCCACGTCACGAAGGACGCCCTGGGGCTTCTTGGAACAAAGGGCTTTAGGAGCGCCCGTTGTAACGCGCCGATTCGCGAAGGACGTTGGTTCATGGAAGTGAAGATTGTGCATGGCGGGGGTGAACACAGCGTTGATTCTGGCAGAGAGGGTAGCCATGTTCGACTCGGTTGGGGAAGGAGGGAGGCACCGTTGAATGGTCCTGTTGGCCTCGATGGGTACAGCTATGGAATACGCGACAAGACTGGTGAGAAGGTCACATTGTCCCGCCCACGTCCGTATGGGCGTTCTTTCACCTCCGGAGATGTCATTGGCATGTATATCTGCCTTCCTCCACGCCGGCGAGCGGACGCGAAAGACCCTCACGATCCTGCTCACATCAAACGCGAGCGTATAGCCATAGATCTTAAGGGTCAGGAAGTCTTCGAGATTCTTGAATATCCTCAGTCTAAAGAGATGATTGCCTTGATGGATTATTCCGGAAAGTTATCTAACACGACATCTGTTCCTTCAAGTAGCACCAAAAAGTCCGCTACTACGAAGCCAGAGCGACCCACCGTCACCGTCCATAAGACCGCTCCTGAATTGCGGCCGCTTCCGGTCCTATCGGACTCCAGAATTGTCTTCTTCATCAACGGTGAATGCCAGGGCGCCGCCTTTCAAGACCTCTACGACTACCTTCAGCTTCGCGTTATTGACCCATCTCGGAAAGCCAAGGAGAAGAAGCGAGCACGGGAGGGTGTTAAAGAACACCGAGAAAACCCTTTTGATGATGGCTCACTAGGGTATTATCCATTCATATCCTTATTCAACAGTGCATGCGTACGGATAAATCCAGGTCCTGATTTCGATTGTCCCCCACCACCGGACATAGATGCATTAGTGAACGGCGTAACTCTGCACGAAGGCCAAGAAAGGACATGGCGCCCAATTTGCGAACGCTATAGTGAATATATGGCAGAACAGTGGGCTCTGGATGAAAGGGAAGAAGAGGAAGGTAAAGTCGAGCTCTTGAAGCTCGCAGAGCAGGAGAGAGAGGACGCTGAGAAGAAAGCGCAGAAATTACGGAAACGTCAACAGGCAGAGGCTCGCAAGCGTGCGAAGCAAGCGGCTGTAGGCTCCACTCCAGAGCCAGGATCTTCCGTGACGCAGCCAAGCCCACTGCGACATTACACAGCTTATGAACCAGAAGATTTTGCAGACCGGTCTCCTGCGCCACAAGAGGTACAAAGCGCCCATAGCGAGCCGACTTCAGAGTATGGTGACATGGATGCGGAAAACGTAATGACGCGTCATTCCAGTGAATCGCCTTGGCCACAGACGGAGATGGATGATATTGCAGCAGGGGCTAATATCATCGATTCCTTGATAGCAAGTAGTGTTTGAGTAACGGTAGCAGGTAAATTTATGGCGAATAAACGTAATTAGGAGATCCTCCAATGGGTATATGAAAGCATAGAAGTGTGTACTTAATAAGTTTTAGCTATGTATAGGTCGTTTATCTCAATTCCAACGTGGAGGCGGCGTCCGAATAGAATACCTGAATATCCGTGTCAGCCAATCCTACACGCAGAGCACATAATGAATCTTACCCGACAGTTATTCCAAGACCTTTCTCCTTCTCAACGCGTATATCAAACATGAGGTCGCCCGAAGATTGTTCCCAATCAACGCTACACCAATTTCTGCGGCCCATGATATACCTCAATTTTCGATAAGAACCGTCGGTGTCTTTGGAAAAAAGCGGTAGCTTGAAATGGTTATGGATATTGTGGATCGTTATGTGATTCTGTGCGCACCATGGTCTCATCAGTTTCAACGTGATGAAGCGTCCTATGATTTTTTGACGCCAGCGAGCAAACCATCGTTATGACACCCATTGGCCTGGAAAACGGATGATTAATCGGGAATACCAAACAACGAAACAACAACATACGGAGGCGTATTCACAATTGCACCTGAAAAATAAATAAGACATACAGGTAACAGCATAAGTGGCGCCTACTTGTCACTACATTGACCATGTACCGATGATCCACGGAAGGCTGAATCTCGCTTCTGCCTTTGGCTCGTAACGTTTTGAAAACTCCCACAGCCGCACAGTGAACGTCCCCAGAAACAAACGTGATTCTCAAATGCTTGGCCAAAGCAATTTTCTGTAGCTCTAATATAAGCCAATTCCGCTCTCGCTATGTGTCAAAGATCATCAGAACAAGGACAAGGGCCTCTCACTGATAAGCAAGTGTGCAAACCTTATGAGAACGAGCAGTCCAATGATCGTTCTGGAGGCAGAGTAAGCAAACCATTTATACAATATTGGCGAAACATACCAGATCGTCTAAAAGTTCTGCATCTGCATTGAACTTATTAACAAATCCTGACAAGCCTAGAGACCCCGTTTTGCTAAGCGCAACGATAGGATTGAATCTGGACTCCAGAGCGGACTCCAAAAAGACCATGCGGGGATATGCAATTGGAATACCTAAGGGCCCACTTAGTTGCAGTCATCGCCAAGTATGTCGGACATACCCAGTTGTATTATAAGATGCTCCACACTCTCTGGTAGCTCCTGTAATCGCTTAAATATCTTATCATACTCATAACGGCTGCACACTTGATCTTTCTTTCGTTCGGCACTGGAAGTTATCAGTGGTTGTAATCAAATATGTTATGTCAGATAGCGTACCGACAATCCAACATTAGTATAGCCGCCTGGGGTCCAAGAGAGCTGAAAATGTATGTGAGAATGTGAGAATGCATCCGTGTCGACCTTCAAGCGGACTTACGCCAGAAAAGAATGAGAATGTAGCTTCACGTATGGTCCGGGGCCTCCAATAATGACAGATCTATTCACATGTTGTCCTCGGTGATCATTGATACCATCAATTTCAACTAGACTACAGAGTGAAAACGGAGGCGTGCGTAAGAATGAGAAGCTCGCGTACCGTTCAGGAAGCATTGGAACAACAAGAAGAAAAAGTAGCCCCTCGCGCCGATGCTGTATGCAAATGGTGAGTAAGACCTTGTTACATGACCGAAGGCCTACTCACGTTTGAAATACAGGTGCAACCTGGAGATCATCCGGATCTGAAAAGTTGCACGATGAAATGCACACTAAACATTGATATTCCTGTTACTTACAGCTGCCAAACCCATCAATCTGAGGAGAAGTATCAGAAAATCCTCGTACATGGAAATCGACTTACTATATCTGTTGTAAAGAGGCGAGACACCGTGAGTACGAAGCAAACAGTGAACGATTGATACAGTACCATGGTCGTCTGAAAGCCTTTTCAACGTAATCGATCTTACATAAAAATAAAAATCCTACCACACATATTCATCATAGGTCTTGAACCCCAAGATGTTATTGTACGTCGATCAGAATACCATATATTGAGAACTCACATAGAACTATTCGCTCTTGCGAATGCCCCACTTCGAAAAGTCTGACAATAGTGATTGAAATAAAATCTATCAATCGCCTCGCTGATTTCCTCGCTGAGAGGATGTGATTTCCTCTCATCGGGTTTCATTTTTGCAATCCACTCTTGCAGTTCAGGCTCCCGAGTCAGTCTTGGTAAATTTGTATGAGTGGAAAGAATGCACAACATTGTCTAGTTACATACCCGTCGCAATATATCTGATCACCTCCACCCATTAACATATGAAACGGCTTCTCAGCGTGCTTTTCAAGTAAATCTACCCACACCGGATCATACCCAGTGTGAAAACCAGGTCCTCTGAAGTCATCGGGATTGACCCCAGCAGAGAACCCATTGCACTAGAACGACAATTAGGCTGAATAACGCGCACCTTGAGCGCACTTACCGAGTACGCTGCCCATCTCATGTTTTGATTTCGCCCTGGGACGAAAAAATATAGCTTCTGTCCTTTGTTGATCGAGTACGATACAGCCATTTCATGGTGTCCCAAAGGAATATGGATCATGAACCGCCAAAAGGTGAAAGTCCTTCGTGAAAATGTAACCATGGGAATGGGAGACACGCCGAGACAATGTTCCACGTACCCTCCATTTCCACCGTATACCCAAATTTCTTGGCCCGGTGATTCCTCGGCGTGAAAACTGGCGGTCTTGCCATTCATAGGACTTCCTGGTGGTGCGATTGGCATAACTGACGAGTGGGGATCGGCAGGATGTGGTCCAAGGTCGAACGATCTACCTCTATTGCTATGCCCCGAAGAACCTTGATGTCTGAGGTATTCGGAACGGGTACGAAGTTCGGGGTCCCACTCGTAAGTCAGAGTGGGATGTGGCTCGTAAGTAGACCCAGCATCGGCCGCTGAACGACAATGAAGAAAATAGCTGAGGGAAAAGATGATAGTACTCACTAACTACGAGTGCTGCTCCGTGCCATACTCCGTGCTCATCAACGGTGTCATATCTTTTTAAGTAAATAAATTAAAGCCAATTGATGCGCCGCGCCGCGACCTACCGTAGGAGGGGGCCAACCATGAACTAAAATAATGATCTTGTGAGCACAAGATATGAAATGACAGTGTCCGACATAAATACCTGGAGATGAGGATTCATTCGAGCAACCCGGAGCAACTGTGACCGCTCAATTGCGCTCAAGTGTGTCATTTGGGAAGAAGACATGGTGAGTTGGCTTCCTTGACTGCTGGTGAAACCTGGCTGAATCCAGTCCTTGGGCGGCAACGGAGGCGCTGGAGATGGGGCGCGACTGGGTATATGAGGATGGAAGCCGCCAATAAAATGTTCATCCATTGGTGTAATTTGCTCTACGGGAAGATACCTCCCGTCAGGACCCCGCTGAGGGGAGACGAAACTCTCGCTCTCCTGCGCAAAAAGGCTGAGCGAATCAAGGTTACATACAGAAGACAAAAGAAATGTACTCGTTGAGCGCGACGAAAGGCATGCCACCCCGCGTTGTCCATTACGTGTATGTTACGAGCTCAGTGGACGGTCTATCCAAGAAATGGGACGGTGAAAGACGACGCGACGTCGCTCCGTGATAGAGCAAAGCAGAGCTACCTCGTTCGGCCTCGTGACGTTTAACAATTTCTCGAAACCAAAAATTCCATTAATCCACTCAAAGTGTACAGGGTATATGTTATTGTGATTAACCAACGTGTTCCACCACCACCGTCACTAACTGTCCGTCTTTGACCACCGTCTTCAGCATTTCGGGAATAGGGTGCTCGGCGTAGTCAGGGTCTGCCTCAGCTCCAACGGGAATGCTGACGTTAATAGCACTACACTTCGCCGTCATGATCTCGGCCCCCAGGCTCGCTTTCGACAGATAAATCTGTCCAGAATCAGTCGAGTCCACCTGGATCATAGGCGCGATACCCGTTATTTGAATTTCAAAGGATGGTGACTTCGTCACTGAGATAGACGAGACTACCGATTCGATGACGACCGAGGTCTTTACACAGTTGACTGACAAGGGGTCAGTGAGATATGGCGAAATAAAGAATCTATAAACAGAAGCTTACCAAGTGCGACTGCGTTCACTTTGCCTTTGATTTGAACGACTGCGTTCTTGCAACCAAATATGTTCACAGCTTGATTGAGCTGACATTCTTCAACGACCAAGCTTCGTTCGTCTTCTTGATACTCCTGAAAACATCGTGAGATTAAGAAAGACGATAAACGCCAAAAGAAATATGCTTACAATGTTCCAGACTTTCCCCTCCAATGCGAACTTGGCCGGTTTCCTGCCCATCAGTGATTGAGGCTTAGAAGGACGAACGGGTTTCTTGGGCACTAGATGTAGATGAGGCAGGAGTACACATCGAAAGGCATGCATAACATACCAGTTGAACCGGGCGCACTTGGAACTGCACTGCTAGCTCGCAAAGCCGGATTCTTGTGAGTCATTTCACTCTTGTCGACCTTGCGCAAGCCTTTCGTGACTTCCTCGCCCCGATTGATTTCAGCAAAAACCGCGGCCGCGCCCCCAGTAGTGACAGAACCAGAGGAAAGAGGAGGGGCTACCGCAGGTGGTGGCGGTGGTGGTGGCGGTCCACCCGCGCCAGGGGCAGGAGGAGGTCTATAATCCGCTACAGAGATACCCTTTCCCCAAGTACATCAGAGAAGGCCCAAAGGAGCACATAGAGAGCGGACACACCCTTGGATTCCACGATAATCCAGTCGTGTGGAATTCGACCACATACTTGCGCGTTTCCTCTATGAGAGAAATGTACGATGCCACCCATTTTACGTGTTTTGGATCCCTGTGAATACATAAATATGATGTTAAGAGACAATGGACATATATACTGACTTGTTCTTGAACTCCTTGATAATTCTGTTTCCCCAGAAAGTCACGGCATCTTTGACCTCGTTGAGATAGGGTCCTGGTTTGGGCTGAATGAAATGAAGTCAGAGCACCGGTCTCAGAGCAAAGAAAGCAGCGCACATTGATTACCCATCCTACGGAAGGCGCTCCTTCTCCAATAACAACAAGATGATTGTACCAATCTCTATCCGAGCGCTTCTTGTCTTTCAAGCTAATAATTGCTTCGATAGTTTGTTGCAGTGGCTTTATGAGCTCTTGGATCTTTGTATCATCGGGCTTCTGGCAAGCGGCGCTCGCCAGAAGAAGGCTGCGGACGTCTGCAAATTGCTTCTCGACCAGGGCGACCTAGATACTTGAAATTGTACGCGAACACAGACCAAGGCTGAATACAGCAACGTACCGTTTCAATGACGTTCGGGCCAGCAAACTTGGTGAGCTCAACAAAAGGCTTTAATTTTCCTTCGACTACGACTTGGTCGTACGCAATGACGCTCCTGGGTAATTCTTGGGCAGCAGCAGGGGCTGGAGGCGGTGGTGGAGGTGGTGAAATGGCACCTCTGGATGGAACCGGGGCAGCTTTGGGTTCGTCATCTTTAGGAGGCCATACATTCCCGGAGGCTAAGTCCTCGATACGCGAAGTCGCGGCTTCAAGGCTGATGTTGGACGATGAGCCAGTTGAAAACGCATTCCACGTTGAGGACGCACCGTTTGATAATGGTTGCAAGAGAGTGAAGGCCGCCTCCTGACATTCTTGACAATGTGGATAGTGCTCCCAAGATAGAGACGTGACGGAAGAAAACCAACCTTAACCAAGTCAGTGCAACGGGGATTGCCGATGTTCAATTTTGAGTACATGTTTAAATAATTTGTATCTAACAACAGTACCTATTCTCAAGACTCTGCCTCCCCCGTGTCAGCTTTGAGGCCTTTTTTCTTGGCTTTCTTTCTGCGTTGACGTTCTCGTTCACGCTGCTTCGCTCGGCCCACCTCGTCTTTTGATAGTCCAGGATTAGCAATTTTGTCCAACTTGTCCAACGCACGCTTAGTTATCATGGACGGGAGGCTATTAAATCGATTACCTTTTCAACCAAAATGCGTCGTGCAATCTTTCTGTTTTGTTCCAAGGAACGCGTTAATTGGCAGGACACACGAATCATAGTCGGTATATGGAGTAACTGAACATTGTTTTCGGTTTTGTTGATTGATTGGCCACCCTAGCACGCTCGTTATTGGGTTGAACAGGGATCCAGCGCTTCAACATACCGGCCCGCTTCCTGACGTGCAATGCCCTGCTTCACCTGTCCTTGGACGAAGGCAACAAAGACATACCTCTCACAAATGTTTCTTTAAGGTCCTCTTCTCTAACTTGAGGTATAATACGATTTTTGTGTGCTTTTTTAAGTACAGAAAAATTCATCCGCGGTACACGAGGAACATTGTCAAGGCGAGCAGCATCTGAAAGACTAGATTATCAACACTCAAGAGATGAACGTGATAAGAAGTGAGCATACTTGTGCTGTTTCTCTCGCCTTCTAGCCTGACGATCAGTCTCCATTGACGGTGGATTCTTTATGGAATCATTTGACCCAAGTTCCGTATCTTTCGTGATTTTTAAACCTATTGACCCGGATGAGGTGCGATGGTGCATTAAAAATGGTGGACTCACTCCAAGTATCTTCTTTATCCGCAACCCGAGAAGCTTGAATGACGTTATGTCGAAGAAAGGCAGCAATCTTCAGTGCACCATCAATCTGTTCTTGATAATGGACAGGATTTTTCTCTGCTTGGCCAGAAAGCGCATCTTCCCTCAGTTTTGAACGAAACGCTGGAGAGAAATCTGTCAGCAGAACATCGAAACCAATAGTTGTTGTTGCCTTGACCTCTAAGGACGGGTTCATCACCTAGAACGGTTGTCAAAACATTTGCCATGTGAAGTTGAGAGGCGTACCAGAGAAAGTGACGGTAGAGGCCCGGTATAGCTGACGGTATGCAGACCGAGCCAATGCTCTGAGTTCAGGCGTGATGGACATGGATGTAACCGATATCTGTGGGTTGTGAATATGATTGGTGGAAAAAGCGCCGGCACCGGGCCGAAACGTTCTCTGTCACGTGATAGGCATACCAACGCGTTCGGTTGACAGTTGAGTTTCAATCAACCAACTCTTCCTCTAACCTCCACCATCTAAATTTCCGCAATTGCAAGTCTGCGCCGCCAGTTCCCCGTCCCACCTGCCTAGCTCGATTTTCTTCTTTCTCTATTGCCGACGTTTATCCTTTTCATCATCCGTGTCTCTTCGTTGTGAACAATGTCTGCAAAGAAGCCTGCTGTTAAATCGTCCGCCAAGAGGGCCACCAAGCCCACTCATCCGCCTTGGTCTGACATGATCAAAGTATGCTTTCTCGCTGCCCTTCATTACTCCTATCATCATGATATCCTGCTTATTGCTTGTGTCTCATGGCCGTAACATCGACGATCTGCTATTTAGCCCCCTTTACTCGTGGAATTACTGCTGATACTAACACCTGCTCCTCAGGAATGTATCGCCGCGCACACAGAGGATGCGCGTCTAGGTGTTTCTCGTCCTCAAATCAAAAAGTAGGATTAGTTCGGTCGGGCTCTAAATCATGGTACTCAAGGAATTGCTTAGGTTTGTCGAAGACAAATACAAGCTTGTCATCGGCGCTGCACAGAATACTCGGCTGGCGAGGGCGCTCACGTCTGGAAGCGAGAAAGGGGTGTTCGTTCTTCCCAAAGGTAAACAAATCAGGATTCTCGTCGATATGTTATGTCCTCATTCGCGCATAGGCCCTTCTGGTCGCGTCAAGCTTGCGCCAAAAACCAAAGCAGTCGATACTTCGGCCACCAAAGAGGTGAGCTCTCACAAAGCCTGAACCCAAGACTCTAATTGAGGACTATAGAATAAACCTACAACGAAAGTCAAGTCTGCCACCGCCAAATCTACTCCCAAGACTACGACGGGTAAACATGCCACCACTAAATCAGTAGCGACTAAGTCCAAAACTGCCGCTAAGACCAAAGCTACTAAGACTGCAAAGAAGCCGGTCGTTGCGAAAAAGTCAGCTGCAAAGCCAAGAACGACGGCTACATCGGCCGCCGCCTCCAAACCCACAGGAACTGCACGTACGACCGCAGCCGCTAAGAAGGCATCTTCTGTGAAAGTGTCTTCTACAAGAGCTAAAGCAGCCCCTAAGAAGACGTCTACAGCCAGTAAAGCTACTAACAGTAAGAAAACAACAACTACCGCAAGACGTGTTCCTGCGAAGAAGGTATCTATCGTTGTCTGTTTATCTGTCAGTTTACTCATTGTTGGTTAAGGCCGCCACCGGTACGGGTGCCACGACGAAGGCCAAAGCCGCCGCAAAGAAAGCCATTGTGAAGAAGACAACTGCTAAGGCTGCTACCAAGACCATACGGAAGAAGGCCAGTAGACACTTTACACGGTATGACTGCGATGCGTGGCTGATAGCATCTTTTTTCTCTTTAGCCCACGAAACGGTCGTAGGAAATGATACGGAACATTTCCATCCCGTCTTTCCCGGTATCTTTTATATCTTCATTTCTCCACCATATTAACGTCTTTTGGTGTCATGTTTCGCATAATTTATGTTCCCAGTATGTATTTGCCTTCATCAAGTATGTACCACATACATTATTGTCTATAGTTTGTATATCACATCATAGCAGGCCGAGCTATTCAGATCTTGAGATGTAACATGTATAGGCAGTATTGTTGCCATGAAGAGCTTTCATGCAAATTATGTACCGGTTACGAAAAAACTGCAGTCCCGCTCAAGTAGGATCAAGTATATTGATCAGGACTACAAACGTAAAATTACCAAACTTCACTTAAAGAAACCCAATCGCGCAAAATGACGGTTCTCTCCGTTCCAATCTGTCGTGTCATTTCAACCTGTCTCGTCGTTGACAATGCTCCGAAATGCTCCAGCAAGTTCCCATCCAGAATTCCTTTCGTAAGTGGCCGGGAAACGAAATCATTTCGCACGATGCTACAATTGCTATCAGCAAGATCGTTTTAGCGTAAATGGATAATCCTACCGAAACACTTTGGGGTTCAAGGCAGCAGCATGCTGAATGTTGCGCGTTAGCTGACCTTGCAGTAATTGTAATCTCTTAGCCACAGGTTCGTCCAAAGGAGTCAACGAGGCGATTGATCCATTCGTCGAACCTAACCACGAAGAGCATAAAAGATATGAACGGTCCCTGAAGACCCACGCATCTTACCATATATTAACTTGGCTTCTGGAATCAAAGCCCCATTCCTCCTATAGGCAATCATCACTGAAGCCCGATATTCAGCCTGACTTTGGTACTCTGTCCGGAGCAATAGGGAACGACCATCTCTGGAATCGGGATCTGATCGGAGCATCAGCAAGTACAAATGACATGAAGTACAATGCAGGACCTACCTTGTGGATTATATTCGTACATCCGTATTACGCCTTCTTCATCACAAGTGACAATCGACATAGTGTCTTCTTGGAAGAAGAAATCAACATTGGTCACACAAACGTGGTTGAGATCTTTAGCAAGAACAACAAGTTTGTAGGGGTCCTCCTTAAGAGTGACGATCAACTTAATAAAGCGGCTGAGGGATCGGAAGCGAACCTGAAATGCGACAAAAGAAACGCTCTTTACGGCATCGCCGATGAGGAGAAGATTTTTAAGACTTCTGAGCGAAGTCACATATACCCCAACATCGAGGAAAGCAACGCCCACGAGGCGTTCGTCCGAATCAAAAGCCCGAACAAAGATCTAGGGTTCAATCAACCATGTTCAGCTTTACGTTCAAACAATCTGCACAATTCTCAAACCTTTTGACCCATGGATGAAACCAAATAGCCCTTGAAGCCGCAAATCGCTGTTACCGGGCCTTTTGCATCATCGCGACAGCGCAACCTGAGTTTGTACCACCGCTTCGACGCAGACTTTTGATCGGGTACTACTTCAACAATCTCAAAGATGTAGGTCTGCGAAATATTCCAGTGACTCGAAAACGACAATGAACATTGTGACGTACGCATCCTTTCGTAGCGAGATCCTCTCCACGATTAATACTAGTGCCAACAGCGATGAAGTCCTTGCTACCAGTGTCGGTGCTTGACGTTTCCAGAGACACGACAGAAGTCGCGTTGACAAATTCATTTGAGGCGAACTCGAAGCTAGAATAGAATCGATGAATTGAGCGCAGCTATACGACATGTGGACATGAACATACCCATCCATGGATATCCATAGATCCGGGGATATCAACTCGAGAGTTGAGCAATCTGTCATAGGATACCCTACGTTCGAAGCTATGGGTACAAGCCCAGAGTTAGCACTAATCCGCGGTGAATCAATGATGTCCACTTGCCGTCAGGCTCCCACACTTTGTTGCCGTCTTCGTCGAAAGAAGCAAATTTCGCTTCCAAAGATGAAGCTGCAACGATCAAGGATGTTGAGGGGTCAAAAATTACACTGGAGTAGAAGCGACCCCTTGGAACAGATCGCGTCGGAATAGAGCTTTCATAGTGAAAGTCTGGTATCCATTCTAGTAAGCTGGGTCCCTGAGACGCGAAGTCAGCACTTGAAAAGTGTAGATCACCAAAACAAACCTCTTCTGAGTATATAAGGAAGTCTCCCTTCGACTCCCATAGCGAACAAGGAGTGAAGGAGTGGACGACACCATGGCCCGATGGGTACAGTTGAACACCGCCCTTGTCCGAGGCGATAATCCAGCTAGGATTGTCACCGGTGAAAAAGACGCCAGAAAATGATGCGCCCGAACTACAAGTGGTAACGAACGGAATAAATGTTCGTGAGATACGTTTTTGCTCAGCAATAGCGCTCCTTTCGGTTTCCTCAGACCTCTGGATCTCAAACGCCTTGGAGTATGTTTTCACAAATTTTATCTTCAGGGTCGAAGCCCGAGGGGATGATGGCGTTTCAGCAGCTGAACCGGCGGGGAGAATTTGATATACAGCCATTTGTCCGTTCCTCAAGAACACCTGGTGAAACATCACTTCTCAGATGAAGATATCTCGGATGAAATGGGGAGATACTTACGAAAAGATGAGGCTGGGGAGTCGACTCTCCTAGTGGTGCCACAAGTGCCTGTTCAATATCCAGATCCTGAGGCTTGCGAGGAGGATCCTGGGGCACAGACAACGAAGGAGGATCATGCGAATCTGTGAGAATATTTTGAAGCGTAGAGATGGCACTGGTGGAGAACACAAGCATTAGCTTTGGTAAAGCCCATATCTATGACATGTTTATATCAGATGCGAAATATACAAGTCTTTAGCAACGTCAAACCTCCAGAATGCCTTGAGGCCGAACGAGAAGAAGCCATTGCGTTCGGTGACCCGAGTTCACGACGCTTTGTAACGTTGATGTCTTTTCGCTCATAGCGTTGTTAGGGACTGCAGCACTGCTTTCGAGGGCGTGTTCAAATACGCCACTGAAATCAGTGAAGAAGCATCCGGTCAGGTACCTTGAGGTCTAAAGACATAGGTCAGTCGGAATGATAGCGTTGGATTGAGCTAAGTGACACGCCTTATCACCCATAGGAGACATATCCTTACGCCTGATCTTTCCTCGATCAGTCTCAATGAAGAGACCGATGGAGTCGTCCTCTCGCAGTATTAGAACAAAGGGCTCTGAAATACTGCAAGCTCGAATTTTGGCACGCGGTGTGTTGCCGTCCATGTCTTTGATACTTTGTCTTTCGGTACCATCTAATAGAAAATTGATAAGCAATACCATCATAAAAAAACTAATCTTTACCAGGCTCCAAGACTCGAATGGCGTTAGTCATAACATGGAGAAGGGCAGTGCGCTGGAAGAAAGTCCCTGCACCCACCGTTGTCACAGGTATACGAGTAATGAAAGAAATATCGTTTTTGACAGAAGCTATTGCAATCTAAGAACATATTAGAAGATTTCAGACAAAATGCACAAAGTACATACTCGTGACAGACCAGGAGCTGGATTAGCGTCAGTACTAATGATAAGCGTGTCATTGTCCGCTTGAAATGGGTTAATGGGTCGCTCAAAGGTGACACCGCCCGACTTGACTGGCTGTCGAATTGGAAGCGACCACATCCCCCGAGCGCCTCCGATAGCATGGAGCTTACGCTTGGTTCTAAAAGGAAGGTCCCGCTAACGCAGAACACAACATGAGGAACCAGAAGGAAATACGGCCGTAGGATTTACCTGGAAGAGCGTGAAACCTCCAAGAGGGCCGATACCTGTAGCGGCAACTAGTTCGGGTACAGACCGATCCTTAGAGAACATCAGACAGGGTTTGTTGGAAGCTATAAAATTCATACACCGTTCTTAGCCACTGAGAATGCGACGCCAGAGATCGGACCATATGCAAATAGAGTGTCACACAGAGAGAGGTGTATCACAGTCCGCTTTTTCTTGGTGACTCCATTAGTAGCTCCGTTGACTTCAGGTTCTGGAATCGTTGAAGAACCATAAATATCTAGAGCAACAATTTATTCACATGTTCGTGTTTAACCGGAAACGATAACATACCGTCATCATCATCAACATCCATGACGGTGGATATGTCTACCACCGTCGTAGGCACAGTATCCATAGCCTCATCGTCATCTACCTCTTCTTCAACCTTCGTAGCTTTGACCAAAACTGACGGTCCAACCATGCTTGCGATAAAGATGTGCTGGTCATCCAACTTTTTCATGAGACTTGGAACGGCCGTCTGTGCAATAGCAGCAGACATGACCAGTTTTGATACGGTCTTGCCATCCGCGACGATCTCTACAGGATAAACAGTTCCATCTTTGAGGGTGATAAAAAGGGTTTTGTCATCTACAAACACGGAACGGGAGCCTTCAAGTGATAAATCACGGTCTTCTTGTCCAGGTGGAGTCATGAAAGGGAGATCACTCGTCCTGGAGGCCCATCCATTAACCGGGAGGGTAATACGACGAGCGGCTTGATCGACGTAGATCAAGGCATTGCTAGTGACAACGACGACCCCGCCCAATACTGTAGTCGTGGGTAGTATGGAAAGACAGTCATAGGGAAGACCAACGACAGACGTGATTATGGGAAAGTTTTGTGACAAGATATCCAGCGTGAAGATAACCAGTCGAAACGTATCTTTGAATTCTTTAAGACGGCTAAAAAAAGTAAGTATTGCGCAGGAGGTTCAAGGACAAGGACATACCCGGCCCATGTCTGTTGTGTTTGGAAAAGTACCGCCATAGTAGGGTTATTGAAGCCAGGCAAAAAAGAGAAATCGACGACATGTTTAATATTCTTGTCTATAGACGCAGGAAGATCCAGTATAAAACTCGGTGAATATGGTATATCCCTGTAGATAGTTTTAGTTGATTCCTTCAATGAACACTAACGACACTGACCGCGATTGCATGTGATCGTGATCGTGGTCCATCACTTCAAGTTCTGCCTGTGTCTGATAGAACGGGAGGATTGCAAGTGAATCCTTCGGGAGCGACAGAGCAGCACAGCGAGAGAGAGGATCGACCCGAAGGTTTGCTCGAAAGAGGCCAGATTCCGAGAACATCTAGAAGACTTCAGGTGAGAATTACGTGGAAAGCACGATGTCACGTACAACTTGGGGTGCACGCTCATATGTATGAATCGACACTGTCATGAGATCATGAACAGCATCCGACCATTCCATTAGAGCAATCTTGAACTCGACGTTAAAATTCTTTATTAATTAAAATGCATGTCATGCACCTTAGCGTCTCTGAATGAGATCAGTAGACGGTCCAGTTTGTCGTCTAAGGAGGCCATCAGTCTCACTCCCGACATTCCGGTTACAATGCCATGCAGGCGATGTTCTCGTAGAAAGTAAAACTTGGTAACGGTTTGAACAGAGGCCTTTTGAGAGCTTGACTGAGAATCATGTATTAGCATGCGCCGCAAGAAAAAGATAAATTCAAGTAGAAGTAGGATATGTACACAGAACGTTCAAATCACCTTGGCTATATTCACGAAGCCCTCTCCTTGCCTGTCCATAGACACTTCACTTTCAACCGCTTCGGTGTCCTTCCGAATCTTGCCATTCTTCTCTCGTTCCTCTTCGTCCTGAGCTGAAATGGTTGCCAGTTCCTCGCGGACCTCGAATATCCGTAGAATATTGGATCGTGCAATAACGACGTTGCAGAGGACCCTGGCTGTCAATTCGTGGCGTGTTGACGCGTTCGGTGGCACTGAAAGCTCCCAATCCTTGCCCGTAGAAGGCGTCAACTTGAGACTGGTCGCAAATTCTACACCACTGGGAGGTAAAATTTCTTGGTACAGAGCATGCATGACCATCAGGATCAAGCTAGGCCCAAGTATATCTTGTGACTTGACTGGTCCAGGGCCTTCAGAATGAAAAACAGGAGTGGTCAGAAGGCAAGGACGTGGGGTTGGACAGAGATGCCAATGACAAATAAATCCGGCAACATTGTACCTTTAGTACATAAGGTTAGGGTTTCAGAACGAGGCTTTTAGCCAGGAGTTTCATGCAATCGTCTCAATATTCGATTGGCTCTACTGCAAAGCATTCAAGGCACTCGTCCCGGTCAACCTATCCTTCCTTTCTCTCAGTACATGATACCCTGCTTCTTCATCTCAATTGTGCATGGCGTGGTCTGACTGATAGCTGTCGTTGGGATCGTGCAGTATCCGCCGTCGCAGGGTAGGCACCCATATTATCTTTAATCAAAAGGTTCTTTTTTCCTCATGTACGATGTGCAGTGACGCGGAAATACGTGCCAATGTGTTCAAATCAATGTTGCTGAATTCTCTGTCTTTGATCTCTATTTACACTTTCGACTTGTTGCTCCAGCCACTAGTACGAGACCAGCAGAAATGGCTTCATCGTAACGTTGGATGGTTCTATCAGCTTCTGTGGCTTTTCCCTGTCGTTAGCGTGTCTTTCTATCTCAACGTGGGTTAACACTTGCGACCCATGGCTTCACTGACAAGTTACAACGACATCAGAGTTCTTGGTGTACAACAATTGCCCGTCGGACCTATACGCTTCAGCATGGCAACCGTGCTCTTTCTCAGCGAACAGGAAGTACATATAATGGAATGCTCATGTCCATCGCCACCTCTGCGTATAGAGCTGTCATGGTATTCACGTCGGTTGTTGTGTCCTTTGCGTTAGGATACGTTCCTTACGTGGGACCTGCAATGGGATTCTTGTTTCTCTGTTGGGTGGACTCGTGAGTTGCAGCTACGTGGCTTGATGTATTCTAACCATTTTGGACCACTATTGTGCAGCTATTATTGCTTCGAGTGTGTCGCCATCTTCCATTCTGTTGACGACACCTATTCTGAATCCTCCTTGCGTCAAGATTTGTTTGGATTTCGCGGGGTATGTCTCTTTTCGAGAAGAATTCGATATCTTGAGGAACGTTGGGCATATTATCTGGCTTTCGGTCAGTTGAGAGATCCTGCTTTACGGTGCGGCTTAACATGCTTAACATGTAATGCATGACAGGACTTCCCTCCGCCTGTCTCTGTACATTTGGTAGCGGTCTTGCCAACGCTGCACTCTTCGCATTAATATTTCCAGCTGTAGGTCAAATATTCTCGCATAATACCGTTCATTTATTCTTCGACAGTATATCATTATGGCGATGCATGCAAACCCGGCACCAATTGATCCATACAACCCGAGTAGCAATACAACCAAGTCACGACGCACTGACGATCCTAACGATACCATCAAACATCCATCACCCTTCGTACCGATACGAATACCAGTTTTCGCTTTAGTCTTATTCATCGATGATGCTATAGTAAGCATCTTAAGTGTAGGAGGCCAGCCCATGGGACGCGGTAGAGCAGTCAGCGACGTAACGGAGAATGCTGAAGAGGGAACGATGGAAATGAATACATTCACCTCCCTTTCTCAACCAAGGCGTCGATTCAGAATTAGCACCCGTAAACAGGACTGATTTTGTGAATGCGTCGCTCTTGGACCTCCCCTTTTGTCTTACTGTCTAATACCATAACACGATACAGTATATGGAATCATTTTCAACCAAAGCCTCCCCATTCAATAGACATCAGTGTCACTTCCTTTTTCTTATCATCCCAGCAACAAATGAGATGTGCCTTTTTCGTAGCAGTGCCTAGACGTCCGTGGGCAACAATCTCCATTGGCTGGAGTGCAGACAAAGGAGAGTCGATAACCGTAGCAGTAAAATGGGAGTGATACCTCATGGGGTCACCTGGATTAATAGGTAAGAAAAGATTCGGAAGCGAACAAGAATTTACGGACCTGGATATACCAAATAATCTCCGCCAAACTTGATACCTCCACCCATGAAATATCCTTGCTCCCACAAGCTTCTGAAAACACCACATTTAGCTCGTTCATGGAGATTTGAAGGGTAATCCCATATCCCGGCGGCCTTTGCAGAATCGATGGAGGCGTACGTGCACGTGCCAGGAGAGTACCATTTTGTGGATGAGGATGATGCAGGAATAACGATGCTATGGACTGGATGACCGGACATAGACATTTTAAGAGAGGGTTCCGTCTCCTCCGCAGGTATTGTCTTTCTCTGCTTTCGCTCGCGTCTCTTCCTGATAGCTTCCTCCGACATGGAACGTGTATTGAGGCTTGAAGCATGTTTGAGTGATTCAGTTATATTAAGTTGTTTTTGAATGGACTCGAGACGTGCTGAATCCCATTCTGTGATCTGTTCGAGTGAGGGTTCTGGATATGCATTTGGATCGTCGACGAGGACGGCTGACTCTACGATGACTGTATAAATCGCAATTCTGGATCTTAAAAAGAACGAACGTGCCATTTTCGACAAGCAGAACCACTTCTTCTGGCATAAGCGATAAGGGAACACCAAGAAAAACGTTTTGTTGGGAGACATGGGGCAGAGTGCCGGTTAGAATACCGCAAATGCGATATTTAGATCGAATTACGGCGATATCTACGTTTTCTACATCAGTATCCAGAGAGAGAATGACCAGAATTAACAAACCGTCAACCTCCCAGATGAAGGCTCTCTTATTCGTTACAGAGATCGATATGCGAGAGTTTGAGTCAGTCATGACGGTTGAGAACAAAGTAATTCGTCTGAGAATATATTGCGGCTGTACATACCTCTTTACCTTTTTGCCCCTGTCAGTCTTCATCCATGGCGGCATATGTACAGGACTGCATCATGCTTTTTGGTGATTCTATTACTCAGGGCGCCTGGGAGGAAGGAGGATTCAGCCAACGCCTGTCTCGTGGGTCTGACTGTACATATTCGTTGTGTGATCTTATCGTGATTGACAGATGTATACGCGCGAAAGCTAGATATTCTGAACAGAGGATTGTCTGGATATAACACGGAATGGGCTATCCCAGTATTTGAACAGGTAGGCGCCAAAGGTGCTGCATAAGGATATTGACCTTGTGGGCAGTGCTTCGCCAAACAACACGAGCAAGGACATGTTCCCAAAGTTCGTATCCTCACCATCTGGTTTGGTGCCAATGACGCTTGTATCAAACCATCCCCTCAACATGTCCCGCTTGAAAAATTCACCTCCAATATCAAGCATCTGATAGACCTGGTGCATTCCAGCAGATCGCCCCATTATTCGCCTGATACCCGAATTATTCTTATCACCCCTCCACCGGTGAATACTCATCAACGGATGGCTGATCTACAGTCCAGATCAACGCCTTTGGCACTTGATCGTTTGTTCGAAACGACCAAGCAATATGCTCAGGCGGTGATAGATGTCGGAAGAGAAGCCACTATACCTGTCGTGGATGTTTGGGCGGCGCTCTGGAATGCTTCAGGTCAAGATGAAGCGGCGCTGAGCAAATTCTTGTCTGATGGTCTCCATTTGAACCGAGACGGATATTCGGTAAGAATATATGCTCTGCTTGGCAACTACCAGGGGTCTAACAGTAGGAGATCATGTATGAGCTCCTGATAGATACGATTGCGACAAATATGCCAGAGCTCCACTACAACAATCTTCAATCTGTTTTTGTGCCGTACGTGCGCCTTTCCGTCATAAGTTCACATCCTCATTGTTCTTGCTTTGACTCAGCTGGGCTGAGATCAATTGGACGGCGCCAGGGCTCACGTTGATGAAGCGAAAGGCCGAGGTGTTGTAATTGAAATACCAGGAATGCGTGTGTAAAAGTAGACAAGCATTTGCTGCCAACAGACAAGACGGGTGCCGGGAGGTCGGGCCGATGACTTCACGGTCACGTGTAAAATGAACATCGTCAAACTCGCGTAAACAGAGAAAGGCTTGGCGTTTCACCATTTCTCGGGTCAGGGATATCGCGACATTGCTACGTATACGTTGGAGGGCTTCAAGTCGACGGCTCTAGCTTGCCTGTCTTTCGTTCATATATCAGTGCGTTTCCTGGCTATTTTTTTCGTATGAATGGAAAAAAGTTCACCTTTTTCATACGGAAGGCGGGAAGTTTCAGGACCCACAAGTGTCCATATTAGCCTGGTTTGCTTTTCCTTCCGTGACCATTCCGTCGTTGCTCTGTTGTCATCACGAGCTCACTGTTCACGTACGCAGGCGCGGTTTTCTCCATCAACACATTCATTACGCCTCAAGGTGTGTCTCTACTGTTCGTATCCGTCTATAAAGCAACCAACACACCCGGTGTCCCACTACGCTCCGGACCATGCGTGACACATGTCCTTTTTTGGCCCCAACAATAGAGCCTGTTGGGAAATCGGGCCTGGGTACTTACCGTCACGTTCATCCTTTGTTCAACACCAATCCGATTCTTCGAACATTCCTCATTGTTGTTCTTCAGCCAGCTGGCCACAAGCCGAATTGTCAAATTTAAACCGGCCACGATTTCTCCTTTCTGGGTGAGTTGGCCCTTGTCCTTGTATCCATATCTCACCCGTCATTTCTTCGTGTTCTCTCGCCTTTATAACTGCACCTTCGTCGCTGTCCTCGTTCCAACTTCGCCTCTTTGTCGCTTTCCACCGTCATGTCATTTCTCGACTGTCTAGTAGAACAACAACGTACCAGCAAGAAGCAGAAGATAAACGCAGACTATCAGTCCTCACCAAACATGACGTCGCTATTTCTCAATGTGCCCTCCACCTTTTCGCGAAATCGTATTAATGCCACACCTGAGCGACATGGCGACGACGACGATTATCTTTCCTCAGACCTGGAGCTCTCCTTCGCGTCCACAGTGTCTTTAAACTCTCCCCCCAAGGAGCCAGTCGCGTTGACACCCGAGAGCGATTACGGAGTTCCAATGGACATATCTCCAGCGCCGCCCAAATTCCAACCAACCAAAGCCGCCACTCGTCCTCGAGCTTTCACCAGCGCCGCCTCAAGTCGTGTGTTCGGCAGTGATGTCAGCAACCATTCCTCTTCTCAACGAGGGGTCTCTGGCTCCACTCATTCGGGTTTGAAGCGTACTCAACGATCTGCATTGCCCATGGAATGGCTCATGGCAAGCCCTATCAAAGACACCTCAACATCGAATCATGATAGTACTGTAAGTTATGTATGGCATGTATCAGTTGTGCAGGTAACTCATTCAGGCGGTAGTTCCTCTCAACGTTGGAACCCGCATCACCTATGGACGTGGATTCGTCGTTCGCCGAAGTCGATAACCCAGTCACCTCATCCCCCTTGGCGTCCTCCGCGACAATCACCAGTTTTAACAGCCTTTTCTATGAGAATGCATCTCCAGGAGCTACATGTTTTGAAAGTCCTACTATACGTCTTCCGAAGAAACGGCGTTCTTTTTCTCCTTTGACTGGTACCTCTGAAAGAGAGGCTGCGTCATCATCCCCGGGGCTACCATCCTCGCCCTCGGATCGCAAGTTGGGCAGAATAGTGAGCGGACCGGTACTGTTTGGCGGTAGTAAATCGTCCTTTTCTGGTATCAGCCCTCCGCCTGTGAATGCGCTCAAGAGACCCCGCAGGCCTGCTCTTTCTGCAATAGTGCATCCGTCCCAGGCGAATGCTTCCTCGGTATATCCTCTTCTTTCACCTGACGAACATTCGAACGAAGACAAATCCGAGAAGCAGCTTCCACCCGCGCGTCGCGCATTCTCTGCCATGGTACCTCCGTCCGTCCTAGTAGACTTTTCGGATGAATCTTTCGATGGCTTGGATGGTTCGTCTCCTGCGCAAGCATACGCACAACGTCAGCAAGTGAAGACAATCCGACATTGTGATGGCACTGATGACTTCAGGCCATTGACTGGCGCCACTGCCTTGGTCATGCAGGAGAGCCCTTCTGCGAAGTTCATGTGCTCGGGGATGCCTGGCTTCGGAGATAATGAGCTCATGGGTAAGGTATTACCTTGCCATCGAGTTTCGGAAGACGGCTTGATGAGAATAACGGTCGACACGGTCAGAATCTGGGAACTAATCGTATGCGCACAAGCTAATGTTCCTCTCAGCTTGATGATCTCCTAGATGGCGTCTATGACTCCCAGATACGCGACTTCCGCATTATCGATTGTCGGTTTGATTATGAATACCAGGGTGGCCACGTCCCAGGTGCTATCAATGTCAACACGACGAGCGCCGTTGAGGAACACTTGCTTGGACCGATTATAATGAAGCCCAAGCCAAGTGTTAGCGGCGATTCTACCGCAAAAACCATTTTGGTTTTCCACTGCGAATTCAGCGCTAAGCGGGCACCCACTTTGTAGGTTCTTTGCCCTCATATTATACCTGGGCTCATCACACATTGTAGTGCCAAACATCTGCGCTCCAAAGACCGCTCCATGAACCATCACGTGTACCCAAAGGTCCACTATCCTGAGGTCTACATTCTGGAAGGCGGATACTTCAAGTATTTCCAGACATCCCGATGCCGACCTTCTGGCTACACTCCGATGGACGATCCCAGTCATGCTACTTCACGTCGAGAAGATCTTGACCAATTTCGCAAAGCAAAGTTTGGTCGCCACAAGTCTTATGCGTACGGGGATGGAAATAATAGGATGTCCTCATCTGGTCTATCTATGCTGGTTCCCAAGAGGAACACAGCGCCAAGTGGAGGAAACACACACGTATTTGCGGCTGCCACTGTCGCACGCAGTCGCCGTGGGGGAGCCAGTGCGACCTTGACCACCCTTGCTGAAGACAGCATGGCGACTGCTGATGGCAATGATACTGACACTGATATTGGCGATAGCCCCTGTCCTCCTCCACCCACGAAAGGCAAGAAAGGCCGTGGCTCACTATCAAGAGCAGATACATATGGACCGTCCAGGTTGCCGTTCTAACTCTGCTCTGCTCCACCCCATGATAATCCAATCTGGATATGACTCTAGAGACGCTTTGCATCAACTTTAAAATTACGAATCATGAATTCGAACTGAGACTGCAATGTCCAATGCCCTCTAGAGACGGGCACGCCGCTCTTTACATCGCACCCTCGTTTTATGCCTCTCCTCTTGCAGCCATTTCATAACCCTCTGTCGCATTGGTAGACAGCCTGGAAACCCCGTCATAACATTCGATTTTGCAGCATTCAATCCACATTCGACCTCCTAGGTGGTTATTCATCTCCTCCGATTTCTCATCCGAATCTCATGGACATTCAAATCTATCTATTAAGTAACTCAAATTTTTGACAGCATCGCATATCACATTTTTCTATATCTACATATCTTTCCATGTTTTCGTTGTCTGTTCCTTTCTCATTCTGCTGTTTCCCTGTTCTAGTTTTCTTTCCATCAGCTTGTCTGTACTTTTGATTTCTTGTATATAGTCGCATTCGTCCGAGGTCATTTCTCTGATGTTTGAAACCCCGGATAGATATGATTTATATTACTCCCTTCAAGTTACCGATGCTGTACTGGCCGCTGGCTCTGTACACTGGCGTGGTCCCTCTATTTGTGCAACCATTAAGAGACCTATCCTTTTTGCCATATGTTTGTAATTTAAATACAGGTTGCAAGTAACATAGTGCAAGAACCGACACTACCATTTACATCTTCCCATCAATGACCGTGAGGGTCAGGCTCTCCCTTAGGTTCTAGATATAGATTAGACCATCAGTATTCATCCACACCGATTCGAAAAGAACCTTACCGGGTATGCACTGGATTGCATCGTCGATCCGCAAGAGTGACACGGCGGCTTCGTACGCAGATTTCAAACTCTTCACCTTGCTCATCGTTGGCTCCAGCACACCAGCCGTCACATTATCCCGTACTTCGCCGTTCATTAAGTCAAGGCCGTACCGTAAAAGTGCTTTCTTCGGATCACCTGCGGGTGCGCTTTGGGCAGCATTGTGGTATGAACGCAGTTTAGCTACGAGTTCAGTCGAGTCCTTTGCTGCGTTAACAGCTAATGTCTTTGGTATTGATAGGAGTGCACTAGCGAATTCAGCGATAGCCAATTGCTCACGAGAACCCTGAGCAAAAGTAAACTAATGTGAGGACTAAAGAAGAAAGCATAACGTACCAAAGTCATGGCGAAATTTTCCAGATAGATACTCAGAGCGGATTCAACAGCCCCTCCTCCGGGAACGACGGAACCACTCTCAAGGGTTCTCTTGATAACAGATAGGGTGTCATGTAGCGCCCTTTCCATCTCGTCCAGCATGTAATCGTTGGCTCCTCGCAAGACGATGGACGAAGAGTTGACGACCTTCGTTCCTTTGATGAGAATCAACTCATCGTCAGAAATGCGCTCTTGGACAACTTCATCGGCTGTACCCAGGTAGCTGGCTTCAAACGTCTCATCGCCCTCGAGGTTGGCAAGACTGGATACGAGCTGACCACCGGTGGCCTTAGCGATACGCCGCAGATCCTCTTTTCTGCATCGGCGAACGGCCATAGCCCCAGCCTCTACGAACTCCTTCAGACAAAGATCGTCAATCCCTTTCGTGGTTAGTATAACATTCGCCCCGGCGTTCAAAATTTTACGGATACGTTCAAGAGTGATCTCAGATTCACTGAATACACACTGAGAAGCCGCTTCCTTATATACTGCTGGAGCAACGTACCGTTTCCGGATCTCCTCAAGCTGATCTGGGTCTTCCACTAGAATTTGGACACCAAGCTGCATCCGAGCCTTTTGTAGGTTGATATCGAGGCAGGCAATTTTCGCGTTCGTAATGCGTTTTTTCATGGCTACAAGGCCATTTTAAATGGGACAAGACGGCCGTGACTGAGAATTTCGTACCTTGACTGGCTACGGTGCAGTTCAGTGCATATCCTTGAACATAGAGGGACTCCCGGGCACTGCGACCGTGAGCTTTGAGGACGTTTACAGCCTTGACGGGGTACTTGATGTCGCCTCGCATGTTGATTGTCTTGACTGCAAGCATAGCATCCACAGCCATGGGTGCGAATAAATCATCGTCACTAAATGAAAGAGGAGTGAGATCCCGGATGAAAAGAACAGATATCATCACTCACTTTCCAATGATTTTGCTCGACATACTGGTCTTGGCAGCGTTTATCAGTGCCTCCTTGCCCAAAGCATCCACCTTTACGCTAAGCTGATCCTGCATGAATTTGACAGCTTCCCTACAGGCCAGTCGATACCCAGTGATGATAGTCGTCGGATGGATTTTAGCCTTGACGAGCTCATTGGCGCGTCGAAGAAGTTCAGCAGCGATGATGACGACAGATGTAGTGCCGTCACCGACTTCCTTGTCTTGTTTTTGAGAAAGATCAACAAAGATTCGACCTGCTGGATTTTCAACTGAAAGAAGCGAGAGTATCGTTGCCCCGTCGTTGGAAATAGTGACTTCCTGGTGATCATTTAGCTTTCATAGATCGGAAGATTTGCTATATAGAATCGCACCCCAATATTGTCCACTAGCATTTTGTCCAAACCCAATGGCCCCAACGAACTTTTCACAATATTGGCAACCGACTGGGCCGCAATAACTTGTTACGATTCAGCACGAATAAGGATGATAAGAGGGGAAACCCCACCATTTTGGTCTCGGATGTCCTGTCCCGACACACGGTCGCCTCCAAGAAAAGCACCGGCTCTTGGATCGCGCTGGAACATCACAAAAATAAAAGAATAAAAGAGTGCTGGGAGTAAGCGAGAAAGGGAAGCGCGTTCAGAACTGTTTAGGTAAGCCAGATTTCTTGACTGGTATTATTATTGGCAAATGGATGTGCAATTTTCGAGGAAGCCATCTGAACCCACAAATAAAATTATTATGCAACTATCAGACAAAGAAACGAAGTCCCAGCAAGTAGCCAGACCATGCTACAAACCAAAAATTGCACATACCCTCAGTATAATATTTTTACTTTGCACGCGATGAATATTATAAAAATAATATCATGGGTTACCCAGATTCCGCCATGGATCATCGACACGGCAAGAATTACTGGGTCTTCAATTTTTACCCCGTGAAAAAAAAATCTTATTCTGTGTCATATTTTGAAGGACACGTCAGTCGGTATCCATTCCCAGACTATCAATGTGCCATCACCGCGATTCGATTCTTATTGTTTAATTGACCGTCAGCCTAGTGCCCCGCCCCTCGTTTTACTACCCTTGTCACACGGGAGATACGTGCATGGTTGTCTGGATTTCCACACAGAGTTGCTGTGCTTCACTGTAAAGGTAGCTTTCAGTTACCTTGCAGTTACCCAAGTTTGTTAGCTGGCAAAGGGCGTTCTGGGACTATGGCTTGCGCGTATCTCCTGTCTCTGGATGGTCACTTAGCACCTTCTCTCAAACGGAGTTACCGTGGAAAGGAAAGGGCAAAAATGCGAGCTGAAGATATCAGACAGGCTATGCCAGATTCAAGCAACGACAGCTCTGCTACGATGGCAAATACGTTTTCCCACGTAGAGAGTCCCCAATGCAAGGAATACCATCATCAACTTCACCGTCCAATGGAACTATGTCCTTGAAATCCGTATTAGATCTGCACACCTCCAGGCGGATGAAGGCTCCTTCAGACATCAAGAAACAGAAATAAGGAGTCAGTATTCCCAGTCGGAAACGATGGCTTTACTACTGGTCTCTTCTCCTCACATATCAAGCGCCCTCTGATGTGTGGTGTGGGCTTTCCCGATCGTGGCTTCTCAACATTCCCCAGGCCAAGGCCCCAATGTGCGACTGACACAGATAACACTGAGGATGAAGGAGAGTTCTGGTGTAAAGATGGGCCTTGCAGCTGACACTATTATCGATTGTGTAGGGTTGGGAAAAGTAGGTGCAGCTGGAGCAGCCAAAGAAGCCGGCGCCAACCATGTCTGGATTTCTCTCGCAAGGTACAATGACGATCTTATAGGGTCGCCAGAAAAATGGGAGAAATACACAAGAAGTGCAGACGGACATATGGGGAAACGCAGGCCTGGATTTGAGCACATGGGAGAGGAAGCGTTAAGCACATTTTTCAGCGACGGCCGTTGGGACTCGGGAAAGATGGTGGCAAGTTTTGCTAAAATGAGGGCCTTTGGGGACGGATTCATGATCAAGACCACTGACAAAGTTAGTGGGCGAAGTCAATTGACATTCTTAACTAACGTTTCCATAGGACGAGAACTTGAAGGTCATATCGTTTGTCCTGAAACCTCTTAGCACGTCCAAGTGGAAGAACCTCCTAGAAGAGGTGAATCAAGAGGTTCCATTACCCAATGAAATGGGTATAACACCGAGTGAAACGACGTCCATATGTGATGTCACACAAGGTGCAGAAAAGGGTGTTGTGCTTGATGCAGTTCGAGTGGTACGACTCCGGCTGTACATGGGTCAAGTATGTACCCTTTGCCAAATAATGCCTGATGCCGAGTGATGACCCAGCAACGTACAGATATTCATGGGATGGATGTGGTTCATACCTGTATTTCATATGCCTCCGCCCTCAAGGTCGGATGCTCGAGATGTGCTGCTAGCCTCGATGTTTCGTTTAACATGAAAGGAACTTGACCTTCCCCTTGGCATAGGTTCCTCTATATTGGATGTAGAGGTCGCTTTGGAGTGGTTAAGTGGGTCGGATTCAGATGCCAAATCGAGCGGCACTCGTACCTTGGGTGTAGAATTTTTAAGGGCTCTTGGGACTTGGAAATACCGTTCAGGCAATAGCTGCTGGAGATGTAGAAGTTAAACAGGCTGCCGAGGACTGAATATTGAATATATGTTGCCCCAGTGCCGTTCTAATTATGAGATATGTACTCTAAATCTACGCTCCGAATCCCCCTTCTGGCAGAAAGGCGTGGCCAAGGCGCGTTGAAGTCACGTGATACCACAACACGTCCAATTTGAATGAATTTTGAGTGTCCTGGTCTGGCCCTTTGCATCAACACTGACTTTTGTGGTGGCACTCCTTTTTTTAGCGCGCCAATACAATACGGCCGCTCCTCGCATCCTCGTCCATACTTCCACTTGAATGCTGGCTCTCATCGATGAATTCCTCGGAATTTTCATTGGCGTTCCAGAATCAGGTCTCTCAACGTTTCCAAGCTCTTATATGGGCGTGTCTTGACTCCGACCTCACAAGGTCCGCTGTTTTCTACGCGGAGAGATATTTCGCCATTCATACCGCTACTCATGACGCTCGCCACCTCTATGCTACAGCCTTGCTTCGCGAAGGGCAGACTTATTCCGCACTGGCTATAGTCAACATCGCTCGGCAGCAACAATGTAGTGGCTGTCTTGAGCTCAAGGCGAAATGTTGCACTGCTCTCGGGCGTTATCGACAAGCGCGGGAAGCTTTGGAAGAGACATTGCAGGATCCTACGTACCGACCTTCAAGTGAGTTTCTCAGAATTGACATTCTACCTGTCAGCTAAGCCGGTGTTTGTTAAGGCTCAACGGCTCCCAGAACAGCGCGTCAGTTTCCTGATGATGCGGCCTTACATTCCAGAGCCGGTACAATGGCGTTGAAGGGGAACCTTCAGGATAAAGCGGCGATCAGTTTCCAGCAAGCATTATCTTTGAATCCCTACATTTGGGAAGCGTTTGAGGGACTCTGTTCTTTAGGTGTGTCCTCCTCTCTCTTTCTCTGGTTCAGGGGCTTGACCTCAGGCAGGTGTTGTTCCGGACATCGACCAATTATTTCCTCCGCGGCCGATTTCCACCCGGCGAGCATTGCAAGAAGAACACATACTTCCCAAGGCGTCCATTCCTGTTGCTACTGGTGCAGCTTTCTTTACCCCAGAGGTGACTAATACAGGAAATCTGTTTCGCCCGTGGAAACCAGAGCCAATCATGCAAACTCAGCTATTTCGAATGGGTCCGCCAGGATTGCCTATGAACTCAAAGTGAGTTCTCCGCTCGTTGGTTCTGGTATTAGGCCTGCAACTTGCATATAGTACTCAACCCGCTCCTGCCTTTGATACCCTTCAACAGCATCGACATACACGAACGCAATCTTCAACACAGGCTTCCTCCAGCCAGACTCATTTTTCCCGCCCTCTTTCGTCCGCTGATGAAGCTGGTCCCGTGCCCAAGAAACTTCGCTCCACCCGACAACCCGAGCCATCAAAGCATTCTAAATCACTCAAACAAAATGGGGACGACCCACAGAAAAAGGCACGCGCACGCCAGGGCTTTCATTTTTCTAACCTCTTCTCATCATCGAGCCGTCGCTCTCAACAGTCATCCCGAATCAGCGCAGTGCCCGGAAAGATTGGTAATGCCACCTCAAATGCTACACGCCGAAGCACTCGTCTGCTAAGCGGCACCGGTACCAAGCAGCCCAAGGTGTGCAGTCTTCTAGGTCATCCCTATTTCCTTCTTAGATAGTGATATTCCATGTTCATCAGCCTTCCACTCGTGATCGGCGGCGTCAACAGACACATGGACGTTCCCATTCATTCGAGTCTGATAGCGAAAACGATGTATACGTAGGGGAGGTTGGGTATTCTCCTTCGCCGCCACCTAACGCACATTCGCCTCGTTCAGAGAGGTCGCCATCTCCTGGCCCTTGGACAATTGCGACTCAAGATGCCTACGAAGCAGAACTTGCAGATAACTATGTCTACGATCTCATGCGACGTTTTGCGATTGCGACAAGGGCTCTAACATTATTTGACTCTGCAAGATGTTTAGATGAGTTAATGCAATTACCTGAAGAGCACCAGGAAACACCTTGGGTACTGTCGCTGATTGGCCGGGCTCATTATGAAAAGGCCGATTACGGTGCTGTAGTGCAATTTTATCTCTGTACATTGTTTCATCATCCTGACCTCTAGCCGTAGGCGGAAAGAGCTTTTAAAGCACTTAGAACCTCCGATCCATATCGTTTATGGGATATGGAAGTATACTCGACACTTCTTTGGTACCTTCAGAACCATGTCGAGTTGTCTTTTTTGGCTCAAGAGCTACTAAATATCAATCCCCGATCGGCTCAAGCATGGATAGCGATAGGCAACTTGTTTTCTCTACAGAAGGACCGACCGCAGGCGTTGACATGTTTCAAACGAGCCGCTCAAATGGACCCATCATGTGCTTATGCGTTCACGCTCAGCGGACATGAGTCGATTGATGAGGATGTTGACAAGGCGATCAGTTTTTTTCAGTCTGCATTACGTGTCGATCCTCGCCACTACAACGCATGGTAAATGTTTGTTTGATTGTAGAAGCTATGGGACTAACAGATAACAACAGGTACGGGTTGGGTTCTTGCTATTTGCGGATGAGCAAAATCAGACTCGCGGAATATCACTACCGAAAGGCTAACGCTATTCATCCAAATAATGCAGTCCTATTGGGATGTGTTGGGATGGTATGCCTCTATCTCGTACTGTTTAGCGTAAACCCCGCTCTTATTCGTTATCAGGCAGTGGAACGGCGGGGCGATCGAAAGACAGCCCTTCAAATATTTAATGAAGCCATCGACATTTCACCTGAAAATGCGCTGGTTCGTTATCGGAGAGCCAAAATACTTATCTCCATGAAGAAGTATGAGGTGAGTTGTGTACCCTTTATGTGGAGTGTGAGTCTTATGCGAGTGGTTCCGCAGGGAGCGATTGAAGACCTAGAGTACCTTCGGAAGTCGACACCGGAAGAGTCAAACGTTGTGTTTCAGTTGGCCAGGGCATATCGCCTGGTTGGCGACGAGGTAAAGTCCGCACAGCTACTTGCGGCTGTGCGTGATATTGCGCCAAAAAACGTCAACAAGATTAAGAAGCTGCTGGAGACAGTTAGGGACGAGATGGATGATGACAAGATGGATGAGGGATGACGGGATAATGTTGAGCGGCAGTAGATAATAGTTGAGCAATCTGACGAAAAAAAGCGAAACGAACCGAGTCGGACGATTTGATTGAGATGCCGGCGGTCCATTTGTTTGGCGCTTGAGTCACCACCGGGTTCCATATAAAGCGAGACGCGTACGTGAGTCCCCCCCTTTTTCCTCTGCCCACCAACCATGTCTGCATAAGTCCATGTCCGACTAAGTCTTGCCCTTCCTCCTCGTTGTCTTCGCCATTGACCGTCTGGCGACCCCAATAAACAAGCATGGTTAACACAGTCGTCCGTATATCTAACAACGGATCCCTGCTCTTCGAACCTGAAATCGTCGACCGTATACACCCTTAATTCTACCTCTGGCTTTCCTTCATCTCCTGTATGTATCCCCTATCGTTCTCCAATGAAGTGGAGGTGTTGACCACGTCTAGGTATCTACCCCACACCCTCGTCTCCCGTCCATGTCATCAGACTTTTCGAATCTTTTCTCGCTCGCCCGATCCAAGTTGCATGTGTCCGTTGGGAGTAAGGACAATGTCAGCTTGCATCGCTGGGTGCTCCTCAAAAATTCCATCGTACGGTCTTCTCACTCCGCTGCTGAAGCTCCAGTCGAAACCGACTCTCCCCACCACGACTTGGACCCCGACTCTGACAGTGAGCAAGACGAAGTGATGGTCGAACAGGATTCTTTCATGTTTCCCGACGTTGGGAAATGTACAGAAGAATCGCGTTCCTCTGTGGACCACTCGGAAGCTCAGTGGTTCAATTCTCTGTGGGAAAGCCTTGGTGACGATGACGAGGACGACTTTAGTAGTTCTGGCGTGCAGGTGTCTGTGCTACCGGCGGATGACGATGACGATGCTATCAGTCCATTGCCGTCTCCCATGTCCTCGTCAGACGATCTCACTAATCCAACGTATTTCGCCACATCCATGACATATTCGTATCCATATCCTGTACCATATCCTCCCTATCATCCTCCACTTATCTCCCCTTACCATTTTGATTCCACTGTTGACTCCTCTCTTTCGGCTGGGTATGATGAACCCCTACCTTATTACGATCTCGACGATGTAGAAGATCTTCCTGTTCCAGATGCTATAGAAGACACCTCTGATGACGAGTCAGACGCGCCGACGACACCATCATTGGACCAGTCGACTTCGCTGACGCTTGACCCGGCTTCTATTCCATTGCCTACAGGACGCAGCAGGCTCAGGCATACAGATCCACACGTGTATAGTGACGCGGACGACTCTTTCTTCAAACCATTCGAGTTTGATGCTCTTCCATTTTCCCATGTCCTTCCTAGCTACTTCCTCCAAGAATGTTGAGCATCATCACCATAATCATCTCTTGCCGTCGTCGTATATAGGCATTATTTACTTGTACGTACATGCCCTCGTTCCTCTGCTCATCTACAATATGCACCCGTGCACCTCCTGTTTCTTTGTTTTTGGCTATAGACATCTGAAGGGTTCTTTGATTGTGACTAGTTGATTGAACAGCAAGAAAAAATGAGGAGACGGCGATTACGCCTTTCCTGGGCGAGCTTCGGCCGATGCATCGCCATGCTGAGCGGAGGAGGAGGAAGTGATCTCCGAAGACCAAGCATCAAAATTGGATATAGGGAGGTACTGGACTGATGTGTTGTTAAAAGCAGCAGGCCAGACGTGGGACGGAGGGAATGAGACTGATATTAGGAAAGGGACTAAGACAGATGCAATGAAAGATGCAATTAGTAAGAAAACAGGCATCGTACCATGAGGGAGTGAATGACTGACTCACCAATTCGGCAGAGATATGGAACCCTTGCTTCGAGCTCGCGAGAAGGATTGCTATTCGAGCCTCAGTTCTTCTGCACGACATATGGGGACCACGAAGCTGCCATTCTACGTACCTTTCAACGTAATCACCGAGACGGTTGCAGATAAGGACAACGTTTCGCAGAGTGCTGTTGTGCTTGAGTATTTCTTCATGAAGTTCCATGTCGCAATGAGGCATATAAAGAAGGGTAGGGCTCTTGATCGCATAGCCTTCGCTTTCCTGTAGAAAATGAAGAGCATATGAATATCTGAGACGAACGAATGTGAGCATTGACGTGCATTGTTCTGAAACACATTCAGTTTCTGTTCTTCAAAGTAACATAGATCTTCCTCCGTGAATACAGGATCATACAAGGAGACCCGTGAGCGATCCTGCGAAAAGAACACATGATATTGGGGGTGGATATCTATATGGTAGGTACACACACTATGTTGAGGGATTTACAGATAAGAAGCAGAAAGGCGAGTTGCGCCCGACTATTTGGAGACGAACAAGGACTTCCGAGGCCAAGGCATAATACGTCAGGACACTCGTCGTTGTGTACGGCACTGAATGAGTCCCGGACAATTTCTGACAAGCAATGGTCGGTGGAGACGAAAGTAGGCAATGGAAATGAATCCATACGAATGGCAGAAACCGTCCACTGGTCGTTTTGAAGATCCTGTATGGTACGTTCAACAAGATCAGAAACGGACGGTCTGTGCCTACGAGGCCTGTTTTTTCGCTTCCTTTGTGATGGCACTACAACAAACTCCATGGTTGTCGTACAAAGCGTGACCGCGGCAGCTTAGGTACGTCCTGCAAGATAAACAAGAGCAAATACGAAACGACCTGGTTCGTAAAAAGCAAAGCGTCGGCTAAGAAAATTGACTTTGAATATTTGAATATATTGGCCCCGATGACCTGAGGCTGTTGTTGTATTGAATCACCCGCAGGTCTGGATGGGCCCGGAGATTATATGTCTTTTTTACTAAAATACGAACTACAAACTGTTCTGTACCCAAAGGTCGTCACCGAGATAGGTAACAGTCTCGACGCCGACGCCTTTGTTTACGTTCCGGATCTCTTCAGTGCTCAGTTTCGTGATACCTACTCCCACCGCATGTTCCTTCCCTTCAGCGTAGATCGCAACCGGAGTTCCTGCAGGCAACGCCTCGTCTGCGGGGGGTAGATAGCCACCTGCAGACGTGAGCCCAGGGCACATCATATGGGCTCCGGCGAGCAGAAAGCGGATTGCCCCACGATCGACCTTGACGTTGGGCAGGATGTAAGGATCTACAATTGAAGAAGCATTATACTTTGTTTTGTTGGCTCCAACGCCCCCCCGCAGGGGGCAAGTGACTGCGTGACATACATTTATGAAGGATCCTGAGTGTTGGGTAGAGCGGACCATCAAAGTGCTGGAACAGAAGAGGCTCCCCGTGCACGGTGTAGATCGATATATGTTCTCTGCTAACATACTTTCTCTTAGCTAGTTCTTCTTTCTCACAATGTTAGACAGCATCTACCATTTGACGTGCACCAAACCCTCCTTCTTTGGCCATATAGCCTCCAGCGTTTCAGATTCAATCTTCCATTGGGACAGCACCGTTCCACGAATTGCTCTCTGCACTGATGATTTTACAGGCGTGTGGCCAGCTACATCAGACGACGGAGAAAATCTTTGAATTTTGGATCAGCGTTGTATGTCAGGAGCGACTGGAACGACTTGCTTTTTGAACATGAGCCAGCAGATGAGTGTTTGTGACAATTTGATTGATGACACAATGATCAGATCGAGCTTACTATTCATTCGAGTTGGACCCTAGCTCTAACTGGAGAAAAATTGCAGTATTGCTGTATCAATACACGCGTTTTCATCGCGGAGAAGCAGGGGAAGAATAGGTTGATTGGAAGGAGATAACGATAAAGACACCGGCATCTTCTTGCGATGAACATGGCGGACGCACTGGACCTAATCAAATCAGTACCGCAGGTTTGGCCAGCCTAACGTATTTATTTAGCAGCCAACAGATGGCCAGCACGTATGGGTTCGCGGCTCCTTTTCCTCGTTCCTCGCAACATGATCCGGGTACCAAGGCACATACCACCTACCCTTACAAGTAGTGAGCAGCACTAGCCCACACGACACCAAAATCGCTTGAACAATCAAATTCCCGTCAGGATACTCTAAGCGCCAACTATGTGATGACAGTTCCCGGGCTCTGGTCAGCAGACAGGGAGACTTGATATCATCATGGACCAAATCAACTTGAACCGCCTCAAAGATCCATGGCCAGACTCAGTAAAGCGCCTGGACATGACGAAGGGTAAGCTCCGATTTTCAACTCGACTTGCTACGATAGTCTTTCTCTCTGACGGCTCAATCCCAGCATGCGTGCCAGTAGACTGTCGACAAATCGTGCTATTCAGGCACCGCTCATCGGCTTGCATTACAGCTGTCGTCCGTGGCACAGTCAGACATCACCGTCACCGTCTTTTTGTGCATTAAACGGAGCAAGTTTGATAAAGAAACGCTATGGCAATACTCTCTGCATCCCTTCGGCATAGCACCAGTTACTTGGTCGACTATTGAAATCGAATCCAATTCACATCCAAATCGTAGTGTACAGATAATTGAGTATCATTCTACAACTAAGCTAGTGTTACATGCGTTACAATCGAAAGCAACCAGAGCCAGCAGGCACAGTAGACAAGAGAATTATAAAAACGAATTTATGAAAACGGAGTAAAGTAAGTAGTTGAGTAGACGTGAATCCAGTACTAGTACTGCCCATGGTTAAATATCTTCATCTTTATCCTCTAGTTGTGAAGGTTTAATCATTCCAGGAATACGCATGTGCATTTGTCGTTCTTCTTCAGCTCTCCTCTGCGTCTCTGCCTCCCGCTCTTCGAGGAAGAGCTCCGCATTGTCGCTGTTGGAGAACTCCTTCAGCTGTATGAGGAAGTCTCGTAGCGCTCCCTTGAACCGGTTGATATCACTGTGATATTCGCTGAGGTTCGCCACGAAAGTCTGCACTTGGATTCTACAGACAAAGTCGTTAGTACGAGATTCGCCTGTGCGATACGTAGTGCCACTTACTGTGGAACATGAGGGAAAGCTGACCGCAGCAAATTAATACAATACTCGCGAAGACCCAATGCATTTGTCGCATTCGGATTAGTCAACTGCGACGGATCAAACAGCGGTGCTTGGATGATGTTGAGCTCCACGAGCTGGAACAGTCGTGCAAGTAGGACAGTCTGGAGCTTGAATCCACTTTTATGATCAGTGTCCGTCAAGACAAACAAGATGTCTTGGACGATGCTCAGGAAGTATTGCTGGAAGAAGGCTTGGCTGACCGCAGGATCTGCGGCACTCGCAAAGTTATTTACGACTTCAAGGCAGACTGAAGGACAACTTCAGTCACTGCGAGCCACAGATAGAAGGTAACATACGATTTAAACCAAGATCGGATATGTCACGCATAGTGTGCTTGATAGCCCAGTTAATGCTATCGATGAATAATTTAAACTGAGGCGGTGGTATACTCAGAAGTGCTGTTCAACGACAAGGCCTCAGCCCACGATCGGTCCACACAGCAGTCAACGTACCAGGGAAACAGTTCAGATTAATCGTCCGCAAAACTTTAAAGAAGCCCGAGCGATGTTCTGGATATTCTGAAAAGTCTTGATTGATCATATTCAAAGTTGGTTCAAACACCGCGTCCAATATGGCAGGTACTTGGGGTGTTAACAATGGCTAATTCTGCATTAGCACATGTGAACATGAAGCAAAGACAAGCCACGTACCCCGAGACGAGCAGTGATCGTGTTCATGACATTCAAGACTTCAGCATCTCGTGCTGCAGGAACATTGCGATTGTAGTCACCAAGAATGGCATCCAATAGAGGAGGAATGAAGCTGCTGTTAACGGACTCAAGATCTTCCGCCTTCCTGATGTACGTCTCCATAAGCTTCAAAATTTCCTTCTTCACGGTTCTCAGTTGCCGTATTTTGGGTGTTTTGGTGGCAAGGGACCCTACAAGTTGCAATCAGTACATACAAAGCACCCCACGCTCTGACAAGTACCTTCTTTCGCAATGGTTTCGCTGATGATACCGCTCACAGCTTTATACAGGCCAAGCATATCGAGGAAAATACGGCCAACTTGGGGCAGGTAAAAGCTCCCAATAGACGTACACGCCGAAACGTTCGTTTTCAAAACGTTGGCCAGAATTTTGATGTTGTCGGTGCTCGCCAGTACATCCATGCTTTGCGATGCTTGAGCCATAAGTGAATCCCACTGTTAATAATGGTCTAAGTCGGTCTACAGAGCGAGCGATGGCAACTTACAGCATTGTTAGGGAGCTCCATGAGTTTCGCGATCAATTTCTCTTGCTGTGGCTTGTTAGGCTGAGCAGAAATCATGTATCCAACAGCCTCGTAGAATGTGTGAACTTGCTGAGGCGAAAGATCAACTGTATTCCGATGCAAAAGGCGTAAAATCTCGTCCACGAAAGGTTCCGACTCTCCAGACTGTTGCATGACGAAATGGCGTCGACATTTCTGTGCAATTTTTATGAAAGTATCACAAGCCATGTCTTGGACACCTATAGATAGTACTGAGAATGACAGACTTGCGGTGTAAACCTTTTGCTTACCTTCGTGACTTTCATGCATGAACTCGAAAAGCTTGTTGACTACGGTCTTCAAGAACTTCCAATGTGCCTTCAAAAATCTAGGATACTGTCCGACAATGTACATAATGTCAGACGCGACAACCGCCTTGTTGTCCTTCCCTCGCTTGATTTCACAGAGGCCAAGAAGGTCCTTGATAACGGTGACCAAAAAGCGCTTCTCCGTTTCCTCGTCTGCGAAGGTCAGAAAGAGACGAATGGCGTGTTAACAAGGGACTTACTCATCGCTCCAGAGATAGAGCCAATAGCCCAACATAGCGTATTGAGATTTTGCCAAGACCATTCGGAGCCATCTACTTGTTTTGCAAGCTTTTCCGTCAAAATGGTCTCCGTGTCCAACACATCGAGATGTGTAAGGTAAACAAGGAGTTCCCGCATAGATTTGTACAAGACGATGGTGTCACTCTCTTTCATGAATTCGCGGACGATTTCACCCTCTTCGTTTTCGACGATGAGAACCTGGTGCACGTACATAAATTAAAAGAATTTCGAGGATAGTGAGAATTGCTTACTTCTTCGGGCTTGACCATGCGTTCAATGACCACTAGCCGTAGATTGGAAAGAACATCACTGTATATGTTCTTTCTCATAGGCATTCCTCCCAGCATGCCCTGACCATTCGTCCCACCTAGATTTAACCCCATTAACAACCCAGAGTCCCCGATAGGAAGATTTTGCAGCTCGTCATAAAGCTCTGCGACGAGCTTCAGCCAGTACTCGAGACAGATTTTGAATATCTCTCGCTCATCGACTTGAGAAACCTTGACCATGTACAGATGGGCATTAAGAAGAACGTCACGATTCTGCTCTCCTTCGATGGCGCGTACGTGATTAGAAAGGAAGTTGGCGAGAAAAAGGGAAAGATTTAAGACGAGTTCCTGACTTGAATCTCCGGAGTTAGCGTATGCTTGGGCGATGTTTGTGCTTGGGGGTATCATCCGATTCACGGACGTCATGACCATAGCAAAGAGAATGACAAATTTAGGGTCATATTCCGGTCCGACGTTAAGCGCAGCTATTTCCGCTAGACATTTGAGGGTGATATTACGAAACTCCGGCGTCTCCAAAAACTATAACACGGCGTCAGTACTAAGTTATTTGAAAGGAAAGTTTGCACAGACGCGGGTCAAAAGGAGATCAATGACTTTTGTCTCGAAGATATATCCGAGTGGTATCCAATTGAGGAATCTGAGCAGGGTTTCCAGAGTTGCTTTTACGAGGGAAGTCTTGTTGGCTTCCTCCAATACTTCGGAGCAAAGCTTGAAGATCTCAGAGAATTCGCCACACATCTGGTTCTTCAGATTCTTTATCTTCGTCTGCGTCATCTGCTCCGCTGAAAAGTCGAAGATCTCCTCTGACAGTAGCTTCAGGATGACCATATTGTTTTCACAAAGCGAAAGGCTCGTCTTTGATGATTCCACGAGTTCTGAAATGAACGTTGGCCAGTTATGCGGCCATTCTTGTTTGAGAATCTGACGGAAAGTCAAGAGTGAACGGAGCACAGACGACAACGACATGCCTGGACCAACGCAAGGTTGAGCTTATTGACATACGTCTTCTCTTTCCTAGACAGCGTTTCATCAGACGCCACGCCAACGTTGACTTGAACGATGAAGTTCCTGATGCCTAGTGATGGGATGAACAGAGGTAAGCTATGTGGCTAAGACAAGGCAGTTGCAGGACCTTGTCGTTGCTCCTCGGGCAATGTCTTCCACCTCGTAGTGATCAGTTTCTCAAGGATTTGAAGACCGATATACTGGGATACAGTCAATGAAGACACATTTCGAAGTAGAATGCACGAACTTTCGTTTGAGGATGCGATGATGACTCTAGTATGCTCGGAACTCGCACCCAAGCGTCTGGATGTTCTTGGAACCGAGTTAAGATTTGTTGAGCCATTTGTTGCTGTGTAATTTCAAGTCTTAGACCGTAGCTGGTGCAAGAAAGTGGATCACCGTACCTCTGCCCCGGAGCCAGTGTAGAAGGCCATCACGACCTGGTCCATTAGGGCTACATCGAACTCTTTATCGAAGTCGAGAATGCCCTATGAGCCCAGCGATAAGGTATCCAGAAGGATCAGACGAAAGCCACGTACCTCCATGGTGGGAATGAATAGAAAACCAAAGGTGCAGCCTGAGCCTTGGTCGATTATCGAAGAGGTAGTAGATCGGCTGAGTAATCAGCCAAATAAGTACAACAGCCGCACCACCAATCAACAAAATTGATAAAAAAATAATTGCTCTATCCATAAATGTGAAATAATAATAATTGTGGTAGGGTAGGGTACTGACATACTACAAGTTCTGAAGCGGTATGTGGGGGGTGATTTCAGTAGAAATAATGGCAACGAAGCAAAGAAGATAATGATCCTATCTGGCAAGTCTCTGGCTGCCATTGTCTCGTTTCCCTGTAGAACTACTTGCTCGAACATTGGAGCCAAACATTGTAAAACTATGATCACAGTCATCGGCCCACTGACTTCCAGTCTTAGACGATGCGGACATCATGCTCTGGAGAATTTCTTCAACGTTATTTGTCGAAGGCTGGTCAAGGATATCTTGTAGACCAAATGACACGCTTCGCTCGAATATTTCGCTATCACGTATTTGGTCGACTTCGCAGCGAAGGTTGTGCAGAATTCGTTCGTACAAAGCTAAGATCAGATGTGAATCAAAGATCTGCCACGGCGACTAGACGTGCTCACATTGCTCACTGCTCGGCGTGGTTGGCCGTGCAAAGAGTACATAGCATTCAGCCTTTTCTTCGTCAGCTCTCTGTCTTCCTAGTCCAATCTTTTCCTCCCATTTCCGTTCGAAAGCTGACTGAGGTAGCTCATCGTCAGAAGGCGACGTTTTATCGTGACACGTAGAGCCTATTGAACTGGTTGGGGAGACGGCCCGAATGCTTGTATCGTACTCCATGGAAGAGATGACAGTGCCAGTGATGAAGTCGGCAGTGCCGACACCGCCGAGCTGCGATTCTTGGAATCACGTGCTTTGTGACCGTTCGTGTCGCGTATTGAAATTCATTCTCCGAATCTTTCTTCCTCTGACCACCGCGAAATGTCCATCGACGTTGATGAAGCCATGTTTGTTCTACTTTTCCCTCTTGGCCATATCTGATACTCTTATAGTAAACTCATCAGGGACATGGCGACCATGATAGATCCTGATGAGGACTATCTTTCAATTGCAGAGACGAAAGACAGGATTGCTACCTCTAAAGCCGATAGAAAGAAAACGGTAGACGATGCCCATGCCGATTTTAAAGGTAAGAGGTACTTCTTCTCCTGACATTCTTGCTGCCACCGTGTCAGTATAGCCCTTGCTAAAACTCTCGACGCTGCACGAACATCATCTACACGACCATCCTCCGTACTCTCTGCTGAAGCCCATGCATCTGCCTTGAATGAGCTGGATGTATCGGGCCTAACGTTGGGGAAAGCTATTAGCGGCATGGAGGGTCTTGTTGCTAGCAAAGAGGCAGAACTCTCTTCTCTCAAGGAGAGAGCGAGACAGCTTGAAGATTGTGACCCTGCCGCTGAGCATGAACGAGAGTTGGATAGCACTGCGTGAGTACGCCGCTTTAATCATTCACCTCTTGCGGTCCTCATAACATTCTGCAGTCTACGACTGAGAATCTTCAAAGGTCTTGGATTTGAGCCCATTCATGACAATAAGGGAAATCTGACCAAGATGCTAGTCGGTTAGTATTCCGAGTTGTGACAACAGCAGATCTATCAATCCATTTCCAGGCTCATTGACAGGTGATATCCAATGCGTTCAGTTCGATGGGAGGCACACAGAGGTCGAATATACCGAACAACTATGGACAGCGGCCATATCTTAATCTGAATAAACTTAGGACAACTTGTGATCGTTCAGTGCATGCGACCCCATAATGTGTATAATAGTCCATTTAGTTTATTAGAAACAAGACAAAACAGTATCATAAAAGAGAACTTAAGTTAGATAGAAACATGAATATCTTTTATGCCTTCATAGCGGGGTTCTCCTGCTCAAACTGTGTGAAGTACTATCAGTGTTAACATATTCAGTCTGTGCTCGAGATGCTTACACCTGGCTTAACCTTCCAGAACTTCGTGTCTTTACTTTTCTCTCCCACCTCTCGCACCTTGGCCTCGATTGCATTCTTTTTAATCTTGTGTGTCCGCAAGTCTTGGTATATGGCCTCAACGAGGAACGTTAGGTTAGTTGTTTGAAGTGCATTAATCTTGGAAAGCAATAGCGGTAGGTGGGTCTCGGGAAAAACTGTCTTTGGAGGAGGTGCTACTTTCTTTGGCACAGGATCCTTTGGAACGACCAATGGCTGTGTAGCCATGTTGGAGGACTCCTGTGCCTTGGTAGTCCGAACAAGGACCGAAGGTACAGCGAATCCACGATCATCATGCCTGGATGCGGCGACAAATGTAAACGGTGTCTGTTGTGGCATTGAGCAAAACGTAAAAGGATCAACAGGAAAAGGGGTATCTGAGGAGATGAGAATCAATCTCAGTGATGAAAGTTCATACGAGACGCGTACCATTGAAAAGTCTGATGCGATATGGCTTGAACGCGTCGTACAGACATTCGCCGATAGCATCTTCCCAACAAGGGCCTCTAGCGTAAGGCACTAGAGGGACAACCATCTTCCTTTTCTTCGGTGGTTTGTTTTCCGTCGCTTCGGGCTTTCGTTTGGACACACGACAAACGTCGGGTATAAAAGACGTTTCTTTATCTTCCAAGGGTGTTCCCGGCTCTCCGATGTCATCGTCCACAAGCCAATCATCCATATCTGAGTCGAAATCCTCTGCTTCTCCCTCGTCATCGTCATCGTCGATCACGTCGTCTGCTTCGCCAGGTGGTTCTTCTTCCCATTCTTCGCCACTGTCATACGCGTAATCAAACTCTAAAGTGTCTTTATGAAATGGTGTTCGTGGCCCTATTGTTTTTGAGCTTCGTGTCCATGTCCCGAAATAGCCAGGCCGGGCATCATCAGCGAATATGAAGACCTTAGCGGGTACACTTGCACGATCACTAAGCTTAGAGAGCAGGTCGCGGACAAGTCCGGTGTCTCCAGTTACCTCCGCTTCAGAAAGCCGGGTAACCATATCTCGAACTGAAACAGAGCTATACGCTTTGAATGGCGTAGTCCTACGGCGTGTCAAGGAAGGTGCAAGTCCTGTAATAGAAGACAGAATATCCTGTAGACGCTCTATTCACTGTCAGTGAAAGTATTCCTCTGCATGATAGAGTCCCAACCTTGGGATGTCAGTTTCTCAACCTGAACTTCAGAAGATTTATGGCATGTAGTTAATGTTGGTGTTTCCTCGTTGTCGTCGTCAATGACTATAACATTATTTTGTGAACCACATGGACGGTGTTTTTGGAGGAATCGATTCCATGGGGCTAGCTCTGCATCCTTCTTCAGTACAAAGGGCTTGAACATGCGGTCGAAATCTGATATCGCAGTCAATGAACTCGTGATTCGTGTCTCTGACTGGTTGCTCGTGGAAGGAGGAGCAGGACCTTTAGGTTTACTGAAGAAGGTGACCATCAGAGAGCGGGATTTGTTCTGTGATTCTTTTTCTTTTTTCTCTTTCTCCGCTTTCGCAGCCTTCTTTTCCGATTTCTCTTTGTCCTTCAAAATAGTTCAGTGGTAAGAATTGGCTGACAGTCTAAAGCCCGCGCCTTTGCTGCTCTCAGGGGATCCACAGGCTTCTTGGAGCGTTTGCTACTACTGCCACTACTCTGGTTGTCCGACTGCTGGAAAATGTATGTGAAGAGCGAATGCAAATGGATGAAGAGGTCTTACCGGTTCCTTGGATAATTCTCGGCCCTGCTCCGGTTGTGAACAGAAGTGAACGGCGTCCTCCTGGGAGGTATTCGTAGGGAATGCTTGTAACGCGTCTCTTGCAGGAGAAATGGATGTTGTAGCGCCCTTGTAGCCAAGCATCGAATCCCGCTCTTGCTGTGGCAAAGCTTCAAAGAGCGCCTTCAACGCCTTTTTTGCCTAGATTTCTACTCAACAGTTGACCAGAATACTGACTGAAGTTGACTCACCTCAACTCTCTCCGCAATTCTAGCTTCCGTTTTCTCTCGTACAGCTTTGGGCAGCCAATCCTTATATTCGTCCTTCATTTCCCATCTCCAAACACACGAAGATGAAGGGATTTTGACTCCGGATAACACGTCTAAGCCATAGTTGTTGCGGTTCATCGTGGACTTGATGACAGCTTCAACGGCCGTCACAGGTAGAAGAGCAGATACATCTCTATCGTCATCGTTTTGGATGGGTAAGAGTTCTTGTCTAACATGTTTAGCAAGGACTTGCAAGGACTTATCACTGCAAAAGGTCAATTTGATACCAAGAAAACCAACGAGAGCTGCAAACCTTTCGAATGCCAGTTTGGCTACGACAGGCTTAGAGTCATCGGGTATTGTGACCAGAGGGTTACCACTAGATATGCAGCTTTCGAGAAGTTCGCGAAACTTGACGATCTCTACAACATAATAAGGCATAGTACAACAGAAGACAGGGAGACAGACCCTGAAGAGTCTCTGACTGCTTCTCAAGAGAGACGACCCTCTGCTTAAAAATGACTTTGTTGTTTCTAATTTCCACATTCAAAGGCTTTTCGGTCTTCTCTGGAGCATTAACATGCAGGTCAGTACTGTTGCAGCTTCGCGTTGGCCCGTTGACGCACGCGCTTCTGGATTGACTGGAAACGCGATTCAGGCCCAGAATTCAATAAGAAATAAAAAGAATGTTCACCTATGGTTATATTTGGTGTATTCATCGTGTCCTTGAACCAGAAACTTGGGCAAGGACGCGACAGAAAAGATGGTGTGAGAGCAAGAAAAGAGACGACAATTACGCAAGGTCACGCGACTGTGACAACTATGTCTTTCTTCAAACCTCAAGCACAGACGCCCAAGGCGCCACCGAAGCATGCCGTGGATCCTGAACTGCAACCTTGGGTAGAAAAATAGTGCGTTGCTACCCGCGATATCGTTTTATTGTGTCTGACGTCGACAGTCGACCTAAAACTATCGACGATGTCTCTGCTCAGGAGCACACAGTTGCCGTTCTCAAAAAGACGCTGACATCGACAAATGTAGATGTGCTCTGCTGCATTTTTGTTCTTATTAACGTGTCCTAGTTGCCCCATATGTTGTTCTATGGACCCCCAGGGACAGGCAAGACGTCTACCATCCTCGCCCTTGCCCGACAGCTCTTCGGGTACGCGTCCTGCTCAAAAATCTGGATTCTTTTCTCAGCAGTAGGCCCTATCATAGACCAGAAAATTTCCGCAATCGTGTCCTCGAGTTAAACGCGTCCGATGAACGTGGCATTTCAATTGTCCGTGAAAAGATCAAGAACTTTGCACGTCAAACCCCTCGCGCCCAAACTGTCTCCTCAGACGGCAAGGAATATCCATGTCCTCCTTACAAAATTATCATTCTCGACGAAGCCGATTCAATGACTCAGGATGCCCAAGGTGCCCTTCGTCGTATCATGGAAAGCTACGCACGTATCACGCGGTTCTGTCTCGTCTGTAACTATGTCACCAGGTGCGTTCACTCCAAATTTGACTTTGCGGTGCCAGTAAAAGGCTTGTAGAATTATTGAGCCGCTCGCCTCGCGTTGTTCCAAGTTTCGCTTCACGTCCTTGGATAATCAATCATCATCTAGTCGACTAATGCACATTGCTACTGCAGAGCACATCGCAGTAGATCCCTTGGTAGTCGAAACCTTGATCAGTGCTTCCTCCGGCGATCTTCGACGCGCCATCACCTACCTCCAGTCAGCTTCACGTTTGTCTTCGTCGACAAGCCCTCCGACTCCAATAACGCCCCGCGACGTCCAAGAAATTGCAGGCGTTGTTCCTGATGATATCATCAATGATTTTGCCAGTGTCTTGGGCATCGACACGGATCAGGCAATGAGCGATACCACCCCCAAGCCTGGCTTCAAAGGAATAAGATCGGCGGTGAAGGAGATCATTCGAGAAGGATACTCTGCATCTCAAGTATTGTCTCAGGTGGCTAGCTCTTTGTATCACTACATGTACCCTTGTCCTAACATGGTCTTGCCATAGCTACATGATATCGTGGTGCTACATCCGACCTTGAATGCAAAGCAAAAATCGCAGTGTGGTCTCATTTTCGCTGAAGCAGATAAGGCTCTTTGTGATGGAGCAGACGAGGAACTATGGATACTAGAAGTTGGCTTACATGTCAGTAAAGCCGTCTCTTAGTCTTCCCGCACGATAGGTCATTTTTTCCTACTGTACACCTAGATTGAGCTATTGCTCCGATCGAGCTCTATACGTAGTACACTGATATCGATAAGCCACACCGAACATTTGACGCGAGAGCGAAAGCATCAAGTTCAGTAAAACATTATGTAAATGCAAATATCGAGAACAACACAATACAACTGCCTATTTTTGGGGTCGCTCACCGAATACCGGCGGTGGCTTTTTGCAAGGCCCGTTTAATACCAAGCTGCGCCTTCTTCAATTCATCGGCAGTGGAATCCTCAATCTCCAGCTTCTCGAGAGCCCTCGCCAACTCAGCCTCCACCTGCGACTTAGCACCTCGCTTAAGCTTCATACCAATTTCAGGTGATGTGATGGTGCCTTCAACTTGATGAATATACGCTTCGAGATCCGACTTGGCTTCATGGCGAGCAGAGAACTCCTTGTCAGCCATCTTGAATTGCTCGGCATCTTTAATCATTTGGTCGATTTCAGCGGAAGAGAGACGGCCGACGGAGTTTGTGATACCTGATAAACACCATCAGTAAGAAATCAACAAGGGTAATCTCAGAAAATCATACTAATTGAGGCTTTGCGGCCAGATGCACGATCCTGAGCAGAGACCTTCAAGAGACCATTGGCATCGACTTCGAAGGTGGTAACCAATTCGGCCTGACCCCGAGGCATGGGAGGGATGCCGTTAAGCTCGAACTCTCCAAGCAATCTGTTGTCCCGGCACTGGGTGCGCTCTCCTTCGTAGCTGATGAAAGCGAGTTAGTACAAAAAGAGCAGGAAGAACGGTCAACTTACACAGGGAAGGTGACAGTGGTCTGGTTATCCTCGACTGTGGTGAATGTCCTGGATTTATTGGTAGGAATGGGTGTGTTGCGAGGAACGACAACACCGAAGACGTCGCCCTGCATAGCAACACCAAGCGATAGAGGAGCAACATCGAGAAGAAGGAGATCCTTGGTTTGTTCGGATGTCTGGCCAGTCAAGACAGCGGCTTGGACGGCAGCACCGTAGGCGACAGCTTCGTCGGGGTTGATAGACTTGTTGAGCTGACGACCGCCAAAGTACTCTGAAACGAGGGCCTGGATTTTAGGAATACGCGTAGAACCACCGACAAGAACGATGTCGTCAACCTTCTCACGGGGCATCTTGGCATCCTTCAAGACCTTCTCGACGGGGTCAAGAGTAGACTTGAACATCGCAGCGTTGATCTCCTCGAAACGGGCACGGGTAATGTTGGCAGAGAAGTCTTCACCCTAAAGCATGTCAGATTAGCCGGAAGGAATGTTTGATAATAAAGGCTATACCTGGAATAAGGAGTCGACTTCAACGGTGGTTTGCGCAACGCTGGAAAGAGTCCTCTTGGCACGCTCACAAGCGCTCCTTAGACGACGAAGGGCACGGGCATCTTCTGAGATATCAAGCTTTGATTTCCTCTTGAACTCGTTCTTGAAGTGTTCAAGCAAGGTGTTATCGAAATCTTCACCACCCAAGTGGGTATCACCAGCAGTAGCCTTAACGGCAAACACGCCCCCGCTGATGTTGAGAAGAGACACGTCGAAGGTTCCACCGCCGAGATCGAAAATCAGGACATTCTTCTCGGACTTGCTTTGACGGTCTAAACCATAAGCAATGGCGGCAGCCGTAGGCTCATTGATGATACGGAGAACTTCTAAACCAGCAATGGCACCAGCATCCTTGGTAGCAAGTCGTTGGGAATCATTAAAGTATGCGGGGACGCTGTCAAGAAGACATGAGCAATGCAGCCAACACCATCGAAGAACCATCATACGTGACAACAGCCTTCTTGACAGTTTTGCCGAGCTTAGCCTCGGAAATTTCCTTCATCTTCGTAAGGACCATGGATGAGATTTCCTGTGGGCTGAAGGTTTTGTCCTCGCCAAGGTAGTTGACCTTGATCAGAGGCGATCCGTCCTTCTCCACAACCTCAAAAGGCCAGTGGACGATGTCCTGAAGGGGTAAAAAGATGGAGTTTGGGGGGGGGGCCTCACTAAGTGGATAAATTTTTCATACCTTCTTCACATCGGGATCACTGGATACCAGGTAAGAAAGGGCAACATAAATGAAAACAGAAAAGACCCAACTCGAAACGACGACCAATGAGCCGCTTAGCATCGAAAACCGTGTTGCGAGGATTCATAGCAGCCTGATTTTTTGCGGCATCACCGATCAATCGCTCTTCAGCAGAGAAAGCGACGTAGGACGGTGTCGTCCGATTGCCCTCTAAGTATCAATAAGCACAATTTTGAGTCACGTCGAAAAAAAAAAGACGGCTCACGGTCGTTGGCGATGATCTCCACTCGGTCGTTCTGCCAGACACCAACACATCTACGTAGAACCCATGAACAGCGTCCAGACGGCATGAAAAGAGAGAAACATACGAGTATGTGGTACCGAGATCAATACCGACAGCGCCATCGAAGAGATCATCCATTTTTTGAAGAAGTGGGAAGGGAGGGAGGGGATTGGGGCACCGGTTGCGTTGTGGGAGGGAAGGAAAAAAAATAGGCTAAAAATTGATGGCTGAAGTAAGCATAAGCCGAGCACAGCCACCGCCGTTTTCTTATGCTTTCACATCACGCAGGCAATTTGGCCAAGCGATGTATACCAGTCAAACGATTCGCTCGTAGCCTGTACAGACTTTCTGCCACCGACAATGAGCCTGAAAACAAGCGTCTTGAGACGGCCCAGGACTGGACTGAGTTCCAGATGGATCGTGTGCAGCGGACAACACTGAGTGCGTCCGCGGTTCATCCCATTGATATATATTTATTAAGTTCTGTTCTGTCTAGTCAAGCTTATGGAACAGTATGGTTCCACCCAAACCCGCGAAAATACCTGGACACTACGGGATTCCCTTCGAAGGCCCCCAGCAGAAGCTACCTTGTCTGCCCTTCTCGCGACTGGAGCTCATTTTGGTCATGCAGCCTCCATTATGAACCCTAATTTCATGCCATATGCCTATGGTGTGAGAGCAGGCATTACCATCATTGACATGGATCGTACACTAGCTCTACTTCGTCGCGCGGTCAACCTTGTTCGATCCGTTGCTCACAACCGTGGACAGATCGTCTTCGTTGGCACACGAGCAGATATTCGCCCTGTGGTTGAGAAGGCCGCTCGACGTGTAGGACGCCAGGGATATCATGTCGGGGAGCGGTGGCTGCCAGGCACGTTGACCAACAAGTTCCAAATGTTCGGCGAGGAAACCGTGACCAAAAATAAGGTCGTGCCAGACCTTGTCATTCTTCTCAATCCTCTCGCAAACATGAATGCAATTCGTGAATGCGCCGTCGAACACGTTCCTACCGTTGGAATCATCGACTCTAATGCTGACCCCCGCCTCGTCATGTACCCCATACCTGCCAACGATGAAAGCACACGTACAGCCGAACTTATTGCTGGGATACTCAGCGTTGCCGCCAGAGAGGGCATTGCCATCAGGCAGCAAGTGTTGCACACACCAGACTTGTGGGAGATAGACGAGAGGATGAAGAAGACCATTCAGGCAGACTTACCTGATATTGACTTGGCCACCGATCCCTTCGCTACACATGACGACGAGTCTTCCCCTCAGAGTGGGTCCCAGAGAGGGCCGCCGCAAAAGTCCGACGGATATGGTTGGGATTATTGATACTGAATACACATTCCATTTTCTATCCCTACTACTTCTGTCCCTGTCCTCGCTGAAATTCGTGCCAATAGTCTGAAAGGTAAGAGTATAAGCTCCGAAGTCTCTAATAAAAATAGGAAGTTCTTACGTTCTGCTTGCTCTAAGGCTCGAACATTCCCTTTCAGCTTGTTGATGGTCTCGATGTATTCATCTTCCTCTTCGCTATCAAAAACTATCCCTCCTCCTGCTTGAAGGTATGCTGTACCATCTTTAAACACCATCGTTCGGATAGCAATACATGTATCCATTTCGTCAGCTGAAAAATCGAAACGGCCAACCGCGCCTGCATAAACACCGCGACGTTCTTTTTCAAGCGAGGATATGATTTCAATGGCTTTAATTTTGGGTGCACCGGACACCGTCCCTGCAGGAAATATGGAGCGAAAAGCGTCAAACCTAAAGCAATTATCAGAAAAGTTTCGGAAATCTGCGGCAAGCAAACCTGGTCAACCCTTCACGTAGCGTTCCAGAGACTTGAGACGTCAAATGTATTACATGGCTGAATTTTTCGACCTTCATGAGATGGTCCACCTTGACTGACTTAGGTTCGCAGACACGATTCACGTCATTTCGCGCCAGGTCCACAAGCATTATATGTTCTGCGCGGTCTTTCTCGGAAGCTGACAAGATAGCCCCTAGCTTAGCATCCTCTTAGAAGCAAACGTCAGTAGGTATGAAAACAGCAAACGCAGCCGCTGACCTTCTGGTGTCTTGCCGCGCCTTGTTGTTCCTGCTATGGCATGGTTAAACACAACGTTTTTCGCGACTTTGCAGAGCGTTTCAGGACTCGCGCCAACGATTTGCAGGTCTCCGCAGTCAAGATAAAACATGTATGGACTCGGATTGACCTGTCGCAAGTGCCGATATGCATTGAACGGATGCAGAGATGTAGGACGCGCAAGTCGTTGAGATGGTACAGCCTGGATGATGTCTCCTGCTACTATATGGCTTTTCAATTTTGTGACAAACAACTCGTATCCCTCCTTTCCCACATTGGACACACTTTCACTGCCAAGTGTGGTTATCGGAGGCTGGGGAACTTCGGGAGTAGTGTTTACCAGGAGGGCTTTGGCTAGTCTTCGAGCTTTGGCCACAGCAGTTTGATACACGAAAGACAAATTTCCGGTGCCAGCATTTTTGGGGCTGAACACATGAGATACGACTTTCAGGGTCTGGAATATGTGGTCGTATACAACGAGAGTGTCGACAAGCATGAAAACAGTTTCGGGTATCTGCAAGGTATCCTTGAGTTCACATGCCGTCTTGGGCTCGAAATGTTGGATACAATCATAGGATATGTAACCGATAGCGCCGCCGGTGAACGTGGGTATCTCGGGAATTTTGACATATTGGTAGAGAGACAGTTCTTTCTGGAGAATGGACATGGGATCGCCATTGTATTCCTCGCCAGGGCCCGTTTTGATTATTTTGAAGGGATCTAATAATATTTGAAAACGCCGCCATAAGAAAAGCAAGTGCTGCTCACCAGCGCCGATGAAGCTATATCGACCAATGCTTTCCCCACTGATACCAGATTCGAGAAGAAAGCTGTACTTTGAATCTTTGGCAATGCGCAGGTAGGCCATACATGGTGTTATCAAATCCGCTGGCAGTTCAACGTAGACGGGCACGCAGTTTCCTTGTTTTTCATCAACGATGAGCTGTTCAACTGTTTCCAGAGAAGGATATGAAGGTAAGCTCTGGATAAGGTCAATTATCTCAATAGCTCGAGGACCTGCAGTGACTCACTTGGATGTCCATCAGCGACAACGCAGAAGGGAACGGCGTCAATATAGGAGAAAATGGCAAAGACCAAGTACAAATACCGGTCAAATGTTTGAACGTCTAAGCGTGACTCAGTCGCGATCCAGCATGATCACCCCGCGATTTTCGTGTCGACAAACCGTCGAATCTGTCATTATCTCTGTTTACTGTCCGTCTGTCAGGGTGAGTTGCACGTCTGCCACTCCAGGCGTTTTCTGAAACAATTCCAGGCGTCGGACGTCGAGTTAAATGTCGACCACACTCTGTTCACGCTCCATATAAATCCGTATTTCTTGCGTGTCAATTTCTCTCACGCTTTACTTGAGGACGACAAGTCATCCGCGGCATACGATGGCGGAACAGGTTACCTCACTGTTGTGCTAACAAAGCAGACGCGAGGGCAGGAATTCTGTGATTTGGATCTTTTGGCAAAACTGTTGGCACCTCGCCCATTGAGCAATCAAGTCAAAATCGAGGTACTTGATTCGAGCCCTGAGGATGATTCTGATCTTGTTGCGAAAACCCAGGCTCTTAACATCGAGCCTGATGTATTGGAAGGTTTCCACTTTTTTTATACTTTCATGGGAATATATTGACGATGTTTACCAGCCGCTCAGAATGATTGGCAGATACCTCAGAGTGTTCCTGACCCTCTACCTCCATTGCATCTATCAACATCCTATGGCTTTTTGAATCGGCATTCTGGATTCTTCGTTCATGTTACTCACACTGAAAATGAAGTCAATGAATTAGGCGCTGAAGTGGAACAGTTGTCACCCGAGGAAAGACGTCATAAACGCATACAGCACGAGGATGATAAATGGGATGAAGAGTATTACATGTAAAGCCTTCTCTCGACTTCTGATGTAATGCAACCAACAAACATTCTAGGGCGGACTTCGCAGAGTCCAATAATATCGAAGCGTTGTTGTCGTGGTCCCATCCTCACATCAAAGCCTCCGGCGATTTCCATTTTACTGAGACCGAGGAACTCGTCATACTGAATCTGCCGCGAGTGGAGTGTAAGGCGCAGTTTCCCTCCTACCGGCCTTTACGTTGATCTGATATGCGGCAGTTCTCGCGACCGCAATGGAAACACACAATCTGTACTTAACTCTGATCAACCTATTATTTTCATATTCATACGAGACCCGGACCACGCACCATGACCCCACTCCCGAAAGTGCTTGGACCATCAGTTCACTAACACCCTGTTTCTCGGCGCTAGATCCTCCACCATACTACGATCAAACCCTCTCCCATGCGGACATCTTTACTCCATCTGAAATTGCTTCTACCTTCCTTGCATCGTATAGACGCAGCCTCGCCTTTCCCCTTTACCGCTCCTTTGCTCTGGCCGAGCGGTGTCGCTTAGATGTCGCCGAGCTGCTAATGAAAGGCAGAAGGACGCTGGCCCGATGCCTATTGGAAATAAAGGACATCCTGGACCATCATGAAGTCTATTATATTTACAGCAAAATATGGGTGAATGATTTTTGTGTCTGGATTCAAGCCTATGCGAAGTATGACATACTTCTGTCTCTACGATACCCGGGCTGACCATCATTATTCTAGGGATGAAACTCTGCAGCTATTAGGGAAATCCGTGAAATCCGCAAAAATAGCCAAGTCTTCGATTGGTTGGGATCTCGAACAACTTGAGGCATTGGTCCTTGATGCGCAAGTAAGGAGCTCAGACAGCGACGAAGATTCGGACGATGATGACATCTGATGGCCCTGCGCCAGTTCGAGGGCGTTGCCCACTTCCCGTCACAACCACCTATAAGTAGCTCTCCCAGTGAGGTTTGACGACGCCTTTAGGTTGATCGATTGACACGACTCGTAATCTCAATCGAGTCTCTACTTACAGAGCGTCAAATGCCGGAGCCGTGTTGTAGACATCAACTAGACAATACGACTTGATCAATGCATATACGCTGGATCTAACAAGGTCTTCAATCAAGTTTCCGTCCAGTTTTTAAAACGATTTACATATGTCTAAACTTGATTCTTCTGGCTCTAATGGCGCTTTCGGCACATGGACGATATGTCCACGAGTCTAACGGTATTACGATATTGTGCCAACAAATAATGCTCTATCGATAACATACCACCACTTGGGTTTCGCTGTATCTGGTATGTCTTGTCCCAGGCATACTAATCAGTCGAAATCATTCATGTTTGATGTCCTCTTATGTGCCACTTTACGATCCGATGACCGTCATTAGCCTTTCGTTTCGTCGTATACAGCACGTACGTACGTATTACGGTATTTGTGCATGTCGCAGGTTTGAACATAAATATCATCGCCGGATTACTTCCCCGTTCCGAACATTCGCCAAGTCCATATGCAGTGACGGATGTCAGATGCTCCACGTCGAAAGCGAATATTAATGCGAATGAATAAGTGTCCAACACATTACAATTATTATCCACGAATAAAACGAAATATGGCGTATTCTAAGCCGTACGGACAGCTGGCTTCCTGGCATGAGCTGTCTGCTCTTCGGGAACCACATCAAAACCACTCTGCCCGAGATCTGCCGGAAGGGTGGCAGTCTCATCCAGTGGAGATGATAGAAGACCTTCTTCTTCTTCTGGTAGACGGTTCTGCTCGGTGGTTATGGGTAGTAAAAATGGCGGAGTAGGAACGAGCCCGTTGAACATGAACTGTGACAAAGATTAGTCGGGGCTACTTCGTAAATCAGATGCAATATTACCGTGCCGTAGCTGTGTACGAAATTTTAGTGTACAAATAACTCGTGAAGATATGAAAACTTACACCAACAGTGAAAATCCGAGAACCTGTAACAATGAGACAGGCCACAAAAGTCTTTCCCAGCCCAGTCCCAAGCTAATTATCCAAATAGAAAGCGTCCTGCAGGTGTCCGTCAAAGAGCGAGCGGTTGCGCTGACATGCCGCGTAACACTGAGCCCGAAATAATTGAACAAGGAAATGCTGCATGCAATGGCAATACCAGAATACAACACAGAAGGTGTGTCAACCATCTGGTGCCAGCCTCGGGGGATATCAAAGAACATCGACTGCTTGGAAACGGACGGTATAGAGAGGATAGGGAGAATCAGCAGAATGGAAATAGCACCGAACAAGCCTTCATAGCCGACAGCGACCAGAGGGGGAACTGAATATTGACCTGAAGATTTAAGTCAGCAGATTTGATGAATAATACATTCAGGAAAATCTCGGTTACGAACCCATGATCTTCTCTATAATGCAGGTGGAATTGAATAAAGGAAACGTTACGGTAAGGAATGATAACGGACCTTCAATAACAAACTGAGTTGCCGTGCTAAGATGAATGTCAGTCAAGTATATCAGGTATCCATGACAAAATTAGCATTACAAAATTTGCGCAAAGAGGATGAAGAAGATGCCTAACGTGGGTTATTAAGAAGGCCTGCCAAATACACGGGAGAAAATCCATACCGACGAGAACAGTGGTTGCCTCGGGCTTCTCGTTAGGCTTTAGCGGCGGCAAGTCGGAGCTGGCTGACGCAAGCCAGGTTGGCATGGACTGTCCAACAAATTCTTTGACGGCGTCTTTAATGAGCGATCCGCTGAAACCGACTAAACCGACACCAGCCATAACCACAAGAAGGGAGACCCATCTAAGTTGAAATTCGACTTTAGAATGAGGAGGTACGCAAGTGGAAACAGGAGACTGAACTGGTACAACCAAAGCTGGCGACGAAGGAACGCGACGCTAAAGAAGCCAACAAACAAGACAAGGCCCCCCCGAGTCATTTGATAGATTGATACAGGTGTATACAGCAACCCGACATTCATCAGCTGTGAAAGTTGAGCTGAAACCTGGCTCAATATCACACAAGTTGCACACGTACAGTGGTTCCGGTGAGGTCACACGCCGCGGGAATCCATAGGAGCAAGATCTTGGCGCCAGTGAGAGTTCGAGGTGCGTTCTTGAGAGGGATAGACGCTCCGAGTTGGGAGTCGGTATCAAGATGGATAGAAGGTGTTCGACGCCTAGATTGTATCCACGTGTATAGTACGGGAAGGAAACCTTGGGACAACTAAGTGAATCAAGCGACCAAGGTACGAAGATAACACCTACATAGCATTTCTCCGACTGATACGGTTTATCGTTAACTAGACAACAAGAAGAGCGAGTATCAACACTGACCAAACATCTGGAGAGTCTGCCATACAGGCTGTTCATACAGAACACGATGGCTGACATCTGGGTCGTCACAGTTCTCGACACATTGCATATCCTAAACGTTGGTCAACAGGGGGCTACCTGAAGACCGGCTTGCATACCTGCCATTTGCTCCAAAGCGAATTACTGGAGCCCTAGAGAAGAATATTAGCATGATATAGAGCGATAATCCAGACGGTATACAGTAAGTATCATGCCTGCCAGGAGGAAGGGAATGTAGAGAGCATGCATCGAGGGCATTGTGGAGGACGGGAAGCGACGTAGGCAAATAGGCAATCGGTTTATTTCAAATTATTTACATAAGAACCACAGTTGATACGAAATAAATAAATAAATAAATACCCTTCTGTACTATATGGCTCCAAATCTCCTGCTTCTTGACGAACTTCTTGGATCTCCCACCGCTCCCCCCTCCCATTTCGAATGGTCCGCCTCATCCTAGGCTCTACGAAAGGTGCGTCCCCACGCCGTCGCTCGAAATCCGGTCTCTTATCCGTCTCTAGGCAATGGCGTACGTTACTTTCCCTACACTGGATACCTCGGCTTGACTCCAGTGAAGGTGGATGGAGGTCAGTCTTGTTCGTCTGCTCCATTCCGTCGCTGATGTGCCCCAGCGGTCCTCACCAGACTCGACCAGGACCTCAAAATGCTTCCAGCAAGATCCATCACTGTTTCCGTCCGGTGTTACGAGCTAGTCCTGGGCCGCGTTGGTGTCTTACAGTCAAATGTGTTGGTGGATTACACCAAGGTTCTTTGGGAAAAGCCAGAGGGCCAAGAGTATGGCGAAATTGGCGACCTCGAGCTTCCTTTCCGGTTCTCGATCCCCACCAAGGTCGGCGGCCTCAGCACGGCGTCTTTTGTGGAATACAGGTGTCTATGGCGTGTCGAAGCTAGTGAGTCTTCGTCTGCCTCATTTTCCTGCATTCCGAGCTGAATTACGACCAGTTCTCAACCATATTCCTATAACGGTCGTCGGTTCTCGCCAAGTGAAGCACGCTGAATTACCTCTAACTCGCTACGACACTCCTGCCAACTTCCTTCCTTCCCATCGTCGTCAGCAGTCAACATCTGTGCCTCTTCTCGACCGTCAGACTTCCAAGCCCCGTGCTCCCCGGATTTGTTACGCCATAAAGACTCCATCGTTTCCCGTTGGTCCCATGGACCTGGTGTCCGTCCACCTATATCTCTTACCTAACGATGCCTCGGTGTCGATTCGAAGTGCGAGCGCCATCATTGAACGCCGTATACACATCAACGAAGCTTCAGCGCCCTCGACGGTACCAGCATCTTACTCTAATACCTCCAGACCTACAAGTCAAGCCAACTTTGAGCATCACTCACCAACGCTGTCACCATTATCGCATTCTCCAATTTCATCATACCAGGACTCGCACCATAATACCCATGCATCTACATCATCTTCATCTCTGTCTTCTTCCCATCCTACTATCACCCCAAACTCAGTTTTCCCTTCGACAACTACCCTTTCTAGTGCCGAAAAACGGCCTCTGCTTCATGTCGGGAGTTCTTCGGAGAGTGCTTCGACCTCAGTCCCGCTTATACAGTCAGAGATGCCTCACGGTCGCACATCTGTTCATCCTGTTGCCGGAATGGAATCCTCAGGTCCATTCACTCGCGATCAGAACGGTATCCTTACCAAAACACTCACTGTACCATGGCCGGTTCCGAAGTCCAATAGCCGATGGGCCGTTGGAGAAACTGTGATAACCGATTTCGTATCCGTCAAGTTCTTTGTCCGTGTCAAGGTTAGTACATGTCGTTGTCATGCCTGCCGCTTCTCACATTAAAATGCATATAGGTTGTCGTAACCAGCCCTTCTGGCACAGAGTCCTTGGAGCTAGAAGAACGGGAATTGTTTATTGTGTCAACTAATGATGCAGAACGCCAGCTTGCCCTAGCAAACTACGAATCACTTCAGCAAGCGGCCCTTCGCTCAAAATCTAAATCACCCCGACGCTCCCGCCGGACGCACGATGACTTGCCGGGAACCCCGGTACCCCGTCCACCGTCCGAGCGATCAGATGGGCATACAGTTTCTTCCGGATCATCACGACAACCGACCAGTCACTCTGCGAAGGGTAAAGCGCCTATCCGTAGGCCACACACTAGTGCAGGCCCACGAGACATGTTGGCAAAGTTTTCTGTATCACGCCCACCTGAGCGCGAACCCGTGCCGTCGCTAGAAGTATTCAAGAGAATCAAGTACTATCGACCAGGGACAGTGGACTCTGGGAGAAGTGGGGGACAGTATCTGTATGCGCCAAGAATGAGCGTCGCTCCAAGTGGAAGCAGTACAAGCTCGGGGACAAGCAGCATGACGAGCATCACCTCCAGCAGTTCGAGTTGCCGAAGCTTAGAGGAAGTGAGGGAATGGGAGCAGGAACTGATGAGGATCGAAGTTCAGAGCCGGAGATCGAGTGACTTGATTGGCTTTGCATACAAAAGAAACCGACCGAGCACTAGCAATGCGAGACTACTTGTGGTGGCAGGGAAATCCTAGACTCACAAGTAGCGCTGAAGGGTGCTCTGAATGCTCTGCCAGGTTGAGTTGATTTACATAGCATTTATCGATATCTTTTTCGCATTTTGTATTGTTGTTAAACGTATATATGCTGTTCAGTACCTCGCTATCCTAGTACTAGTAAACGTCGATGTAACAATGTATTTTCTGGATTTCTGTACGCTGCCAGCCAAGAGGTTCGAGCCTCGCTGCATCAATTCCGAGTCGGAAAGAACAGCCGAGTAACAAATTTAGACTGACGTAAGAATTCTTATTTGTTCTGTTTCAATCATGTCTGCTCCAGGATTTCCTTGGTTCAGAGTCACAGGAGCAACAGCTGGCTGTAAGCACCCAATCTTATTATGTCCTGCAACCTTGCATCTCTGATATAGTGTTCTGCTCCATGTATACTTGTTATTTCACTTCCACCTTCTGTCGACATCTCGGAATTTCTGGAATACGAAAATCATCTTTCATTTCCATTTTGCGGGATCGCGATCCATGCATGATACGTCTGAATACGCGGTGTCTGCTTAGTGGTCGGTCTAGGCTACCTTCTTATGAAAAGTATGCGGGAAAATATACAAGTATGCCTGCGTATCTTGACGCTTCTCTCCAGCCACGGTTCCTACCGAAGAGCAGCTATACAGTGTGAGTCTGTACAGTCGTATTCACCGCTGCAAAAATGTTCATGCCTCTATGCAGAGAATGCCGCCTGACATGCAACGTAAAGTGGACGCTGCCCGAGCTGCGCGACTTGAAAGAGAAGAGCAAACTGCTCGGCAACTACAAGTGCAGGCGCGTACAGCTTGTTCTCTTCCCCGTTTTTCTTCCATTCATCATGCCTCTTTCCTATTTCCAACACATGTAAAACCAAAACCGCTGTCCGCGTTAATCCCTCTCCTTCGCCGTCTTCGCCTTAAACTATTTTTGGGATACCCTCTGCTGCTACCTTAATTTGCGCCGTTCCATGTATAGTCAGCACAGGATGATAGCGATCCCGATTTGCGGAAACCCATATGGGACCCTTCTCGCAGGAAATGAGGCTAGGGAGCGGCTGTACTACTGATGTATATATTATGCTTACGCTTTGCCGGTCCCGTCGAGAAAAAATTTGGGTATATGGGTCATCATTGTCACTAGTTTGTAGCCGAGACTTCAACTTCTCGCCTAAAATCATGAATGTATTTATACTTATCGGAAACAGGTTAATTACTAGTGAACGGAGATGCCGAGAGAAACACTGGTAGCGGTGCAGTGAATGCTGGTACTTAAATAAGCTGGGGCACTATTACGTGCTGGAGGTGTAGTATGGTCTATCGTTACGAATTACAGTCAAATGCTAGTGATGAGTCTGAGATTGTCCAAATAGGTCATCATGAATTTGCTCGATCATACTGATCTATTGCTCCCTCTGTGATTGTAGTGAATACGAGTGAAAGAAGAAGAATGATCCGACTTACCCTACATCTCTGCTCTCGTCTTCTGTCGGCAACCGCGGCTGCGAATATGCAATCATCTTGCTCTCGCTTAATAACGGCTCTTGTGTTATAGATTCCGGTGACGAAGGTAAGTTGTCATACGATATCCCTGGTGCCGTCTGGGAATCTGCAGAATACACTGAGGACGGTAGAGAATCCACATGAATAGGCGATGGACGTTTACTATGTTGACCATCCGACGGTGCACGGAAACTAGTAGGTTCCGGTGGAGATTCCATTGGGATATCAATCGTTATTGCAGGAATATCATGAGATGGGTTGGAAGGCGTTTGAGGTTCGATAATCGTAGCGTTCATACTAGGGGGATCATGGCTGGCATTGGGCACGGCACTTGCAGTGGAAGTAGCACTTAGAGCAGCATTCAATGTACTGAAAGGAGGGGAGTTAGACGTTCGTTTCCGCCATGATGAATCAGTAGGGGGTGATGGAGTGCGACTTCTGGACGGTATAAATGACCTGCGTTCACTTGTAGAGGATTCTGTACCAGCTGGTGATGGCGACGGGAGAGATGTCGAGGACGTAGAAGATAAGGTAAGTGAACTGGATGTTTGATCTGAAGGGGGTACCTCAAGCGACGAAGGTCCTGTGCCAGAAGACTCTGCAGTAGTAACTGCTGCCTCGGGATCGCTGGCATCCACAGCCTTCTTCTTCTCCTCTGCTTCTTTCCGCTGCTGTTCTTCATGCTCCAGTAACGATAAACGCATTGCCTCCATGACCATGAGCTGTTCATTGATACGTCAAGATCGGACCCTCCAGACAGATAAAGTGTTCCTACCTCCTCCAAGTCCTGGCCACCCAAACCGATGTACTGCTCGAAACCCGGATTCGAGGAAGCTTGTTGTCGCCTACGAGATCGCCTACTCCCACTTATATCTTGGTTCTCCGCCGCTGCCGCCGCTTCTTCTGGACTCAGAGCATGCACACGCCCACTTGTTACACCAACAGGAATGATGCGATCGCCTACTTGTCGCATAATTATCCGCCTGTTCGCGCGACGAGTAACAGCTGCTCTCACAGCGGCCAACTTGGCCTCCCAGTCAGGCCGAATTTGATCTTGAAAGAATTGACGACGGTAAGGATTGTCACGAGGAAAACCAACATATGAGACCAACCAGTCGTCACAACCTCTGGACTATCCGCACTGAAACTCTTCTGCCGACGTTTGTGTGTCGGATAACCTGCTGATGGTATCGACGGTTGAGAGCCTTTAGGTGAGTCGGATGACCACGGAGAAATCTAGTAAGCCAGCCGCATTAAATCAGAGTCCGATGTAGAGACACTTGAGAGCCACACACCGCCCCATCACTTCCAAAACCTGTCCGCCATGGAGGCGGGGTATACACTACACCAAAATGCTCCTGGACGCAGTAAGGACAAGCGGCAGGGTCAGAAACTAGATGGGTGGTAGTCGGTTCGCTCCGCTTTATCTGTACAAAGCATTCGGTGCAAATAGGATGGTCACAGCAGCGAGAATGGTTGATGTTTGGGGGATAGTACTGAGAGACATGACGTAATGACGAAAGGTTGTCGTCAGAGCAGTAGCGGACTCACAAGAAAGCAAATAGGACACTCAACAGCGCCTCTGTAAACGGATGCCTCAGGACGCGCAGGTTCCTTGAGCGTGCTCGGTCGTTTGATACTTGACTTGGATCCATTCGAGATGGATGCGGCTTCAATTCGTGTAGTCTGTTCTGCATTCTCGGGGTCCGGTAGTTCCTTCCTAGCGGCAAGTATCTGGTCGTCATCCCACGATTCCTCGTAATCCTCTAGTGGCCGGTAAAAGGGTGCTAGTCGTCGGGCACAGATGAGCTGGGAGACGACGGCTTGGTTCCAATCTCTGGGACCTGTGTAAACGCCCTGGGGCGAAAGATGGCCAAAGTCCACAGTATCATCGTGATGACCACGGCCTGAAGATGATGAGCTATTTCCCATACTGACGCCTGCACGAGAGACGAGGGAATGAAAGAATCCCCCAAGCGCTTTGACTTGGATCGTTGCTGTCAGTGAGTAGTAAGTGGCTGTTATGTGATTGTTTGCTGCTATTGAATTCGCCGTTCCAACCGAGGTCCCACGACGCGCCCACAGACATTGCTAGAAAACAAGCCAGAGTGCGACAGAGGTAACGATTATGGTACCATTCTATACATATGTTCTTCGAGCTGTATAACCTGGAGATTTTTAATTCCACCATACTTGGGTCACAAATTATCTTCAAGACTCTAGGCGCACCAATACCTTGTCTCTGTGAGAGTCTCTTCGACGAAGCTACAAATCTGCCAAGGTTCTTGTCAAGAAATAGAAGGTAGCATGTGCAGAGCATGAGAGGGCTGCAAGTGGGCCGTCTTTGATTGTAATAATATTTCCCTGTGATGGAAGGACTTGAATGCGCTGTCAAATGTAAAGAGCACAGTGAAGGAGACTTTCAAGGTATTTCATGGGTCTGCGTGAAGACCAATGGCGCATTAAAAGTGCCTGCGCATGCAGCAATGATGTCTGTGCTGATAGGCCTAGTCCTGGTTGGTCCGATAAAATTTGAAGAATTGATAGCGGGGCTGGGACTTGGCCAGGTGTAGCAGTAGTCTGTTGCTTCCCCAAGGAAATTCAAAACCTTATTTTTGATAAATCCAACCGATTCCCAGTGGCTGCTGAAATATGATTGTCTCATCGAGGGAGGTTGGAAGTTGTTTCTCGAACAGAGTCAAATTCTGTCCTTCAGGCCGAGGTTGTGCTTTTTGATTCAGTCTGAAAGATTCTAACTTTGCAGGGTCCAGTGCGTTCTCCCTCATCAAAGCATAGAATCTCTTGCCATTTGTGCATGTTACTGGGAGGTGTACCTGAAGCCCAGAACCTGGAAGGGTATTACTTTGGCATTATATTGAACGTACACATGACCTCACTGGCAAGAGGTAGCTAGAATAGACTGGTATAGTAACCAAGGATGTCGACAGCAGAGTGAAAGCTCCTTTCGAGTGAATACGGGCAGAGCGAGCAACGCCTGATGGTAATCTGGCTGGGTTATTGCCGTAGGCAGGAGCAGTGTTCCTAACCGAGATTCTGGTCGTCTTTCACATGGTGATCACCAAGCAGTACGATGGTAATACACCAATACCAGGCAGTACCAGTGGCCAACAACGGTATAGTAGCAAGGATCAAGCGGTAACAGGCTTACCGGATGGTATGGTATGGTCGAGTATGGTCGAATGTTCGGGAGGTGACGTGGCCGCGTACTTCCACGTGGAGCATCCATCGTTCCTTCAAATTCTCGCTGGGCGATCTCAGACTCTTTTTCCTTGTCACCCATATTTTCGGCCAACTAGACGATATAGCTTGAATACCCGTCTGCTTTCGTTCTTCATACCCCGGTATCATGGAAGCTCCCTGGACAAAGTCTCCGGAAGAAATACTTCAACATTTTGGCGTGGACCCAGCCCGCGGTCTAACTTCTGCCCAAGCCGCTAAGCATGCTGAGCTGTATGGGAAGAATGGTACGAGTACATTCCATGCTTCAGGGCCGCAATTCCTCACTCAATCGCTTTAGAGCTACCCGAAGATCCTCCTACTCCTCTCTGGGAGCTAATTCTAGAGCAATTCAAAGATCAGCTTGTCCTCATCCTACTTGGATCCGCTGTCGTTTCATTCGTCCTTGCCATCTTCGAGGATACCGAAGGCGGTCTTTCCGGCACTGCGTTCGTGGAGCCACTAGTCATATTTCTCATTTTAGCGGCCAATGCGACTGTTGGCGTCATCCAGGAAACGAATGCCGAAAGAGCAATAGACGTACGCTTCGATTTAAATGTCTCTCCGAATCTCTCTAAATTCTACGATAGGCTTTGAAAGAATACTCGCCGGATGAAGCCAAGGTCATAAGGTCCAGCCAGCTTGCGCGAATTCATGCCTCAGAACTTGTTCCTGGTGATATCATATCCATATCTGTGGGAGATAAGATACCAGCAGACTGCCGATTAATCTCCGTATCATCGAGTAGCTTCAGGCTCGACCAAGCTATTTTAACGGGAGAAAGTATAAGTGTCAACAAGTCTGTTGATGTCGTTGCCGATGCTAGAGCTGTCAAGCAGGACATGATTAATATCTTGTTCTCTGTATGCCATGTCTACTTGCCACTAGTTCACGTATTAACACATCGCCAACTAGGGAACAACCGTGGTTAACGGGAACGCGAAAGCAATCGTTGTTTTTACCGGAGAACATACTGCCATTGGTGATATTCACAAATCCATCATATCGCAGATTTCAGACAAGACGCCTTTGAAGCGCAAGCTCGACGATTTCGGAGACACCCTGGCTAAAGTCATCACCGTCATATGCATTCTTGTTTGGATAGTCAATATACGCCATTTCTGGGACCCTTCACATCAAGGTGCTCTACGCGGTGCCATATACTACTTCAAAATTGCAGTGGCCTTGGCTGTCGCCGCAATTCCAGAGGGTCTTGCTGCTGTCATCACTGCATGCCTAGCACTCGGCACCAAGAAAATGGCCCAGAATAACGCTATCGTCCGTAACTTGCCCAGTGTCGAAACTCTAGGATGTACAAACGTCATCTGCTCTGACAAGACAGGGACATTGACCACGAATCAAATGAGTGTTTCGAATGTACGTCTGATATATAGCGGTATGGAAACAGATGGCTGACGTTCTTGTTTAGTTCGTCATTGTTGATGAATCAGGCCGTCCCCGTGAATTCGTCGTTGAAGGCACCACCTTCTCGCCCTACGGATCGGTAACGTCTGTGGATGGCAAAGGAGATCCAGCAGAATCGTCATCAGACACTCTACAAAGATTGGCTGAGATCAGTTCTATATGCAATGACTCTAAGATCGTCTACCATTCTGTGCGTTGAGATGTCAATCACTCCGCGAAAGCCTTCTGACGCAGTCACCTGTTTCAGGATAAGGACACGTACACCAATGTTGGTGAACCAACCGAGGCCGCATTGAAAGTCCTTGTCGAAAAGATCGGCTGCATTGACGCCGAAGTCAAGAAATCGTTGTCCTCGTTGTCACCCTCTGACCGGACCAGCGCCGTTAATGAGTACTTCGAAAGGGCTATTCCTCGGCTCCTCACCTTCGAATTCTCTCGGGACCGTAAGATGATGTCGGTGTTGGTGAAACTAGAACAGGGAGGCGCCCTTTTTGTCAAAGGGGCCCCCGAATCTATCCTGGAACGATCCACCTCGATCCAGGTCAATGGGAAAACAATACCTATGACGCCTGAGCTTCGGGAGGCACTATTGGAACGGACTCTCACGTATGGATCCAAAGGCCTTCGGACACTCGCCATGGCATACACCAAAGTTGAAGATGTCGACTCTGCTCATTACCTGTCTGAAAGTTCCAAGGACTATTCCCGATTTGAACAGAACCTAGTGTTCGTTTCTCTTGTAGGCATGCTTGACCCTCCGCGCCCTGAAGTGAAGGGCGCAGTGGCCAATTGCAAAGCCGCTGGCATTCGTGTTGTTTGTATAACCGGCGACAACAAAGGAACAGCCGAGACTATTTGCAGGCAAATAGGAATCTTCGACGAGGACGAAGATTTGACTGGCAAGAGCTACACGGGACGGGAGTTGGACCAGCTTACGCAAGAGGAGAAAATTGTTGCTGTCCAAAGAGCCAGTCTGTTCTCGCGTACGGAACCTGGCCATAAGAGTCAGCTTGTAGATTTACTACAAGGTCTCGGACTTGTTGTGGCCATGGTACGTCAACACTTTGTCCATGGGTAGCATGTCCTCAACTGCTTTACAGACCGGTGACGGCGTTAATGATGCACCTGCACTGAAGAAAGCTGACATAGGTGTCGCAATGGGAAGTGGTACAGACGTCGCAAAACTAGCTGCTGATATGGTTCTGGCCGATTCGAATTTCGCGACCATAGAGAAGGCCGTCGAAGAGGGTAGGCTTATTTATAATAATACTAAACAGTTTATACGTTACCTCAGTATGTTTCTTTTTATCTCTCTGGATACCTCTATTAACCGAAGTTTTCAGTATCCTCTAACATTGGCGAGGTTGTTAGGTTAGCCTTCATTTGTTCGATTCTGCTGACCGCCGTTATTCATGGAAGGCTGTTTCCAGCATATTCTTAACCGTTCTTCTTGGCATGCCTGAAGCTCTAATTCCCGTCCAACTATTGTGGGTCAATCTCGTAACGGACAGCTTACCGGCGACCGCATTGGGATTCAATCCCGCAGATCACTCCATTATGAGGGTGCCCCCTAGAAACAGTCGTGAGCCGCTTGTCGGCAAATGGCTCTTCATCAGATATATGGTCATCGGAATGTATGTCGGTTGTGCAACCGTCTTTGGATACGCTTGGTGGTTCATGTTCTATACCAATGGACCGCAGATATCATTTTACGAATTGGTGCGTACCCAGTGTTCTCAACTTAAGTTCTCCCTCACAAACAGCCCATAGACGCACTTCCATCAGTGTTCGGTACTTTTCCCAGACATCGGATGTGAAATGTTCTCAAATGAGATGGCCAAGCGAGCAACTACCATCAGTTTGTCCATCTTGGTAGTCGTGGAGATGTTTAACGCCATGAACTCTTTGTCGGAGAACGAAAGTTTGCTAAGGCTTCCGGTGTGGAAAAATCCGTTCCTCGTGGCGGCAATCACTCTGAGCATGGGACTACACTTCATGATTCTCTATGTACCATTCTTTACGGTGAGTAGTTTTGCTTCTACTACGTCCGGGGTTTTCTGATCAAGGTGCTTTAGACATTGTTCGCCATCACTCCGTTGAACTGGGATGAATGGAAAGCCGTCATATACATTAGCGCTCCTGTGATACTGATTGACGAAGTGCTGAAATTGGTTTCGGTACGTCCCATGGCCTCGTCTTATAATCCTCGCTAAATCAATCTCAGACGATGTATATTGACCCCCCTTCGAGGGCAAAAATAGAATAGAGTGTTGCACGACATAAAGTAGTCCTGATAATTGCTGTATCTGATTGAAACGCACGAGGTGTAAGGAAGATTGATGTGGCGATCTTGTATGTGTATGCACATATTTGGTACGATCAACCCCTTTCAGTCGACTGTTGGGCCCGCCTGTCAGCCTCAGCCTTTCTCGCCATTGTCCCTCCTGGCCGTAAAGCCCTCCAGATGCTCACTTCCCTTCCCCTCCTTTGATAATCGTCATTTTACGTTTTTCTATCGATAAAAAACCAGTACCAAAGCATTTAAAGTCATGTTTTTCTATATACCCTTCGTTACTCTCGCCCTGTCCCTCGCTGCCCTCGCCGTTCCTCACGACAACATTCACGCCCATCGCCATAATGGCGTCGCTAAACGAGCTCGCGGAGACCTCAACACTTTTGTTAAGCGATACGATAACGCCAGATGGACCTATTATGATGTGGGGTTGTCAGTATAGCTACCCAGTATACTTGGTCTTTTCCAATAATCTGACTTTCCGTCCTTAGAGGTTCTTGTGGATCCACGAGTGTCTCAACCGATTACGTGAGTCTCTCGAGGGCCGCCATATGAAATCCACTAACGTTCTCCCCAGATTGTCGCCCTCAATTCCGATGTAAATCATCCCATTTGCAATTAACTCTCCGTAGCTGAATGTTATCCGCAGCAATATGGGAGTGGGTATCCTGGTCCTTACTGTTTCCAGACTATTACCATGACATACGGTGGAAAGACGACGACTGCAACAATTATGGACGAAGTGAGTGGCCTGTCGCGACCATAGTTTCAGGGTTAATATCCCTTCCTTAGTGCCCCGGTTGTCCTTACGGAGGCTTGGATTTGTCTCGTGGTCTCTTCGACTTCTTCGCCGATGAATCGGTTGGTGTCCTCTACGGGACGTGGACTTTCAACAGTGGCAATTCAGGAACATCTTCGAGCTCATCAACCACTTATGTGTATACACCCACGACGACCAGTACCACTTCCCAGTGGACCCCCTCGACCACTAGCTCCAGTTCTCAGTGGACGCCAACGACCACTAGTACCACCTGGACCCCAACAACTACTTCAACGAGTTCCATTTGGAGTTCGTCCAGCTCCAGCTCCAGTTCCACTTGGAGCCCAACAACAGCGTCTTCGTCTTCGACCTGGTCCTCCTCTTCCTCTTCCTCGTCTTCGGCATCGTCGTCGTCGTCGTCGCCGTCGTCTTCTTCTTCTCACGATTGGTCGTCAGCTTCTGCTTCCAGCACATCGGTTTGGTCAACGTATTCCAGCAATAATATTGTTGTTCCAACCGGCACGGTTGAGGAGGGTACCAGTGACGATCCACAGATCCTATCTTACATCTATCAGGTCGTGGTCAACGCGGCGGTCATGGCGGTCCTGGGCGCCCAGGATTTGCAGTAGATGGAGTAAGGGGCCCCTTCTGACTCTAGCAGTCCCGAAGGATGGCTTGGTTCCACCATTATTATTATTATCAGCCTTTCAAACATCGTTATATTCCCCGTTGATCGTTTTGTGCTTGCTTGCGCTGCTGGATACCCTTGATTGTCATGTTCATTGAATTAGCATTTTTTTCGTCGATATATCTTGACATTTCTTACCTTGCATCTTGCAGGACCTTGTTCTTCTATCCATGTGGGTTTATTTATGACATATAAGTATATCTTAACGTATGTTCATAAGACTGGCGCTTATAATAACAGTTTTGAAGTTGTTTGTGTGGCTGGCGGCGTGTATAGAAGTCTGTTTAAAGAAGAGAACCAAGCTGTAACGAATGACAAGCTGCATAGAAAACGGAGGTAAAAAATTAAAAGGTCATGTCGAGGACTAGTAGAATCAGCGGTTAACGTTAACTCAAAGCGTAAATCTGAAATCAAACTCGGGGAAACAGCACAGCGGACGTTGATGTTTTTTCTTGAATATTCAGACACGGGCGTAGGACAGGTAAGACGCAGGATAGACCAGAAGCCAATCACTGCTTAATTTGAAAAAGAGGCCTCATTGCGGCCGGTCAGCCTTCTTCACGGCTACCACCATGTCGATGTCGAGCGGTCTGTCATCGCCAACCTTCACCTCCGTCTCGACCACCTCGTCGTTCGACATGGTGTCGCTGAGGTCCCGCTCATCGTCTACCAAGTCTTCTCAGTCATTCACCTTGTCTGAGGACGTCGACTCCGACGACGAGATTGTTTGGAGCGTCGCATCCTCTGGCATTTTATCGCAATCCGACCTATCGACTGAAAGCAGCCTTTTCCCTTTATCAGAGGATGATTTCGTCCTTCTTGATCCACCCGGTACCCTTAATACTCACAGTGGTCTCTCGACTCCGAGCCCTGTTGTATCTCAAGCTTCTGATGATACTTCTTCCATCAGCCTATCTTCTGACTTCGCCGGTCTTTCCCTCACCGCAACCGCCCCAAAGCGAAAGGCGAAGGCTTGCAAGCGAAAGAAGAAGCGGTTGCCCTCTGCTGCAACATCCGCCGCAGCTTCTTCGCAACCTCCAGAGCGACCGTCGTCAGTAGCGACCCTGACCAAGGCTTCGCTGCCGATGCCCAAATCTAAGCGCAGACGTTCTCGTAAGTCCAAGAACGCTGAGTCTCATGCAGGTTTGGGCACCCGTCCTATTGTGGACGACATATCAGAGGGAATATCTGAAAGGGGCGATGCTGTCACTTCATTATACGATGATGCTGTCCGTTACATAACCTCGTATGTCCAATCTGAGTCCCATACCCCCTTCATCTCACTCGCATGTGTCCTAGATTCCTTACCAATCCGGCAGCGAAGGAGACTGTATGTCACTTACGGTTGCTTCAGTCTCTCATCATCGAACTGGGATTAGTAACGTCCTCCATTCCGACTTCGCTCACGTCTGCAAAAACTCTCATCAAGTCCCAAGCGTTTGTAAATATTCGAGATTATCTCGCTGTTCGCGGACAGGGTCTTGCAGCTGTTCAGAGCGCCATGCACCCCAGCAGGTCTGCCTTGCGTAAGGATATCAAGAGAAAAGGGAACCAGGCATCACTCAAGTGGGTTAAGCAGAATGGATTACAAGTCTTACTTGTGTCCTGCTATCCTTAGTTGGAGATGTTGAGGAGACGAACGTGCAGTCATGAAGATGATCTAATTTCATTGTATTGTATTTCTCTCTATTTCTTGGAATTCGCACTACATTTGCTTCACAGTTATTTGCCGATTGTCACAGCATTCTCTGTTTGCATACAGTAATGTGTTTTTCCGTCCGTCATTGTTGTCATACTATCCTACTATCGCCAGCCAAACTTTACCCTTTGCTCAGTTCTGATTACCACATAGCGACATATCTACATATTTCCTTGCTTTACAATAAATGAACCAGGGATCTGCCTCGACCTTGTGCAATACATCTGTCACAATTTCCGTATTTTCCAATATACTACGCTATTGCTGTATCCGGCTACGGCGGTCTGTTCAACCTCAACCTTGCCCCTCCATAACCGACCTTGAAGATCCATCACTTTCGCTTCCTTTCGTTTTCGGAGAATAGTCCTCTCGTCGCCCATATTGATCGTGGTCGGAACAGGAACGCTCGACTTTTTTCCATTCCCAAGCTCGTAATCTTGATTTTTGCCCCAAGCCAAGAGATCGCACCCTGCTCTCCCACCATCCGATGTGTCAAGCGTCAATAGAACATGGCCCGTTTGAGATACGCTCGCTGATCGCGGGACAATTGGTACCATATTCTGGGTAGCATCGCTATCTGCATATCAGAGTAAATGAATAAGTATCCAGACCGAAACTGGTTTAATACCGACATTCAGACAGATTTCCAATATTCCTCGCCCGCACCGGCGTACCCTGAGAATTGCTGAATAAATTATTGCCGAGCCCACCCCACTGGCCATTTCCGCACATGTAGATGTCCACTTTGCCTTCTTCCGGATATTCCACTTTGAAACAAGTCAAATCACCTCCTGCTAAAACTTTCAGCTTTCTGCAAGAGCTGACGACGACTCTAGGACACCCACCCGCAGAGATATCGACGCATTTACTTTGCGTCCTGTGAGATATTTGCCATGGAATAACCTCAGTTGGAACCGTGATCATTGGCACAATGATACTACCACCTAATCCGATCTGACTGAACAAACAAATAAGACGAGTCGGCTCCACTGAAACGACCGCTGTTAAGGTCCTTACCCGTATTCATTTGCGCCCCAGCCCAACACTTTACCGGTAGTCGTTCGAATAAAACTATTCCGTCCACCTGCAGCCACCTGGCTGACTGAAACGTCACGTAGCGAAGGAATCTCATAAATAGTCGGAGAGAATCTGATTGTGTCGTTGTCCTTCCAGGCTTCTGCAAAATAACTAAATGCAACGGTGAATACAAGAACATGCACATACCCTGATCTTTTCCTGAGCGAACATCACTAAGTGATCTTGGTACAAGCTGTACTGGTAGAACGGAATGACCGAAAGGATGACTAAGGTCGGGAACTTGGATTCTCCGGAACCCAAGCTGGCCGTATACGTTGGCATTACTGTTCACGGGATGGGCAAATGCCCTCTCCATGTTTGTTAATGCCAACAAATGGTCGTTTCCGGCGGACATCGACACAAATCTCGAAATATTTTCAAAATGAAGTATTATGAGATATAAAAGGGCCTACGATTCGCATCTTTTCAATTGTTGCTGGGGCTTTATCTCTACAAAATCAACAACCTCCTCTTCACCCCACAGCCAGCCCATACTCCACCAAGGGTAGCTGGACGCCGATGTGGGGGATCCGGGAGACAACGACTGCCTTGAAGCGGATGCTTCCATAGCATAAATTTTCCCAGATGCGGAAAGAGCGTACAACTTTGATTCTGTCAACTGAAGTTGTACGATATTCTGAACGTCAAGTGAGACATCTTTATCCAACGGAAGACGGGATATCGCACCTTCTTTTGTAGTGTCAGTGCAGGGCTATCATGTTTTGCGGAGCCAAAGTATCCTGCTCCCCATTGATACACGTCTCCTCGAGCGTCTACACACGCAGCATGGTCCTTGTGTAGGACGAGATCTCTGAGTGCGACATCTTCCAACCATTCTGCAATGGCAGGCGTGCGGATAGAATCTGGGTCTTCCTTGCCCAATAGCAGCGTTTTGGACCTGGTATTATCATATAAGGGCGGTAAGAGATGTTAAAGGGCGGCACCACGCACTTGTTAGAGCCCCAGACAAGTGACTGTAGCGCCTTTGAGTCTTTCACGTCGCTGTCTCGAGTTACTTTTGAAGATGTTTGCGAAGGACCAGGCCATTCACTGTCATTGTGTATGATTTCCTTGTTCGAACACCATATTAAGGCACCAGAAATAAAGACTGAAGACGCTATGATTGCACGCGATGCACGTTGCTGACGGAGAGTTGAAGAAGTGTGGATGTGGCGTAACCTTGACCTTAGAGTGAAGGTCGCTCGTCTATACATGGAGGAAGAAGGGTCTCAGATGATGGAGCGCGTAGAAAGAGCCGGCCCGAAAACCTGCAACAAAAAAGTTTATTTGAATTTAGGTAGTATAACAAGTTGTATACTAAACGTAGGTACTGATCTTTAGCCCTGCTTCATGCTTCCACAGTGCTCATAGCCGCCGAGACGGTTGATCAGCATACCTGACTGTCCAACTGAGATGTAGCGTAGACGCTCGTTGCATAATTAGATACTCGTTTCATGTACTCGTAGTTGTGAATAAAGCACCCCGTAGTAGAGAAGAAAGCAATGGTCCTGACATGCTCAGAGTGACGGAAACCCTTAGTGTTGAGCCTTTTTCTTCTTGCGCTTACTAGTTGCATCTACACCATCCCTCTTTCTCTTGCCTCCCACCGACTCTTCTTTTTCCCCGGTATACTTAGCCTTCGTGGTCTGCTTTACCACCTCATTGCACATCGCGTGGATAGAAGTCGATGACTTGAATCCTGGCGAAGCAGATAGCTTCTTTAACAGCTTTTCCCAACTCGACGGCGCCCAAATGGCTTCAACATCTGGTGATGAAGGGAGTCGAGATGTTTGTCTTATCGACAACAAGGCCAGTTTGAATAGATCCCTCATCTGGGTGGTGTTGACAGATGCCTTGTCGTCGCATGCATCATTCATAAGCTCATGTAATGCTTCACGCAACGCTGTCATGAATCCTACTACGTCCGCATCTGATGTCTCCTGAAAATGATGTGAGTCCTATGTTGAATACAGCAGAAAAGATGGACCATCCGTACAATGGAGGACAATTGAGCGACAAGGCCGTGTATCAGGTGGAGTGCCTGACACTGTCGATACACATTGATCGCTTTTTTGGATGAGTCAACGATATCCTGTCGTAACCGCCATCCAAGTGCCGGGAACTGCACCATGAGTTCTTGGAAAAAGTTGAGATTCAAAGCAGAATTCTTGCGGGTCAAGTAATCGACTAGGGATTCCCGGTACGTATCAAGCACCTGCGTTACGCCCTGTTGAGCCACCAAGACCTTGGCAAGATATAGGCTGCAAGAGCTCAAAGTAGGCAACAGTTCTGATGAACGTGCTTTACGTGCGTGGGCGTGTAGTGATTGGACAATGGATGTGACTTGAGCCACAGGGGCAGCAGGCATATTTTTGGCTTTTCCTATACGAGATCGGAGAATACCTTTAGCTTTGTCAGAGAGCTGCTGTTCATCGGTGCCAGAGGAAATGGTCAGGTCGACCAGAGGCAGAATGAGATTGATCACAAGGGGACTCGACGGCTGCTTCTTGACGAACAGATCGACAAGGTCGAGCACCCTGTTTTTGAAATGGGTGGCTTTACGTTGTGCATCAACGTCTTGAAATAGTATTAGTGTTGTTCTGGATACGAAATGATTATCACCGACCGTTAGACATACGAGTCTTCCCGGCTTGCATTCTGGACTTGAAAACCTCCGCAAGGTGTCCATCTAGTGCCAGCATCTGATCATCGTCCATCATCAAATCGTCATCATCTGTATCGTCAGTGACAGGTTCGACGCCGGTCATTTTCAGGGCCTCTAGGATCTTGTTCCGAAGCTCTTCGTCCACTTCCTCTCCAGCATCGTCATCGTCTGCCTCGTCGCCACTCTGTTCCTCGCTGGCGGACTCGCTTCGATCTTCATCATCTTCATCTCCAGATATATCTTCGTCTTCACTGACATCCTCTGAACCTCCGGCACTGAGATCTCGAGTTTCGAGTTGCTATATAATTGGAGCATGTCAGAAGGGGGTTTTCTATCGTTGTTCAGGGGCCTTACCGCAAGAATCAGATCGATGGAACTCTCTTTCACTAAAGCTGACAAAGATGCAAAAGCCTGGTTCACGATAACTCGTAGGTATGCCGTAGGCTTCTCTAATAGACCGATGATGATGTCTATTAAGCCATCAATGGGTTCTGGAGCCTCTTCATTGTCATCGTCGACTTTGGCGGCCTTTTTCTTGCTGGTCTTATTGCGAGGAAACAGGCGTTCGACGAGGTCGATACACGACTACGGCACAGTAAGCCCAAAACACTTCCCATGAAGCAGTCTGCATACCTCCAGAGTTTCTACCGCCGTGCCATCTTCTTCATTGGCGCAGTATTCATGGACTACTAGCCCTAAAAGTAATAGCTGGCACCCTTGCGCCGCGTCACTACCGGAGGTGACCTAAAAGCTTGCGATCAACATATAAGTTCCTCGGTACGAATAAGGTTACCTTTCTTAGATGAGCATCTAGCTCTTTGGCTTTCGCTCGAAGAGCGCGGACCTCTTCGTCATGATCCAAAAGATACAACGCGTTCTTGTCTTTCTTCAGCTCTTCAATGGTAGCAACAACTTTGTGTATCCAAAAGTCTCCATCAGAGGCCATGGCTGAAGATTTTAAAGCTTTCGTTCCGACCTCTAAAGCACAAGAAATAATAGTGAGCGGAAACCATGTATGTATTTTTCATTGCGGTTACCGTTAGTTATTGTCATAGCCTGACTTGTGAGGTCGGAAAGACAGCTCAAGAGTCGACTGCGACTGTACAGCCTGAGAGCATCGGACAGCGGCGGTTCGAGTACACATTCCGTCTGCAGAAGATAAGTATAAGGAATTCAAACGCATAAAAGGACAACATACACCACGAAACGAACTCTGCTTAGCGGGTGTCCGTATAATGAAGAAACCATGGACCACAAACCACTCCAAGATCTGTCGGATCCAGTCATCTCGTTTGGGCATTGAGCCATTTCTAATCAGCGCTACGAGCTGATCCATAACCCATGATCTACGTGCATTGAGACCTTTTGTGTCATTCCTGTTCGATGCATTTAATAGGCAAGATCGTATAGATGCCGATGAAACCATACTTGTCTACGCCTTCATTTCCATTGAACTGAGAAATTAGATGGTCCACGTAGTGAATAATGCCATCTGCATTCATCGAAGAAAGGATGGATTCAACGGTTTTTGTCTTGGTCAACTGGTCAAACTGCCGACTACCGTTCACACCAGTGAGTTGGACGATCAGTCCCAGACCCAGCTGTGGCCTCTCCTTCACGAAATTGGCAACTTCGATAACCTACGTAAGATATCAGATATGCGGTACGCACATAGAAGAAATAACTCACAGTTTGTTTGGCTGCCTTGTATAGATATCGATCTGGTTTGGATGAGTGGTTGATCCAAGTTCGCATAAAGTTTTTCGTAAAGATCATAGGAATATCATCAGCCGGTAGTCGTGGCAAAGCCTTTTGGAAAACTTGAAACCCCCAGTACTTTCGTTCTGGAGAGGACGTGGAGGAAAACAGACACTCTGCGAAGAGACGTTCAGCGATGACAATTTGTGTACAGATAAATAAGATATACCGTCAACGACTATTCTGAAAAATTCAGGAAAAGTCCCCTTCGCCTGTTGATTATACTCTGGAAGGGGAAGCAGATAATCGAATATTATGTCCCAAACAAAATTCAACTCAGGCTTCCATGAGCTTCCGGAAGATTTGGAGCTACTTTCTTCATCGTCAATGTCCTATACGAATATCCTCAGGAAACTGCTGAAGTAGAAGAGATGGGGACAGACCTTAAGTATTTGTCCCAGAGTATGGTAATTTCCAGTGCTAAGCAAATCAGGAGTTTTGAACATCGGGGACGTGTATTTCCGCCAATCGCGATTGGGGCACAAATACTGGAGTTTCAGCATCAGCGCTACCTTTTCAGGCGTCCACTGAGAGTTACTGCCCAAGGTCGTCTCTATGGAATAACCGAAACCCTCCTCCTTCCAAGCGACACTCGACGAGTTGAGGGCTTCGAATGCCAGAAGGATCGTCCACCAAGCACTTTCGCGAAGCCAGCTTTTCTTCTCTCCGAGGGAAACCAACTCTGAAATGATGTCCTTGAAGCTCTGTAGGGACGATGCAGATGTAGAGGAAGATGCAGATTCGGGCAAAGGATCCGTTCGAATAAATAAGCCTGACTGGATGACCGCGGTGATTCCAAAAAGACGAGCAAACAGGACATCCCTCTCTTCTTGTCCAGTCATGGACTTTTGAGTTTTCGTAGCATCAATGATCAGCGATAGTACTTGTGAACATGAGAACGTCAGAATTCTAGACAGAAGCTATCGGGGAGTGTACATGAAAAAAGCAATCAAAAGGAGAGGATTTGAACTTACTTCTGTCAGTGCGACTGAAAACCCTAATCTGCTGCTCTCCCTCGGACTCGCTAGTCCACGAATAAGACGCCGCACTGAATAGGACACATCATGGGCATTGTACTTGTCCAAGGGGTCGATTTTGTCGTCCTCTTGGCTTTCATCCTCAGAAGTATCTGAAGAATCCTTAGCGAACTGTGCTTGGAACTGTTCTAATGACGAAATAAGCTTGACAGAGGCATCTATACGCTCTTTCTTTGACGACGAAGAGAGATTCCAAAAGAGCGGGAGAGTCGTGGACATTTATGATGAGTCTAAAAATAAAAGTCAAAAATTTGGAAAATGTATTTGGTTGTGTGGACGTGTCCGGTCCGAATCGGCCCGGAACGAAACGATGGCAAATGACAGTGGAAAATTGAAGCATTCGCAGTCTCGTCGTCTGGCTTTTCTGAGTAAGAGGGACATTAGAAATTTAGTTCAATTCCTCTCAGCTCATCTCCAGCCAGATCACAGCCATAAGGAATCATTATTTATTTAAATGCTCATTACCGTTGACGTTACGGTCAAAATAAATCTACCCGTATACAGATGGGTACATGGAATCATAAGGTAGACGGAGAAGTGTACAAAGATTATTTAACGGTCCATAAATTCATAATCGCTTAATATAAATGCATCCAATGTCCCTTCACACCAAGTCGACACTTTTCGCAATCTAAACGTGGACCCATAGAAATGCGTAGCTTTTTGGTGGGAGACAGGATGCCTGATCTCGGTCCTCCAGAATCCATGGGGATATTCAGGGGCGTAGGACTGTCTGAGACTGGTGTGCGAGACCTTGTCACATCAACAATACCGCCGTCGACTCTTACTGTCTCGGGGGTGGGTGGCGTGATATCAATTGAAAGTGGAGACGAGCCCTGAGCATGGTTTATGAGTGGTTGCGATGCATTGGCGTCGGTGAACGACGGTGATAAATTCTGCGGTGACTGGCGGTGTGCTGCGAAGGCGTCGTACCTATGAGATGTGCTGGGAAACGTTGTTTGCAGAGGTAATAGTACGGGTCTCTCTGGGCCACGAGAAAGGGCAAAAGATTCATCATCCAAGTCCTACGACCGCCGTTAGGTCCCACAAAAAATGCATCAAAATAATCACACACCATGGTATCCGAGTTGCCGTCTGAGTCTGGTGCATATTCTCCTGGTGTTGCGACGCTCAAGCCGTCAGCCTGCTGTACCCAATCTTCAGAGGAGTACCGACTACTGCTGCCACTGGTGGGGAGTGAATTCGAAAACAGTGGCGAAGGAAGTGCCTCTCCCGAAGCGAGAGTAAGGCGTTTCTGTGAGAAAAGGAAACAAGGAAGTTTGTGAGGATGACATTCCTGAAAGACGTACAGTAGGCCGACTGGGAGGGCTGTCTTCCTCAGTGGGGCGGGCCCGCTTGGAGGACGTATTGAACTTGGACATGGAGTGGGAGACACCCGGCAGAAACATATCGACCTCTATTTGAACCATTTTGGCACGAGCGGGAGAAACGCAGCGTTATGTCATACAGCTAGTCGGGAACAAGTCTTCAACGTTAGCCACAAAGTTTCGCGTCACAAGGATCACATGCCTATTGCACACAACGCGACGCGATCAAAACTTTTGATATATCTCTAATCTACATAATTTTCTACATTTTCTACCCGCGACTATGTAAACTAATAGATGCAGAACTATACCATGCAATCATTGGATTCATCCCTGCAAGTTAAGCCGAGTCCTGGGCAGCCTCGGTTCTCCTTCAGCATAAGGCTCTCCTGTCTCGGCACGAGCAAGGTCATTCAACCAAGCCCCCTTGGGGTGGATTTTGAGGCCGCGAGCGTACATAACGGCCAGGTACAGCCAGGCCAAGGCGTTACCCACGGTGCCAACCTCGTCAGAGACATGCGTCTTCGCATACTTGCTCATAGTCTTGTGCAGCTCATCATCGGTGAAGAGATCGAAGAGATGCTGGGCAACAGCAGCGTTGTCACCGGGCTGAGTAAGATAGCCCGACTTGCCGTGCTCGACTTGAAGAGGAATACCACCCGTAATGGAGGCAACGATCGGAATTCCAGCGTGGATAGCCTCGGAGACCTTGACTTCAAAGCCTTCGCGAGTCGAAAGTTGCAACGCAATCTTTGCATTAGACATAAGAGCATTCAACACTATCCCAACGTCAGTCTACCTCGGATACGACCAGGACATGAACTTACATTGGTCACTGGGGGGAAGTCTCATGACGACGAAGTCATTTGCATACTCCCTGTACGCGTCGGAATAGATCAACTGTATAACTTGATCGTAGATGATGCTGGCGTCGGGATCATCCACAGCGCCTGGAAACGAAGACGTGAACATGACAACATACATAGAAATGCAATTAGCATACCATGACCACAGATCAACATCTGCGGGTGTTCGTCTTCCTCGAGATCAGGGCACTTGGCCTTGAGGAGACGTCGGAGTTTGACATAAGAGTCGATAACGTTAGGAATACCCTTTGCGGGGTCGAAACGGGCGATTTGGATGATATAGCTACGGTGTGGCCACCGAAGTTCGTTCATCTTTTCCTTGACACACAGGCTGCGGAACTCTCCCATGTAGTAGGCGGAATCCCAAGCACCAAGATCCTTGTTCAGACCATCGAGCCTTGATACATAAAATCAATATATGAGTTTGATCCAGGGGTAAAAATCCGCAGACCAGTCAGTGGCAGCTCCAAGCAACGCCAGCTTCTCGATGGGTACATCAGAAGGAACGAATTTGTTCACCGGATGGCCTTGGGTGGTGACATCAGTACGAGCCTAGGTAACGTTGTGCAAGTCTTGCGACTCACTGATAAACAAGTCGGCAAGTTGGATGTTGTTCCACAGATATTTCCACACCTCCTCTTGCGGTGAACCAGCAACATGGACCAAATCGCTGCGGATCTCAATGTGTGAACGGTAGACAATGGGCAGCTCGGGGCGGATTTTCTTGATCAGAGGGATAAGACCGGGCATCTGGGGATCATCTATGTAAATGGCCGGTAAAGAAAACGTCAAGCGTAAGAACAGGGAATAACATTCTCACCTATGAAAGCGACATCAACACCACCAGGAGCCAAGGGACCTCCTTCGGCGGTCCAGCGAAGACCGTTCTTCAGGATCCAAGCATCAAAATTCTCCTTGGCATCTTGGGTCAGACGAAGATCTGCCGCAGCGACACCTTGGAGGATGTTGTGGTTGTTCTTGGTGGTTCTGAATACCTGGGGTGACGGATTCGGAACGTACCTTGCATATGGTTGGGTACGGTGAATATTCTTGCCGGAAAGTCTTTAAAAAGCACGTACCATGCAGCGTCAACATCAAGCGCGGTCAAGAACCTAATCAAGGCATGTCTCATCTACAAAGATATGTCAGGTGAAAGTAATTGAATTGCTTGAGCGCTATTCTCACCAGGGCAACGCCACCTAGAATAATTGCATGACGGGATTAGATCACCAGTCATATATCAATTTTGTGGGGGCACTAACCTCCTTGTGGGGTTGAAGAGAAGAACCCAATCTTGACTTGCTTTTCGCGTAATTCATCTGCGAGCTTGACGACGGCATTCCAGGTGCTTAAAACTGTAATGAGCAAGAGACCATGCCACAAAGTAGGCAAAGCCGACATACCGAGGCCCCACGGTCTTCTTGTACTCATCAAGATCATCCAGCAAGTGAATCTTGCCAGCGGCATCAACGGTAACTTGGTTCCGAGCACCGATGCTAAGGCGAGGATTATTTCCGGGCCCAAAGTACATGATACATTTCCGTGCGGCGGAGTCGGCTTGCTCATCGAGGGTGCGTGGGATAGGAAGACGGCCTGTGACACCAACCTGGAGATGCGGGTCCGCAGCAGCTACGTGAGCAGAATCCACGTACACCGTCGGAGTCTCGGCCCCAGAGGGAACATAGGAACCAGTAGTGGATGAGATGCGGTGTTTGATGTTGGGGCGTGTTGCGGAGTCTGTGTGGAAAGGCTTGATATTGAAGACGATGGGAACAATGTCCATGTCAAGCCACAAGCGCGTACACAAATTTGGAGACTGAATGAAAGCGCATATATCAGATCTGATTGCTGGGGCAGGGTAAACGTATAGCATACTTCTCGAAGGAGCGACAGAGTGACACCGGCACCAAGGAACTTGCATAGATGTTCGCTGCTGAAATTGCGGAGGGTTTCCAAGACGTGCTGTTCAATGGTCTTGGCGGTCTTCTCAAGGTCTGTTGCAGAGTAGGGGATGATGGTGGACGCAAAGTCGGTACTATAGACCGAATCGTGAACAGAAACCGCGATTTCGAATTGGGTATTGTTGTTGACTGTATTGCCAGCGATACCAGCCCACATTGGCTACATAGGTCATTAGGATGGGAGTGCGAGAAAGAGAGAGAGAGAGAGAGAGAGAGATGGAGACTGACGGTCAGACTAGAGTACGATGCAGCGACATAAGGCTTCTTGCTGGATACAGAAGAGAGGCGACGCCTGACGGCGTCAGAAGTCTTGGATTCAAAATGATGATAAGTCTTGCCAGACATTACTGAGGACGATGCCAAGATGGGGTAGCAGTGGAAAGAGAATCGACAGCGAGGAGGATTATATACAGGAGCCGGACGGTCTGGCTCCTTAGAAGAAGGAATGTGACCGGCATAGTCCAGGTTTGGGTCGATTCCATGAATTGAATGTCGGACTCGAGCCAGGCCATGCGCCAGTCGCATCGTGGCCGTCTTTTCCCTTCTTAGCTCCCATCCATCACGGCGACTAGGGACCAGGTCAGTCTTCGTCCCTAGCCCCAAGCACGGTCGTCATGTCCCCTTGCAGCCAGTGCGGCGCCAGCACAGTTTGGGACGACGGTGCAGGCTCAGCTATTTGCATCGCCTGTGGTGCCCTCGTCGACTCGTCCCAGTCCCTTCTTTCGTCACTACCCGATTACCAGGCGACCTCATCCTCATGGCCCCCTTCTTTTCTTCCAAATTCAACCCTTAAATCTCTCCGGAATCCCAATTGGCAGCTTGCCGGGCAAGGAAAGGAAGCCAGGGACAAGCAGAATTCCGTAAGTCCTACTTGCCACCCTTTCACTTTGCCTTCTCAGTCTAAACAGTGTCCTGTAGGCTGCAATGCACGAGTTCATCAAATCACTTGCAAATATACTTTCCATCCCAGCATCGTCTTCCCGGGCCACAGCTCTGTTCACTCAAGCTATGGCTGCGGGCAATTTTAGGTGGGGAAGGAAAGCAAAGCTTGTTGCGGGCGCCTGCCTGTCTATTGCCCTTCGTGAATCCAAGAGGCCAGATTTTCTTCGAGATATCGCCTTTCTCCTGGATCAGCATCATGCCCACCTGACTCGTGTGTTGTCGTCCGTCCTGTCCTTGCTTAACGTTTCTCTTACATCAAGTGACCCCTTCTTTCACGTACCAAATCTTCAGTCACATCTTTCTTCGGTCATCTACGATGAGGTAGAAGCCATTAATTTGCCTCCCTCCCTTGTTACCGTAATCAAGCCTTTATCCCAATCCTCCGTTACCAACACCTGTCGCTCTCTATCCGATCTCTTGGCCCGAATGTCGTCCTCAGACCCCGTCCCCGTCACCCAAATACACGGTACATCTTGCGCTATCTTTATGCTTGCTCTCGAAGCCGAAGCTCGCGCAGCTTTACCAAGTCTAGGTGAACTTGGCGCATGTCTGGCTGCCAGATGCTCCGTAGGCAAAGGTCTCGTCATGAACAGGTATAAAGCTATTCAGGGTGATATCGTTGCCATGATGGAAGGTATTCAGTGGCTTGATCAGTACCAAAAGAAGAATAACGGTCGAGCCAAAGTTTCGAAGCGATTGCTCGTGGCGCGTGGCCTTTCCGATGTGCTTTCCTGGCAGAATGAAATTTGGAGGAAAAAAATTGAGGACCAAGGACATCCCAGCGTTGATCTTGATTGCGATTGTGACGAGGATGTGGATCTGAACGATCATGAAATCGACCAAGCTGATTTCGCTTGTTCCCATTCGGCTTCCGTCGTGTCTTCTGCCTATGAATTAAACATCCGACCGCGCAAGAAGCAAAAGACACGACACTCCCTCTCCGAAGCCAGTCAATTCTTACTCGACCCTCTTTCGGGTTCACTTCCATTATCTGCTCTATCTGTTAAGCCTTCTATTACTGAATATACCCACCGAAATCTCCAGAGAAAGAACGAGTCACAGGATCTGCATACGTATCTTCCACTCACATCGTACATTCTTGCCGCACCGCTTACGGCTCTTCGGTCGTCGAAAAAGCCCACGCGTCTCCAGCTCTTATCGGTGGCGCGTGGAGGAGCTAGTACGTCCGAGGTTGACGATGAGGAGTTATTTGAGGACGGGGAGCTAGAAGGACTGATGCGCACAGAAGAAGAGGTCCAAGACTTAATTGAAATATGGGAGCGCGAGAAGTTGATGGAAGTCGATTCCGACCAGGAGCGGCGAGCACAGAAGACAAAGAAAAAAGCGAAGATTAGCTGCAACAAGGAGAATGACCACCAGTCACTGGTAGGTTCCAAGAGGGTCAATACCGATGCGCTGATCCGATTCATGGCGGACGACTATGATGACATGCCGGATGGCAATTCGCAAGATGTCGTCAACGTTCTTGGCCTTGGGTATTCGGACGACGACAACGATGATGAAGATTGTCAAGACAATAGCATGAATGGGACCATGATGCAAAATGCGTATTCTACTTTGGGCCGCAGGCGCAAACCCTCACCAGATACTGGCCAGCAACCACAAGACAATAGTGAAATTGTCTTATCGCAAAGCTGGCGACCGCCATCCCCTGATGGCCCCTCCCTTCATGAAAGTCGATACGATCAGGAGTATGACTGATATACCTATTCATCATTCATGACAATACCAACCGGCAACAACATTATATGGTAATAATATGTATATATCACAGGCACTTGGATTTATCATATGGAAATCACTCACACTGTATATATTCTGCATACCATTTCTTCGTAACACATATAATATTGCCCAGCCAGCTGCTCATCGGATGGGATCCGCTGTTGGTTTATGATGTGCTGCAGGAGCCTCTTGTACGACGGTCGACGCTCTGTCCCTCCAGACCTCCTCAAGTGGGGGAGTTTGTCTTTGCACCGTTCCATCCAGCTCGTACACACCTTCAGGTGCGACATCGTCGGTGTATCGTTGCGTCAGTGTAGGGCGACTCGTCTGTATGCCACTCTGATCCACCGAGCTGTCATACCGATGATGCAGAGGAAGTCCCTCCTCTGGCTCGCGGGGGATACGAGGAGAGTATGGGCGGTGCGACAGCTCAGAAGCCAAACTAGGGTAGTACTGGCGGTAGGAGAAATACGCTAGAACTGTGCCAAGAACAGAACCGATGAGAACATCATGCCAATGATCTTGGTATCTTTGAAGTCAGAACAAAACAGCCCACCGATGAGTAAGAAATACCAACGACGATAGTCCATGGTTCGTGAGATCGCCACCAGCGTGGCAGCCGCGAAAGGCGAGAGTGATAGCCAGGCTTTACCCTATACGATAACTGAGAAGTGAAGAATAAGACATTATTGCCGCTTACGGTGTGGCCGCGCTTATCGAACAGATGTAGTTTTCCGGCAAGGTAAAACGCTAGAAACCCAAGTCCAGCAAAGGACACTTAACTGAAGTGTGAGTAATGTGCATAAGGGAACGCCGCGGTCGCCTTACAACTGGAATGCCCGGAAGGGAAACTACGAAATCCGTCTTTGAGAATGCTGTTGTCTTGCTGTTGACATATTGTGTAATTTGATAATCCGAATGTGGGGTCGACTGCGCCAGCTAGCGGTTGACAACGGTCAACGATATCTACGACGAGCGTTATTGGGCAGAAAGATAACGTACAAATTACATACCAGGGCGAGGACGTCCGACAGTTATCTTTGAAAACTGTGTGATAGAGCCTGTCAAGGCAAGGCCAAGGATTACTGGTGAGTGAGTTATCAGTCAACATGAACGTTCCTTCATTCATAATGAGCACGTACACCCAAGTGTGCCTACGAAAAACGAGACGTTAAGCTTCTCTTGTAATCGAAGACAGACAATTACACGCACCGTTATGTAAATCCCACCACGAACGTACTGTGAATAGATTGACAACGGGTTGAATAAGTAGCGGGGCAACAAAGCAGATGAAATATAGGGCTACGGGCTAAACATACAACTTCAGATGCTGTGTGGAGATTTCGATAAAATGGTACGCACAGGAACCCTTTCATGAAGAGCATAGCTGTTAGCATCAAAACTGTCAATGACAACGTTCAAAGCCAATATATTCTGAGAACACTCGCGTATGACGAAGACTATTTCCGGATTAACAATAGAAGAAACATCATCGCTGCTTGAAAACGTACGACGTGTCTGCCAATGAGAACTGCCTTCTGTAACCATCCACCCTGTCCAAAGAAAAGAATAACGCCCTTTGAGAGAAACAATAAGTTTACGCTACGAAATTGAATATTAAGGACCTACGCCAGGGCGATCGTCAAGATCCTGTGATACGTATAAGCCAGAGGTGCTCAAAGTCTGACAGATGCTGGCTCACCAGTCCGGGGCATAAGAGAAGATGATTTTGCGACGCCTGGCTGCCGACATTTTTGGCCTTGCCTGGGCAGCATCTGCTGGTCTCGTAAAGAAAGGATGCATGATGGAGGATTGGTCTTGAGCTATGTAGGAGAGACGAACGTATGACATATCGGTGGTGGTGGTGGTGGCTATTTTTAAACAAATCCGATTGCACAATCACCGCAACAATTATATTAATTATTATACAAAATTCTAGTGTACTATGTATACATCCTTGCCTCGTACATTGTCTTTCTTCGCTGGACTGGTAATTACAATCCTATGACAGCGGACGGTGTTCATGGGTACCCCTCGCATGCGATAAACCCAGACAGGACCGCAGTTTTGCGCAGTTGAATCCCGGACGATGCCCAAACTGCGTCCCATTCAACGCCATTTGCACCTGATGAGAAAAGAACTCCATTGGCATACCTTGTTGCAAAAAAAGACAACATCCGGCGCTTGCATTTCACTTCCATTCTCAAGAAGCAATCCAGTGTCAATGAACCATTCACTCGTCTCTAATTTTGAACGGTTTCAGAATTGGATGACCCCAGCCTATCGGTGAGAAACCACCAGGGAATGCGCAAAAGTCCCAGGAGGGAGGATAACATCCCGCCAATAAGCATCATCCGTAAGGAGCCTCAGGACGCTTTCGGCGTCTCCTGCCTTCGGGCGCTTCGAGATCGACGCGAATCACTCGCACGCACTGAGGTTCTTTGCATCTACATCGAGCTGAACTCCGACGCCAAGTTTAAGGACGGAAGGCAGGATAGAGTCTCCCAAGGAAGGCAGGATACGGCTCGAAGGTCGCAAACCTGTCTATAACTTGTCATGGATCCGAATTCTGGGATAGCGCTACTTCGCGACGTTGGTCGGCATTTATTTCCTCGCTACACGTGCTGGTCATAGATTGCAATGAGCGTCAGGAAAACACTCCCTAACAATGTACTTCAATGTTTCGACAATGTATCCGCATTGACGATGCCTTCTGTTCGACAAGGAGCAGGTGATCATGGTAGTACAATGTCAGACATTGGTAAAGCATACCTGGCAGAAACGGACTATCCGATCTTCTCAGAAACTGTTCGACTTCGAGGGCGCCAAGGTCGAAATCTAAATACAAAATGAAGCAGACTGCCGGTAGTATCGATATCGAGAAAGGCAGGCAAGAGATGGTGGATATACTGGGAGATACTGATAGATGGGCGTACGTCTTTATAGCTCAAATACCTCTTCAAATGTCAAATCCTACTTCGTTGTTCCACCTTGGGCCAGTCTTACATCCAGGGGGCTAATCTACGGTCGATCGTGTTTGATGAGAGAAGAAAATGGAGGGCAGCAGTAAATATTGAGAGCTTACCAGAGCAAGGTTGGGCGAGAGCTACCCTCGCAAACTGATAATACAAGTATGGCTAGAGTATTAGTCTGCCTATAAAGCCGAGTCAGCTGCCTTGTACTCAGAGGTGAAAATGCACCAGTCTGCAATCCCAAAGGTGAACAAATAATAAGAATGGTAACAGTTTGAATGTGTTTCTTGTAATGTGATATTTTACAGCAGGTATTTCATGCTTGACTATATCTTCCTGTGAACAGTCCCTCCTCCATTGCCTTGATTTCTGTTGGTCTGATCAGGATTCTGAGTGCACTTGAAGTGTATCAATGTCCACTTACGCATAGCCAAATGCTTAGAATAGAATCGGCACATCGCAAGATTACCTGTACACACATGTCAGTGCCAACTTCAAGGTGTGCCCAGGCAGGCTCTCACCTATCACAGGCCATAAACGCGGAATACCAGGCTCCCGCCATATACCGTTGATTTCCCCTTCTTCGTTCATACCCCAGATAAGGCCGCATCTTTGTCCAACGTCATCTCCGCAGAGGCTCACAATTCCGTTTCGAGTGTCACCTAGTCTAAAGATCCCCCATAACAACATTCTCCATTAAAGATGTGAGAAAGCGCATACCCTGTTGCAAAGAGGACAACGTCCGCCGTTAATTCGCTTCCGTCTTCAAAGAGCAGTCCATTCTCAGTGAACTGTTCAATTTGACTATCATTTTTGAGCTTGATCTTGCCGTCAATGATCATCTGGCTGGCGCCGACATCTAGGAATAAGCCATTCAACATGATGGAAGCACAGGGTTGGCGAAAAAAAAGACTCGCCTAGATAATAGCCTCCGGCTTTGGCCCATGCCAAGAGAAGAAAACCTGCATCTTTGTATCCTAAATTGGTTCTGAAACCTCGTGCCTTGAGGCCTTCAAGTATATCTCTAGGGAATATGTGACTATAGTAAAATGGAAAGTTTAAAAAGGTCATACTTGTCCAGTTCTACTATTTTGCGCATTTGTCTGTAACCGATCCCCTCCATGAGAAGGTTGGGGAACGACGCATTGATTATATCAGCAACGTCAGTAGGGGGTCCATTTTCTTCGTAAAGTCCTATAAATGCAGTTTTAGCGGGCGACAAGCGACAAATTTGTTCTACCAACCCTCCATCAATGTTTTAATGCCGTGCTTTGTGGACATTACACAAGTTGAGCTTCTCTGAAACATCGTTACATCTGGTGAGGATTGAATTGGCAGCCGCTAGACTGGGGGGAATGGCGAAAGCATACCGACACCATGATTGTAATAGTCGACACAGATATCGTGGGCTGTACCAGCTGATCAATAACCGACGATGGAGGTTTATGGTTGGAAGTACCGGAGGTACATGATCCAATTACAACGACTTTCTTGCCAATATGATCCTTAGCCTTTCCATGCTCGAGAGAGTGCAATACTTGGCCTCTAAATTTATCCTGGAGACGAGAGATATAGACGAAAATAGAATGAGTGTATATTCAACGAACCATGCCAGGATAACGAGGTACATTCCCTGCGCCACCCGCAAAACCGGTAGCCAGAATGACATGTTTGACCTTGAAGACACGTTCTTCTCCATTACTGCGTTGAACTTTTACGGTCCAATTGTTATCAGCGTCCGGAAGCGCGCTGACTACCGTTGAAGACGTCCAGATGTTGACCTCCATAGCATCGGCATAGCCTTCTAACCAGTTGGCGAGCTAAGTATGGTCATCAGCATGGTTGAGAGCGTGTCTGGAAGGTCCTACCTTCTTGGCAGGCGTGTATACGGGCCAAGTGCTCGGAAATCTGGCGCGCTTCTGTCAAAGACATGTAAAACAGATTCATAGAACTTACGGAATGAAGGGTAGGTGATCATACCCTATGATGTGATAGGATAGTGAGCAAAATAAAGTAGGTCAAGGAATGGTGTACATACAAACCGGGTCATGTAAGCATAATGCATCGTAACGCGTCCTCCAGTTATCACCAACCCGGGGATGTTTCTCAACTACCAGGCAGGAAATTCCCAGGGCCTTCAATCGTACGGCAGTCACCAACCCGCTTTGCCCACCGCCAACAATTAACACGATCGGGTCTGAGTCATCAAACGCAGCCTCTCGTCGTCGCTGCTCTGTCCACACATCATGGTTCGGGTCTGGATTGCGCAGAAGGCCTGTCTTTTCTGGGAATCCTTTCAGACTTTCAAGGTTGGTCAGGATACAGTGGCCCTTCCAGCTTCCATTGGCCTGAGGAACCAAACGAACGACACCCGATGCATTGCCTGCATCGTCAACCTCGAAGTCAAATAAGAACTGGATCCATGCAACGTCAGGGTAGGGACGTTGGAGACTGAGATACTCGTCTCTGATTTTGAAGAGCTTGAGTTTAGACTGTTGTAGTCTATCGGTGAGAAATTGTCTAATCTTGGGAGCACCGGAGAAAGTGCGAAAATCCCAGGTAAGAGCGAGAAGGTCTCTCCAGTACGCATCGTCCGTGAGCAGACCCAACACTCGACCGACATCTCCGGCCTCCATGTGTTGCGAGAACGACGCGAACCAATCGTATGCAACGCTCTTTACATCTAGATCAGGAGGAAAGCTTTTGACGCCGAGTTTTGGGAGGGTGGGTAGGATGGAGCTCATGATGGAGACAATAAGGCCTGTCACGAACGAGTTCGTGTCTCATTCAATCCGTCGGTCAAGCAGGCTAACACGTGTGCTGATCATAAGACTACTACAACCAGTGCCAGAAAAATATTTTTAACGTACATGGGAAGCCCTGGTCCGCGAAAGAAAACGTACCCGATAAGAAGATTTAGTACATATTTCTGACTTGTCCCAATTACATTCGAAACGACTTTAGTGTCACTGCAAGACACATATCGCGAATGAGCCGAATGAAGATGCCAGTGGAGGGATAACTTGATGATGAGCACGGGGTCGCCGGCCCGGCACCCTTGTCCTCTCTTCCCAACATCATGGCCGATTTAGCCTCAGACTTCCAGTGGCTGCCAGGTATATCGCTTGTCAAATATTTCTGGGTCCTTCTCTCAAATTTACTCTAGAGTACGATGATGTCTTACAAGCAATTGCTTCCACTGATGTTGTACAGTGCGTGCTAACTCTCGCGTTTTTCTCACTGGGGCTGACGTGTGATAGGACTGAGTGGTCAAAATTGCGAGATATTATCAAGTTCAAAATAAAAGAGGTACTCTCAAATATCTTAAAAAGGTTCTCACATACTCATGTCTAGAGCATCGACCTTTTTCTATCGCAAGCGAAACCCCCTCCTCTTCCAGCCCCTTCTCCGCCTTTGACCTTGTCGAATGGTGGCCTGAAACTTCCGCCATTTCCAGTTCGCCAACTGAACCATCTCAATCCTATACAGGCACCTGTCAGCTACATGAACAGGGAGCAGGCTGAACAAATGAAGCGATACATCTACACTGAATTAGACGAGATAGACGAGTGCGCTCTGTGTTTTTTTGTCCAGACTGGCATTCTGATCTCTCACAGGAATTCGCCATTCACTATACAACGAGTCTGCGAACTCTGTCTTAATCCAGTGCGGCATTACAAGTCTGTCGGCAAATATCTACGCGCCGTGGAAAAATCACTTCTTGTTACCTCAACATGGGACAGTTTTCCTAAATCTTCGGGCGATGAAATTGACACCAAGATGCCGCTCAACGTCGTTGGAGTACCATCGGGGTCATCCTCAGTTCCAGCGACGCCGCTGTTCTCGCCTATCCCATTCTTGCATAGTGATGCTCGACGGTCAAAATCACGTAGCCCGCCACCTTCACCGTTGGCGCTTGGTGCAGCTGGTTCTATCAGAGCTGGACAGGCTGAAGCGCCGGCACCCAAGGCCCTCGGACTAGTTGACGAATTGGATGATCCAAGTCCTGGACATATGAGTGACCATCCTACTGCCATATCGTCAGTGACGTCCGTCGCAGAGAGCAACGGTCGGCCATTCATCCAGAGTCTAGACCGGAGATTTGTTAAAACGGAGGCCACGCCAGACGCACAGTCGGAGGATAATGCAATGGTGGTAGACACAGAACCAGAGAGTAAAGATAGCGTTGGATAAGTGCAGTATACAGTATACATATGGACAGGTATAATCAGACCAGGTCTCTCTTGATTTTCTCCAGCATCGCGTTCATACGCAACTTCATGTCCGGCTGTCCTTTGCCTCTGCCCCCATTCCTATCACGATTCCTTGTAGAAAACTGTCCCCCGCTCTTTCTCTTGTTAAGTGGGTCAGCTTTATAGCTATGCAAAGAGGCCTTGGAGTATGCATTCCGCTTCATTTCACGGACAGATATTGATGGCCGTGAGGATGTCGTTTGCTCGGAAGTAGTGACTTTTTGAGAAATAGATTTTGTACATGAGACGGGCGCTGGAGGCACGAGGAAGGGCGACTGATCCTTCGAATCCTGAATGTTGCTAGGTGCACTACTGTCCGAATCAACATCCTGCGTATCTTTATCGTCTCCTGGATTAGCTGCCGCCATCTTGCGTTTTTCCACCTTCCATTTACTTTTGATTTTAGCATTGAAGACCCAGTCTTGCTTGAGCTTCTTTGCTGCGAAGATTGTTAAATCACGGAGAGATATCAAAGGGTTAAATTGACCTCTTGCTGCAGGGTGATGCGGGAATGCAGGCGGGCGCTTTCTTTTTACTAGCCTGAGGGAGCCTTCTGCCATATGGAAGGAAGTAAAAAAAAGGATGCTGACTAATACATAGCCTTGAGGCTCCACGAGGTTGGTGATTTCAATCGCTCTTCCTTCTTAATACCACCCAACTCAGTCTTCTTTCTTGTATTCTTCTGACTGTCGCATGAGCGTGCAGAACTTAAACACTTTCGGTCAGCAGCTACTCTTCCTTGACGACTATTGACTCACAGCGGCTCTTAGATCCCTTCGCTGATGAGGGCGACCCTCTTGGAGACAACCAAGACGTTGGATCTCAGGCAGACTACATCCACATTCGTATTCAGCAGAGAAATGGAAGGAAGACGTTGACCACTTTGCAAGGCCTGCCCAAGCGTGAGTCGTTTATCGCATCTATCATCATCACCTCTAATCATACCTGAATCACTGCAGAATACGACTCGAAGAAACTTCTAAAAGCCTTCAAGAAGGTGATTGACTGTGTCAACTTGACTCTTACCCTCCCACTGTCGCAGCCTGTTATTTACATCCTTCCAGGAGTTTGCTTGCAATGGTACTCTCGTCGATGACGAGAAGATGGGCCAAGTCATTCAGCTGCAAGGTGATCAGCGCGCCAAGATCTCCACCTTCCTTATCGAAAATGGCATCGAGAAGTCTACCATCAAGGTGCACGGATTCTGACCCCTCTTCTCGTTAGAGTACCCATTGTTTTCGGCCTGGTTGAAAGCGTTTTCTTATCGTTTGACGTTGTAATGTTTTCATGATCATCCGCTTCAATATATGTACGATTGTGTATTTTGAATTGCATTCATTGGATTCAAAGTACTACGGCAGCAGCTTGTAAATGCCGGTTGACATAGCAATTCAGCGCAGTGGAAGTGAAAGAAACACTTGCCGAAAAAAGAGTGCGCAGCCAACAGTCAACAGCGCCACGGGAATGAGATCTATTTGATCTTGTCCAAGGGTCTGTATTTGATCCAAGTCAGTAATAAAGATGTCAAGATATGAATAAACCGACCTGTTGAATCCACCACGTCTGAAGAAAAGAGAAAGTTAGGTCCCATCATAAGCAAACACACCAAGTCCTTCACCTGTTCATATATTGCCGCCAAGTTCGAGTTTTCTTGACGTTTGCAGTACCTTCCTGGTTGCCATCGACATGCTTTCCCTGTAAAAATATCAGAAGGCGATGCTTCGGCTCCTACATAACGATTACCTTGGTTGAGCCAAATCCACCAAGGCCCATTGTCGCCATCATGGCATCCTCGTCTGGGTCGTCCATAGCTCCATCTTGAACGTCATCAGGTGCATCAGGATCTAAATTCGGTCTGGTGGAACGAGGGATATGGCTTTCTACTTGAAGTGGTAAACGATAAATACCAGGTGATACAATAGGGTAGACTTGCCTGTGTCATTTGAAACGCCGTCCTTCTGAGCTGGTTCCCTTGGCTTATCTGAACGACGTGAATCATCGTGCTTGAAGGATTCACCACGACCTTTTACATCATCGCGGTCGCGTGGCCCATCTCTTGGTCTGTGATCCCTGTCTCCTCGTTCTCTATCCCTCCGCGTGTCGTCCCTATCACGTCCATAGTCTCGATAATCTCGAGGGATTTAGTCAGTCATTTTCATACGATAAGAGAAAGTACAGTCACCGTTTCTTGAACGTCGGTCTCTGTCTCGTCTGGGACTTCGTGATCTGTCCCGGTCACGGCGAGGGCTGGGGGAACGTCGTCGGCCGCCACGGTCACTCCTTGAGTAACGATCTTTGTTTCTTGAATCGCGTTCCCAACTTCTATCGCGACGACGGTTGTCACCTCTTGAGGACATCTCGTGGATTGAGCCAAACGAGCCGTGTCACGTATGTCACACTTGGAGCGGCAACCCAGTTTTTTGACGTCCATCTTGGACAAGTACAAGCAGAGGGCATCATGAGTCAAGTAGCTCGACCAGCTGTAAATGGCACGACAATTTTGTTTTGCTCCATGATAATTTCTAATTTATCCCATCCAGCTTTGGCCCACGCAAAACACATAGGTCTCTTCGGTGTACCTTCCACCGTAACTGCTGGCGATATACGAAGGCTGATAACAAGAAGCGGAGTCCAAGGCGTCTCAAACAGTATTTGTCCTTGTCTTCTTCCATGTTGCTTTCTCTCATCCATTATAGTTGCTATCCAATATACGCACAGGTATCACCGTACAGGCAATGTCTACCTCACATTGTCGCTTCCAAATTTCCTCCGTGACAACCTACGAGCCTTGGAGGACGCGACAATATCTGGAATAACTCTGAAAGCAGAGGCATCTGTATCATTACCTGATAAAGATTACCGCTATGGTGATGGCATCGGCACATCTGTGGTTGTGCAGGGTCCACCGGGAAAGGCTGATGTGCATTTACTCCGAGAAATGCTGAGAGGTTACACCTTGTATCCTGGCCCCGAACCTATCACCCAAATTTCACTGTAAGTCGAACGAGTTGTGGGGTTGCACGTGTTCTCAGCTGTCCTAGACCCAAGGGAGGTTTCTCAAGAGTTTCACGTTTTCTTGTGCATTTTGCAACGGCTTCGGATGCGCACCGTTTTGTACGGGACATTCAAGGAGTAATCACAGATAATTCTCGTGACTCGATGGTCCAGAGAGCACCATACCGAGCCAATGTTGTGTACTAATATTGAGTACAATAAACTTTCGTTACATTCGCTCTGCCTCGAGGTCTTCATCTAACCGAAAGCGCTGGCCCTGCCAGTAATAATGAGAACTTTGCAGCGAAAGCAGGCGCGACACTTACCGTCCTGGCGTTGTCTTCTTCGTCATCGAGGGACCTGCCTCTTTTAAGTCTCCCTTCAACTGGCTCTGCTTCCTTCCAGTCCCCACCACCACCAGCAACAGCACCTGGACCATCTTGGGCATCAGCATATCTTTCCTCAACCTGTCTCCTTCGTTCCACCTCAAGTCGTTGCGCCTGTGCTCCCCATCCCCCTCTACCTGGATCATAGTCTTGCCTATGTTCATCTCGTACCTGCCCACCACTTTTCCCCCTTCCAAATTGCCGCCCTTCCTTATATCCCAGGTCAAGGTCACACCGAATGATGCGTTCATCTAGCTTGGTACCACTGACGTATCGCATGCTGGCTAGTGCTTCCGCATGAGTATAATATTCGACGAAGCAAAATCCGCAGGGTGTCCTACAAAATCATCAGTCAAAGCATCATACTTACTGCTGTGGAGCACATGCCTTGTATTGCGATCAAGACCCATGATGATTCTCTTTATCCCACCGCCATCCTCCGGACTGGCGCACTTGGTGAATAGCTCGTATATTTGTTCTTCGGTCGTGTAGAAACTCAAGTTACCTATCTGTTGTCATCGGTAAAGCCAGAACAGAGCAAGAAAGATAAACTCTGCATACGTAGAGTGTAGTTGACTTTGCAAGCATGTCATTTTGCTTCTGGCGATCCACCCGTGTCTGTGAGTCCTTGTAGTTCGAAGGCTGGTCTAATGGCTGTACGACATGGGCCATCGTAGATGGTTGTGAACAAGTTGACAACTACCATTATTTTGGCATTTGATAGATAAATAAGTAAATAAATAAACAATTACGCGTCAGACGCGGCCGCGTCACCTGCGCTTTTCGTCGTTCTCCTTCTTCACCATGGATGAAATCGGTATTGAGCTTCAGAAACATGTACGCATCCTTTCCATCTTGGTATTTCAAAGCTGACGATGCTCGTTAGGAACCCACTTTCGAGTCGGTCGTGACCGAGAAAACGGCACTCTACCAGGAACTGCAAGAAGAGGATCTCTACACAAAGTACAAGAAACTCTCTCGACATTTAGAACTTCTGGAGATACAGGAGAGCTACATCAAGGATGAGCAGGCCAACTTGAAGCGGGAGCTCATCCGTGCCCAGGAAGAGGTCAAACGCATACAATCCGTCCCCCTCGTCATCGGCCAGTTCCTTGAACCCATCGACCAGCACACTGGAATCGTAGGTTCAACAACAGGCTCAAATTACGTTGTTCGTATTCTATCGACTCTTGACAGGGAACTGTTAAAACCATCATCATCTGTCGCTCTCCACCGTCATTCCAACGCTCTTGTCGACATCCTTCCTCCAGAAGCCGACTCTTCGATATCAATGTTGAGCAAGGAGGAGAAACCGGATGTTGCGTATCAAGATGTCGGTGGAATGGACTCTCAGAAGCAGGAGATCAGAGAGGCGGTGGAGTTGCCATTGACACACTTCGACCTTTACAAGAAGATAGGTATCGACCCACCTCGAGGGGTTCTTCTCTATGGTCCGCCAGGTGTGTCGAATTTCTTCTCGCCATTGTTATCTCCTTTTGATACTGTATCCCTAGGTACCGGGAAGACGATGCTGGTAAAAGCCGTTGCGCACCATACCACGGCCTCTTTCATCCGGGTGGTAGGGAGCGAGTTTGTGCAAAAATATTTGGGTGAAGGTCCTCGAATGGTTCGCGATGTCTTCCGTCTAGCTCGCGAGAACTCCCCAGCCATTATCTTCATCGACGAAATTGACGCCATCGCTACAAAGCGGTTTGACGCGCAGACCGGTGCAGATCGTGAAGTGCAGCGTATCCTATTGGAGCTTCTAAACCAAATGGACGGTTTCGACCAGGGGAGCAACGTTAAGGTACTTGTGCATTGAGCCATTCTACTGCAGCTGGTTTACATCTTCCTCAGGTTATTATGGCCACTAACCGTGCAGATACGTTGGATCCTGCCTTATTACGGCCAGGTCGTCTGGACCGTAAGATAGAGTTCCCGCTACCGTCGAGGCGGGAAAAGCGTCTTATTTTCCAGACTGTGACGAGCAAGATGAACCTGGGTCCAGATGTCGACTTGGAAGACTGTCCGTTGATTCCATTCTTTCATCAGGATCGCTGCTCATGCGCTTTGGTAGACGTTTCTCGCCCAGACCGAATTTCCTCTGCCGAGATATCATCAATCGTTCAAGCTGCAGGTTTACAAGGTATAGCACTTTCCCTTCGTTTTGGATCCTGCTGAAGACTTGGTTTCAGCTGTAAGGAAGAATCGCTATGTCATTCTGCCCATCGATTTCGAAGAAGCATGGAAGGTGTGTTCGCCTTTCATAATACACTATGACCCCCTAATCATTCGCCGCTCAATAGCAAACTGTCAAGAGATCCGACGAAACGCACGAATTCTGTGAGTATACCTGTCCCAGTTGACTTTCTTATACTAATCAGAGAATAGACCGGTGATGCTTCCATCGACCATTGTTTGTGCAAACACAATATGTTTTTCATGATCAAAGATGTAGATATCTTCAACATCCGATGCAATTCTGAGTTTATTCACGTCTCATTGGACTTGGCTCTTGTCTTCACATTCACTTCCCAGTTGCTGCGCGATATATGGTCGACCCCCTTTTAACAGACATACAACATGACACCTTTGAGGAAGCAAGTTATTGTCAATAATGGCTTGAGATCTCGGCCATGTGTCCGCATGTCCTATATGACTGAGATGCTTTTCGAACCCATTTTACCACTGTATGCTAATGCAGCTTCAGGTTGGGCGTAATTCCGGAAACAGCAGGAATCATAATCAGATCTGAGTACACCGTTCTCCAGTGTCAAAGGCACAGTCGGGTTCTTCGTATCTTCGTTCGGTTTGAAAATCGTCTGAGAAGATTGTTTCAATATGTAACTGGCCATTATGCGTTTTTGATGTACATGCCACGAAATCGACCCCATTTCATGAAGTTTAAAAAATCTAGTCACCTATGTCATGGTTCTCAATCAGAGATGCTCTTGTGGTGTCTAGCGTTGCTCGAACGTCTCATGCGATGCTTCTGCTTGTATAAGAAGGCCTTTCTTCGAAGATGGAAATGAACCAGTATTACAGAAATCTTCCAAAATTTTTGCAGAAGTTGTAAGATACTTTTGAATGACTCCAACATTGGCAAGCTACATCGCGTGTGCAGCTTGCGACCAAGATAAATCGGAACCATCTCGGTAATGAATTTTCTGCTCCTTTGAGCCTTTGAGCCGTTTGGCCCGAAGCATCAGCGAGGTTCTACCATCTACTGCTTCTTGGCCGGTTGACCCAGTTCACTGGCTCGTTCGGTTGCTATTTGAATCCCTCTTGCTATCGTTGAACGGACTCTCCCATCTTCCAATGCCAGGAGACCGGCGATGGTGCATCCACCTGGAGCTGTCGGTGGAAGATTCAGGATAGGTTGTATGGAAGTTGAAAAGATACTTTACTCACTCGTAACAGAATCTTTGATCTGTGCAGGATGAGCTCCAGCTTGAAGCACCATGCGCGCCGCTCCTTGTAGTGCTAAAGACGCATCAGTTTCGGATGACGGAGACTCTGAGGCCGAAAACCTACTTTGTGCTGCCAACTCTAATGCCTCCGCCCTAGGAAGTCCCATCATAACGCCTCCGTCTGCCATAGCCTCCAGGAAAATACATGCAAAAGCAGGTCCCGAACCTGATAGCGCTGTACAAGCATCAAAATGTTTTTCTTCCAAGAAACGACATCGACCAATGGACGAGAATATTTTAAGGATTATGGCATGATCCACTTCCATATCATTGGAGGCGGAAATAGTTGACACAACCGTCATGCCCTCACGGATCTGATTGCAATGAGAATTTTTCTGGACTGATAAAAGGTTTTGGCTTTACACACTTTGCAAGGTGTATTAGGCATAGCGCGGATGACCTTGGTTCGCGGATGAACCCAGTTGGTGAGCTGCGATATGGTGACTCCGGCGAGAATACTGATTAAGAGTTTCCCTTCAAGGGCTTCATACAGCCCAGACTCTGAGAGGATTGAATGTGCAAGTTGTGGTTTACAGCTATATATTTGATCAGTAAAAGGAATCAAAAAAATGCAGGTTCACTAACCAGAGAAGAACAACATCAGACTGCTTGACAGCGTCTACATTCTGCGAGGCTACAATCTCGGTATTTTTTCCCAAGGAACCAAGACCGTCGAATACTGTCCTGAGTTTAGCAGCACTTTTAGCTCGGCTCACACAAGCGATAAATCGAGTTGGGGTAGATGCGTCCGGTAATCCAACGGGAGTCGTAGTTCCTGGGGTATGTGACTCCCACTTATGCAGCACAACTGGAACGCGGGAATGCACGTCAAGACTGTCGATTACACCAGACAGGATGGCGATGCCCATGGTACCGCACCCTAGAATAATTGTTCAGTTCTCAGCTGATAAAACCAAGGGTCGAATGGACCTAAAACACAGAGAGTGTAACCCATCGAGAAAGATAAAAGTTTCAAGGAGAAACGGAAAATATTTTGAATCTAAATATGGCCTGATCGAGTCATGCTTGTCTTCGTCACCGTGGGCTCGACACGCTTTGACGCGCTCGTCCAGGCTGTATTGTCGGATCGCGTCCTTGCTGCTCTCAGTCAAGCTGGATGCACTGCTGTCGTTGTTCAATGTGGAAATTCGCACTTTGCCCACACTCATTCGATCCAGAACGGAGAAACCCTTAACACCCAGCAACAAAATGTCACTATTGAAATGTACAAATTCAAGCCGTCGTTAGATTCAGATTATGAACGAGCAGATATGGTCATCAGCCATGCAGGTGTGTGCTCCACCATGGCTTGTGGGAGCTTGCAGTGACAGCAGACAGGCTCTGGAACGATTCTCGATGTTCTTCGGCTGGGCAAGCCTCTCATCGTCGTTCCCAATCCGACCCTGCTCGACAACCACCAAGAGGAGCTGGCGACGGCCTTGGAAGAGCTGGGCCATTTGAGATCTTCAACCGTACCGTGAGCCATGTCACCTAGCCATTTCCGTGCTCTGGCCCTTACATTCACTTTCAGAGGCCTTGCCCGCACTATTGAAGAATTCGATAGAGCAGCCATCGTCGAGTTTCCACCTCTCGATCCAAGCAGATTTCGCCGCCTGCTGGACGAAGAGATGGGGTTCTGAGCTCAGCGTTGTATTCGATACATACAAACAATGTCCATTTTTGTCTTTGCACCACCATGGCCCCCTCCGTCACATCCGCCGTAGTCGATGACAAGCCTGAAATATATGAAGACAACCACGTACACGATGTTTACGACCAGATCGCCTCTCATTTTTCATCGACAAGATACAAGGTCTGTACGTTGCTCGGACATGGATCTTGTTTGATGGTTCGTAGCCATGGCCAATAATCGCCAATTTCTTGGCAACAATCCCCACCGGATGGATAGGCTTAGATTCTGGCACTGGCAATGGAAAATACCTACCGCTTCCACTAGAACGACCAGGAAGCATAAGGACCATTGGCTTAGACAGAAGTCTGCCTCTGCTTGAAATCGCAAAAACAGCTGGAGGAGTTATTCGAGATGTTGTGTGGGGGGACATTCTTGGATATGGATGGAGGACTGGTGCATTTGTACGTGCATCCCACACTGCTGATCACTTCTGATCCCTTTATCAGGATTATGCTATCTCCATTGCGACCATCCACCATCTTGCTACACCGGAGCGTCGACAATCGGCGGTACAGGTTAGCATCTATTCTTTTTTATCCTAAGATGTGATGTTCACCACAGCCCCAAGCGTTTACTCGAAGCAGTTTCGCTGTCTCACGGTCGCATTTTGATATATGTGTGGGCAATTGAGCAAGATGAACTTTCAAAACGCACTGTGCCTAGCAATTCTTACTCGAGCCAAAATGGACAAGATGTTTTAGTTCCATGGGTCCTGGACCAGCCATCAAAGGAATCTCATCAACCGGGACGTGTTCTACAACGCTATTACCATATGTTTGCAAAGGGTGAACTTCCTGGGCTGGTCATCAAGTGTGCAGAGCAGATGGGACTGTGCATCGGAGCTAGTTCAGATTTTAGCACAGGCGGTTACGGCGTTGAAATTATTCAAGACGGCTGGGAGCGATCCAATTATTATGTAGAATTGCGGCGATGGCAGTCTTGATTCATCCTCAGTCTTGTGCAACGAACCAGGAAACCCGAAATGGTCTGTTTTTGTATTGGAACGAAAGCACTACAAGGAATATATAGAGGGACGAGATCACTCGCTGGCCGCCATGACTTGACGAATATAAGCAATTGCACGACGAGTCTAGCTAGAAAAACTCACTAGCATTGATGAGATCTCCACCACTCTCCTTTAGCACACGGACAGCTTTTGCACGAGAACAGTTCACCTGTGAGATACATAAGCTGATATTCCAACACGACTGGCTGCTGGCAGAAAACTAACTTGTGTCATGACAAGATCAATGTCCTTGGGGTCAACACCAGTCTCATCGACAGGGCCATCATCTTCAGGAGCTTCAAGCTCTGGAATGCTGTCGTCATCATCATCTGCACCGACACCCGAGTTCTCAAGCCCCGTAGTAGTAGCACCAGCTGCCAATTGTTGAGCAGCGGTCATCTGCGCCTGAGAGTTCATGTCTTCGATCTGGAAAGAAGCGCCATATAACAAACGAAGGGCCCATGCATATGTAGAACACACCTTGGCTTCGCCGAAGACGATGTAGCAGTCACTGTTCGGCGACTTGTAGACATCTGGTGAAGCAAGAACGAAGAGAACCTGTAGCACCTTGAGCAAGGATTGCAACAAGCTGAGAATCGACAAACGTTCTTAGGCCGCCTGAGAGTGACCCGTGTGATGTTTGGGACGTGCTTCAAACCCAGACTGAGCAGGGCTTTCCTGGCCTTCCTCTCCGAGCGGGACTGAACCTTCTCAAGAGCAGCAGTAGATGTCGGATCTTCTTCGTGGTCGTGGTCATGATCATGGTCATGATGGTCATGACCTTCGTGGTCAGAGTGGACTTCCTCAATTTTGGACATCTGCAGAGGGGAGTGGTATTCAGTCTTCATCCAGGAAAAGGGATGTCAATCCAACAAAATGATGGTGTCATAAGGCTAATTTGCCATAGATTCGACACATATAGGCACTAATGAACAATCCCGTACCTTCAAAATATCGACCTCACCGGAGAGTACAGGCTTCTTCGCTGTTACCAACGACGAGGGCGCGAAAATCTGTGTTTGGCAACAGCCTTGGCTCCGACGATGAATTCCGAGACCGACCCGGCCGACTCTCCGATTTCTTTCCCATGGCAATGCCGCTTCTTCTCCCTGTGCTATTTAGTGAAATCCGTTTGGTGCTGGAAGGCTCGATAGGCGCTCCTTCACTGCTCGAACTTATCTGTGCAATAGACGAGTTTGTTCATGTAGTGGACCAGAACTCTGTATCGTCAGCCGACATTGAAGAAGAGCTGCAGTCTATCCATCGGGATGTCGCTGACCACTCTTCTTCACGCCAAGCCGAGGGATTTCTAGCTGTTCTGTATCATCTCCGACCACTTCTCTCCTCGGCATCTGTCATTTTACTGTGGTTTGACCTCATCTTGCGCCCAGCACTCCGTGAACCAAAGCTGTCCACTAATGCGATTGACAATGCCACGGACCTTATCGTATCTTCCCTCAGAAATGAAGACAATGCGCATCAGCAGAAGTCTGATGATTTCAGACGGCGTATTGTCGACTATTACCTGCTTGACGCATTCAATGAAGGGTCAGGGGAAGATATAATATCATGGGCCGAGTTGGACGAGTCGGAGAAGGACCGGCGCAAGTATTGGAAGGCCAATTTGGAGAATATTCTGCTTAAGTACGGAACTCAATGTCCCGAGGTACGCCTGTGAAATCCATATATTTTGTAAATTGCTAACTCGTCATCCAGGAGCTAATGACTGAGTTGCACGCGCAATTCGTCAATCCATCGCTGCGTTTGCAGATTCTCATTTTGCTCAATTTATTCACTTCCTCGCCTGGATTTCGCAACTCTGCATCTATTCTTGCAACATATCCACTAACATCTAGCATAATGACATCGTTACTGATCGATAATTCAACAACTGCCTGTAGTGTTGGGCTGACGCTTCTGGTCAAACTACTTCCTCTTCTTGCCGTCCATGCCTGCGAAAAGTTAAAGGAGATGGTCCCCCAGTTATTACTTGTCCTTTCCAGACTTATATGCTGGAAGGAGCGAGTTTCCGTTGTAGATGAATCCAATGGGTCACATGTGGATATTCCACAGGATTTCTTCAATGCTTCTCCCTCCCACGAGATCCGTCCGGAACTCCATTGGGAGCGCCTTGAATCGACATTCGATGCGGCGGCAGCCCCGGGTCCCTCTCCTCGCCGATTTTTCACCTTTCTTTACTATCTTTTCCCTTGTAATGTCCTCAGGTTCCTGCGTGCTCCATTTGCGTATCTCAATGACTGTCGACCTGAATCGCCTTACACCGTAGGGTGGGAAGCTCTAATCGATGAGATCGAGCTAAAGGGAAAAGCAGAGGTACGCGTTGGTATTTTGTCACACCTCATCATCTGATCCAATGCGTGTAGAAACTCCTTAGGGAACATCAATGTCATCCACTTATAATATGGCGGGATGCCAAAGATGAACTGACTCTTCCAGACTTTTGGGCGGAATATGACGTGTCTCGAATCGCGAGCGAGGCCGCCATGTTGGATGTTAATAACACGGTGCTTTCTCTTCGTGCGAAGCTGGACGAGACCAATGCTACCGCAACGTATACCCCCTCGGAAAGAAGCGTGGAAGACACTCCAGCTACTTCTGTACACCCTATTGACTTATCATCCGGAGTCGCAAAAATATCATTACAAGACATGATCGCGACTTCAGTCGCTTTGAAATCCAATCTGGATATAAACATCGCAGCGCCGACGTCTCAGTGGCCTGGTGCTCTGTTTGTGTCGTCGACGACACCTTCTACCAGAAATGGCGACTCCTCCAGGCCTGAGAGTGTAGGATCAAAAAGCAGCGACGAGATTCCATCCCATATCGTGCAGGCGATTTCTGCCCTCCAACACGAACTCGTTCTGTTGAAGAATGAGCTCAACTTTGAGCTCTGGCTTTCGAGGGAAAACGTGCAGCACATAGGCCGGCTGTACCAAGAGCGAATTCTGTCCAAAAACGTCGAAGTCGAGAGACAAGGATTGGTACGTATTCCCTCGTTCTGTGAGCCACTCTGAACTTATGTACCGGGTTGTAGTACAACAAACTGCGTAACTATCGTACACAGGTTATAGGCCTGGAACGCGAACTGCGCGAACACAAGGAGCAAGCATCTTCTGCCAAGAACAAGTATGCAGAATGGAACACGGAGCTCCAGGGAAAACTTCGAGAGTTGCGGGATGAAAAAAAAAAGTGGACCATGGAAGCGGCTGCTTTGAGGACCGAAGCCAAGGAAGCGAAGGTGTGTGTTCAGCCTGGAGTTTTTCTTACGGTGATTGATATATCCTCCTAGGCCCTTTTCGCTGCCCAGGGAGAGTTACTAGACAATGCGCGGAAAGAAGTTTTCATGCTTCAAACTCAAAAGAAGGAAAACCAACATAAAATTGACCGGCTGAGGGACTATGAAAAGCAGATACAGCAGCATCTTAAGATGCAGCAACTCTGGTTTGAGCTTGTTCTGTGTCGCTGAATGCGATACTGAAATTATTCTAGGGACGCGGACTTTTACATGTTCAACCAAAAAGAGGAGGAAGTGGTGATCATGAGAAGTGAGTACAAGCAGATGGATCTTCGTCTTCACAGCTATGAGAGGAACCTGGCAGAGCTTGAAGAGGAGAATAGGTAAGTACCAGTTTATTCTGTGAAACGAATATCTCATCTAGTTGATAGAAACTACCGACGCCAAGTACAAAGGTTCGAGGCACGTCTAGCAGATGCCAACCGCACACGTGATGGGGCACAGGAATCCTCTATGCTGTCCGCAATGACGGCTGATAAAAAGCTGTTGACTACTGTGAACAAGGACTTGCGCGAGAAGAACACGGAGCTGATGGAAGAAAAGGAGGAGCTAAAGGCGATGGTGGAGGTATTGAAGAATGAAGTGGGGGGAAGACGCGGTTTGATTAATGACCCGCGCGTCAGCCCGCTGTCGTCTTCATTTTTGTACGGGCAAGGAGTGATATGAATACAATGCTCTTTTTTTTTTTTGGCTATGAAGGAAGTGGTAATTTTATCTTCTCGAAGGTTCGAAATGGTGATGCCCCAAAATGGTAAGTGTCAGATTGTTCTCGAAATCGAATTTTTTCACCACATATAAACAAGGGGCGCGCGCTTCCTTCTCATTCACCGTTTCTGCTTTCTTACTACTCTCTTAAAAGTGTGTTTACCTACCGTTGTTGCTGCTGCCCATCTTAATCCTTTACGCAGTTATAAAATGGCCACCGAAAGCTTTGGATTCCAAGCTGAAATCAGCCAGCTTTTGGATCTGATTATCAGTGAGTGGCTCCTGTCTTGTCTGACGCCTGCTCACCCCTTTGTGCAGACACCTTTTATTCGAACAAGGAGATTTTCCTGCGGGAGATCATCTCCAATGCCTCTGATGCGCTCGACAAAATCCGTTATGCATCCCTCACTGAGCCTTCTGTCCTCGACACCGAGAAAGAGCTCGTCATCCGCATCGTGCCCCACAAGGAACAAAAAGTCCTGTCCATTATCGATACCGGTATCGGTATGACCAAGGCCGACATGGTCAACAACCTCGGTACGATCGCCAAGTCGGGCACAAAGGTAAGCGCCCAAACATTTCCCACGACGACTGTACCCTGACGCTTGTTGAAAGGGATTCATGGAAGCCCTGAGCTCTGGCGCCGATATTTCCATGATTGGCCAATTTGGTGTGGGTTTCTACTCTGCGTACCTCGTCGCGGAGCGGGTGCAGGTTATCTCGAAACACAATGATGATGAGCAGTATATCTGGGAGTCTGCTGCGGGTGGTACGTTTACCATCACGCAGGATGCGGTCAACCCTCGTCTCGGACGGGGTACGGAGATTCGTCTGTTCCTCAAGGAGGACCAGCTCGAGTACCTTGAGGAAAAGAAGATTAAGGATATCGTGAAGAAGCACTCTGAGTTCATCTCGTACCCTATCCAATTGGCTGTTACCAAGGAGGTTGAGAAGGTGCGTGTCTATATATATATTTGGGCTTGTTGCTGATGGTGGATATAGGAAGTCGAAGACGATGAAGAGGAGGTTACTGACGAGAGCGCGGAGAAGCCCAAGATTGAAGAAGTCGAGGATGACGAAGACAAGCCCAAGGAGAAGAAGACGAAAAAGATCAAGGAGACGGAGACGACAAACGAGGAACTGAACAAGACGAAGCCCATCTGGACTCGCAACCCCCAAGATATCACGCAGGAGGAGTATGCGGCGTTTTACAAGAGCTTGACGAACGACTGGGAAGATCATCTTGCGGTCAAGCACTTTTCCGTCGAGGGTCAGCTAGAATTCAAGGCTATTCTATTCATTCCCAAGCGGTACGTGTATTTTTGCCATGTATGTAAGCTACGTCTGAGGATTCGTCAGTGCACCGTTTGACCTGTTCGAGTCGAAGAAGAAGCGCAACAACATCAAGCTGTACGTGCGGCGGGTATTCATCATGGACGACTGCGAGGACCTGATCCCCGAGTATCTGAACTTTGTGAAAGGTATCGTGGACTCTGAGGACCTGCCTCTGAACATTTCTCGCGAGACGCTGCAGCAGAACAAGATTCTTAAAGTGATTCGTAAGAACATTGTGAAAAAGTGCTTGGACTTGCTGTCGGAGATTGCCGAGGACAAGGACAACTTTGCCAAATTTTACGAGGCGTTTGGCAAGAACCTGAAGCTGGGTATTCACGAGGATGCGCAGAACCGGAGCAAGCTTGCCGAGTTTTTGCGGTTCTATTCGACCAAGTCTACGGAGGAACAGGTTTCGCTTAAAGGTGCGTGTTTGGGTTTTACGCGTGGTGGACATGTGGTGACCGCGTTTTTTTTTTTTTTGGTTGGTTAGATTACATCACGCGAATGCCGGAGGTGCAAAAGACGATCTACTATCTGACTGGTGAATCTCTCGCTGCGGTGAAAGAGTCGCCGTTCCTGGAGGTGCTCAAGAAGAAGGGCTTTGAGGTTCTGCTGCTCGTTGACCCGATCGACGAGTATGCGATCACGCAGTTGAAAGAGTTTGACGGGAAAAAGTTGGTGTGTGTGTCGAAGGAGGGACTGGAGCTTGAGGAGACTGAGGAGGAGAAGAAGCAACGGGAGGAGGAAGCGGCTTCGTTTGAAGAGCTGTGCAAGGTAGTGAAGGAGGCGCTCGGAGACAAGGTCGAAAAGGTGATCATGTCGAACCGGATCACGGATTCACCATGCGTGCTTGTCACTGGACAGTTTGGATGGTCATCAAACATGGTAGGTGTTTGCTGTGAATTTGTGTGTTGTTTTTTTTTGAGGGATGCTAACGCTTAGATTAGGAGCGGATCATGAAGGCTCAGGCACTGCGGGACTCGTCAATGTCGTCGTACATGGCGTCGAAAAAGACGCTGGAGCTGAACCCGACGAATGCGATTATCAAGGAGCTGAAGCGCAAGGTTGCAGAGGACAAGTCGGACAAGTCCGTGCGAGATCTGACGTATCTGTTGTTCGAGACTGCGCTGTTGACGTCTGGGTTCACGCTGGATGAGCCGACATCGTTTGCGAAACGGATCCACCGAATGATCAGCCTGGGCCTTGATGTTGACGAGGAGGAAGAGGACACGGCGATGGAATCTGATGCCCCTCCGGCGGTGGAGGCGACGTCGACGTCTGCCATGGAAGAGATTGATTAAAGAGCAATGTATGTTAGTTACGATAAATGATTACGGCTTGCATTTGGGGTCCAAAGCAGCACGCGTCGACGATCGCGAGTGTACGTACGCGTGGGATTTAAAAGGCAGGGCCCATTGTTCCCTTCTTCCATTGTTCACGACCATTTATTATACCCGTCTGCATGGACCCATACTCTTAATGTCCTCGCAGTATTCCCAGGTATCCTTCTCCCCCCCTCTTCTCTCTTACCCATTGTCTGACTGTCTGACTTTCAGTCGCCTTTAATGATGCCTTTGCTCGAATCTCCCATATCGCTCGTCTCTACACGGCCGGTACGTGTCGTTGCTGTGTCGTCACAGCGAGGTGGCTTACTTTTGTCTAGGTGGCGGCGCTTACGAGTCGACGTCGAGGGAGCCATCCATTTGACAGTCTGCCGTGGATCGACCTTGTCAATTCGCCCAACGTTGGCGGCGAGTGCGACTTGTCGCAGCTGGGACCTGTTCGCCGTCGTCGTAAAGTGCGATCCAGTCCATTGTCTCGACCTCGTCGCTTGCCGTCGTCGTCGCCAGCACCGACGTTGCCCGTATCACTGCTAGGGCGTTGCTCGACGCCACCACCACCACCACCGGCCTCATATATCATATTTGACGACCTCATGCCGCATCGCAATTAACGAACACTCGCATATCATTATTTACGTTACGAATATTTTCTTATACCAAAAAAAAAATGTAATCATCAAATATTACTCCTACTCCTATACTACCTACAACGATGACTCGACCCATCAACTTTGGTGCTGGGCCGTCTGCGCTCCCAGAATCAGTCCTAAAAGAGGCCGCAAATGGCCTGCTAGACTTTGAAGGGACTGGCATCGGTATCGCTGAAATCTCGCATCGCTCGAAACAGTTTACGGCGTTTGTGAAAAAGACAGAGACGCTGATTCGGACGCAACTCAACGTCCCCTCGACACACGAGATCCTATTCACGCAGGGGGGCGGCACCGGCCAGTTCTCTGCGGTGGTCTACAACTTTCTGGCCCGGCATCGACTGCTGCACCCAGACGACGGGGAGCCAGTTCTGGACTATGTCGTGACTGGGTCGTGGAGTAAAAAGGCGAGCGAAGAGGCTCGACGGCTGGTGGGTGGCTCGCGGGTGCACATTGCTGGCGACGGGCGGCGAGAGGGAAAGACGTTTACGCGGATCCCGGGACATTCAGAGTACTCCTTCTCGCCCAACGCCGCCCTCATCTACTACTGCGAAAACGAGACCGTCGATGGCGTCCAGTTCTCCCATGACCCCTCCGCCCCCGCCTCTTTCCCCTTTGACCGTCTCCCGACGACAGCCGCCCTCCTCCCCCTCGTCGCAGACTACTCTTCCTCCTTCATGTCCCGCCCCATCCCCCGCCTCGCCGACCACGCCCTCATCTTTGCCGGCGCACAAAAGAACATTGGCCCAGCCGGTCTCACCATCCTCATCGTTCGCCAGGACTGCCTCGTCGACGTCGACGCCGCCGCCGCACTCGGCGCCCCCCCCGTGCCCATCTCCATGGCATACAACGTCATTGCAGACGCAGCCAGTCTCTACAACACTCCCTCCGTCCTTGCCCTCTACATCTCTGGCCTCGTCCTCGACCGTTCACTCAATCTTGGCGGCGTACAGTACTACGAACAGCTCAACAGGCGCAAGGCAGACAAGGTCTACGCCGCCCTGCGCGACGGCGAGGCACGCGCCATCTTTCGCCCAAAGGTCGAACACGGCTCCCGCAGCTGGATGAACGTCGTCTTTGACGTCCTTGGCGACGGCGCAGAAGCCAGATTCATCGCTGGAGCAGAGCAGCTCAACATGAAGGCTCTCAAGGGTCACCGTTCAGTAGGAGGCATGTCCTCTCTCTCTCTGTCCTATCCCCTTTCTAACCCTTTCCCAGGCATTCGTGTATCCCTCTACAACGCCATTACAGAAGAACAGACAGACCGTCTCGTCGCCTACATCCGTCAATTTACATAGCATACATTACATCTGTAATCAACACATATCAGTAATAAACGTCGTCCGTCCACCCCGAGGCTGCACCAACACCTTTTCCGCCCCATTTATCTGGTATGTTTCGGTGCTCTGTATTCCCTCCGCCCACACAGACACCTTGGGCAACATCAGCTCCCCATGGTGAACTGCAATCATCGTTAATCCCACAGAATACGTCCCATTGTGCTGCCAGTAAAAAAAAAAAAAGCTAAGATCCAACATCAGGAACGAAACTCGACTTGCTCACAGAGGCACTGAAATCCCCCCTTTTCCGTCCGCTCACCAGCCAGTCCCTTACCAACTCTTCCACATCGTACCGCATCCTGTACTCCGCATCCTTTTCTCCACTCGCATCCCAGTGGAACGACGTCTCGATCGATAGCACCGCAGAAATAGGCTGTCCAGCATACCAGCACGACTGCCCCGAAAGCTTGATCCTCACCGCCGCAACAATCTAATACCTTACTCGTCAGCACTCATCTGACGCAACAATAGCACACGCACATTCATCGACGGCACATCCACCGGTATCTGCATTTCTCGCCAAGAACCCGAATCAGGCCCAAGAGCTCTCCGAGTGCTCAATTCCTCTCTCAGCTTGCTCCCAATTTCCTCTCCTTCAGGAACATCAAGCTCCCCAGTCAAACTGTACCGCTCTACCCACCCACCGTCTCTCTCCAGTGCCCGCACCACCTGATCAACAACCACAATGTCACTCGTCGCCTCTTCAATCACCTTTTCCACCTCTGCGATTCGTCAGATCTATTAAAACAACCCGGCCAACGCGGTCACGTACCCTCCCGCAGCATCCGAAACCTGACGCGCAGTCTCATCGGCTCTCGAACTAGACTCTTTAATATCACTTGTTCCAGAACCCGCATGCGTACGTACGTACCAGGGCCATCAGTACCATCAATGCAGAACAAAAAATGCGCACATTGAGCAGGCGTCACCGTCTATAACCCATTCAGCCTTTTCGGAAAAAAAAAATAACAGTTCAATGCAGCTCACAATGACTCGAGATCCAACCCCACACGAGACCACCTTTACACCCGCATCTGACGGGTCCAATTCAACTCGCGCGATACGCACGTGTTGATGGCTCGCCGTCGAGATGGTGAATTTCGTGAAAAGTCTGCGTGGTTGCGGTGAGTCATGACACAACAAAGAAAATGCTAGGATACCGTGTCCCCCGAAAGAAATCCTCAACGTTGACGACAATGGGGTGCGTTACCTGGACGCTCCTTACCACGGAGATGACACGGCTGATCGTTGGCTCCGCCTTTGTAACGTACTCGACTTGGAGATGCACCTTCTGTTACGTTAGGGTCAGTAACAGTTCACGAGAACAACGAGTCCCTCACCATCCCATACGCCCCTGATACCTCGGAATGAGGCACAGAAACAGATACACTCTCGCCCCTCCCTATCCCTGAGAGCATAATGACTCCGTCATCACCACCCGTCATTTCACCGACACCTGATTCCAAAGAAATATTCTTGCGCTGAAACGTCGCAGATGGCGACGACAGACGGATCGTCATCGAGACAATTTCATTTCGTCCTGTGAGCACATTGATCACAATGGAAGGACTCCCGAGAACGACTGGGCGCAATAAAAATTTTTAAAAAAGTAGGTATCGCAACTGACGCGTGGACGTACTGAGTCTGGGTAAGCTGACCCGAACATTCATTGCTAGCGGGTCTCGCGGGAGACGTATGAGAATCCCCTTGTCCTTGGAGGATTTCGCAACTTTGACTGGCTTTCGATGCGTCTGTTGAAAAACGAGCCGGGATACTCTTACTTCGCTCGTATCTAGGAGATATGTCCCAGAGAGCGGCGTCTACTGCAAAGTAAACTTGCATTCATATCCATCCCACCCGTTTGCTTACAGGACAAAATAGAGTCACAGTCGTTTTTCCAGCCGGTAGTGACTCGCACGGGACAGTAAACTTGAGTCGGCATGCGTCCGCCCCGTACAAAACTATGCACACTTCGTCAACCGGCAAATCCTACCACAGTTCAACTCCTTTAGCATAATACACAAAAGTCGCAACTCACACAGGGTAGATGATTTTGTACCATCACATCCAAAACGTACCCATCCCTACCCGAGGCCGGCCGAGCATCTGAAGGTGCATGAACCGTAACCGCTGCAAGGTCTGTATGTACGAGATCTAGAATGCTCAGTATTTTTGAAAAAATAGAGAAAATCCATAGATACCTTGATCAAGCTCAGACGCAGCATTCTTCAGCTCCCCAACTAGCCGACTGACGTACACTTGCGCATTCTGTTCACACAGAAGCAGCTCAGCGCCACTTTCAATATATATGGAAAGGGAGGAAAGAAGGATGTGCATCCATTCTCTGTCTTTGGGCTTCTCAAGGGACTCGTGGATGTCTAAAGCACGGGACAGCATCAGAGATTGTAGTGACGTCCATTTATGTGGCGCGTAATGTGCGGGTAGGGACGTGTATGTTGTCAATGCCGTCGACAGCCGTCCCCGATGGCTAGACCAAATTTGAGTGTCGTATTCTTTCAAAGAGAACGTGCTTACACGTCGAGGGCAGCTAGACTTCCGTGCAATTTGAGGGCGAACTTTCGGCGACCTGCTTTAGCATACATGTCAATGGCGCGATTGGTGATGTTGATATAGAGGTCGTAAAAGGCTTCCTTGTCTTCTAGAGCCTTCAGTAAACGGTCATTGCTAATCATCTGTGATGACGACGTCTTGGTCAACTTTGCTGATACATCGGACACGCCAGAAAAAGGCGCGCGACAAGGCAGATGCTGGGTCTTCATGCCAAGTGTATCCAACTAATAAACACGTTAAAAGCAGCACGAAAAAAATGAAGAGAGTCGGCGTACTTGGCTTCGTGCAAGTTCAAGAAGCTCACCTTTACCAGCGTAAAATGAAGCGAGCTTCTTTTGGTCGACTTTTAAGCTGGAATGCCAAGCATCACATTTCTCCACAACGCTGAGGGCAGACGAATAGATCCAAGACTCCACAAAATGGAGCGGAAGAGTTTCCTAGCCTGTGTCAGTGCAAGCAGAAAAAACAAATTGAGCCCATTCACCTCAATCTCCCTCAACCGCCGGCCAAAAGCGCCGAGAAACGCTCCTACCCTTCGACAGACTTCAGGAAGACGGCCATACTTGGCCAGTAATTCACATTGACGAGTAAGAAGATACGTTCGAAAGTCAAAGACAGATATTGTGTTGGCAAGAATGAGATCGCGATATGGCTTCTTGGAGATGGACAAAAGAGGACTCGAATCATCTTTAGGTCCTGGCGTTATCAGAGTTCCAAACCATGATAGATTCTTCTCCTTCAGCACCTGGTAGAACGAGGCTTCGAGCTCATCGTACTGCACTAATGCTTCGGAGACTAGATTCATTCCCTCGAAGGAACTAGCAAGACTTTCCTACGGACTCTTGAGCTGCTTTTAGGGCATGACAACATGTAGTCACACCTTGAGTATGAAGAAGGTACAGAAATTCCATCCCGGCATCAAACGTTGGCCTTCTGATCGTTTGACGTCGTCTTCCTTCTGCAACACGGCGGTGTCAAATGCAGAGGAGATTCCATCCTTAAGTTTATTGAGAAACTCTCCCCATGCGATAGGGCTGTCTTGTGTGCTTGACCAGGACACTTGGACGCATCTGGTACGCTGTGAATGGAATGCACAATCGGTACTTGAGAACTACACACCTCTCCCGTTTGTCCGCATTGAAATCAGCTCTCAGTTTGTCTAGAACAGAACCCTTCAATTTCAGGAAAGTTCCTGTCGGCGCCTTCCCGTCAGGTTTGACGATTTGGAGGATCAACCACTCTTGATTCCTCCGTGAGGTGACAGAAACGTGCCAGTCTCTGACCTGCTTCTTTACAGTGGTTCGGTATGATTCAAGATCGGCATCCTGCAGCAAGTGAGCACGGTATCCGGTGCGTCAATAGTTTGATGTCGAGTATCACCTCACAGTTTACGATATATATATTCAAGAGCGGCTTTTCAAGCAAGTTGACAGGTACTTGAGAGGTGTGTTCGTCGCGAATCGAGTCCAGATTTACAAGAGTTACGTTGAGTTCCTGTATGGTTCGGAGCGACGTCCTCGATGCTGACTTCCAATGAATATTTCGTAGAGGAAGCTGTGAGTTGAAACCATGCTGTATCTGGGTCCAGCTCGGAGAAGAAAGAAAGAACGGCGAGCCAGAATACGACACCAGCACCGGCTGCATGATCGTCTCCGCGAAGGGCAACTCCTGGGAATAACACGGTCCGGCCGGCAGCCTCACTTTCAGCTTTTTTTTTTTCATTTTGAGCTTCGTCGACATGCCATCTCTAGAGGAAGCCGAAACTTCATCGTCGCCAAATGCCTCCTTCAAATGCCTTGGTCTCATTGACCCTCTGCTGCAAGCAGTGGAACAGATGAAATTCACAACACCGACCGCCATCCAGGTCCAAGCATTACCACCAGCTCTCAAGGGACGAGATATCATTGGTGTAGCTGCTACTGGCTCCGGAAAGACGGCAGCTTTTGCTCTGCCCATTCTACAAAAACTCTGGGACGACCCCAAAGGCCTCTTCGCCTGTGTAATAGCACCCACACGTGAACTTGCTTTCCAGATATCCGAACAGTTCGAAGCTCTGGGGTCAGCTATGGGTGCTCGTTGTGCAGTTTTGATTGGCGGGGTTGACACTATATCACAGTCTGTGGCTCTGGCAAAACGACCCCACATCATTGTTGCCACCCCTGGACGCTTGAGTTATCATTTGGAGAACACAAAGGGCTTTAACCTTAGAAGTCTTAAATACCTGGCAAGTACTCACATATATTCCCTTCTATGCTAGCTAATCGAAAGCAGGTTTTGGACGAGGCAGACCGTCTCTTGGATATGGATTTTGGCCCTGTAATCGACAAAATATTGAGGGTCATACCGAAAGAGAGAACGACATACCTCTTTTCCGCCACAATGACGACCAAAGTTGAGAAGCTGCAAAGGGCGAGTTTGCAGAATCCTGTACGCGTTGAAGCATCATCAAAGTATGTTGTCATTTTTTCAATCCACTTCAATCAGTAACTTCCGGATCAGATATCAGACAGTCTCAACGCTGCTTCAATATTACTGCCTAATGCCATTGAAAGATAAGGATACATATCTCATTTCTCTAGTGAACACCCAGTCACAAAATTCAATAATTGTCTTTACACGGACAGTGCACGATGCGGCTAGGTATATGATGCGCGTCACTCCTTATACAGCGGACTAACATCCGCGTAGGGTCTCTATTATCCTTCGGACGCTTGGATTCCCTGCGGTTCCTTTACATGGAAAGCTTACCCAAAGTCAACGTCTTGGAGCGCTAGGGAAATTCAAAAGTGGTGGACGCAGCATCCTCGTAGCCACAGACGTTGCTAGCCGGTATGTTCCCAAACCCTTGCATGTATATATCGGTATAACATGATTTCAGAGGGTTGGACATTCCGTCCGTCGACATCGTTATCAATTTTGATATTCCCACTCATTCGAAAGATTACATCCACCGTGTTGGACGCACCGCTCGGGCTGGTCGTGCCGGCAAAGCGATTACGCTAGTGACACAGTACGATGTGGAACTACTGCAGCGTATTGAGCAGGTGATCGGGACCAAGATGGAACTCTGGCCCACGGATGCAGAAGAAATAGCACTGCTCAAGGAGAGAGTTAATGAAGCTGGAAGAGTTGCGATCAGCGAACTCAAGGAACAAAGTTCAAAGGATGGCGGGCGCAAGCGACGACGTGGTGGAGAGGGATATACTCGTGACGACGGAGATAGGGATGACGATGTTATGGAGGCTGGTATACCTCAGCAGCATAAAAAAAGTAAGCGGAGGTGATATCCAATTATATGCTTTTCCCGTGTTGGCCTTTTGATGTGCTCTATCCTGTCGGTATGTATGTATCGTTGTACCATAATTCAGTACCGAATTTTTAAATATTTAATTGGGATGTGCTAGCAAATTTTTGCCCGGCCAGATTTTTTAGGCCTCTTCGGAAATCGGTGCCGACCTATTTTCGGGGTATTTGGGGTCCATCCGAAGTTCCGAATGTAGTTTTGAGCTATTTCCACTCAGTTCTTCTGGCCCCTTCGGTGAGCACAACGCCCACGAGTGCGACGACGACGACGAAAGCACGACGATGGACACCCACATTGACGACCAGCAGCAGAAGGACTACCTCTCGCCTTTCTTTGACCTCGAATCATTGCAGAACGGTGGCGACCTTGGCATATTGTCGTCTTCAGTGAATTCTCAACAGCCTCAGTTGATGATGGCGAGTGCAACTATGCCCTCGCAGATGGACATGGAAATGCTTGGGAACCTGATGTCACTACAAGGGATCAACAGTCCCAACGATATACCCCCCACGTCCCCCTCTCAGCCCCATTTCAACACCAATGCGGGTGCTACGAGTCCACAGCTACTCATGGAGCAGCAGTTCAAGCTGGCTCAGCTTCAACAGCTGCAGCAACTACAAAACCAGATCTTCCAGCAACAGGTAAGTCTCGATTCAGGCGGTGATGAAGGGGATCTTGTCTTACTGGAGACTCGTCATGCATTTTTTCATTTTGGCAAGCCCTTTGAGTCTAAGATTCGCTGATTCTGATATTTTCTTCTTCTGTGTAGATTGCGCTTATCAGTGGGCAGACGACGGGTATACATACAGACGCCCCTGTGCAAGAACCGATCCGGGAACAGCAGCAACCCAATCACTATCATCATGGATTACCGACTCCAGGTTCGATTCAGTCTTCAATATCTCGACTGCTCTTCTGAGACCATCTGCAGGTTCTTCCGCAGAGCTTCGTGCCCAACAACAGCCCATAGAATATGTATCGCCTATGATTCTAAATTATTTAGAGTCATCCTCCCAGGATACTTATGGAGATTCAGTCATGACTCCCATACCCAGCCATTCTGTCTCCTCCCAGTTCAACGCCCCACGCGGATCCACGTCTGCCCCTGCCCATATTGTTTTTCGATCCAGCCCATCTCATCCCCCACACCACGGTGACATTGACGTCGACATATCTCCTTTAACTAGCCCTTGGCTCGGTGCTGAACAGCATCATTCTAGCTTCTCTCAGCGTCAGTCTACTTCCAACAAGCGCACGGCTTCCTCGAGCGGTGACGAGTCGTCTTCGAAGCCATCGCGAAAGAAGCAATCCCCCGCCATCCGGCCTTTCAGTTCTACCATTATGACCAAAAGAGCGACGAATCCTCGAGGTTCACGTTCCACCAATTCCACGCCTCTTCTCCGGTCCACACGATCAAGAAATGGTAGCATTGTCAGCAACGAAGTCGTCGGGGATTCTCCTTCGCCTGTAGATTTGTCAATGCCGCCTCCAGCTGCCCCCACGATGAACCAAACATCAATAACTAATATGTCTGCAGATAACCCCCCGCCAACCATCACACCTGTGACTCCTGCGAGTATCATGAATCTTGGCAGGCTTGGGGTGAATTCTAGCAATAATACCCTTGCAAAAGATAGTGCTGTCGACTTGAAGGGTAAAGCACCTTTAAAAACGCCGACCTCCGTAACAGCAGCAACACCTCAAAGGAGCAAATCCATGAAACGAGGGTCGGTAGGTTCATCCCCTGCTCTGAAGCCTATTCTACCCGGTGGGTTTTATCTGTCATTTGACCTCACTTTTCTCAAGCTTTCACCAGCTGGTTCTACTTCAGGGCCTGCTTCATCTTCCTCCGTGAAAAGTGCCGCTCCTGTTATTCAGGTTCGTAAAACGTCACACAAGGCCGCTGAGCAGAAACGTCGAGACTCCCTGAAGACCACCTTTGATGACCTGCGTGGCTTGCTGCCGCCGATACCCCTTCCATCAGACGACAAATACCCACTAGACGAACCTTTGCTTCCAGGTGCCTTACCCCCGCGGGGACCTCCTAAAGCTGGTGGAGAAGGCCCCAATAAGGGCGTGAGCAAGCTGCAATTGCTAATATGTGGTAATGACTTTATCAGGCAGTTAAAAGGGCGAGTCGAGAGGAGGGATGAGGAAATTAGGCATCTGAGGAGCGAAGTTGGAAGGTTGAGGGATGTCCTTACGAACTCCACTGGCGGTGTGGGCATTGTGGAAGAGGGATGCGAGCCAGTGGATTTGGAGCGGGACCTGGATGAGATTGAAGCAATCAGCGCGGGGTTGGCCAGAGGTGCATCTGTTGGCGCTGATGATGAGGCGGACGAGGACGAAGATTAATCTTATTGTTAATACAGTGTACGAGTGATGGAGCGTTGCCGAGAAGATTGTATATTCTTGCTGGCTATGTTATTATTATCAGTTATGTGTTTATGGGAAGCATTCTATCAAAGCAACACTGCCTGTACATGGGGTCGTTCTAAGGCTTGAACATCAAATCTGACCGCAAGACGTATTTCGTTCCCTTGGTCACTTTGGAACCTTCGTGCAGCAGACAGTCCTGACCGTGCCTGGGGCCGGATGTCGCTGTAAGCTAGGCGATATCAAAGACAGAGAGCTAAAAGACAACCCACCGATGCAAGAGAGCTGTGCCTCGGTTGAGAGGAGCAACCGTGGTTTCATCGCGCCTACATTTCTCGTTCTTGTAAAAGATTGTCTAGTGATGGGCATCAGTGTTGGCAAGTCGATCAAGTGTTGAATACTACTACCTCGCCGCCCTGCACACCATCCTCGACGCCAGACAGATAGATCAAGAGGGTCCATTCGGATTTGGCACCAGTTATAGCATCTCGCACGGAATCGTCGTAATGGGGGCTGAACACTATGATAAGTATTTCATGAAGCTGGATCGATGGAAAGTACAGACCCAAAGTGCTGAGAGGGAGTATACTTATAGAAACGTATATTGGAGTTGAAAGAGTGTGGTTCTCGAGCGGGAAGAGTAGAGCCAGATCTCTTGTCTGGTGCTGGTGGCGGAAAGAGCGGGAGATGAGGAACAAGCAACTCGTACATGCGTTGAGCGAAATAAGGAGAAGTTATACTATATCGATCTTACATACAGGACAGGTCAATGTTCAGGACACGCTAAAAATTAGAATCTGTACTAACAGTTTACCCTTACCGCCTCTCCGCGCCGTTTTGGGGGCGTAAGTTCAAGAGGCAAGTCATCTATAAACTGCGCTACCGCCTTACATTCCGCGACTGAGAGAGAATCCTATAGACATGAGGGTAAGTGCTGCATGAACTACACATGACTAAAAGACAATCCCGTACGTTAATGAGAAGAATCTGATTGTCTAGGAGCACTCGACATGCAAGATGACGTTTGGGGGAGATATTTGGAAGGACCATTTCTTTGGAGGACGACGACTGCGTGGTACACCTAGGTTCCTGGGCTTGCTTAGCAGATTTCTCCAGAGCCTTAGATTTTTTGGTCATGTTGAACGAACAGATTGTGATGGGTAGTGGCCTATTAGTACTAGGATACACAGCGGTAATGACATCATACTCAGGCTATCATTGGACATCTTTTCTGAAAGCTTACTCGGATACATATAACCCAGCAAGAAGAAGAGAGTTTGATATAAATAAGATAGCAGACGACGCCGAGGTCGAAGGAAAAATATTCCATGCATATTCTACACCTACAAGAAGGGCGAGCCTATATGCATGATCAGCTTGTACACTGACTGATCTGAAAAAATATGCACTTGACCACTAGAGGATACCGTGTCTTCCAAGTTAAAAATGGGAGCTGTTGAGCATACCAACAATAGAACTGGTAGTGGAGAGACCTTGCGAAGAGGACGCCAATAAGATTGGAAGTGAACAGAATGGCAGCGATAGCTAAGTCAATTTTAGCTTCGTTAAGAATGGCAATCATTGAACTCGCATTCCGCTGTCACTGAGATTAGACTTGCTGGAAGGGTAGGACGTCGTAATCCTCGTAGAAGGACTTGAGGCACTCCCCCGTCCCGTTTACACCACCGGTTCCACCCAAAGGCGATGAGTGTACAGACATGTCCCAATAGCAGTGCTCTCTTCCACTGAGGACTTAGAAAAGTTTCTTCGGAGACCATCCGCCAGTTTACCGTCCACTTGTAGAGAAACACACGCGACAAATTAAACGCCCCTTGAACATACTCTCTCCAGTTATCCCGAATAAAAGGGAATGCAATAAGGACCTGGGTGGCGAAGATGACGAGGAGCTTTTGAATGGTATAAAGAAATCCTCTTTTCTTGAACAAGATAACGAGAAGTCCCGGAAGGTACAGTATGATCGACATCTTGACGGACAATGCAGCACTGGACAAAAATGATGAGAGTGAACGGTGAAACGGGGCAGCATACCTGAAAAATAAAGTCCCAATATCATCTTTGCCCAACTGATACGCCAGTACTGCTGCTTGCATGGCTACCACAGACCAGCAGTCATTGAAAAGACGCAGCACGTAGATGGAGTGGAGACGTTTGCTCAGAGGCAGTAGGAGAACCACCCAATTTGATGTCCCAGCTTGCCGGTAGATAGCGCATGACAGCATAATGGAAAGCAAGTATAAGCCAGAGTAAATGTACTGGGCCAGCTTGATATTCTTGCCAAAGTCGCAGATGAAATGGAGAAATTGGTGAATGTAAACATGTCCTGCCGGATAGCTATTATTTTGGTTATATGGGAACAATTCATGAGACATGTAGTGAACTTACACAAGAGGTCCTGTTGGGCCAGAGATTTGGGAGTAATCGCGTTGTCCCTTTATATACGTTTCAACTTGTATCATATAAGTTTCCCAGTCAATCTCCGTATCTGAAGCAGTTTATTAATTTCCTTCCACAGTTGAATGTGAACAACTTACAGGGAACAAAATGAACGATGAGACTGACAAGAATGGCATCTGATGCAACGACAAGGAGAGCGAGAATCCAAAAGTATCTGGTGTCTAAGAACAATGAACGTATTCGGTCAGCTTGCAAGTGGAGAGTGGTCATCTCTAATCTGGAACGTGGCACCTTGCTCTCGCGGTCAAAAAGTGAAACAATTCAACAAAGTCCGGAGCACCGGCCCTGAACTCCTTTCAATCCTTGCGCAATGCAACGTCGCCATCCCTTTCCCGACACTTACCCTGAATTCTCAATATACAAATCCAAGGGCTTTCACGAATATCGTATAGAAAATACACGAAAGCATGGACCCTTTGAGAATAGTGGCTATAGGTGGTGGCCCTGGCGGGGGACATTAGAAATGGGTCTATTATCTATACTTGGGCGAGTCGTACGTCCTCACGGCTTGTATCTTTTATGTCGAAGCTAATCATATTTGAAGGCAGTGAATGCGAATTGGAGTTACTTTGCAATTGCTATCCCTACTATTCTTTTTCTATGGTACAAGTGCTCACAGGTCGTCTCCGGTATACTCTCTGACGGATTTGAGGTTTCCAAGTGATAACTCCAGCCTTTTAGAGTCCATCATTGTCATTCCACCGCATGGTGTCCAACTCGAGACGCGGTTCGGATTTCAAACCTTGACTCTAAATGTTACTCGGCGATTCATTCCTCTGTCTACTCTTCGTGATGTGGTCATCAACGAGGGTCTTTATGGCTGGAATGTACGCTATTACCTTGCTGCAATTGTTCAAGACAGGTCCGGAGCTACATCTGTGGCAGTTATTTTCGAGGTGAACCACAACTATCTGCGCATGTTCTACTCTAGTGTTAATGCTGTGCTAGAACATTTTGCCACAATTTCCTGTCCTTCTGGAGATTTACAAAAGTGTTCATGGTGTATTGTCAAATGCATCATAAATTAGACCAACGTATTTATACCTGGGTATAAGCATGCTTTTTAAAGCAGAAAATTAAATTGTCCGAAGGATGTTCCAGACATCAATGCAATCAATGGTCAAGCAAGTTGAGTACACTCTTCGCTTTCATAGGCACTGAGGAGGTCATCATAGCCCTCGTCATCTCCTTCCTCAGCAGCACTATTTCTTGTTCGTCTCGCTGCCCTGGCAGTATCAGTTGACACCTTCCTGGTGCGAGATTCAGTAGAGAACTTTCTCGTCCTTCCTTCGTTACTTTCCCCATTTCCATCTGAGGAAACCTTTCGTGGTCTTCGAGCCTTTGTTGTTGATGGGATATCATCCCCTTCAAAGCTCGACGCTCTCGGAGTGTAGACAATATCCTCTTTAGGCCACTCTATGCTCAACGAATCCCCAATCTGATCTGGCTGGCTTTGGCTACGCGTAGTATCCCGAATGCGAAGAGTGGGGGGGCGAGATGGCTGGCGTCGCCGGGTGCGCACTTTTGAACTTCGAGAAGGTGCATCTATGACCGATGAGTCCGATGTGTCGTCTACATAATGAATGGGTGGAGGAGTCTTTTTCCGAACAATTTTTTTCGGTTGGGGTGGAAGTTCTAGCGGAATGATATCGAAAGAATCGTTAGGGGCAGAAGGGTCGGTGACACTTGGCCCATTGTCATGAAGTAAAACATTGGTGGGTGTTTTTGGAGGTGGAGGGGAGGACAAGGGAGGGGAATCGGCTGAATCGGCTCGACCCCAACCATTGGCATCACTAGATTTGAGTACAGTCTCTCCTTGGGAACTAAAAGAAAGTATTTGAATGTTTCGGTCCGGAGAAGCTGTTGCTGATGAAATTGACGCGTGGCGTGAAGATGGAACTCTGAAGGTTGGAGCCATAGGTGACACAGATCTCCGATTCAGAGGAATTCGTCTACTGGAGCCTCCTGTATCAGATTCGTTGTCTGAACGAGTAGCTCTCAGAAGGGCATCTGATGCTGAGAGGGATGAAACTGAAGATTGAGATTCTCTGTGGACCGCACGCTGCCCTTTTGCTCTCCGGACATCGCTCCATTCATCAGCTCCAGGCTGAGAAGTGACTGAAGGTGGGCGATTGCTGGTTCGACTAGTGATTAGAGAAGAGGAATTGAGAAGCAACGGACGCGGTCCCGATTTTGGCGTCGATTGACCACGAGTTAAGGAAGATAATGAGGCTTGAAGATTCTTTGTTCTGTTTATCAAAGAGGGTGTGCTCTCAGGTGTGGCTTCGCGAGCTGGACTATTGGGAACAGAAAGGGCAGCACCAAGTCCCTCGGGAAAGACGATACTATCACGCGGTGGACGGAAATAGGAAGGTCGGGTAGGTGGGGAGTATACGCCTGAACGGTCAGGAGCAGGTAAAGAACGTCGTGGTCCATCAACGTTCTTGGGAGACCCACCATCTTGAAAACGCGGTGTGTTTTCAACGATTGCACTGGGAGTTTTTTTTCGAGCGCCCCAGGACCCTGCTAAAGCCTTGGCTCGCCAGTTGGTGCTAACTTTCGCAAGCGCAGCAGCAGTGTCCGAGTCCTTCACTTTTTCGGCATAACCCCATAATCGTACAGATGCAGGGAAGTAGGAAATTGAAGGTGTCTTTTCCTCTGCTGTCGCAGGTGAGAGTGAAGCTGAGGTCGGCAATGGGGACGAAGGAGTCGCAGGGGAAATTGGCGATGGTGGCGGCTCCATGGATGATTGATTTGTAATACCTCTCCACACCGTAGAAGCCAAGCGCGATGTAATACCAGAATTGAGACCTTCGGTGGGTCCCTCGGTCTCATTGCCATCATCAAGAAAAGGCTCGTCCTCGCTGTCCGATACATTAGGCGACCTTTCCGGAGATGGTACCTGATTCGTGAAGCCCTTCCACATCGTCACTCTGATACGAGCACCCAGACTCAGTTTATCATCTTTCGCAGCTTTCGACTCCTCCTCCCGTTTGTGTAACAGGTCCAAAGCCGCCTGCATTATGGTATCAATGCCCCCAGCAGACGCAATTGGATAATGTTGCAGAAGTGTCATTCCCTCAACAAAGGCATCGCTAAGTTCCCAAGGATGTAGGGGAGAAGGAGGCTGCACAGTTTCAACCTCCTGTGCCCATAGACCTGGAGATCGGTGGCCACTCTTTCCCAATCTTCCCAACCACGTTAGTTAGAAAGATCAACGAAGGGGTATAAATACGCATACCGAAACAACGCAACTCGTGCGCGAGTGAGCATTGCGGTGCAGATATCAATAAGAAAGTCAAGTCTGGGATTGACATCTCGTTGTCGGGCCTCGCGGGAAAAGATGCCGTCCCAAGCAACGAGAACTGAGCTGTAGGATAGCGTCTGGGTCAATAGAGGAGCAAGCCATCGACTAGGGATACAGTGAGCTTTGACATCATCTCAAAGTGTTGGGTCTACTCACTACGAGAAATGGGGCAAGGCAGGACTCAATCCTTTGCTTTCCTGTAAGTAGTTATACCTGAGAAATTTGGATAACTAACATGGGTCAAAATGGCTGACCATGCTGTAGTGAAGATCCGCATCTGCCCATGCTAATCGGTCTCCCAATTTCTTCATCCATACGCCGCTTCCTTCTTCGTCTTCCAGTTCGGAGAACTCCCCAACAACAGCTTCAAACAGCCAAAATGTATCAGCCTCAGCGTGAGCAATGTCTTCCGGTTCTATCTCTTGCACGAGGACAGAATACAGAGGAACAAGTAACGTTGGAATGTGGGGGGACAAATTTCCGGGATTAATGGAGGAATGAATGTAAAGAAGGCGTCGTAGAGCTGACATGTGCTTTGAATGGACCTTTCCTTCACTTAACGACCTCGATACGAATAAGGTGGAAGGTACATTCGACCGCCGTATTGAAAAGGCTCCTTTCTGGGAATCCTCGATTGCAGGCGTCTCCGCTTCGGATTCAAGACGAATCTCAGGAATGCCCATTGAGGCTGAAGGGAAATGAACAGTTTTGATTGCTTCCAACCGACGATCCAAATTGCTTGCACAGAATATTCTCGTTTCTTCAGGACACAAATCATCCAATGGACATAACGGAGAAGATTCTGGTTCCTCCACAAGACAGACAAAGAGGTCTGGAGGTACGCGAGCCAATTGTTTGGAAACATTCTCTAAAGCCGTATCTAGAGCAGAAAGTGGTGTTGAAGGGGGCTCGGGTACGTTCAATGGTTCCAGGAGTCGACGGACTAAAGCCTGTGGGAAAGAAAAAGATGAGCAAAGGTGCGCTTAGACATCTTTAATCACTTGCATAATAACTCTTGCGTTGATTGCCTATTTCCTTGCTCCACGATGATTTTAAAACAGGAAGAACGTCAAAGAAGAGCCTTTCAACTGCTCAGAATAGACTAAAGGGAGGAGGTTCGATATCGAAGGCTTACTTCCATATCCGTGGGCGCAGCCACGGCGGCTGGTCGGGTATGCCTTGGAATGACAATGAGGATGAAGAATGCAACTATCGGTGCAGGCAGACATACCTCGAGAACACAATTTCCTCAATCGAGGCAGATCCACAAGAGGAGAAGAGTCAGAAGCCAAAATCTCGGACAGTTCATTGAGTCTGGAGCGGTTTCAGTGAAGGCACAAAGAATAATAGAAGGCCACGGACATATCCTGCCTGAGAGGTTCTGGCGTCCACGCAACGCCAAACATTTTAGCAATTGTCGTTAGGTACATATCAAGGTTTGCTGAGGTTGGCGGTGGAGAGGAAAGAGACTTCAAAACCTTTTGAGTATGATCAGCACGGATACAGCAAGGACACACAGTCCAACGTACACGAGGCGACACGTAATTATCGCGATTGTTCGTAGCGGAGCGTGCAAAATCGTGACCTAGACGTTGAACAAGGAAATCTCGAACCAAATGAATATCTGGATTAATGCTTCTTTATCAGTGCTCTAGTGAAGAACGACTGACATGCCTTTGGAATCCACGTATGGCGCAGAGAAGATGATGGTCGAAGCAGCTTCGACTACGACTGGACTTGGTGAATTGCTATGATGGACACCGTTGGATCAGGACGTTGAAGCTCCAGCCAGTCAGACGCACTTGTGTTCCAATTCATGAAAATGCTCCAACAAAAGGCCCGAATACATTGCTAGCATCTCAAGCACATCACCCGCGGCATCCTCTTCGATAAGCTTTTGTGCCTTTGCCCGGGCGAGAACGATGTCTCCTTGCTGCAATAAAGTGGAAATATCCCGTCGAGTAATGCTGGATTTGGAGTCATTTCTTTCCTGAAGTTGGCCAAGTCGCTGTCCAGTGAGTCGTAGTTGGTACTGAGGCGTGCGTGTTAGATTAGATGTCAAGAGGCCACGATCAAGCAAACAGACCTTGACAGCATTCGGGTCCCATTTGTCGTTAGACATGGCTTGTCGTGAAAACGTGCAAAGAGACAGCGGTCACTCCGGATGGCACCGTTGGAAAAGTCGAACCACCTTTGGACTTGCAAAGCCTTGACGCTCAAGTCCTCCAAGCAGCATAAAAACGCACTGCAGGGCCTGAAATCTGGATTTTGCATAGCTTTGTCACGTGTGGGTATATCTAAATACTCAGTAGGCTTAGCGCTTACTAGCCAGACTGGAATCCTTAGCACTCAAGAGTGGCAGTAGAGTGGCTTTCAAGTTACATGGCATCCTTCTGAGCGAATTATATATATAAGTACATGTCTATAATACTACCTGACCAAAAGTTTCCATCTCACACCGCTATCACCGGTCGCGACCGGTGGACCGAACTAATGCGACTGGCACCTTGAGAGATTGCAGTAGGGGAGACAGATGAACGGACTCCGCTGGGGCCTGGTGCTTTTGCACCGTACGTGCTAGGCCGTGGCATCCTTGGGGGCCGTGAAGATGCCAATGGGGAAGGACCTGAAATGTACAGAGATTGCCTAGGCACCATGGATTGAATAGACTTGCGGCGCACATCCTGTCCAGATATCCTTGATGGCTGCGAAGACGACAATTGGTCCGGAATGAGGAAAGACGCTCTCGAGGCCGTAACATGGATGCTCGAAGACTTGGGTCGGTACCCCTCCCCTGATGTCCCCGCCATGTTCTGGGTTGAAATCCGGACTCCTCTGGGATACATCGTACTTGAGGACCAGGGCCGGTGTACCTCCTGCTGTGACATTCTGGTCAGAGTAGGACTTGGGATGGAAATACGAGGTCCCTTGGTGGTTGTTGACGATTGGAGGCGGGATTCTGACATCGAATGTGTCGTCGAATCACGACGGGCTTCCTCGTCAATCATTTCAGCCCCAGAAAGATTGTCTGCCGACGCTCGAGTGCGATATACAAACACGCTAAGGCCGATAACATAGATGATCACTGTCAAGTGGGTCTGGAATTAAATTAGACCATGCAACGTAGATAGTTGGCTCACAGTGTGCCGTGACGATCCAACTCAATACAAGGATGTATATATTGAACAGTCTGCATTGTTTCCTTTGCGTAGCATCTAATATAGAACGTCAAGACGGCCTGGGGATAACAAATCATCACCAACTCACTCGCAGGACAGGCGTAACGAGGAAACCAGTAAGTGAATGTGGTATCAGTACCTATGATAGGACAGTCAATGGCAGCAAAGCGATGATACAGGTATCAAGCGCACTGATATGGATGACTAGAAGAAACAAAAATCGGATGGCATCAAGCCACGGCCTAAACGACACCAGTATTCTTCAATCATTAGCCAGATTCAGTATTGTACTGGAAGAATCAACCGAAGGTAGACGAACAGGATCGGAAGCATGATTGCAGTAACAGTATGTGTCAAGAGCATTAGAATGATCATATAGCCTAGAAGGCCTTAGCAACAAGTTAAGGGATACAAAAAAGGATGCTCGTACGTTCCGAAGAGACTGTCGTATCCCATTGCACGAAGATTTGGATGCAGAAAAGTATGACGGCTAGCAAGCTAAGGAATAAGATCAGGCCTGTTATAGGTGGTAAGTGACGTTTGAAAAAAGCAGGCTGTTGACGTACCAAGCCCGATAGCTCTAATTTTCAGAAAAGCAGGAGAATAGTCCATGGGTATCAAGAGTACTGGGCCAGCCAAGTTTCAAAGAATGTGGGCGTGAGTGGACGTGAACGTTAGACAGAGGCAGCAGATGGAGTTATCATGGCGGTCGTAGAAGCAGAGGGTGCCACCTGGATTTCGCTTTTGTTCTTAATGCCACAAAAGGGCCTCATTGTCCGACGTCAGAAATAACTACAACACGAGTCAATAGAACACCGGCCGCCCGTAAGTTTCCAGAATCTATGCCGCAACCATGTGCATGAATACCCGCCAAAAATTTCGATGCTGCTTGGAAGCGACTAGGCTACAGAGATTAGATGCAAGAAGTTTTGTGAGAAATCCCGACGTCACGGTCACGTTTTTCTACTCAAGGCCCGAGTCAAAACAAACTTTCGTAACACCACGACCACCGTATTGAAACGATGACGGAGCAACCAACGAAACAGAAGCTGTGGGGCGGTAGATTTACTGGAAAGACAGATCCGTTGTATGTGCACTTACTCCGACTATATTCACCCCTCATTCTGTTCAGGATGCATGAATTTAACCAGTCTTTGGCATACGACCGGCGAATGCACAGTGCGGACATCACTGGGTCAATTGCCTACGCTAAAGGCCTGAGACGCATCGGGATCTTGACTCCGGACGAGGAAATCAAGATGATTGATGGTCTAACGGAGGTTGGCAAGGAATGGCAGGAGGGCCGAGTCAGTGAATCTCGAATGCCCTCGAAAAACCAATATTAAGATGTTTGTTCAGTTTATAGTGCAGCCAGACGACGAAGACATCCATACTGCGAATGAGCGTCGACTCAGTGAGCTTATTGGCCCACTGGGAGGAAAACTACACACTGGACGTTCACGAAATGACCAAGTTGCGACGGATATGCGACTATGGCTCTTAGGAGAAGTGAAAGTCATTGAGGAAAGTCTGAAGGCACTCATTCGTGTCATAGTTGAACGTGCAGATAACGAGAAGGATATCCTTATGCCTGGATACACCCATCTTCAGGTGAATTTTTCCTTTTGCCCGTTATATGCGTTCTCATGAATCTCAGCGGGGGCAACCCATTCGTTGGTCTCATCTGCTCCTGTCGCATGCGTTCTCTTTCTACTCTGATCTCGGCAGACTTGAGCAGCTTGCCCCTCGCGTTTCTGTTCTGCCTCTTGGTTCTGGCGCCCTAGCAGGAAATCCTTTTGGCGTCGACCGTGACTTTCTAGCGAAAGAATTGGGATTCAACTCCGTTGCCGAAAACAGTTTGTGGGGTGTCGGAGACCGTGACTTCATTGTCGAATTCTTGATGTGGTCTAGCTTGGCGATGACACATCTTAGCCGTATGTCAGAAGATCTTATTATCTATTCTACTGCAGAGTTCGGTTTTGTCACACTGAGCGACGCGTATAGGCAAGCGTTTCGCTATATTATTTAAGTTGATGCGGCTGACAGTAATCTCAGCACTGGCTCGAGCATGATGCCTCAAAAGAAGAACCCAGATTCCCTGGAGCTTTTGCGAGGGAAATCTGGGCGTGTTTTCGGAAACGTAAGGACCTTAATTAAGTTTCTTCTTCTTTTAACCTTTTGCGCAGATGGCAGGTTTCTTGATGACCTTGAAGGGCTTGCCGTCCACATACAACAAGGATCTTCAAGAAGACAAAGAACCTCTATTTGACGCCGTTGATACTGTCCATGCCTCATTCAAAATTGCCGAAGGCGTTGTGGCTACATTGGAGGTTAGTGCACCCTGTCGAGCGAATAGATCTTTGTCAAATGCATTGTGTTTCAAGGTTCACGCCGACAAAATGCGTCAAGCTTTGACTATGGACGTACTTGCAACCGATCTGGCCGATTATCTCGTTCGTAAAGGGGTAAGCATTTATTTTGGCCAGCTCCCGCGGCGAATATTGACATTCAAGATAGATGCCCTTCAGAGAGACACACCATATCTCCGGCAGGGCTGTAGCTCTGGCAGAAGCCCGACAATGCCAAATTAATGAGCTCTCCTTACAGGATTACAAGAGTCTGAGCGACAAGTTTACCGAGGATGTTGTAGATGTTTTCAATTTCGAGGTAAGCGTTGAGAGGCGCCAAGCTATTGGTGGGCCAAGTCGTGCCATGGTGGATAGACAGGTGGCTGTCCTTCGATCTGCCTTGTCGCAGTAGCGTATGCCATTCGTATAGAAACGCCCTGTAATAAAACACACGGAAGTGCACAGCCTCATTTCTGCCATATTTGTGGTTGTTATCGGCCAACTTGAAGCCGTGTCCGTGCCTCGACCTTCAAACACTGTTCTTCCTCTTCTTCTGACAAGGGAGATTATCCAGTTTATTGATTTCTACTCTCTTTCGTCTTTGAACCATCACTAGCATTCCGCTTTTTTCTGTTTTCCTATCACTCTCCACGTCACAACCACAATGGCAAGGGACCGTCTAGCAGCCATGAGGGTGCGTTTTTCTTGGATATCACCAGCCTAGAACAAGATGAGCGAGTCTTTTTCTTTCTATTCAGGCTCAGCAGCAAGGGGCCAGCAATTTAAGCTCGTACGTTCGAACGATTTACTACATCTACAAAAATATCAACCGACTTCCTGTCTCAGCAACTCCTATCCTACCCAGGCCTCATACCAGCGCCAAAATCCCTACGCTCAACAGGATGACCGTTCATATGAGATGAAGGAGGTGAAGGACGACAGCACCGCTCAACTGACATCTGATATGAACGGCGACAGCATGTCCGCATTTTACACCGAGGTCAGCCCACTTGGTAACAAGGGCCCATCCTTAACCGTTCTTCGTAGATTTCTTCTATCCAAGACAGCCTACGGACGTTCAACGACAATGTGGCTCACATTGGTGATCTGCACTCGCGGTCACTGAATAACATGGATGATGCTGCTGCTCAAAGAAACGCTGCAAACCTAGACGAGCTCGTAGAAGACACTAGTGCTCTCAGCTCCACCATAAAGAGGCGTATCAAAGCATTGGAGAAGCAAGGCGGTACTGGGCGAGATGGACAAATCCGCAAGCAGCAGGTGCGAGGCCCAGTCACCACGTTCATGGATGTTGATCTCACGTTTATGAAACGTAGACCGCATTGGTGAAATCCAAGTTTGTGGAAGCTATTCAAAGCTATCAGACTGTGGAGCAACAGTACCGCACAAAATACAAGCAGCGGATGGAGAGGCAATTCAAAATCGGTGCGACTCCTTTGATCGCTAGTCGCTGTGGCTCAAATGATGACCTCTATCATTAGTAAAACCTGACGCATCGCCGGAGGAAGTCAGAGCAGTCGTTAATGACGAAAATGGTGGGCAAATATTCAGCCAAGCAGTGAGTAGAGTGGAGAATATTGCGAGTCAGGTTACTAATACCGTCTGTTAGCTCTTGAGCTCCAACCGATACGGAGAGTCGCGAGCGGCATACCGGGAAGTCCAGGAACGGCACGAAGACATCAAACGCATAGAAAAGACCTTGGGCGAGCTTGCTCAACTGTTCAATGACGTGAGTCCTGCTAAGCTCTCTTCAAGTTTATTATTGACTAACGTATATGTTTAGATGAGCGTCTTGGTAGAACAGCAAGATGAGACCATCAACAATATCGAAACACAAGCTGCAACCGTTGAAAGGGACACCGAGGCTGGGTACATTAAATCATTCATTTTGCAAGTATACCACTAACGAGTCATTTCCAGCCTTGGGTACACTGAAAAGGCGGTCGTCTCCGCCCGTGCCGCTCGTAAAAAGCGATGGATCTGCTTCTTCATCACCCTCATCATTCTCATCATCATCGGTGTTGTCGTGGGCGTTGTAGTCTCGCAACAGGTCAACAATAACAAGAAGTGATCTTTTCTGGCGTACATTTTCCAGGGGAACCAGATTCAGGCTGAGGCTCTTGCAACATAGTCTGTTCGCCTAGGCAATTCTATTTATGACAAGGTATTAGTTATTATCGTATCGCGACCCTCGTTCGATTTTGAAATCTCCTACAACTACCCGTACATGCATTTCACAGTCTTTCTTTTCTATGCCCTGCTTTTCTATCTTAATGTCTTTTTATTCTGGCAATGCAATCGGACAGTGGATGATATATACCCTACCATATACGTTTTTGAGACCACCTCTTGAGAATAGAGCAAGTATGTAGGCTCGGGATGAATGGGTAGCTTGCCGAGAGGCCACATTTTGGCTTACTTGAACGTCGTGTAGAGAGAATGGTCTAACCTATGAGGTGCAGAGTGTTACTTAGGTGCCATGCAATCGAACTGGCAGATGAAGAATTTGGTGGGGTATGAGCCCCGTTGGAATATGGCAGAGTATGCACTCTCAATACAAAGGCTGTCTCCCAAACCTCCTTCACTTTCTCACGTGAGCGTAGATATTCCTGAAATAGCTGAAATTGACGAAAGATAGTTGATAAGTCCTTTACAGATGGGAAAATGGAGATTAGTAAATACTATTTACAAGTTTACAATGATTCCAAAGAAATGGAAGTATAAACTACAGCATGATCGACATTGTTGAGGAGTCAGGTTATCCCTTGGATGGCCCTCCTCCACTGGCAGACTGCATGACGACTAGGTTGTCATACTAAGAAAATTCATCCAAAATAACACCGACATCCGGCCCCGTCCTGTAGCTAACTCCGCGAAGGCACTGCAGGGCGTTGCAAATAGACAGGGCGATGTTATCTTGTGTATTCTGGCAGAAGTTCCCTGAACCGGGTGAAAAAATCGATTCTAAGCACCCTGACCGACTTGAGTGATTCTGAGCCACTTATCCTCCCTTGCGTCGCAGGTTTCGAGGGGTACTTCGGAGTTGCTGATACGAGGAGCCATTTTGACATCTGTGACTTGAAGTGAGGTGGGGTCAAAGCCACAATAACCACAAAAGAGCGATCTCAGGGAACGCCACAGGCCGCCTCAGCTCAATGCTTCTATCATGACATCTAGAGGTCCTATCACTTGCATCAGTGGAGTGTAAATGCGCACATCTTGTGAAGAACGGTGACCTGGACTACGCCTGGAGGGTTTTCGTATTGAATACGCTAACTTAGTTAATGTCCAACTTGTCGCCGCCTGCACGCAAAAACACTGCATATGCGTACATCGTCTATACGGCCCGAATTCTATTGCCACAGTACGGAAGGTGTTCTAGCCTCGCTTTCTGTACCTACGCTGTTGGCTGGTCAAGTGTCGATTCGAAATGTCTCCAGGAAGACGGGCTTGAATCGTGTGGATAATATTGTCGCCGCCCGGCCATCAGAAGATAAATGAGAAAGCAGGGATATAGATCTTCTGGATCTGAAGAATTTTCCTTGCTGCATATGCCGTGCTCTCCAAAATGCCATTTAATAATGATAGCTTGTGTTGATGCATTGATAGGCTGTTGTCATCAAGGAATGATCAAATGGGACAAGTTTCAAAAACGAGGGTAAATCCGTTGGAATCCGGATCGGAAAAGATCGTACGGAAAAGCCGCTGAACATGGATCAAAGTGGCTGCGCGCGTGACTTGACTGCATTGATAACGCAAGGATCACCTTGTGACAGAAAGGAAAAAGATGAAATTATTTGTGCGCATTGCATGTTTCGGTCTCGGAATCTCGGATGCGTCGTCCGAATTGGAAGACCTCCGAAAATAGAAGCAGAATTACCTTCCTGGGATAGCTGTTGGCAGCTATCCGTTCCACGTGGCGCTTACGCGTCCCGCGCAATATAATATATAAGCCTTTCCTCAACCTCCGACTCACGACACCCCACATCGACCACTTCCTCTGTTCCTCCCTTTCTCCCGCCTGCAGTGAGTCCATTTTTCAAATCTATTGTTGCCCTATGCTTATTCGATTGTTTGAACGTTCCTAGCCTGTCTACGTCGTTACCCCGCTTATCTGTCCACCCGACCACCTAATTTTACCGACCCTCCATGCCAGCCAAGAAGCGTTGCCAATTTCAGATCAGCACCGAGAACCAGTGCAATTCCGCAGCGTTACGACTCGTAGGAGAGTGCCCTCATTGTCTGTCACAATTCTGTGGAGCAGTGCGTTTCCTCTCGGTTGTTGGTACAGGGCGGTCTGATCTGACTTTGTATCTAGCACCGTCTTCCAGAACACCACAGCTGCAATAACTTGGAGGATTGCCGACAGCAAGCTTTCTTGAAGAACAAGGAGAAGCTCGAGTCTGAACGGACGGTGGCGTCCAAGATGGCTACGGCCTAGGATTCATCCTATCATTTCCCGAGCATTGTCCGCAACACCAGCTGGCTGTGGCATGTAATGCCACTACTGGCAGACACACGTATGTTGTTACTACCTCCGTACATATCTATTTACGCATAACGGACCCCCCCCCCCTTCCCCCAATATTGTCATCAGTAGTTTCCGTTGTCATGCTTTCTCGAGTATCTATCTAGTAGTGTAGTGCAGACGCTTATAATATTTTTGTTGCCTTAGCGTGCCGGGTGAGAGTCGTGGATACTCCTGTAAATTTGTCCACATGAGCGGCGTTGTAAGACGCGGAACGGAATTGTTGTGGGGATGCGGAAATAAGCTGATTCCCCTCCTTCCTAACTGAGGAGTATAAAAAGTCCCTTTATTAGCTGGATCATGGCTGGAATCTCTCAACAGCCTTTCATCTGATTACCCCCACCATCAATTCCCTCTACAGTTCTGCAAGAGGTCGGTTACTGCTTGTCTTGCTGCTCTGTCCTGACTGACTGCCGCTTTATCACATGCAGTCGTCACTTGATATCTACCGCGTCCTAGGTAGGTCCTTGTCTAGCTTCCACCACGTCGTTCACACCACACACACACACCACACACACACACACACACACACTCTCTCTCTCTCTCTCGCTGCCACTGACATAATGACGACCAGAATACAGCAACTCATAAACCATATATCTCAACCATCAGCAATAATCATGTCTGCAGGTTTGTCTTTCTTCCTTGCCTGCTACGTGTCGGAAGCCCATTCTTCTCCAGAGTCCTGGCAAACCGTTCCTCTTGCACCCCCTGACAGGTCAGTGCACATGCCCGCGGTCATGAGTCACATCGTCTGACCAGATGCCAACAGCATTTTCAAGTTAACTGCGGCATACAAAGTCGACAAGTTTGATAAAAAGATCAATCTAGGCGTCGGCGCGTACAGGGATAACGACAACAAGCCGTGGGTGCTTCCCGTCGTTAAGAAGGTACGTGATTCTGGATCCTTTCTAGAGTTGTTTAACCGGACATCCAGGCCAATGAACTGTTGCTCTCCAATCCCAACATAGACCACGAGTACTTGCCCATCACTGGTTTACCCGAATTTACGTCCGCCGCCGCGAAACTAATTCTTGGAAGCGATTCCCCCGCCATTAAAGAGGGCCGCGTCTCAAGTGTCCAGACCATCTCCGGCACCGGTGCTAACCATCTTGGCGCCTTGTTTGTGTCTAGATTCTATTCCTGGGGCGGCGACAAAGAGGTCTTCCTCAGTGATCCCACTTGGGGTGAGTTGACCAGCCCGATACTCCGTTCATATCTCACACCTCATTCAGTCAACCACCACGCTATTTTTAAGAATGTTGGTGTAACACCCAAAACCTACCCCTACTATGACCCTGCTACCATCGGACTAGATTACGACGGCCTCATGGCATCGCTGAACTCTGCTCCTCCTCGTTCTATCTACTTGCTTCATGCCTGTGCACATAACCCCACCGGTGTCGACCCGACGAAAGAGCAATGGGCGAAGATTGCTGATCTCATGCTCGAGAAGGGCCATTACGCGTTCTTTGACTGCGCCTACCAAGGCTTCGCAAGCGGGGATTTGGAAGGAGACGCGTGGGCTGTTAGGGAGTTTGTCCGAAGGGGCGTTTCTCTCTTGGTCTGTCAGGTATGTAGCACTGTCTTGTGCCGTATCTTTATTTACACGTTGGTCACAAGAGTTTCGCCAAGAACGCAGGTCTATACGGAGAACGGGTTGGTGCGCTCCATGTCGTATCGCCTACCCAAGAGACGGGAGCCCGCGTTACAAGTCAGTTATCAGTGCTGCAGCGCAGTGAGATCAGTAATCCGCCTACATACGGTGCCCGCATTGTACGTGACCGTTTCATGTGTGATCTCATGTGGAGTAACGGCCCTCCAGGTATCACTGATCCTCAACGATCCGGCATTGTTCGAAGAGTGGAAGCGTGATATTGTGACCATGGCAGGCCGCATCATCGAGATGCGCAAGCAACTACACCATTTGCTCACCGTTGAATTGAAGACACCCGGCAACTGGGATCACATTGTCAACCAGATTGGAATGTTCAGGTGAAAGTTAATGATTCTCATCGAATGAACATCGACTGACGCAGCAACAGCTTTACCGGCATCAACCCGGAGCAGAGCAAGGCGCTGACGGAGAAGGCCCACGTATACTTGACGGTGAATGGCAGGATTTCAATGGCGGGCCTCAATACTCACAATATCCGCTACTTTGCTGAGAGTCTGGACCAGACAGTGAGGGGCTCTCTTTGAAGAGTTGTTGTTACCTTTAGAGTAGGTACCATAGTCGTATACTTATTTAATGCTTAGTTCTCGATTTGTAAATATACAGAGTGACACTACTCAATGTACGGATACGTCACAGGCACATGGCTCCAACGATACGTCATTTTCACCTCCGAACGGAAATTGATGTCCGTTTTGAGAACGTCTCTTAACTTGAACTTTTTCTTCCAAGTACTGGAGAAACAACGATATCGGGACCTCTCTTCGTTGCCGTTACCGTGGCTCTGTCGGTCGTTTCTTTTCTTCCTATGCTCGCCGTTATTGACGTTCTGCTCCCTTTGTTTCGTCGATTGCTACAGGGCTCCACCCTGCTCCAGTCTGGAACGAGGCTGCACTCGAGGTATTCGAGTTCGTGCTGTTCGTCAAGTTGTATGCCGTTCAGATCCGTTTTGCGTCATTGTCCTCGTGCGCGCTGGCCTCACCGCGTTGAGTCAAGCAGCCTAAAGTTGTACGACTGGCGCTTCCCCCCAGTTCAATTCTCCTTCCGTCAAGTCCGTTTTCTTCTCCCGTCATGAGTTTTCTTCCCCCTCACCTCTAATCATGGGTCTTGTAGTGTCTCTTTTTGAATCCCGTTTTTCCGACTCTTCAGAGTCCTCCGCCGGCCAGGCGCCTTTTTCCGACACTCCTGCTGCTCCCATGCCTTTGCTTTCAGGTTCTACACCTCGCCACCCCACCCATATCACCCTTCCCCCACCATTTTTAACCTCTGTATCCATAACACCGTCGCCCTCCCCCAGACTCGAGAACCCGCTCTCTAGTCCGCTCATTTCCCCCGCTCTGACCTTTTATACGGCTCCATCGTCCCCGATTATTACTCCGCTTGTTGATGAACCCATGGAAATAATTCCTGTGTTGGTATGCGACCCTCCACCTCAGAACGTAGCTTTAGTGGTTCCTTCGGCTCAGCAGTATCAAGCCATCGGGAGCCATGCTTCTCCTCATTTCTCCCCTGCCACTCGATCAATGGGTTTCTCCAGCGCGATAGGTCCTACGCAGCAACCACTGCCGCCCGTACCTCATACAGATGACACATTCCCTGAGGTTTCTGGCCTTGATTTGACGTTAGACGATGAAGGCCTCGAAGGCCTAAATCCCCTCGAGAAGATATATCTATATTCCATCAGCAAGGCGACATACCATCGGGTCTTTATTTCGTGTGATCTGCCCAATCTCCTCGATCAAATTACTCCCCAGGAAGCAGTGGAATATGTTCTTCCTTTGCTGCAAGTTTTATCGAAAGACCAGGGTGCGTATAAGTGGTCTTTCATTGGATTCTCAAGGTTAGTAATGACACGTCTTTACTCCAGATGAATCTGTTAGAGAGGCCTTAACATCGGGACTTGCCTCGGTCATCTGGTGGTTTTTGACAGTAAGGCTCTCTTTATATTCTCGGCCTTTGTCAGTAACATGTCGTTTCATAGCACTGTCAGGTCGTCGCCACAGCAGACAATCAGATCAACTCATATTCGAACCAGTCGACGTCCATATCAGTTCATGCATTCACACCAATTCTCGGCAGACTTTTACTAAGTCCGAATGGTTTAGTAGGCAGCTCCGCCAAATATGTGGTTGTAAACCTTCTTCAGCGCATGCGGGAGGCTGATAGTCCTGAAGATCAAGTGCAGGAGACTGAGAACCGCCAGGCCAAACTCGGTATTCCTAGACCTGACATCGGAGTTTCGCCACAGTTAGATAATTGGGTCGCGGGGTTGTCTTTCGTTTCGAATGCCTCACTCAATGAAGATCTAACCATAGGGCTTTTTGGAAGGAGCGAACGGGTCCTATTTGAACAGGAAATTCTATGGGGCTTGGTTGCTGGGCTAGATCGGCTCTTCTTGGACGGCGACTTGGACTCGTTGGAGGATCGTGGCCACACTCCCTGCAGTGAGGACTCCGCTAACTTTTCTGACACCATCACAGCCTCTGAGGAGCTTCAAAAGGAGGAAGTTGCTTCGTCTTCGTCCGCTGAAGATTTTCGGCGGAAAGAGAACATAAATCCGTATTTTCCTGTCGAGCCTTCGGCATATTCGAATGGCTCTTTTGGCACCGTAAACAACAACGTGGACTCTCCCTTGAGCGTCTCAAGCAGTTATTCCTCCGTGTCGTCAAACCCAAGCTCGACGAGTGAAACAGCCATTCATTTATCTTCTCCCTCTTCCTCCTTGTCATCGTCTGACGAAATTCCCGCATCGAACAGAATAATCCAAAAGGGGTCACCCATCTCACCTACGTCATTAATACCCCAGCAACATAGCATACCCTCTCGACTGTCACCCATCCTTTCTTCGCCCTCTCCTGATATAAGTATTCATAGTTCCCCGTCTACTCATTCACCCCGGTCTCAGCAACAACACCATCGCAGGTCTAGTTCCGATTCAAGGCTATCCATCTCATCTGATCTCACGTTAGCCAATCATCGGGTGCAAGCGGACTCGTCCAACTCTTCATCGGGTTTTGTTCCGTATGGTCCTGTGACAAGCAATCCTCTGGCCCTTGATAGTCTGCATCCATTTCAAGATCGTAGCCATTCACCTACACGGTCACCCGACGTGCTACTTCCGACAAACCATCAGAATTCCTCGCTATTGCCGACATCTAATAGCTCACCAAGTTCTGATTTTGTCTTACCACATACAACGGGTTGCACATTCAATGACAGCAGCAATGACGAAAGTTCGCGGGGACCGACTATCAACGATGGCGATCGTGAGGATTACAACAAAGAGAGTCAAGAAGAACAGAGTGCTGTGAAGCGACTGACCAGTATGAGCTTAATGGCCACCGTTACCTCCACCGGTTAGTATAATAATTAGACTCACCCAGCAGCTCTAAATGTATATTAACGTGATGACAGGTTATCTTGACGAACAAGCACAAAACACATTTGTCAAAGAGGTTGAACGCGTCGTGATGGATCCAATCTATTGGGTTCGTCGGGAATCGAGCTTTGTGCTGGGTGCTTTGGCGAAAGTTGTGCCAGATGAAATAGTTCACACGTCGCTGGTAAATTATGAGCAAAGTTCATTCAGACTTCATACTGACCGCTTGTCCCAGCTTCCGCTTCTGGAACGTCTGCTCGTCGACCCGGCTCCCCTTGTTCGCCACTCTTCGCTTTTCGCTCTCCCCGTCATATTGACGCGGCTGCCGATAAAGTACAGAAGAGTGTTAGCTGTGCACACCATGCAGTCCATGAGCGTCGACGAATCTCCTGATGTGCGATCAGGGGTCCTAGAAGCTCTAGGTGAAGTAATTCATACTTTTCACGATGAATACAGGAAACCTGGTGACGACACAGAAGGGCCTCCAGCTGAGCTCATTAGGATGTTTATTGGACGTAGTGACGATAAGAAAGTCTGGGATGGTCAACAACCTGCTCTAGCCCAACCATTTGACCGGGATAAAATGAAATGGTTGGACTCGTTCTATAACGATCCTAGTAGGCCTTTGATATGTGCCTTCAACCTACCTGCTGTGTGCATGACTTTGGGTCTTTCTCGCTGGGAGACTCTTCGGGAAACTTACCTGAAGCTGTCGGACAATCCTGCGTTTGGCATTCGACGAACACTGGCTGCATCTGTGGGCGACCTGGCCAAGGTTTTAGGTCCGGAGATCGCCCAGCGGGACTTAATGCCCGTCTGGTGGGATGGATTGCGCAGCCAGGAGGCAGAGATAAGGCTGAAAATTGTACAATGCCTTGAGACTTTCGTCCGATCGTTAAATATGACGGGGAAAATGGAAGTTTTGGAGGGGGTATTGGAAGCGTGGAAGGTAAACAGGTGGAGCGGTTGGCGAGAAAGGGAACATATAGCCGGCTGCTTATCGGCAGTCATTCAATCTGTGGCAAGTCAGGAAGACCAAGAAGTAGCTCATTTGTTGCAGCTTGTGTGTGGGTTGTTAAGGTTTGCCCTGATCGACAATGTCAACGCCATTCGAGAGGCAGGCATTCATACCGTGCGTTTCTGTTCTGATATGAAAGGCGAAAGCACTGATTTTAGGCTCCCTGTAGCTGCCGCTTATATGGCCAGTGCTGCAACGGTATCCTAAAGTCCTTGGAAATCTACATTTAGATCTTCAAGGTCTTTCGTGCTCAGGCGTATTCAGGCAGCGAATGACGTTGGTTTCTAATTCTTACTGTGGATAGTTCAGAACTGATATTCTTTTTATCAATCAGTTACATTGCATGCCAGCAGGTGCTCCTACTTCCAGACGGTGATACGGAGGCGATTAAGGTTCCTGATGAAGAGCTTTGGACAACGCTCCGCGCATTATCAAACGACCCTATAGTCGGCGTTCGCATTGGAGTTTCCAGGCTAATAGCCAGTCTGTATGGTAAAGTGCTCCTCCCTCTGCTCGAAGGAATTTGTCCTCAATTTGTTTGTTCTGCAGCATACTTTTGGACGAGAACGTCGCCACCGGTTTCCGTGATTGATCTTGCGAAGACGCTTTCACAAGACTCCTCTCATGAAGTCATATCTTATGTTTCGGGTCTTTCTCTGCTTGACCATGGACGCCACGTCAAGAATTTCTCCCAGGTTTCAAGACATGCGGCAACATTCTCAAGGCCTCCCTCCGCACTACCTGGATCCGAGCTGAACGAGGCTGTGTAAACCTACCGAGAGCCTTCGGAGCAGCGCTTGGAGCGAGATGGTACCTCATTGAGGGGGGACGGACGCAATGGGCACGGCGAAAGCCATGACCTGATGATGAACTCGAAGCGCTGTATCTGGTCTTCCTGCCATGTAGGATTGCCGCTGGGATATGGGAGCAGGGTAGTTTTTATAGTATGATAAATATTCTGATAATTATAATTTTAGGTTCTTCTTTGCAGCTGTTGGAGGCAGAGCAGAACAACGCAAATGCGGGCAGTTGGTCCAGCCAGAGGCGCTCGGATGAGATTCGGCCCGAGGGTCCCGGAGGGAAAGCCTTGTGATGTTTTGACTTGTCGATCTGGAGTTGACCTCTTCTTTACCGTCTGCACCACCGTCGACCGGTGCCGCGAGCGCCCTTATTGCTGTATATATGTTATCACAATGCAACACATCTATGTGTACACTCGATATGCTTTCGTCGGTGCGTTGCCAGACTGTCTCGTCGTCCCTGTCTTTTTGACATTGGCACAAGGTCTTTTCCTCGTTTTCAACGCCATCAATGCTAGTGTCTCTGTCTGGAATCTCAGTCTTATACAATTAATAGGCCTAACATGTTAGCGTGCTCATTTCATGAGATCAATGTGCTCATACACTCCTGCTAGATCCTCTTGATATCTATTTAACGGTCGTTGGTGCTTGCGGGCTTGCGATGTCCTTCTTGATGTCAGTCGAATACAACGACGTGGAACATATATTGATGTCTTATAGTGTTTTTGTCGAAGCTGCATACGACAATCCTATAACAGGACGTGTATGGTTTGAATGTGCATGGGTCGGGCTATTCCTCGTAATGAATTTTTGTACGTGTGCGTTACCGCTGCATTTAATCTAACGGCTGACGTCCCCCCAAGGTGGTGCCGTCGCACTGTCGGCTTTAAATCCTGCATTCTGTACATCTGATGGTGAGTCGAAGTTTTTCCTTGGATGAATGGTTGTTTGACATATGTCCTCAAGCGCGCCGTCAAATCGGTGATATTGGATGTGTATCAAATCGAGTTATCCTAGCTTTCTCATGGATCACCATCATGCTTTGTGAGTTGATTTGGTCTCTCTGTGATCCCTGTTGACCTTGTCCTGCTCAGTGTTCGGATACTTTACTATGTTGGCCATAACTTGTCTTATTCGGCAGAAGACGAATACAAAGATATGGCAATATCACATTCGTGACCTCGATACTCCCAGCAGCCACCTGCCAAGCCCGCCCGCATCTCCAACAATACCTTATTTCCGTAATGCTATCGTTGCACCCCTGCCTCGACGACCAGGACCTCCCGTAAATATGATGAGAGGCCTCGATTCATCGTACGATGTGGAAGCATATGAACCGCAACTAGCGAGGGCCCCAAGGAACAATTTCGCATCACAGCCCATGTTCTCAACAAGCAATCAAGCTGCCGTGACTTGCCTATATCCGCAATACATCCAGTCATGTATGGTGACACCTTCTCGTATGCAGACGCAGGAACCACCATGTTCACAGCCGAATAATACTCCTCCTCCACCACTCGGTGATTGGCCCAGAGCCGATATCCTTTCAAGACCTTTACGTGCTGTGCACAAACAGTCGCGGCGAGAACCGCTTCCAGACCCAGATGATGCATATGGGTCAACTCGAACTCCACATCGACTACGACCGACGGGGCCTAGGATCCCATCGACCCGTACCCGCCCGCCACAGCTGGATCTGCACGTCACGTCGCCTACCAAAGGCAAAGAACGACGGAGACAGGACTTGGATTCGTTATGATTTCATTATATACTTGTTCACTAGTAGGTTATTAAATAATAAGAATGATGTTTAATGCATGTGGTAGATACTCCTGGCTGTAGTTCGCGTCGCAGGCATACTCCTTAAAAGGCAACTTTTTTTCCAGAGCAACATGCGCTGGCAACCTACCTAGGCCTCTCTCTCACACCCAACATGTCGAATCGACAGCTGGGCCCTCTCCGGTCACTGCTGTATCTCGCGCCAGTTCTCATTCTGTGTCCAATTATTGGCTATCGGCATCACACTAGTCCGTCTTTCATTCAGTTTCGCGCCTTATACGTTATTGGAACTTCGGTACAGCACTACCGGAACCTGTAACAGAGCTGTACGTCTATTGCGTGTTAATGCGGCGTTATTCTCATCCGTTCAGTGAAGGATAAACAACCAGACCAACCTACCGCAAATCTGTGAAGCCAATATTCTAGAGTACTCTAGGGTATTATCGGAGGATATTGGTTATCGAACCGTTGGAACTGCAGAACACGCAAAGGCCGACCTATGGATGCACCAGACGATCAAAGATATTAAGAACGAGTGTGACCGCATTGTGAAGGAAAGTGGCCATAGAAAGCTGGAATGCGAAATATGGAGACAAGAAGGGAGCGGCAGCCACAGGTGCCCATCATTTCCGCTATATTCTCGTGTCTTGGGTGCTGATCGTAGTACTTAGGTTCGACATAATGAATACGCGGCTTTACAAAACCTATGTTTCCCTCAGCAACTTCATTGTTCGCGTTTCTGATGGTACCGATGAGGGCAAGAAACATGCCGTGCTTGTTAATTCCCATCTCGACAGTCAACTACCTGGTCCTGGGGCTGCCGATGATGCCATTTCTGTGGGAATCATGCTAGATGCTATCAGAGTGCTTTTAGGAACTCCTGATTGGAGTCCAAAACATTCAATAATCTTTTGTATGCGAATTTATTCTATGGAAAGCATTTGCTCTCCTGGTAATCATCTACACAGTGTTCAATCACGCTGAGGAATCCCTTCAAGATGGTTCACACATGTTTTCAACTCAGCATACGATTGCTTCGTCGTGAGTCCTGTGACCTCTATCCCGTTATAAACTGCTGATTTGCAAGCCTGAATCTGCCAGTGTACGCGCCGTAATCAATCTCGAAGGTTGTTTCTTCCACAACGGCTGTCATACTATGTACTGACGCGTCGCAGCCGCCGGAACTACGGGACGCGAAATCCTTTTCCAGGCTACTTCGAAGGAGATGATTGAAGCATATTCCCATGTCCCAAGGTCAAGGTCATTGCAATATGCACAATTTCAGCTATGACAATTTTCACAGACCCTTTGGCACCATCTTCGCGAGTGATATCTTCGGGAGTGGGATAATCATGTCAGAGTAAGCCACCTATCCTACGTATTGCTCCCCCTTCAATGTTTCAATCCCCGTCGTCTAGCACCGATTTCCGACAGTTCCAAGATTATCTTAACGTCACTGGTCTAGACGTATGATGTACCGTTGTTCATTTTACGTCCTACTGACGCGAGAACAGATGGCGATCGTAGGTAATTCATACCTATACCACATGCGCAAAGACCTTGTGGAAAACATCGAGCCGGGCGTCGGTCAACACATGGGTGAAAATACTCTGGCCTTATTGTTACACCTGTCGGGTCATGCAAGTCCTCTTCCTCATTTGACAGAAGGCTATAGCAAGCCTGAAATGGTGTATTTCAGCCACGTGGTACCGTATTTCTTCATATACTCGTTTAGGACGGCCAAGATCATCTACGCTGTATTCCTGATTGTGACGGTGGCACTGATACGCTTCCGAAATCCTGTCCCTGCAAAGACCTTGGCCTTGAGCATTTTGGCAACGGGTTTTGCCTTTGTGGGTGCGCTGGTGGGTGCAAATGCTGTAGCACTTGTCATGACCCATGTATTGGGCAAAAGCATGAGCTGGTTCAAAGACGAGCTATCAACGATTGTACTTTACGGACCAGCTGCAATTCTCGGTATGGTGCTAACTTTCAAACGTGTCTTGCATCTATCAATTGACTGGAACAGGCACTCTTGTCTCGCAGCTGCTGTTCCCTCCCCTGCCAGAGACTGCTGTATACTCTTCCGTGTTGTTCGTTCAAGCGGTAGCTGCATTCGGTCTGCAACTTTTGGGCTTGGGTTCGGCGTCCCTGTTCTTTATCACGGCCCTTCCCTTGGTCGTTGCCTACGCTCTTAATCCGTTATTCATCAGTTTCACTGGGGAGAAGGGAATCTCCACATTGACATATGCCTTCGGCTCATTTATACCTCTCATCACAGGCACTCTCGTCATAGTGCCGACCATAGAAGTCTTCGTCCCGCTGGTGAGTCTCTCTGGGATACCTTTCACTTGGGATCTCAGTCATGTATCTTTTAAGACAGGCCGCATGTCTGCGTCGGCTCCAGCGGACCATCTCATCGCAACCATCGTCACCGTCGTTGGCTCGGTTGCATTTCCTCTCCTTGCACCGTTCTCTCACCGATTCGGCCAAGGTTATCTGAAGCAGTTTGTAGTAGTCCTGCTGGTTGTGAACGTGGCGTTGATCGCCGTATTCGCTCAGAGAGATGTGTACGATGACATGCATCAAAGGAGAGTATTTGTTCTACGAGTGGAAAACGTAACTACCCATGAACATCATCTGCATCTGGCCGCGTCAGATGGCGCGCCTGGTTTCCCCGACCTTGTCCATGCTGTTGCTGGTGATTTCGGAGCGCCGGGCGCGATCGCACAAAGTGTTGTAATGGACTATTACAACGGGGATTGGGACCCGCTGTATCCTTTTTCCGCCGCAAGTATTTTCCCTGCCGTCTTAGATTTCACTCATTAAATGCGTTCTTGTTAGTTTCTCACACCATTCAAAGTTGCCCTTCCCCCTACCACGCAAGGTTTCCTGGATAGTGGCGGTGAGTTCGAGGTCAAGGCTGTAAGCGACGCAAGAGATCTTGTCGCTGGTACCAGGAAGGTTACATTGAGAATCTATCATCCGGGACTCATTTGGACCGGTTTGTCCATCTCTTTTATGTCCATCGTCCTTTGACTCTATTCACACCCCAGTCATTGCATTTGATGCGCATGTTCTCGAATGGAATTTGGACGACAATCCTCCGGATAAGCACACAAGGCATCACATCAAGGAGGCCTCATTCTACGGACAAGATACATGGGAAGTGGCGATGGTGATCAAGGATGCTCCAATACAGGTGAATTATATAGGGCTGTTGGAGAAAGCGATGTGGCCTGGCAAGCGAGCAACAAAGGGGGAAGGCGGGGCGTCGATGGAGCTTTTTGAGCAACTAGACACATGGCTGGACAAAAAGACCGGCGGTAAGGTCGATGCGACGCTAATAGGTGGTGTGGCTGGGGTGGTGACACTCTGACCTTTGGAATGTATGGTCAGATAGAGTACGTGGAAGGGATTGTAGAAACATGTTCATCCCTTGTATAATCAAATAATCATGCTATGGCGTTACTTAGAGTGCAGACGGCGGCTGTACGTATTGCTGCCTTGGCGTTTCTTTCTTCGACGCCTTGCCTGCTCTTCGAATCGCCGCTGCGACAACATTTTCCTCTTTTGTTTATTCCCACATTGCCGCCGTCAGGCGCTTGCCGTTAAGTAGAGGCAACGAAGAACAAGAGCACCGAGTTGAAATTCAAAGGACGGGACCCATTGCCGGTCCGCCGGGTAACCTTATTGTTCTTTTGTCCAGTATATATAGGTCTTCTTACAAAAAAATTGCTTCCGTGTCAATCCCCGGTGGGCACTAGAATTGGACGAACGAGCGTCCATACCACATTCTTTCCTCCTTACGATTTCAAGTTCCACTGGGTGGCTTTACTTCCGACGAAGATGCACAATCCTTTTCTAATCGCCAGATTCGTATTTTTCTGTAAGATTTTCTTGTAATCGTTGCGACTTGTAGACTTTTAATCACATTGAACCACCAGCGATGCTCATTTACTTCAGCCTATTGATTCTCGTGTTCGCGGCCTGGAATGTACATGCTACAAATGGGCTAGGTGCAACCAGTACGTTTGCCATGTATTTTATCAACTCAATTGCTTACATTCTGCGTGTTTAGTTTCTGGGTCTGCCACTTTGATGCTTTTTAATAGCTGCGCTACACTCGTTCTCATTGCCCTGTACGTGATGTGTCGCCACTTCCTTACTACGACCAGTCTCACATGTCGTCAGTGCTATGGCAGAGATGGCTTTTCCACGCATGAAATTTGCTCACGTCAAGGCTGAGCTGCTCTGGACGACCGTGATGAGCATATTCGATATCAGTATGTCCTGGATAGCAAATCATTCACAGTTGCTTATATGATCTCAAGGCGCTTCCATTAGTCTCATTGCCAATGGACCTGTGATGACATGTCAACTTACGGGTACGCCGTTCCATTACGTGCTCACCGAATCTCAACTTTAACCTATATTATTGCAGCCAACTGGTCAGTCTGCGCATCTTCATCGCTTCTTGTTCCGACGACATGGCTGAAGAGCTTTCTTAGTACGTTGCTTTGGACTGATTGATTCTAGGACGAAGCTAATGTGTAGTCCAGTTCTTGCGTACGTCTTCAGTCTGTTCGTGTCAGCAGTGACCCACTCGTATGAACACTCGAGCATCTGGAGCAAGTCCATTTACACTATCCCTTGGTTTCGTTCCACTATTCCTCGGGCGTCGTTTGATGGAGGCTCGTCCCACATGGTTGCCGCCAAATTGGGATACAATAACGACTCATGGAGTCAATATCTCGGTGACATTGCTTCCACAGCAGATCGCAAACGCAAAGTAGCCGAGAAGGCGCACTGGGCTGATAAAACCCAGATTCGGCGGGGAGTTGACGATCCATTTGTGAAGCGCAATGACAATTCCACCTCAGCGAACTCGTCACGGAGATCCAGCAAGGAGATCAATTCACCTACCTTTCAATCACCCAGAACACCTCCGCTCCCCCCTAGAGCCGAGTCTCAACCACAATCTATCGGCTCCCGATTTATTGAACGATTCCGCGAATCTCGTGTTTTGGCCCGACCAGGTCAATCGCATTTCAGTATGGAGTCTACCATGACATCTGGGGGTGCATTTCCCCGCGACATTGACGATCATGACAAGCCCATACCACTCCCTCGACTATCGGAGTGGATGAGAGCGGATGCTAAGAAAGGCATCACGGTTCATACAATCCCTATGTCTCCTTGACGGAACTCATGGTGTATCATCTTGACTTTGTTAGATCATGAAGAGCTACTGAGCTCGAGGGACTTTGCCTTTTCACATAGACAGTCACGAACATTGCCTACGCACCATCTTTGTAGCCCTATTATCATGTATATTATGCAGGAAATATCATAATTCGGCTGACTCTGGCCCTTGAACATTCCACCCCAGGCGTGCTCTGAGATCTTTGTTCTCACGTCTGGCAATTTCAAGCTCGGATTTTAGGCTCTTGAGCTGTTGGCGTGTATCCAGAAGATCTTGGTCATGTTCTTCTGATATTTCGCCGGCACCCACGGTTATTCCTATGACAGCGGCGTTGAGGTGATGGGAGTGGAAGTGATAAAACAAATAACATACCGCCGACAAGCTTCACCAGGCGCCACAGACGGAGAACAATAAGCAACGCGCCAAGTTCTTTCTCTTTACCTTTCAAGGTAATCTCCAAAACAAAAGTGATTATGATGATAGCAGCGTCAAACAGGTGCAGTGAAGCGTGAGTGACCTGCCCGAAGGGATTGTAATATTGGAAACCGAAGGCCCAAAGAGCAAGAGGAATTTCAACGAGGAAGAATGTAGTGATAACGAGAGAAATATGAGCGAGAACCTCGAGCCAGTGGGGACCTTCTGGGCCTGCTGGGGTACAATTGGTTGACAGAAGGGTATATCCGAGATCTACAAGCACACAAGCAGCGTCAATGGTAATCTAGAAAGAGGATTATTATTGTTGTGTCCCCCAAGATTGCAATTAACAAATTGTTACCAAAGTGATTACGGCCTTGTGGAAGAGCTGTGCCTCGAGGACTTGACCCAATTTGCTGCGCCAGGAATCGAGGGTTTCCTTGGCTTGTAGCAAGGGCTGCTGCTCTGCGTCAGAGTCAGAGAATGACATGGTCGTTGTTGCCAAACACGGCATCACAACGCCTTTCTCTTTCAAGTTTTAAATGTCTTCCATGCTACTTTCCCCGCCCATTCGCTTTGCTGCCCCACCGCTCTGCCGCCAGAATTTATTCAGAACGACATCTCGATTCTGCATTCGCTTCAGCTCAACCAGGGCCTCGGTAGCCCCGAAAACACCCATCTCCTTCGCGCCGCACTTTTTCAAAACAGCTGGCGTCACAGGGCTAGGACTCGGATCCTTCCTCGCCACTAGGTCTTCCATTCATTGCGATGGTATGACAATATCTCGCCGTGCTCGTTGGCAGGTCTTCATCATTTGGATGTAGCTCCGATAGCAATGGAACCGTCACCTGAACCCCACGTCCTTCCACCGCCACCCTCATCTTCGGTTTCGGTATATCAACTTTCCTTTGGTACCGTAGCAGGCATATGTTCTGGGGTATTCTTAAAAAAGGGCGCGAAAGCAATGGCGTTTTTCTTAGGCGGCATCTTTGTGCTTCTCCAGGCATGTACGTTATGTTCTACCCAATTCCATTCCTTACAAGGCGATAATAGTATCTCGTGTCACTTTCTGTCATACGCGTCGATTGGGTAAGAATGGGAGGGCGTTTTGAGAACCTATTCTACACAACGGACGCGACTGGAAGAAAAAAGGCGCCAACACCCTACTCCTTGTTCAAATGGATCGTGGATTTCTTGACGGCAGACTTTCAACCGCGGGCATCGTTTGTCGCTGGGCTTGTGCTAGGCTTGAGGCTGGGCTAAACACGGGCCGGATTAAAGTAGTGGTAATGATACATAGCGACAAACAGTGATCAACGTTTTTTTTTTGGTACTTTGTTTTTTATCCTCCATAAAATCTTGCTTTCGCTATCATGGGTCGTCGTGCCAAGAACAAGCAGGGTGCACCAGAACCACTTGATCCGAAATGCCTAGATCTATCCCGAAAACGAAAGGCCGGGAACGACCTCAACGACAAGGAAACTGCTCCAAGACCCCCGAAGAAACTGAAGAAAACAGGTCATGTCAAAACAAAATCCAGGGACTCTATCAAAGTCAAAGCAAAGGAACCTGTTAAGACAAAGGCAATACCTTTGAAGGGAAAACAGAAGGCTCGGGTGGATTCAGAGTCTTCAGACGGGTGGGAGCATGTTGAGGAGCAAGCAAATTTGGATGCGTGAGTACTCCGGGCATCTTTCAGGTTGTCTGTGCTCTGAACGTTCTCGAAGGTCCCTTATGGATGACAACTTCAATGATCTAGACATGGAAGAGTGTGTCTACTCTTTACATACCTCAATATTTATTCTCACATGATATTAGCGATGAACCTCTGCGCGGGCCCGTACAAGAGTTCCAATTCAGCGAAGATGATGATGAGGATGAAGTCATCCTTCCCTCGAAAGCTAAAAAGTCGAAGCAAAGCAAAAGACCTACAAAAATTATACCCACAGCTTCCAACAATTCCTCAGATTCTGACGAGGAAGAGTCTGATGAGGATGATCCTACAACTATGGCCAACATGGAGGCCCGTTCACGCGCATTAGATGCGAAAGCTGCTGCTGAGGCTAAATTGGACGCTGAAGAGTTGCAGCAGGCAGCATTCAACGACGGTGACGATGATCTCGATATGGACGAAGACGAAGACGAGGTGGATGAGGAGGACAGATTTCATTTACCTACAGCTGCAGAGAGGGAAGAGGAGAAGAAGTCGGGCGGTCCTGATGTGCATCTAGTACAACGGCGCATGAGAGAATGCGTACGGGTGTTAAGTAGGTTCAAGAAGTTGGCCCAACCAGGACGGTAAGCGTGGTTCCTTGCGAAATAGCAATTTTATATTGATGGATTCTCGTATATAGCTCTCGATCGGAATACACTGACCAACTCCTAGCCGACATTGCAAGTTATTATGGTTATAACGATTTTTTGGCAGAGAAGTTGTTCCTTCTCTTTCCCATCGCCGAGGTATGTTGTTGCTCTGACCTTTCGTATTTTGTCTCATGCCTCTTTTACAGGCTATAGAGTTCTTTGAATCCAATGAAGTATCGCGTCCTGTCACGATTAGAACGAACACTCTACGGACTCGGCGGCGCGACCTTGCGCAAACACTAGTTAATCGCGGTGTTAATTTAGAACCTATAGGTAAATGGACGAATGTTGGGTTGCAGGTATTTGAAAGCAGTGTCCCCATCGGTACGGATTATTATCCTTGGTGCGCTTGCTCCAAAACCTAATATTTTAATAGGTGCTACTCCTGAATATCTCGCCGGACATTACATGCTTCAAGCAGCGTCTTCTTTTCTCCCCGTGATAGTTCTAGCGCCAGAACCAAACGAACGCATATTGGATATGGCTTCTGCCCCTGGAGGGAAGACCACGCACATCGCTGCTCTTCTGCAAAATACCGGAGTAGTGTTTGCTAACGATGCGAACAAGTCCCGAACGAAGAGTCTTACAGCGAATGTGCATCGTCTGGGTTGCAAGAATGTCATCGTCTGCTCTCATGACGGTCGAGAATTTCCCAAGGTTATGGGAGGATTCGACCGGGTCTTGCTAGATGCTCCATGCAGCGGCACGGGCGTTATTAGCAAAGATTCAAGCGTCAAAGTTAACAAGGTATCTTGCTTCTTTCCAGTCATCAACACGCGTTCTTTGCTCACAAGACCCGTCGTTAGTCCGAACGCGATTTCACACTATTATCGCACCTCCAAAAACAGCTTATTCTCTGTGCCATTGATAGTGTCAGTCCCGAGTCAAAGACCGGTGGCTATCTGGTGTACTCGACTTGTTCCGTTACCGTGGACGAGAACGAAGCGGTCGTGGACTATGCTCTCAAAAAACGGCCGCACGCCAGGCTAGTTGACACTCGTCTTGAGTTCGGGCGAGAGGGCTATACGAAGTATCGCGGGAAGACATTCCATCCAAGTGTCAGGTTGACTCGGAGGTTCTATCCCCATGTGCACAATATGGATGGTTTCTTCGTTGCGAAGTTCAAAGTTGAGAAGAAGGGTAAGGAACATCCGGTCGCGACGCAGAAGGTTGAAGTTATCCCAGATGGGCTGGAGGCTGTTGAAGATACGGAAGCCGCAGCGTTCGATTCAGACGAAGATCGGCCGTATCTTGAAGGTTCGCTCACTCCCTTCCATCTTGTGACGATTGGTTTTATTAACTGTGGCATGTTTGCTTGTAGATGCCAAACGCCGACGTATGAAAGCGAAGGGCTTACGGCCACCGCCCCGGACAAAGCCCCCCCAGTCTCTTCCGCTGTAACAGCTACAGCATAAGTAGTCTACGACAGTGAGGGAGGGCCTAGGCTGATCATATCATTATGCAATCCTGCGTTCCACATGGGTCTCGTTACTATGAACATATTCTTTTGTTTCATGATCTTTCCATCAGGCGGGTGCCTCTTCAACCTAATATGATGGCCAAGAGAAACAATAAATAAGTTGCGATGTTGGACATGAGACGTCGGAAGGTCCTATGCTGCAAGTGCGATACTTGTAAAACAAACAGTAAAAATACAATTTATCTGAACTACACTTATAAATGCTTTTCCAGCAAGTACTTAAGGGGTATCTATGTGACTAGTCCGAAGAGCTGTCCGAAGATGGTGCAGGTGAATCTTATCGAAAGAACATTTGCAATTACTGAGATGTGATCGAGCTCTTGGTACCTTTCGCCCTTAGGCTTCAAGTGTGTCAGGCTATATGAGCGGGGCGACGAAGCGAGCAGTCAAAGGGCGACATACCCATGTCTTCCGCAGGCACATATGCCACAGCATGAACCGACAATTCCGAGCCAGGACGCGACAGTCGGGGCCAGGACCATCCAATCAAGCAGAGCTATGCTATGTGATACATATACCGAAGGATAAGATCCATGCACGGCGTTGCCTCAGGTTAATTGAAGTTGCCCATCAGTTTCATTGTTCACACGCTGCCTAATAGTGACGTCAATCAGGAAAGCGATGGTGGTGACTCTGAGGCAAGCGACAGGCCCGATGGCTGCAGAGCAAAGGCAGGCGTCCGGTGCCGGGACGGAAGATGGAAAATAGGAAGGACAGGAAGGCCGATCCACAGGCTAGATACAGAAGAAGGCGATAGTAACGAACGGAATAGCGCAAGAATAGCGTAAACGGCGTGCCGATAGGATAACCTTTAAATTTGTTGATGAGATTGGCGTATTGTTGACTGGGGATATAACAAGTAGCCTTACACCCAGTTTGGGCTCGCTGCACTCAAAAAAGAGTGTTCAGTACGCTTCATTCCATGATGCCGGTACTTTCCACGCCCTGACCGGGACCCTGAGGCAGCGATTACCGGAACCGTAACGTATTTTTGCAAGTCGAAGGTGCAAAGTGACAGAAATCGGACGACGCCGCCACTTGGAGTCATAAAAGAGCTCTGGAACGATAGGCGGAACCGTCGGGAGAGAAAGATCGAGGGTATTCAATTTGCCATGGGCGTTGCCAGGAGACTTTTGACAGATAGCAAAAATCGAAAGGGAGAAAATTGAAAAGAGGAAGGAATGCATGCAGAGAAACACAAAAAGAAAAAAGAAAAGCAGAGATAAGGCATTGAGGCAGTGAAGGGCAGCAGGGGGACAAAGAGAACATAGAGGCTGTTATAACGGCCTGCTATCAGAGGGTCAAACTTTGACGTGATTTGCGGCTGCTGAAAATTGATGTCGCTAAGAGAATATATTGATGCTTCGATTTTTTACGACAAATTTGAACAGATGATAACTAGCAATAGCTGCGAACAATCAATCTAGTCTGCGTGTATCGTTTGTTTTCATTCGAATACTCAGTAAAAAGGCTTGCAGTTCGCCCAACCTTTGTCCCTTTCAGATCGTATGATTCAATTCAGTCTAGCCTGTTTTTCCCACAATCGCCCTCCCCACGAATAGGGTTCGGTACAGGAGACAAACACAGGCAAACATTGATCCTTTTGCATTTATTTGGACTCGTTCCTTTCCTGTTTCTGCATCCTGCCCTTTCTTTTCACTCATCCCTCATCCCAGTGGGTTTTAAGGCTGCGTTGCACGCATATCTGTCTCTCTCTTGTCAGTTAATACCCTTTTTATGTTCGTACCATCAGACCCCCTTTTTCTCTTTTTTACTTATCTGCTCACTCTGCGACATTTTTCCAGCTTTCTCCCATAATGTCTGCGCCTGAGACCACCCCCGTTCCCGCCGCTCCCCTCGAGGAGGCCAAGCTTGCTGAGTCCCCCGCACCCGTTGCTGAGGCCGCTCCCGCTGTTGAGCCACCCAAGGCCGAAGAGCCTACTCCTGTTGGTTTTCTTTGTTCTCTTTTTGTCTCTCCTGTTTTTCCTTATCGCCCTTTTCATTATCCTAGGAAGCACCCAAGGAGGAGGTGAAGGCTGAGGTGCGTGTTATTCTTGTCGTGCTTGTGTATGGCTCGTCTAATTATCCTTATCTCCAGGAGGCTCCCAAGACTGATGCTCCTGCTGCCGCTGAAGAAACACCTGCGGCTGAGGCTGCTGCTCCCGCCGCTGAAGAAGCCAAGGAGGCTGCCAAGGATGAGGCTAAACTTGTGAGTACTGCGGCTCCAATTCACTTTTATCACGAGACTCAGTTGTGACTCAATCTAGGCTGCAGAGGCCGAGGCCCCTCCGAAGGAGGAGCGACCCAAGAGCCCTGGTCTCCTCGCCAAACTCCTTGCGCCTTTCAAGGATCAGAAAGCCAAAGTTGAGAAGAAGGTCAAGAGTGCTAAGAGCCCGAAGAAGGAGAAAAAGAAGGAAGGGTCTGAGGTACCTAGTCTGGTCACTCTTCTATCCCGTTTTCACTGAATACATTCCACCAGACGACTCCTGCCGTTGCCGAGGAGTCTGCCAAGGAGGAGTCCGCCACTGATGCCCCCGCAGAGGCCGCTGAGCCCGCGAAGGCTGAGGAGGCCCCTGCTGCTGAGCCCGTGAAGGAGACGTGAGTAACCCTCTAGGTTGGTTTTTCTCATCGGGCTAAAGTCTTGTACAGTGAGACTGCTGCGGAGGCTGCCCCTGCTGAGGCTCCTGCCGAAGCTGCCGCCGAGGAGACTAAAGAAGAGAAGGTGTGTCGCTCTATAAATGCTCTGCTCTACGGCTAACCTCCTTTCAGAAGGAGGAGAAGAAGGAGGAGAAAGTCAAGGCTAGCAAAGTCGGCCGCCGTCTGTCCGCGCGTGTCGGCGACTTCTTCAAGCCTAAAGCCAAGGCAGAGGTCCCCCATCCTCCCAAGGTTGATGAAAACCCACCGAAGATTGAAGAACCTGCTCCGGTTGCTCCTCTGGAGAACCCTGCATCAGAGCCTGCTGCTGAGGCCTCTGCGGAGCCCAAATCTGAGCCCATTGCGACCGAGGAGTCGAAGCCTGAGGTAGCTGCCGCTCCTGTAGCAACACCTGTGGTTGCCGCTGCCGCATAAGGGTATTTTCGTTTTTGTTTTTTTCTGGACCGTCATCATCTCTACTCTATTGAACGACCTTTCACGAGCATTTTTTTTTATAACTGTGTTGTCTTGGCTTTCATAGTGATCATCTTTTGTCTCCTTCCCCATTCTAACCATCATTGCAGTTGTGGATGTATCTAGTCCGTCAACCATGTTTTGGTTATCCATTCTTACTATGATACATCAGGATTTGGTTCTCAGTTTTCTTCTCTTACGACACCATTATCACGATGAGCCTTATCCGTTTCTTATTAATTCGATTCTGATTGAATACCCATCCTTTTTATCGGATCGTGCTCCATGTCATTAGGCTTCCTGTAATTGTTTCTGCTTCCATATTGATTTTCTTTGGTACAAACATGTCTTGTCTTGAACTTCCAAGTCATGAACGGTAATGACGCATGAGTCACATTGGTTGCCAGCGTGATTTGGTCTTCTGCAGTCATCAAGTCATCCTTCTGCTTCGACGGTCATGGCACCCAAGTCTTCCAGTCACGGGAAAGATAAACTGATTGGGGCTGAAGACGATGTTCTTCAGGCCGTGGTCCTTGCGGACAGTTTCAATAAACGGTTCAAGCCGTTGACGACACGAAAGCCTCGAGTATTATTTCTCCATTTTTTTTCTCCAGTCAATGATGGACTGATTTTCTCTGCAGTGCCTGCTCCCTGTCTGCAATGCACCTCTACTCGACTGGACGTTCGAAAGTCTTGCCCTAGCCGGCGTACGAGAAATTTTTGTGATGTGCCGATCACACGCGGAACAAGTCAAGGCTGCTATCGCGTACCTCTCCACCATTTCTACAACGATTGTACTTTGATTCATGGTCCACCAGGGAATCGCGATGGGGCAAGCCCGGATCCGGTCTCAAAATCATACCCATAATGACTGCAAAGGAAACCTATTCACCTGGAGATGCCATGCGCGACGTTTACACGCGCGGATTAGTGACAAGCGACTTTGTCCTTGTCATGGGCGACCTGGTCAGCAATATCCGTATAGATGAGGTTGTTAGGGTGCACAAAGAACGCAGAAAGTCGAATAAGGATGCGATCATGACTATGGTAGTTAAAGAGAGCGGTGTCAAGCATCGGACAAGGTGAGTTTTGCTCATCTGGTGCCCCGTGTTGAATGATATAAGCTTTGTAGATCAAAGGGTGACACTTCTGTTTTCGTTCTAGATACAGAGACGTCAGAATGTTTGCATTACGAACCTGTTACGGGATATCCGCCAACCAAGAAAGCGCATATACCCCGAGAAATCTTTGTTGACCATGCAGAGGTCGAAATACGGAATGATCTTATTGATTGTTCTATTGACATATGCTCTGTGGAGGTGAGCCTTGTAGTATTGAATGCCGGTATCAACAACTAATAGTCGTAGGTCCCCTCGCTCTTCCAAGACAATTTCGACTACCTCGACCTTCGAAGAGACTTTGTGCATGGTGTCCTCACGTCAGATCTACTCATGAAAAATATTTATTGCTACATCGCCAAAGAGGGATATGCAGCTCGAGTAAAAGATACAAGGAGCTATGATTCGGTCAGGTACCATTTCTGTTGCATTCACTTTTCACAGTTCAATAATATGCATTTTATAGCAAGGATATCCTTTCCCGGTGGGCGTTCCCTTTGGTACCAGATGATAATCATCCCGGTGGTCACCTTTACGAGCATACCCGTGGCAACAAATACATTGCGAAAGGTTCTACAGTAACCCTTGCTCGGTGTGTGTCATATATCCCCATACTGTTTACTTTTTGACTCTGATTGAATTAACAGTACAAGTACAGTCGGGAATAACACGCTGATGGGATGTCGTACTCAAATACTGGAGGATGTTCAGATAAAGTCTTCAGTGATTGGACGCGACTGTATCATTGGTGCTGGGAGCATTATCGCCGACTCATACATATTTGACGGCACGAGTATTGGACCGGAGTGTGTAGTTGAGCAAAGCATCATTGGCGAAGGGGTGATCATCAAACATAATTCGAGGATAGTGCGAGGATGTCTACTTGGTGATGAGGTGATTGTAGGCCCCGGTGCAGTTCTTCAGCCTTTTGAGAGGCTGTCGAAGAAGCGGGACCCAGAAGAAGTGGATGAGAATGAAGAGGAAGAAGATTCCGATTTGGAAGAAATAGAAGCTAGTGCGTTATATTTGCAACAGCACTCCGTGCCCGTGATACTGACTTGAGGGCCCATGACACAGGTCAGTCGTCAATATCTGCGCAATTGGGAAAAGACTCGAATGCGATTGTGTGGCCCAGGAATGCATCTGATGATGAAGTCGAAGACGATGTCGAGAATCACACGAACCAGCGGTTCATGCGGCTAGGTCCGTTCACATGTTCGTGAACTCCCCTAACCCTCACCTTATTGACACACATATCCAGGTGATGAACCTTCCGACTTGGAAGATGATAGTTCCACTTCGTCTGATGGCGAGGGCGGATCTTCATCAGACGAGGACGAAGACTTCAAAATGAGCCTCGAACCCAGTCTCGCACTGGATATGTCTGCTATTAACCTACCGTCTTCGGATTCTATTGCAGAAAGTGAATTCCGGGCTGAAGTTACTCAGTCTCTTGAGCGAGCATTTAGCGAAGGGCATTCCATCGATAACGCTGCCGTTGAATTGAAGACTCTCCGGATGGCTAGTAATGTCCCTCTTTCACGTGTGAGAGAGGCTGTTATTGCAGCTATAGTGGAGCGTATCAGGATTGTCGACGGCGGAGGCGCTGCTCAGCGCACTGAGATATCTAACGTCATACAAAGGTGGGGCGGACTTATTGACAGGATCGGAGGTGTAGACGCGGTTGAAACCATTTCCATTCTCCAGGTGAAATTGGTTCACATTATGCAAATGACCGCTGACGAAATGGTTTAGACTCATTGTTCGACATCCGAACGGATGCCTCTGTTCGGTCAGATACTTGCAGCCTTGTATCAGGCGGATATAGTGGAAGAGGAAGATCTAGGGAAGTGGCACTCTTCACCATCCGCCGGAGGCGTGGGTCTGCCACCTGGAACGCAAACGGACAATATCCGAAAATGTTGGAATATTGGGGCCCTTCTAATTCAACAAATAGGGCAACAAGATAGTGGAGAAGATAGTGAAGAAGTAGACGAAGATGAAGATGGGGAGAACTAACAAGTTCCTGTTCGAAAAATTACTGGCACACTGAATAGTATAAAATGGTGGTATGTAATCATCACGAGAGTCGAGGGGGGGATGGTATGGGCTAGTACTTGAGAATGATGTACAGAGCTGATAGGCACCATTAGACATTATACGAGACATGCAGGGTGGGAAACATACCGTGTATAATACCAGGGCTACAAATAAATCGTTAGCGAAAGTTGGAGATGAGGGTAGCGGCATGCTTACATCCATCCCAGAATTGTCAGACAAATGTTGATGAGCTATATAGAGATGAGAAATATGGGTGCTGCGGATACGAAGAGACACAAACCAAGTCGACTCCACAGCCTCTCTCGAAAAACACACCCAAGGGTGGTAATATAATGGCGACTAGGATCTTACAATATAGAAATAGATAAGCGCCTGTGATGAAGCAAAGACACCTTGCATACCTTGCAGATGTCTGATGCAGTGAATGGCATGATGAAACGTGTAATGAGTTTCGTAAAAGGACTGTTGGGTGAGCTGTCCAAAGTTATTAACGGGAAAAACGAACTGATGCGACGGTTTTTGTACCCCATCTTCAGTGACGTCATTGCTGCATCCACGTGACAAGGCACGTGGCTGCAGTCTGAGTTATAGAGTACCCGGTTTGCTTGGAATTATGATAGATCCACCATGATCGTTGAACGCAGTTCAAATATTTCGTACACACCCACAAACGATGACCCATTCCGCCAGTTCGACCTGTACTTTTCCCGCAGAAATGGGGGTCCTTTCCCTTTGATTTGTTTTGTTCATGGAGGTGCTTGGCGGTCGTATGTTTCGCGGCCCACAGAAACGTAATTTTCCTGACATCACGTATTCAAGCGAAGACAAATCTGACCATTCAGTTCTTGCCGAACGCATGGTTGAATTCACTGGGTTCCCGGCTATTCTTCCGAACTACCGGTTGACCCCCAAAGAGTCTACGGACGGCTCGCAGTTCCAGCATCCAGGGCATGCTGAGGACATCTTGCAACTGCTCGATTTCCTCATGACGTGGGAAGGGCCAACAGCAGTCGGGCGTGTATATGACCCACAGAATATTTACCTCATGGGCCATAGCTGCGGCGCACACATGCTGGCCTCCATATTTTTGGATTCGTCGCTCATCTCTCCGTCTATATCCCTGTCGCCCCAAATACTCAAGTCTGTCCGCTGTATAATTATGTCTGAGGGCATCTACGACATCGACACCCTTATCGCTCGTTTCCCGTCTTACCGTACTTGGTTCATCGAAGCTGCGTTCGGGGATAAACCGTCTTATTCCGAGTATTCCGTTACACGCCTTGCCCTCAGAACCAAATTAATTCGCTGGCTTGTCATTCATTCGCAGGGTGACACCCTCGTTGATACTGCACAGAGCGAAATCATGTATAAACACCTCCGCGAGTTGTATGGCACCTCCGCCGACTGTTTCGTGACGATGGATGTGGATCAGCTACATGCAGATCACAATGCGATCCTTGAGGAAGAGGTGTTTGTTGAGTTAGTTGGGGACTTTATACTCAAGGATTGCTCATCTACCAGCTTGAATGGGGGGGCTATTCAATAATTGGATGTTGGAGCAGATATTATAAGTTCATTTCCCAAATGAATGGCATCAGTTACAGAGTTCTTCGAATGCCTTCTCCAAGCACGAGGCCGCAATTTCACAATCCTGTAGTGTATTGTACAGCGGCGCAGGCGCTAAACGTATCACATCGGGCCTCCGCTCATCAGCAATGATCCCGTAACTCGTTAACGTGCTATTAATCTTCTCCATCACACCCGAACCCTCTGGTAGGAATAACAAGGAAAGTTGGGCGCCTCGAGATTCAGGATCTTCAGGTGTGATAATGGTAAAACTGGGGGGGCCAGCGCCACTGTGATATGTCGTAGGCATCTCAGTAACGGCAATGAAGTACTTGGATTCCTTGAGAAGTTTTTCCAGGGTGCCGGTTAATTGCAGAGATCGTTCCCTTATCGGTACCATCATACCTGCTTCTTTAAATGTTTGAAGAGATCCCAAAAGAGACGCCACGGAGAGTACAGATGGATTTGACTGTTGGAACCCTTGGGCGCCCATAATCGGAGAGAACGTAGGTCGCATCTCGAATCGGGTCGCAGGTTCATTTCCCCACCAGCCTGCGTGTCTGATACATGGATGGTCAGTTACTCGAAGGGCGGCTAGTAAAAAAAAAATTCTGGGCACCTTGGTTGTTCATACTCGTTCCATTTCTCATGCATGAAAAGGCCGGCTATCCCCCCAGGACCGGAGTTCAGGTATTTGTACGTGCACCAGACGGCAAAATCGACATCCCACTCATGCAAAGATAGAGGAACATTGCCAACTGCATGCGCCAAATCCCATCCGCACACACAGCCCTGAGGACGAAATTCGACCCTATTAGTGTCAAGCCGAATCAAGAAAGTGCGAAAGGAACCGCACCAGCTCTTTCGCTCTTCGTGTTATGCTTTCCATGGGGAACCATTGACCAGTATAATATTGGACTCCAGAAAAGAGAACGATGGCGATAGAAGACCCCTCTCTATTGAGAGTGTCTAGAATGTCTTCCTGACGAAGAGTAAATTCACCCTCACGAGGAACCATTTCCAGAATGGCGTTCCTGGGATCTAGTCCATGTGCACGAACTTGGGAAGCAAAAGCGTACTGATAGCCGGACAATCAATAAATTAATGGCGGAAGAGTTCAACTAGTGCGGTAAAACAAACCTGGTCCGAAGGGAAAGCACGGGCCTCACATAATATTTTGTAGCGGCTGGGAGTGGGTTTATAGAAAGAGTCCATCATGAGGTGCAAGTTGGCTGTTAGAGTGCCCATACAAGCCACTTCTTTTTCTTTGGCTCCTATAATATAGGCTTTTAATATACCAATGCGGAAATGAGTGATAAGGGGCTGAACTCGCCTACGACCTCGGCGAGCAGGGGGGTTACATAATCGCAAATGTCTACCCATTCCCTCTGGTGTGGATGGGAGAAATGGCCGACAACGGCTCTATGTAACTGGGAGATTAATTGAGGGCGGGCGACGCAATACTGGAACATTCAGACCTTTTCGACCAGACTTCAAGTTCTTCTTCGACCAAAACCTTGGATTTCTTCGATAACGCTCCCAGAGAATTTCCGCACAAATAGGTGCACAGCTCGTTCTCTGTCCAAGTCTTGAGCTTATTTGAGTATCAATCAAAGTGATTCACCTTGCCATCTGCAGACTTCTTAATCGCACGCACGTCCTTGTTGGTGGGTAAAACGAAGTGGTCGCTCAAGGGGGCTGCCATGATGATACGGAGCAAGCGAGCTGGCGGTCGCAAAATTTGAAGGACAAATGTACTTTTTTAAGCCGATCGAGCAAGATGAGATTAGATCAGTCAAGACCGCTTGCTTCGGGACGGACGGAGCGCAGTTTCCGCTTCTTTACAGTCGAGGGCCCTTACATACCGCGACTGTTCCCTAGGTAGGCGGAGTCCCCCTGACTTCAACTTGTACTCGTTAATAAAATTTATTATAATTTGGCTCTTGCATAGGTTTTATCAAGCTTCGCTCAGGGTCGAAAACAGGCTTTCAACATGAGCACCTCTCGTAAAGCCGTCATCGTTGGTGCCGGTCCTGTAGGCTCCTTGTCTGCCATTGTGCTCGCCAAACGAGGCTGGAGCGTATCTCTTTTCGAAGGACGTCCTGGTGAGACGTCTTCTGTTTCGAGTCCTAGCACCGTGCAGCATGCCAATGTCGTTTCCCAGATCCTCGACTTCCATCTTCCAAGGAAGCCTCCCGTCTGCGTTCGATAAATCTTGCTATTTCACACAGGGGGATTTGTGCCATTAACGCAATCGATCCGCATGTGGCCAAGCGATTTTTAGAGGCCGTTGTTCCCATGCGAGGGCGCATGATTCATCATTTGGACGGAAAACTTGATAGCCAATTGTACGACAGAGATGGACAGGTCAGTATTTTTTTCTTGCCCACCTGGATGAATCAGGGACACTTATCACTGTCGGCCATGGCTAACACTTGCATTCCGACAGTGTATAAATTCAGTTGATCGTTCCCTACTCAACGAGGCCTTACTTGAGGAAGTCATTGGTCTACCCAATGTTAAAGTGTTTTTCCAGCACAAGTTGCAGCTGGTCGACTTCGAAAACAAGACTATGACTTTGAGGGATCAAAGTACAGGCCAGGACGTCTCAGCCGATTTTGATTTTTGTATCGGAGCCGACGGTGCCTTTTCGACTGTTCGACGACAGATGATGAGGGTTGTCAGGTCAGTCAGTCTCGGCAGCACTTTCGGACTGGCATCGCTGACATTTCTCCTGGCCCTGATGGTGACCATTTGTTCAGAATGAATTATCAACAAGAGTACATCAGGGACGAATACATTGAACTCAAGCTCTCGGCAGGCAGGGACGCTGATGGGTATCCAACTTTCCTCCTTGATCCGAACCACCTGCACATATGGCCTCGTCACTCATTCATGCTCATCGCTCTCCCCAATCAGGTAGGCGAGTTGTTCTTTTGCGTGATTTCTTCTTACCATCAACCGTTTAATTCCACGAAGGACAAAACATTTACATGCACTTTATTTGCACCTAGCTCCGAGCTTGATCGTCTGAGCACTCCAGAAGAGATTCTAACGTGGTTCAAATTGCATTTCCCGGATGCTGTCAGCCTTATTGGCGAGAAGGAGCTCCTGAGGGACTTTACGTCCAACCCTCGAAGTCCCTTAATCTGCACCGAGGTATATGATCTCTACACCTGGCTTGCGGAATGCTGATCGTCATATCGAAACCAGTCCAATCCGTACCATTACTTGGACAGGGCTCTTCTATTAGGCGATGCTGCGCATGCCATGGTTCCATTTTACGGCCAAGGCTTAAACTGTGGGCTGGAGGATGTGAGAATTCTGGACATTCTGTTAAGGGAAGAAGGTGTCAACTCCACGACTGTCCCTCCCGGCACCATAGACGACCGTCTTGCACGTGCCCTCTCTCGCTATTCTGAGACGAGACACGAAGATCTTGTCGCCATCTGTGATCTTGCGATGAACAACTAGTAAGTCCGTTCTTTCGTGACAAGCGTGGAATCTCCTTTTGATTTTTCTGATTGTGCCCTATCGTAAATACAAAAAGCATCGAAATGCGCCACTTGGTGACTTCCCCGTTATTTTTGTTCAAGAAAGCGCTTGATAATCTTCTTTATTATCTGTCGTCGAGACGGGACATGTCGTTTGACGCATTTAACTCAACACTCTCTCATCTGCCGTATGGATTGGGGGAACCTCGTGGGTGGGTACCACTGTATACAATGGTTACATTCCGTCCCGACATTAATTACGCCACGGCTAAGAAGAGGGCGGCTAGGCAGTCTGGAATACTTAGCGGCATGGGGTGGGCTAGCATCGCTGTTGTCGCTTCGGTTGGGGTATGGGCAGTACGAGCCGCACGGCTGGCCCTCCTGCACCGGTCGCAAGCCTGAGCATTGAGTGGAGAATAGAACATCAAATTCCCTGGTGCACCGGAACAGTGGTTCTTTCGAAGTGCGCCGTCACAGAATGCTGTAATGTTGGATTGTCGTGTGGCACCGTGCAGTAGAGCGGCGAAATGTAGAATATTTTCACAATCGGAAAACAGAAGAGCGGAGCAAAAAAAATATATGCGAACGGACGTACTGGTATTCCGGGTGTTTGAATCAAATTTTCAGTCCCTCCATGAGGCTCGCACACTACAGTACACGGTTGGTGTTGAAAAAATAGTCTCCTTGATCGTACAGATGGCACCCTTTCTATCATAAGGAAACGATAGGATCGTATGTACAGAGAGGTTCCATAAATAAGCAACGATAACAGCAACAATTGACTTTGGCGGCTAGCGACAGAAGTAACCCAAAGGAAGGAAGGGATAATGTTCGGTACTGCAAGAGGGCTGGAAATAAATATGTCGTAGCGGTCATACAAACGGTAGAGAGATGGACGGTTTGGCATATATACGTGCAGATTCAAGGAAATTGGGATCGGAGTAAAGTGAATCAAGTTGTTGTGGTCTTCTTGGGTCTTCCCCGCTTCCTTTTTGCGGGGGGCTCGGCAGGATCGTTTGCAGTGCCTTCGCCCCCCGACTCTGTAGGCCTAGGATGCTTTGGCGGACGCCCCCGACCGCGTTTTGGGGCGGAAGACTCGGCTCCTTGCTCGTCCTCCTTCTTTTCCTACGGAAGCGGTAAGGAAAATAGGATACCAAGCGACGCGACGACGCACCTTGGGAGGCCGACCACGGGGTCGTCGGGGGGCGGCAGGGGAAGCCGAAGAAGAGGTAGGCTTGTTCTTACTGCCTTTTGGACGGCCACGACCGCGTTTTACAGGCGGTGCAGGGGCCTCAGCAGGGGCAGACGCTGGGATCAGACTCCATCGATGAGACGCGGCTGGACGATAAGGACAAGTGACGGAAACTCACCGCCCTCGGCGTCGGCAGGCTGCTGTTGGTCGTCGAGTTCGTCCTCGAGCTTATCCTGAGCTTCGTCTGGGGTATCGTGGGGGGACGCAGACATGAGGACGAGGTGTTACGCTCAGTGCTCGGGAGGGCGGGACACAGAGAGTCAAGAAGAGAGAAAGTGGGGGAAAAGGACCAAGGATGGTGGAACGGCTTTAATGAACAAATTGAGTACCGAATATGGGAGAATTCGAAAATGAATTGTTTCGTTGCGTGCATTTTGTTGGGCAAGCAGGGCATGGGATTATTATGGGATTATGGGATATATCAAGGATATATCCATTATTATTATTCTCGTTGTCCAAGAACCCCTGAATTTGGGGGGTGTTCGTCACGTAATACCAGCCGACTCCTTTTCCGTCCATACAATCAGCAGTGAATCTGTTAATTCTCATAATTCTCATAATTCTTGATACAAACTTGATATAATCACCCAATTATCGCCATACCCTCAAACCACGAATTATCTGCCTTTCACTTGCCTATCCATTCAATCAGTTTGCCTTTTAATCCTGGCAAACCCCGTGTACACATGCCCTTCCCCTCCCAGCTTGAATCCCCCCCATATGATATGTCTGCACTGGAAAATGTAATGCGTTGCTTCCCTGGCGTGCGACGGAAGAATCATCGGGGGGGGGAAAGAATCGAACAGATGGTGCGAATGCTTGTGTTGCGATCTAAGCAGTGAGTGTAAGCGATCTTTCCAGATGGTCGGTGGCAGATTCACTCGATTCCCGAGCCCGAAACTGGAAGGTACCCCGCTATATTTGGAAGCTAGCACCCGGCTCCCAACGCCGCGGAGTTCGGAGTTTGAAATGGACCACTTGTCGTCATCGTCCAAGTCGGTATCTTTTGGTCGTCCACGTCGTTGTCGTCGTCGTCGTCGTCGTCGTCGTCGGTAGCGTGATGCACGCCGTACTCATTGCAACTATATTCTGCCGCGTATCCCTTGGCAGGCTTCTTCATTCACTTCCAGAAGACACTTATGCGTTTCCTAAATACAAAGTCTCTTTCCTGAACAGTCTTCCCATCCTTAACCAAACTGCTGAACGGTGGCTCAAGGATGGCCTTGATGGCGGTGAAGCTCAGTTTCTCGAACAGCCGTATAGCATGCAGTCCCAGTCGATTGAGTCGGGGGATGCAGAGGTGCGTGAATTTAATTTGTGAATGATAGATGGAACGGTGATGTCGTGCAGGAAACGACCCCAAAATTTCAGGAAAGATATTCCCTAGAACACATGAAATTAGGGCCACGCGACTCTTACCTATGTCTGATACCACCGCCACTTCTCCCGCCTTCCGAGTCTCCCTTGCCCCCTTCCCAGGAAGAGGATGCTACACCCGCACACAGCTGGTCTCTCCTCCAGCCGCTTTCTGGGAGCTGCCTCTACGTGCGTGAATCAATTTACACCCCATTAAACTCCGTATATCAATATCGTGGAATTTTAGCACCGCCAGGGCTGGTTCACCTACTCTTACTGCCACGACAGCGAGATTCGCCAATTCAAGGAACTGATGCATGGCCACGCACATGCTTCGACTCCAGGTAAAAAATGTCCAGATTTATGCTTTCTTCTGATTTAAATAAAAACGGAGAAATTCCGCTTTTTCTTGAGTTTATTTCTGGTACTTTCCCGTCATCACATTCGGCGTTAGTGGCCTTATCCATAACTCTCGTATCGCTTTATTCCTGGGGTCCTGATCCGTTTCCTTCCTTCTTAGGTGGTTACAAGCCAGAAGAGGACCCCAAGGCACGTATCACCCTCCCTTCCTATTATTACATCACCAAGTGACATACGGCAACAGTGGGAATCCTACACTCTAGGCAAAGCACCACCCGCAAGCACCGACGTTGCCCTTCGGGAAGGGACTGTTGAGCTGGCACGCGGGGCCGGGTCGCGCTACCTTGTCCAAAGATGGGGTGATGGTACAACTTGTGACAAAACAGGCAAGAGTCGGGAAGTTGAGGTGCAGTTTCACTGTTCGATGGCCATGTCGGACACAATCCTGTTCGTCAAAGAGAGCAAGACTTGTTCCTACGTGCTAGTTATCAATACTCCCAGACTCTGCGGGGAACCTGGCTTCAAGTCGAGGAGAGATGTAACTGAGCAAAGTATCATCAGATGTCGGGAGATCGTCCGTGAGATGCCCAATCCACTTCCGGTCATGCAGACAACACTGGACTTTCCCCACAAGCTTGCGAGGGTGAAAGCCGAGTTGCCGCCCGCTCCGGTGAAAAAAGTGAAGGGAGGCAGTGAGTCTTACGATGATCTCTTGCGGAAAGCGGTAGATGTGCTGTTTGGTTCGGGCGGCAAAGTAGGCGAGCTTGAGCCAGGAAAGGTAGTCGTGTCCGATGACGGAGAAGTTGTCGTGGAAATTTTTGAGGACCTGGATGATCTCGATGTCGGGAAAGGCGATGGTGCCCTTGCGGACCGGCTGATAGACGCACTTCGTGCGGCAGGGATAGAGGTTGCTACTCAGGGAGAGGAAGAGGAGGAAGAGAGGATTCGTGATGAGCTCTAGGTCTGCTGTACGTCTTACCGAATGGATTTGCTGTACTTTATATCACTGATCAATTGCACTTGAAACGGAAAAGCATCTCTAAAAGCCAGACAGGTATTCTACATTCAGAGTGAACTTGACGATCGATCTCACCCGCTGAGTACCTATAGAACTGGCTTCATGCCCGTAAGTACGATATCGTTTTTTATGCGTCATTATCGACGCTAGTGATATCCCCAAACGTAGATTTTGCATGGTCTATCCTCCCTGAGAATATGGGCCGTCCGGGTCAAAGACCTCAATACGGGCTCTTGATGTCGGAAACAAATCGTAGCCAATTTTTATCGACGTCTCTTGCCACCACCGCAAACGAAACTCGGGGCAAAGATTTCTCAAGTAAGTTGAAACAAGTCTCTTTTACTCTTCGTATCACCCTCTGGGAGTTGGCCCTGCCAATTTGGAGTCATGGAAAGGCGGATAACGAATCGCGATTCGGACAATGGTCAGTTTTGGTTTCCTAGACACGCCACGGTTCCGATTGTCGGTACCTATGGATTTCGTTATATTCCATTCGGTCACAAGCGAGAACACTGCAAGCAATGGGACACCGCATGCGCAATTTATACGTTCAGAATTTCGTTGTTTTTTTTTCTGTATCAAGGAAGTGTTCACCTCCACTGATCTGTTCCGGAGCTCGGATCACAATGCCTACGCACGAATTCGAACAAAGATGTCAGCGGTACTGTACGAGCTCGCATTTGCCCGAGGCTCGTAAGGTAAAGCTGAGGTCGTCTACTATTATGTTGCGCCACTGATGACTTGCCCTTCTCTAGAGATTCTCAAAGGAGGTAGGAAACTCACACGAAACAAGATCTTTGTGATATATTCTTAACGTCGGTCTGCGTGTGTACGTCCCTCTGAATCGGACCGATGATCGGCTTGAATGAGTCGAATCCATTATCCATTCATAGTCCGCTCTTCGCATGCGCACTCGTTAAGCTGTGCGCCACGGAAATGAATTCGACTTCAGGTGAATCTCCGAGACGATGGAGAGAATATGCAACAGGGGGATTTGCTAGCGCACAGAAAATGTTCTATGGGGCTATTTTCCTCTGCCTTCTGGTTGTAGCTGCGTTCACATCTCTAGGCGTCCTCAAAATTTGGTACCTGCTACCTGAACAAGATCGTCGGGACTTTGAGCAAAGGTATCCCTGACGGTGACAGCTTGCCCTGGGCGAATCCTCGTGCTCGATTATCTGTCGACCATTCACGGGTCTTCTATTGAGCCTTCAGGCTCTAATCCGATACGTAGTCTTATTGCGGCCATACGAATTCCCCCAGTCGTAACGCTCTGCTAGCGTGGCTTCGCTGCTATCATATGGTGGTGTGAATGCGCGTTCTCGTGTGTGAGTGTTCATCATTTGTTCTGATTTATATGGTTGCTCAGAGACTACTCTATCGGTTCAAATTTATCATTACAGACCCAAATACTGCTAATAGCTAGGTAAGGACCACTCTGCTCAACTCGCGTAGCCGTGGATATATTATTTGCCAATGACCTGTGCTTCAGCTCTTTCTCCCTTCCGCTTTTTACGCACCTGATCGGTGGGCTAATGTCCTGGCCGTCGCATGATTAGACGGTAGCTTTACCATCCACAAATGGCGCTGAACCTATATACTCTCAGCCTCACTCGCTCCATTTGTCCGAGAGTGGTTTCGGTGACATTACAAGTTATACCTTGAGAACGCCAAGAATCAGCTTATTTACTAAGCTGAACAACAGATAACAGATATGAAGCAGTCCTGACAGCCCCGTCGTGATCATCTTACTAAAGTACATTCATTCTCTCTATCTTGGGCATGAACAGTGCTTCGGATTGTTTAGGAATTTTCACCAAGAAAATACTAACGTACTCACCGCAACTACCGAGAAGCGTGGCAGTAGCTCAAACTGTTCATTAACTAACATCAGCCTCACTGTGTCAGTGGATCTTGTTCTCTTGAACTAGCATGCCTCGTCACCGCCATACATGCGCCGTGCCTGTTATAGATTAGTTGTACTGTATAATTACATCACAAGCAAGCAATGGTCTATCGAAGAAAGCATAAGAAAAGAATCTGATAATGTGGCGGTAGTTTTTGAGTCCCGTAGGTGTCTAAAGGTAGATCGCACATATATACCGCTGAATTCCTGCTAGAAGAACCTCCTCTTTCCTTGCTTCTCGTCCACCGTAACCTTGACATGAATGTGATCTGCCTTCTCACCCCTCTCCATGTCGCTGCACGGCAGAATGCTCTTTAACCATTCGTCACCTTCGTCCTCTTCACCGTCATGATCCACACAGTCAACCTCACCGCCAAATACAGGCTCACAACCACACAAAAGTCGGCTCCCCTTTCCACGCCCCTTCAATAGGTCAGTTAACGTGCATCGTGCGCTAGGCTCGACAAAAAGCATCCGCCGGAGTGCCGGCCTCGTTTCACGGGGTAGCAGTCGGAAGATACTTTCCGCACCTCCACCGTGGAACGTCGTGACACTATCAGTGCGAGTACGCTTCTTTATGGCAGCATTAGAGACTGTATCGGCAGTAGGTGACTGTTTCTCCTTCTTTTCTGAAGTTTCAGTTTCCTCCTCCTTGACGCCGCCCATTACTTCGACCTGAACGGCAGGTGCTCTTCTCACTGTCCCATCAAACGTCGTCGCCCGCGCCCTCTCAATGGGCCGGAGCCGTGGCGTGGCAAGCATCTCTTCACTAGTACTCACTCCACCTGTCGTCGGAAACACCTGAGCATACGACCGCGGACTGACAGGTAGTGATTCCGTCGACGATCCTGGCCGATCAAACACCCGAACTGAGGGATCCATGTCTTGGTCATTGTCTGCTGTAGGTAACCGTGTATGTGGAAGATGCGGGGATTGAAGTGTGCGGTGAGGGCTCATCAGGGGTAGCGTAGCCGTACTCTGGCTGACCGGTCCATCAAACGTGGTAAACATGAGCTTGTCTTCAGATGCCACACCGACTGAGTTGGTTGAAGAAGACGAGTGAGAATTCGAGCGTGACTCTCTTGTTCGTGGAATATTTGATTCCGACTCGGAACCATCATCAGACGCGGCTATCGATGCCGTTTCTGGTTTGCCTATCGACGCTACTTCCGAATTACCATTGGTTTGTGTGCCATTGAGGTTGACCTGTGGAGGAGGTAGAAGGAGTCGTGGATTGCTGTTGCCGTTGCCGCTTAACGGCGGGTGTATCGTCGCTGAACACCCCTGTAATGCATGCTCTCCATTAAGAATTGGCGCGACTGGTATCGTTAAGCCCCGCTTAGGCGTTGGTGCAGGGGCTACGCTGAGATCTGGGTGGGCATTCACGAATGCTCTGAAGCTCGGGTCCTGCTTTGGATCCGGGATTTTCCAGGGGAACCTCCTAAGGACCATGCACAGAAAGATAATAGCCACGCTCCACACGTCGCTCTTTCTGGGATCATATGAGTCGCTGGACAAGACCTCCGGAGCGAGGTAGGGGTCGCTCCCGACCACGCCCGTCGCTGGTATATGTGACTTGCCGGGATAATGGAACACAGTGGCAGTGCCGAAATCGATGAGCTTGACGACGTTGTGAGTGGTCATGACACAGTTGTCTAGCTTGAGATCGCGGTGAGCAAGTCCGAGTTCATGGAGGTACTCAACGCCATCACAAATTTGCCGGAAAACACAGTATATCTCGGGTCTGCACATTTTGCCGGACATGACGACGGAGAAGAGGTCGTACGGGGCGTATTCCATAACCTGAAGGCACTGAGAACGAGCATACTGATGATAGAAAGTCGCACTCACCTCATAGTAATGACCGTGATCTGAGACAATATCCACGGTCTCGATGATATTCCTATGTTTCAAGGTAGAACCGACGCAAAATTCTGCCGTGACCTTTTTCTGATACTCCTTCTCAGTCTCACCCGTTCGCTTAGGGCGAAACTCCTTGACAGCGAAGATGGTGCCCCCATTCTTCGTGCTCGCCTTGATGAGCCGTACGGTGCCGCCAGCGCCGCTGCCAAGAACCCGACCCCATTTGCCGTACTTTTTCGAAAGGTGGGCCCGAGTGGCTTCTTGTAGAGAGTGAATAGGGCGGTGGTGCTGTTGATGGTGGTGATGATGGAGAGGCGTATTGCTGCCCGATGCAGGCGGCGGTTCATCCGGTTGTAAATAGCTTTCTGGGACGGGCGAGCTACGAGACGATGGTGACGGCTGGGAAGATGAAGGAGAGCGTTTACGAGTAGACGCCTTGTCATTGCCACCCGGGTGCTGGGAATGGTGTTGGTCGACATGGTTATGAAGGAGGCGTTTGAGGTCGTGAAGGGGCCCGTGCTTTGGAGGAGTAGATGCTGGTGAATCGGCAGGACTAGTGAAGGTCGACGAGGCCTTGCGAGCAAAACGAAAGCGAGATTCATGACGGGGCGACGGCGGCGACATGAATGAGCCCGAAGGCATGGTGTCACTCTAGGAGGAGGAGGAGTAAGGAAACTCGAAGAGGTACGGTCCGATGCGCATCCGTTTTCATTACTAAGTTTGATGACATTATATTTTACGTGACTATTTCGGACCGATTCTGCTCCGGTTTAATACCGGCCGGCCGTCACTCGGCCTCCTCCTCTCGCTTCCGTTTCATCTCCCGGCTCACCTTGTGTTGTGCCGCCTCGTGCTTCGCCAGCTCCATCGGCACTTTGCTTACGGGACTCTTGGCAATCTCTTGCCTTAATTCATACATCACTTCGTCGTCGTCGTTTGTCAGGAACGTGATCGCTGTCCCCAACTTGCCCGCTCGACCAGTACGACCTGCGTTTCATTAGCACAAACGTAGAAATTCCAAAAAAAAAAAAAAAGATCTTCGTACCAATTCGGTGGACATATGCCTCTATAGTGCTGGCCATCTGGTAGTTGATCACAAGACTCACGTCCTGGACATCAATACCTCGTCCAGCTAAATCCGTCGCCACTAGGACATCACTTTCTCCATTTCGCAACGACTGCAGCGCCGCCTCACGCTGTTCTTGATTCTTACCGCTATGAAGCGTCGCCGCACACCAGTTTGCTCTCTGAAGATCCCTCGCCACCATGTCTGCCGTTTTCTTCTGGTTTACAAAAACGATGATCGGCGACGCGTACTCGCCGCTATTCAGTATTTCGAGTAATTTCAATCTAAGGGTTATTGTCGTTAGTGAAGATGCCTCTGAATAGAGCTTCACCCACCTCTTTTTCTCATCTCCGTTGATGAATTCAACTCTTTGTTCGACCGTGTCAACTGCTCTGCCTGCCTCACCGATTGTGATAACCGCCGCTCTTTTCAAATACTTTCTTGCGAGCCGCTCGACCGCTGGTGGCATCGTGGCCGAAAATAGCGTCGTCACTCTTGTCCGACCTATCCTGACAACGCTACCTTCGTCGTCGATCTCCATTTTGTCAACCTCACCATCCATTGCGCCCTCCGGCAGCGCATCCAGAATATAAGTCAAGTCCGTCTCAAAACCCAGATGTACCATACGGTCCGCCTCATCCATGACCACGTAGCGGCATTGCCCCAGGACCAATACATGCCGTTCAATGACATCCTTCAGCCGCCCTGGTGTTGCAATAATGATCTCAGCACCTTCCCGTAGATTGAATTGCTGCTCTTCCACGGCGCGCCCTCCTACGATGGAAACACATCGATAATCAAGGGGACTTGCAAATTTGCGCGTCTCGCTCTCAATCTGCTGCGCCAATTCACGTGTCGGGGCAAGAATAAGGGCATACGGTCCCAGATGCCGATTCTCATCCGTGAACGGGGGAAGGGTGCTGATAAACGCCAACATGGGGATAACGAAAGCAGCCGTTTTCCCAGACCCTATGTGATGGATTAGCAGGAATCAACAGAACCTATAGGTGGAGAGCACCTGTCTCTGCGATACCAATAATATCTCTGTTCATTAATCCAATGGGAATAGCCTGCCTCTGAATTGGACTAGGTTCTTTGTATCCAATCCTCTCGATACAATCCAAGATCTGACCAGGAATAGCACTCTCTGACCAGCTTCTCAAAGGGTGAGGGATTCCACCTCCTCTGGCGCTGATGCTGAAATCTTCTCGGAATATCCGCCAGTCTCTCTCTTTCATCTCCGTGAGACTCTTTTCTGACCAATGTCGCTCATCTACAACGGCCCGGCGCTCTCTAACGTCACGGACATCCACGTCCATCCCAGCTATGTGCCCTCGGCCAAACATGACTTGCGCGCTCTGTTGCGAGGGAAGGGGAGAGGCAGAGGCAGCAGTGTCGTCCTGCACATCCCAGTCAAACACAAATTTACGGTCATTCATTTTGCGGATTTTGCGTTTCTTCTTGTCGACACCCAGATAGCGTGTACGTAGGGCTTCAAGTTCGGTAGTAGACATAGAAGGGGTGGCAGGGGTAGAGGAGGGCGTCAGTGTCGAGTTACTGATGGGTGCCGACTTGCTACGGTCGGCGCGAGGACCAGTTGGAACATTCTGGTAGGAAGATGACGATGAAGGAGGCGGACGTCTGTCTCTGTCTCTATCTCTATCTCGTCTTCTATCATCGTCTGTAATGTTATCAGCACATAATGTAAATGGAAAGCAAGTAACTCACGTCGACGTCCACTAACATTCCCATGTGTGCTAGACTCTCTACTGGCTTTTTCCTCGAGTCTTTCCCTCTCCAACTTTTTCCGGTCTTCCCGTTCTCTCTCTTCCTTGATCTCGGCCGCGCGTTTGGCGATAGCAACCTTTGCGCGTTCTTCTTTGCTCAGAAATTTAGGCTAGAAGGTTAATCAGATGAGATCACAAAAAAAAACACAAAGACAGACCCGCGACGCAGCTTCCCTTTCTGTTTTCTGCTTCTGTAGCAGAGACTCGATGGAAATGGGCTCTGAGCGGGTCGTCATCGTCAATGTCAGTGAAGAAGGGGACCACGTGAGATTTCGATCATTGACTCAAACTATTTGGTGCCGATCTCTTGGATCACTATTATATCATGCCTGCCAAACTACTCGACGAGGAAGGCGACATCACTCCAGAGTTTGAAGCTGCTCTTAGAGAAATATTTAACAAATATGCTTTCCCATTATCCAATACCCTCTCCCGTGCGCAAATCCAGCAGTACTTCCTCGACACAAACGGCGCCGCTTCCCCCGATTCGGAGATAGACGAAATTATGGAATTCATGGACGTCGATGAGAACACTGGGGATCTTACTTTTGGTGGATTTATGCAGATCTATCAGCTGCAGACGGAAAATGATGAGGCGGAAACGTGGAAAGACTTGGTTCGCACTGATTGCACCGATAGAACGCTGACATGACCCAAATTTCCAGGAAAAGCACGGGTATGACAGAGATCTCGAGAAAAATTAACGACCCTTGGACGTGTATCGCGCGTTGGCAAGTACGCTCCCATGACCAGACATTCTGCTTACTCACTTTATTTGCATTCTCGAGCAGTCATATAAATAGTATCAGGCTGCTGTTGTTGTGATGGGAAATTTCCTAATTTCAAGGTTGGGAGCTTCATTTCCGAGTCATTTCAAACTTTACCTCAAGGCTGGCTGGGATGAAAGATATGCCTACATTCTCCATCCGAGACTCGAGGGCTTGCTCACTTTTGGCTATCTAACAGGCCTTTGACATGGGTCGAGAATGGTCACGCCCGTCCTCATGCCAGCACGAACTTCAAATCTGAGTGATCTGAAGTGACAGACTTGAGACCTGATTAATAGGCACAGTCCGACAATTTCACCTCGTAGAATTCTAGGAAACACAGGGCTCTTTCAAATATTCAGCCTCTCGCTATCCCGTCCGATCCCGAATTTGCGCACTATAACACAAAGCGAGATCTAACAGATATGCCAACGACAGCCAACGACTCGAAATTCTGTGTTGCAGTTGCCGCTGGTATTAACGCCACATAGCGCAAAGCGTCAAGTTGGCGTCCTTCACGAGAGCGTTCTTATCGCGGTGCCATGGGAGGATGAAATTATTGTTAGGGTTGCTCAACATCTTATCACCCCTTATCACGAAACACTCTTCGATTCCAAGGCAGAACACCTGTCCGTTGTACCTTGGTCTAACCTGACCCAACCTTCAACCGCGGCAAAGCACTTAAAAATAGACTGATGCCGGGTACATTTTTAGACTGCCGGCTATTCGGAGGGTCCGGTTTCCGGAAGGAAGTATCGGCCTCTCCGCCCAGCCCCCGCTGGACCGGCAAAATTTGTGCCCGGTTCCCCACAATGTTGCCATTACGACATGCACGCACATCGTACCTGACGCTGCCGCGGTTCCTTCCCCTATGTGACTTGGCCAGTTTCTGCCAACTAACTTACTATTAGGGACCCACACACGCACCCAGAATGAATATTTAGACTACAATGAGTGCTACTTTTACCTGGCTGGCACTAATCCAGCGGGGACGCTGGTGGGTCGGAGAAGCTTAAAAGACTAGTAACGCCGAGAATGCTTCCAAGTTTGCTATTCGGACTTTGCTTGATTTGTGCGCCAAGCCACATCGCTTCATTCGATGTGTGGATACAAGTGGGTGGCGAATTCACGCGTGTTTTCTGGATCTAAATATTATTCAATTCACTTGGTGCCGAGTGCTATGATCCCCCGTTTCTGGCGTCGCATGTGCGTCAAGAATGCAGTGCGTGTTACACCAGGAAATGCAGAGCAAGAGAGACATGCCATATGCTTTGCCAACAAGAGAATTCAGGTGAGTATTTTGAGGCCCACCTCAGGTCGCCTTCTTGGCCAGAGAGTTGGTTAATGTCAGGTTATACCCATTCGGTCAATAGTTCCAGCGTGATGGATGGGTGCGCTTGCGGCCCAATTTCGAAGACTAGATATCAATATGCGCTGTGAAAACGGCTGAACATTTGCACTTCGATGCGAGACGGAGAAACCGCTAGACTTTGAACCGCTGAATACTGCATTCGAATGCTTTATGATCGACATCTGCGAAATGCGACCCGTAAAACATCTCCGTCCTGCGGTACACTTGATAATATGTGGCTCGTGAATCATAAGAGCCCGAGTGTCCGAGTGAAATCAAATCACAATGCCAAGAAAACCACGTAGAACGCTCAATCAAGCCGCTTGGCTGGACTTGCTGTCGAGCGCTGTGTGTTATCTAACACATATAATCTTAGTCAGTAAATCTCTGTAGGGAATACTAGGACAACTCATTGGAAGCTAGAGGAGATTGATCATATCCAATCTTTTTGATAACGTGAACCAAGTCAGTATTCAATCAGATCAAGAGCTTTATTCCCCTGCGAAACCTCAGTTCCAACACCAACCAACCGCCCAAGCCGCAGCGCGCTCTGCGGAAACCTATCTTTCTCTCGGATATTCACCACTCCCATGCACAATTGAAGAACCCAATTCCTAGATTATGATACAATTATTCCCTATGATACGATACCTCCGTACAGCTTCCCCCACGTCTTAGCGCTTCCCTGTGGATATTCAACCCATGTGGTGCGACGTGGACCCCATAAAGGGGTCCGAGACGCTTCTGTAAAATGGATAACCGGCAACCAAACGTCTCGCACTGCAGGAGGACAAGACCTCAGAATGTTTCGTTTCAAGATGCTCTTTCTCAGTCCGTAAAATCTGGTCATAAAAACGACATGAAAAACTTGCCCCTTGAGACTTGGATGGAATTATGTGACATCATATCTCGTTTTACAGCTCCATCGTCTAGTACTGTATTATCTGCAGTTTACCGGATTTTTGGGTTCCTATATATCTCGTTTCACCGAAACGGTGGTGACCATTGGTTGGTCGTCCAAGATGTCTCCGATTTATTTAAATACATTGCTGTGTGTTATACCGCGCCCTGTCTCCGAGAAACTCGGGCTAAAAAAAATCTGTTCAAAAAAGAAACATTTTCCATGTTTAAAGCACACCAGTGCAGGTTTATCTGTCAATTACCCACGACAGATATATAGGCTGCGACAATGCAAGGTGGAACACAAAGTCCGAACTTAAATAATGACCGAAAACCTAGAAATTGCTATATTCTGGATCGCCATAAGCCTTCCTGCATGCCCGGTCCACCTAGAGCCGCTGGGATTCTTCTGCTGGTCACGGGGAGTGAAAAATCGCAACTCGTGCACCCGCTACATGTATGACAGTGAATACTGTCGCGTTCTGGGCTTATGCCACTCAAATTCTTGGTTTTCTCAGGTACACATCGTAACCTTGGATAGACACGGGGCACGGGCTAGATTCTAAACCATACCGGTTGAAACCTTGACCGACGGCGTGGATACATACATCGTTGGGGTTGACGGCTCCATATGCACCCTATCAACAATCCAATTCCTCGACTCGGAAGGCCGTCAGGACGCTGATATTCCGAAAGCAGTGACATTTTGTCAACTGCTAGGCACAGACGACCTGCAGCGAGTCAAGTGAGCCTTATCGAAACACCTCGCAGACGGGAGGAGTACTGAAGGAGACTAGTAAACGCGGTTCCGTTGGGAAATACCGCTATATGAATGGAAAAATTCAGGGCATGACAATTGGTTGCTCGGTACTTTGCGTTAATACTATTATGCGAATTGGTACCTTTGATGTGTTGTGAAGAGTCATTGACATTGATTTCGAATCGCATAGCTGGTGTTCCCAGAAAGGATTGCCTTGGGGGGGGAGGGCGATGAAGCAAGTACGATGAGAAAGTGCTTGATTGATGCACCAGCCACGAGAACGTGACAGAGGAGCGCGATAAATGAGACACATATAGCTGTACATGTAAAGTCAGTTACTCGACGGCTAAAGCGTCGGCCAGTGCCTTGATAAAAGTCTGCGATCCGAAGATGAGAGGAATAGAATGTCGAAACATGTGGGTATGACATACCAAGGGTTGATTGAATGTGAAAGGCACCGTTGGATGCGAAGAAGACATATCATTTAGGTGTCGTCCAGAGCTTAAATGAGAAATTAGAGAGGTCTATCATGTATCAACTACGGGATTGACGTTGTTGTTGACAGTGAATTTCCAGATTTCGACATCGTCCCAGACCTCTTTGGCCCACTTGAGGCCACTCTTATCAAGCGCTTTGGAGATCTTTCTGCACGGAACTTGCTCGGTTTTGAAGCCCCAGTGGGAACGAGCTTCTGATAAGACACGGTCAACGAGAGCCGGATCGCGGCGTTCGAGACAAAGAAAGATGGGAGGAGGGCAGGAGGAGCTAGACGCTAGCGCATGGAGAGTTCTTAGTAGAGGTTGAACGAGATGTGGTGCATAGACGGTGTCAGCGGTGATGATGAGGTCAAAGGATGAAGTAATGAGAGGATCATGCCATTGATTCGGCTGGACGGTCCAATCAAGCTGGCGAATAGAAATTTCTCCTGAAGATGAAGACAGAAGAGGTACGTTGGTGGAGATATTTCGGGGAAGAATGGTGGTTGTTATGGTGGGAAGATCAGTGGCAACGACAGCCCATCCGAGAGAGCTAAGGACGAGACTGGATAGACGTGAGAGAATAATATTCGAACAAGAAACAAGAGACGAACGCAGAGAGCCCAATGCCGCTACCTAGCTCGATAACCCTCATACCGGGCTGGAAGAGACGTGGATGGACAACTCGAGCGAGATAGACAGAGAGGACCTGCCCTCCGAGCCATAGGGCAGTTCCATTAGACGTTCCGTCGTCGGACTGTGCCAATTGGAAGGTAAGAGAAGGCGAGAATGAATAGGATAGCAGGGGGAGATGCTTGGTAGCATGAGCAGGGCAGGGAGGCATGAGGCGTTGTTTGGATTGCAGGCGCTTAGCATCGCTACCAGCTTAGGTTAGCTTAGGTTAGCTTTGCTTCCTTTGACTGTATTCTGCCTTGCATTTCACGACCACGATACCACGGCCTGCCCTACTTAACCGCCCACGTTTCCTTCCGTGTCCATCTGCTGCGCTGTCGTCGTCTTTTGCTTCGCTTTCTATTGCATTATTCAAGCTCGCTGTTGGCTCGATTTGCATTCACTTCAGGTTGTCCATAGATACTGATCGCATACACTCATGAAGGCTTTCTTGTCGCGCCTGCATATCGGTGGCAGCAGGGACAAGGAACGAGATTCATTATCCATTCCAAAGGAAAAGCTTCCTCCATTACGTCCTTGGCCCCCAGAGGAGTCCCAGAGGACAGCCTCTAATACCCCGACTTCCTACGCCAATTTCAAGCCGCTTCCCGAACTTGTTCCAGACCATTTCTCGTCCCATCTCCCTCCCCGACATCCCAACGACGACCCTTCACCGACGACCTCAACGACGCCGACGCCTTCCGTGACTTCTCCCACCCCCTCGCGTGCTGAGGACCCTCTTCCCGACTTGCCCGTTCGCGCCGTTTCTCCACGCCAGGATCTCGACAATTTGGGTCGCAGTCAGAGGAAGCAGAACGGATCGGGATATGCCAACGGTAGCGTGTGTACAGCTACAGGGTCGGAGGTGCAGAAAAAGGTTGCTTTCATCTCGCCTCCACCAACGCCTGCCAACTTTGATCGCCCTCTCCCTGAGTCACCTCTAGCAGCCCCCCTTTCAACTCCCATCAAGACGAACGTATCACGATTCCAGGCTACCCACAAAGAGCCACGAGGCCCTACTCCCTCAGGTGCCTCGTCGTCCAAAACCGATCTAGGCTCCTTGGGCAAGGGAAAGGCTGCTTCCACTCGCGCCATTTCCCCATATCTTCAGAGACCTGACGCCTCAGCCCCATCGCTCAGGTCCACCTCGCCATATTCCCAGATGACGGAGAACACTAGTGGGAGCAGAATTCTCGCTGCGGCTTCTTGGAGTGAGGTTACAGAAGAAGATCTTGTATCCAACCTCGGTTCGAGAGAACGCACGCGCCAAGAGGTATTGTTTGAAATTATTTCCAGTGAGGAAAGGTGCGTCCCAGAAATCTTCCTTAAGTTTCTGTTTACCAAATGCATTGTAGATACGTCCAAGAACTGGTGAAAATGAAAGACACATTTATTGACCCCCTTCTGCATCCTTTTTCCGCTCCGTCAACAAATACCCCGCTATCTGCAGCGTCGACACCCAACCTCGATTATGACTACTTCCGCACCGATTCACCAACAGAATCCGTTGATCATCTACCTCCTATTGCGGCGCGCTTCATGTCCCCCACACCCTCGGCTGAAGCGCATTCACGGACTCCCAACATCGATACTGAATCATTAGATAGTGACGAGGAAGATGAGGGAGACGATCACATGGGGAGGGCATTCAATACCCCGCGGAAGAACGGCACAGCAAGCCAGGCTTCAAAACATAATCATCCCCGTTCACCCTATCGTGCTACGGTCACAAGGACTGCTGCGAAACCCGGCACGTCGGTTCCGTTCCCAACACGGTCTCATCAATCCCTTCCTCCCCCCGCACGGGCCAATCAGTCTACCCAGTCATTAGGCAGGCAATCTATAGTAGTGGATCGGGAGCGGGAGCGACACCTCAGCCATTCGAAAGCGTTAAGCCCCACGGTAAAGTCAGGGATGTTACGCAAATTCAAGAAGAGCGAAACGGGCAGTAACCCTTTCGGTGATGCGATTGCGCCACATCAGTTGCCCGAAGATCTTCGGATTTGTCTGGAGGTTGTCGATAGCGGCGTTCTAGATGGTCACAAGCGACTGTCGGAGAGTTTGAAGAAGCGATATGACGACCAATACCCACTCGTAAGGACGTTAGCCGACGTGTTTGTTTCGAATGTGAGTTCATCCATCAGATTTCTTCCATGCAAACTTACTGATCGGTGTCTTTGGAAGGCGGATATTTTCCACGGGTACGCGACTTATGTCCTTCACCTCGAACGGGCTCTGGGACAAGTTGATAACGCACTATCCAACGTGTCGAATAAGAAACCAAAGAACCAAGACGTAGCAGATTGGAACAGAGTGTGCAAGTTCCTCCAAAAGCTCGAGGAGAACTCTAGTGAAAAAGGCGAAACTGGTCTGGCGATCACACTTTCAAAACCTTTCCAGAGACTGCTAAAGTATCCCCTCCTCTTTCAAAATCTGCTCTTCCATACAGATCCGAGTACGTTTGAGTACGAGAGCACCCTGCAGATGGTGGCAGAGGTTGAGGCGATTGTGAGGAGTATAGAAGATGAGAAAATACAAAAGGAGGAGAGGGACAAGACAAGGGATGTCTTCGCTAGGATCGAGGGGCTTGATAAGGTACGGCAGTTAGCTCTACCGAAGCCTTCGAGGGTGTTGGTGGAGGAGAAGCAATGTCCACCATCAATGCAGGGTCTACCACTTAAAGCGTCGTCGCCACCACCGGGGGGAGTGAGAGGGAAGAGCTCGTTCAAGCGGCTGAGCGACGTATTGGGAAGTCCAGGGAAGAAGGATTTGTGGTTGGTAGTGTTTAATGACGTCGTGCTGCAATGCCAGCGGACGGGAACAACCAGTCTACCGTTGGCGGCTCCGACCAATTCCAGAACGACGAGTATGCCGGAGATGCAAGGAAAGGCTAAGTATGCGACGACGGGAAGACGAAACTCTCATACTAAGCCCCGGAATCTGTATAAGTTTATAAAGGTTTGTCTGTTTGCTCTAAAGCATTCTGATAAATAAAGATAATTGATGTAGTATCTACAGATAGAGAATTGGGCTATCGGTGACGTCGCAAAGCCTAGAGAGGGTGTTGTATCGATGGAGGAGTGAGTTTTTCTCACTCGACTGGTTTAAAGCTTTACATAATTATCCTAGTGTCGCACGCACCCGTGCACAGGTGCACCAGCCTCGAATCGTTCCTCTACCGGACGACCGTGAAGATGAAGATGGAGGTATGGACTCGGACGACTCAGATCGAAAAAGTAAAATGAGCTTTTCTTACTGGGGAGCGGACAAAGTGACGGTCCAGAAACCCGTCATTAAGGGTCGTCTCGCAGTGGCGAACCCACGACGAGGGGGTGCACCTTCGTACGGGCGTGAATCCTCCGCCAACGCAAAATTTGGCTCGCGATTAGTATCAGATGGGTCTCCGACGGCGCGGGCGCCCAGTCGACGAACGGGGGCGACGACGCCCGCTTCACGGAGACATGATGATATGAAATCTACGGTGACTCGCCCGGAGTGGAATGCGAGCACGAAAAATGTGCAGCATCGAACTAGGGCACGGAATACGTCACAGACCAGTGCCGCTGTTAGCTCTAAAAGCACCGTGCAGCCCAAGACTGTAGCGTCTCCTGCACCATCCGAGGACTCTGGGGTAGGCCTATATCGTCAGATGCTTGCGAAAGATCCGTCTCTAAATAATGCTTGAAGGCCCCATAATCATCTTGTTCCCTACTCTCTTATGTTGTGCGTGCCTACTCTGACATTCCCACATTTTCCGGCGATCCCACCCTTCACCCTCGCTGCATCCTTATCATTTACTATTAAACTCTCATACATTATATATACCGGTGTTGTGGGTATAAGTATTTGCCTCAATTCTCCTTTGAATGCTTTTCGCTCTCATCTCTGCTATATCGACGTTTACGCTTACGATATGTTTCCCCAGTTCTTTGTCTTTCTGGTAATATCGTCAACGGCCAAATACCCCGCATGCTCAATATACGAACTATCATATATATTTCTCTCCTTTTCTATCACTCCACTTACTTAGACCTGGGTTGTATCACTATGCTGCTTCTGAGCTTCTTTCAATCACTACTTTCAGTGCTTTCGTATGCCGCGTTGTGGATATTGACGCTTCGACCAGATGGATCAGAGGCGCATCCCCAGTCGCCACGGGGTATCCAACTACAAGGGTTGGTTGAGTCTAGACATGTAATAAAGAAGAGTAGTTTAGCTTACCGTACAGCAGTTTTGGCAGCAGCGTCGCTCGGGAAAAGACCTGATGATGATGAGAATTGCACTACGATGAAATGTAACTTAGAATGCACCATCAAAAACGTCACGAATGTAATAAGCCTCCTTCGTGTCAGGCGTGCCTTCTGGCCAACGTTCGGTCCGCTTGGAAAAGGCCTCATCGGCAACGACAGATGCTGCATGATCTTTCATGCTGTAGAAAAAGGCGCCTAAGTGTTTGGGAGGGCTAGAATCGGGATGATTCAGGCATACCCATCGATCCATGAGTATCCTACACCATCAGAGAATTGTTCCTTCTGCCGCCAGAGGATGGATTTGGGCAGGTAAGGCTTGATGAAATAAATGCATTGAGGAACATTGAGCACGTGCCAGCTGCACGTACCTTGCCATCTGGTGCGCAATCAAATGCTTTCCGAAGGATATACTGAACACTCATGACAACTTTTTAACAACTGTCAGTCTTTGCCAGACCGAAAAGGACGCACTTTTTCCATCTTTGGACACCCATCCTCGTCGACTTCTTGGCTAGTACCCTTGTGGAACATTTTATCTTTTGGATCAACGTTCATAGCAACTTCAAGGAAGGCTTTGTCGAGGAAAGGTACTCGAGCTTCAAGTCCCCAAGCCATCGTCGATCTTGAAGATCGTATTAGGTGTTTCACATCAATGGGCAGGGACGATAAACTGACTTATTCGCTCGAAGGCAATCAGAAGTATGCAGATTCTTCACGCGCCGCACGCTCTCCTGATGGAACGCGGCCTCGTCAGGGGCAGCATGGAAATAGAGATAACCTGGCGAGTGTATGAGTGACCACTCTGACGCAGGCAGACATAACATACCTCCCAAAATTTCATCGCTTCCTTCCCCGCTGAGAACCATTTTGACGCCCATGGCCTTGATTTTTCGGCTCAATAGATACATTGGAGTGCTCGCACGGACGGTGGTGACGTCGTAGGTCTCCAGGTGATAGATTACTTCCGGGATAGCATCTAAACCTTCTTGGACGGTAAAGACGTACTCATGGTGCACAGTTCCAAGGAAATGGGCTGCCTTCCTTGCAGCAAGAAGATCAGGAGAGTTTTCTAAACCGATGGAAAACGAATGTAGTTGCGGCCATGATGTTAACGTTGCTGAAGAGGCAAATCAGTGACTACTGTATCATACTGAGGGCCAGACAAACCTTCTTCTGTTACTAAGCCGTTCGGCGTAGGCGGTCCACTGACAGTCTCTTCAAGTTTCCGTTTCCGAGCATCGAAATGGGCTTGTGCGACCTTTTCTGTCTCTCTAGCCGCGATGGAAGCAATCAAGCTACTATCAAGTCCACCACTAAGCAAGACACCGTATGGGACTTCGGACATTAACCGTTTGCGTACCGCAGCTTCCAGAGTTTCGCGGAGAAGAGCGAGATCGGCAGGTGTTGATGGGATTGTGGCGGTGTAACCCTCATCATCTCCATGCCACCAAGTTGGGCGGTAGTATTGCGTCGTTGTGCCGTCGCGACTATCATAGACGTGTCCAGGAGGAAACGAAATGATTTTGTCGCATTCATCAACAATGGCTTTGAGTTCGGATGCGAAATATACTGCTCCGGGACGTTTGGAACTCCAGCCTTGATATAACGTGGTGATACCGATAGGGTCTCGCGAAGCAATGATTCGACTGGGCGTGACTGATTCGTCGAGCAGAACAAAAGAAAACATTCCATCCAGCATGTTGCAAAGATCTTTGCCATGCTCTTGATACTGTCAGCAGTGTCAGAGGAAATTGCGGTCGGATGGTAAAGAAAATCACCAGCGGAATGATGACTTCACAGTCAGAGTGAGTCTTGAATTTGTATTCCTGTTGTAAGGATGAACGCAAGGCAATATGGTTGTAGATCTCGCCGTTCACGGTCAAGATCAGCTTGCCATCCTGGCTAGTCAAAGGTTGAGCACCAGTATCTGCCAGGCAATGAGCGAAATATCAACGAAAACAAAGGGACTACTGACCAACCCCGACAACTGCTAGTCGTTCGTGCACCAAGATGCTTTCTTTGCCTACAAAGCAGCCCGACCAATCAGGGCCACGATGGCGTATTCGCTTTGAGAGTGCGATGAAGTGTGCTCGCTCCGACGCCGGTTTTTCGAGCCCATAGACTGCACAGATTCCACACATCGTATACGAGTTGTTTTTTCCGTGGTAGACAGGGAACAAAATTAAATTTTGAGAAATTTCTGACTCACATCACGATAAGATAAGGGGATAAACTTTAAGTGAAAGATACTGACACATCCGCATTTGTCAAGTAGCCGGGTCTGCTGCTGTCCCTCTTTTTTGACCTACTTGGGCCGTTCCACCACCTTCCACGACAACGTCTCGGTTCTCGCTCTCAGACTTCACGGAAATATGAGCCCCAAGGCCTCGCAAAAGCGGAAGAAGAGTCCTTTGAGTGTCGTAGATGCCAAGGCGGCTGTTGATCTTGCGACCGCGCAGACGTACTCAGAAAACGTGTTTCTATTCGTGCCCAACATTATTGGTACGTCTTAATGTCACATTTACCATGCGTCGCACACATAGGTACTGTAGGCTACGTGAGAGTTATTCTCGCGGCCGTGTCTCTTCACTACATGAGCTATCACCCCATCTACTCCAGTATCTTGTATGGCATTTCAAGTATACTTGATGTTGCGGACGGCTATGCTGCCCGTGCGCTGAACCAGTCGTCGAAATTTGGTGCTGTCCTGGACATGGTTACGGATAGGTAAGTTCTTGGTGCGAATGCTTGAAATCGTACTGAGATGACGATAGATGTGCGACGTCATGCCTACTGTGCTATCTGGCTTCTGCATATCCGACCTATGCTGTCTTGTTCCAGTTTCTCATAGCACTGGATTTTTCAAGCCATTATATGCACATGTATAGGTACGCCGGGGACCTTGATTTAATTCCACAGTCTTGATATCCGTCCTTAGTTCGATAATCACTGGCTCTTCTAGTCATAAGCTGGTTACGAGTGATGTCAGCCGAATTCTTTGGCTTTACTATAATGATAGGGTGAGTTCCGGCCTATTGTTGTATTTCCATGAAAGTATGTCTTACCATATTGCAGCGCACACTCTTCCTCGTCTGCGCTGGGAACGAGTTATTTTACGTTGCACTTTATCTTGTTAAATGGATTGACACTCCGATAGTACCTTTGCTTCATCCAAGCACTCCGTCTTTCCTTGTCGGAATGACTTATCAACAAATGATCGCATGGCTGAGTGCTCCTGTTTGTATTCTGAAGAACATTATCAATCTAGTTCAGCTATGGAAAGCATCCAAAATCCTTGTGGGTGTTGATTTAGCGGAGAGGGCGAAGGCGAGACAGGAAAAGACGTCATAATATTATTCCGTTCTGCTGGATTCTAGTCATATTTATGTACTTTCATCTCGAACAATCTTCACACATATTTTTCAACCTTTTCCAGATGTGTGAACACGTGATCGCTTTCAAATTTTGAAAGTAAGCGAGATCTGTGCTCCCGGTGCTTCCCTCCGGCTGTCAACGTGAATGCAGCCCCAATCACTTCTCCCAAGGTCCAGGTCTCTCATTAACACAGTAAAGAGCCTGCATTTATCTTCGACTCCTCGATTTGTCCGGTCCTACGCGAAAGAACGGATTCCACATCAAAATTCCGGCACTCGACTACTATCGTCGTCGTCGTCTTCATCATCTTCGTCACCAGGAGAGCCTTCATCGCTACAGGAACCTCCAAAGGATCCATCACCAGAAGCTCCGCCCCCAGAAAAACCAGAACGACCGTCTAGGCGTAAAACGAGCACGAGCACCGCGGCCCCAGCTCCACCCATCGAATCCATCGATCTGCCCCCAGGTCTGGATATTCTATGGACCCCGACAGAGCTGCCAGATGGTGAACCTATGAGTGCAACCTGTTTGCCTCCACCAGAAATCCTGGAGGAAGCCCTAAATAATTTGCATATCACTCTTCATCCACAAACGCAGAATCGCGCTGTATATGCATCTCCTCAAGGACCACCTACAGAACCCACGCTCGCGCTCTATTGTCCAATAGAAGGAGGTGACTATGTGATTGATGCAACCGTGAGGGAGCTAGCACGTAGGACCGGTTCCGAAGTCGTTCTTCTTGATGCAGTACAGCTCGCAGCAGGGGAATGGGGCGACTTTGGCAAAGGTACGTGCTATATATTTTTATTCCCTTTCAGACTTATCGAAACTTCTTGACAAGCTGCAAATTTTCTTCAGCTACCTAAGAATCCGCTACATTTTCGTGCTTCAATGACACCACCTTCGCGTCCTACTATGGCTGAGGAAGACGACGACGACGACGCAGGCCCTTTTTCGTCCGGGCAAATGACGGTCACAGTCATGTCCCCTTCCAGCGCCCGGGGCTCAGCGGTAGTTTCCAGTTCCAAAGCTGCACCGCCGAACAAGACAAAGATGTTCTTCGATGCCCTCGTCAACATACCTTCCGATCAGCCTACTTCCACCCCCCGAATAATTTACGTTCGTGATTTCCCCACATTGGCGCCGACTTCATCTACTTGGTACCGTCCTCTCCTAACCTCTGTCCGTCAACGTAGACGCGGTCCAATATCGTCCCCCTCATCACCCATATGCAACCCAATGACCATCATATTTGGCATCACGCCGCCAATAACACCGCCTGAAATCCTTATACCTCCCTCCTCGCCAAGCCCAAATATTCTAAGTCTTCTGATGAACCGCAACCCTTCTGCATCACTAGTAACCTCTGCCCCAAAACCCGGTCGGACGGATTGGAGCGAGGATGAAGTTGCGGACAAGGCGAGGGAGGCTCGGCTACGCCGACGACTCAAAAAATGGGAAAAAGGTGACGCTTCTATCCTCGAGGAGCTTCCAACATTGGTCAATGAAGATAACAACGACTCGGATTCCAAGAGACCTGAGGTCATTGTTCTTGGGAGTAACATGTCGATACCTCTACCCAGTCTTCCAGGGATGTCAAACCGAAGCAATTCAGACTCTGTGGACACCAGATCAACCTTTTTCCGAACTTCGATCCTCGTTCCCAGTGTTCGTTCAATTCCAGATGAACGGGATTGTCGGGTAGCGCGGAGAAGGGAAATTAATGAGTTGACTATACGCATGGCTGTAGGGGCCATAGGTGGCGCTCTCGATGCTGAGAGGGCTGAGAGTCACCTACTAAGAGAGGCAGAGAAGGAAGAGGAGGAAGAGAATGTGGTTGACGCAGAAAAATCTGATCCAGAGTCCGTGATTGACCACGAGCGAATGTGGGATGACTGGGGAAAACGGGTGGAACTCTGGATGACCGTCCGTCATATTGCCGATCGTGCTGTTGGAAGCGTCGTAGCGGATCGATCAGCAGTCGCTCAGGGTGAGAGACTGTCACTGGAGCCTACATCCGTTTCTTGGGATGCAGTCTCCCGTGCTTGGTCAGGTCATCGGTTGTCTAGGAATCTCCGGAAATCGTGGATGAAGGACGCCCTTCCCGTTACTCGAACGAGAAATGACCAAGATGATGATGAAGACGAGCCAGATCAAGAGGAAAAGACATCCGAGTCCATCGACGAAGTAGTGGATAGACTGAAAAATGATCCTGATCTTGATGGACATGAACAGCGCTTGTTACCATGCATTGTCAATACAGGTAAATGCACACTGTATCGTTCTTCTCACTCATGTTTAACTTCTTTTAGCTGCAATGCCTACAACGTTCAGCCAGGTTCACCTTCCGACAAATACAATCGACTCTGTACGGACTATTGTGTCTCTTCCATTGTTGCACCCCGAAGCCTTTCAGCAGGGCATTCTAAAAGAGCATACCATCACTGGATGTCTGCTATTTGGACCTCCAGGAACGGGTAAGACTCTCGTCGTTCGAGCACTGGCTAAGGAAGCTGGTTGTCGCATGATGGCCGTATCCCCTTCGGATGTCATGGACATGGTGAGTCGTCTTCTGAACTCGTTTCAAGGTTTCTCACCATTGTCATACAGTATGTTGGAGAAGGCGAGAAGCTTGTCAAGGCCGTTTTCTCCCTTGCTCGAAAGCTGTCACCATGTGTTGTCTTCCTGGACGAAATTGATGCCCTTCTCGGCGCTCGTTCGTCGGGCCGAGATAGTGGGAGCTCTATCGCTTACCGTGGCGTTATAACAGAGTTCATGCAGGAAATGGATGGTTTGAAGACCTTGAAGGACTCTAATGTCATTGTTATTGGTGCTACTAACCGTCCGTTTGATTTGGATGACGCCGTTTTACGTCGTCTACCGCGTCGATTACTTGTGGACCTGCCAGGTGAAAAGGAGCGGGAAGGTATGTGGCTTATCAAAAATTTGATCATTATCAACGCGCTCACGCTCTTACAGAGATCCTCAAAATCTTGTTGAGACACGAGACGCTGGATACCGATGTCGACATCCAAGATTTGGCTAAACGAACGGAGAGTTTTTCTGGGTCTGATTTGAAACGTTCGTCGTCCATCTTTTTTATTGTTTCTTGATTTGTTAAGTGTTCCCACAGATTTGTGTGTTTCTGCCGCTGTCGATGCTGTCAAGGAGCACGTTGAATTACCATGGTTGGTATCAAATGCGACGGCGAAAGCTGAACAGCCAGTCGATAGTTCGGATGCTCCAGCTGAACCATCGACTGAATCACCCACACCAAAGACCAGACGGAAAAAGAAGTCTGATCCTGAGGAGTCCTTGGTGTTAGCATCTGAGGAGAGCAGTTCAGAGCCTACGGAGACCAACAAGCCGGACATTGAAGAAGGCAAGCCGGGGTCTGCGGAGACCGTGCCAGAAGGGGTGGAGACTGTCACACGGACACTATCCCATCGCCATTTTGTCAAGGCACTCAAGGAGATCACGCCATCTTCTTCTGAAGCCACGGGGACGCTAGCAGCTCTGCGCAAATGGAATGAAGAATTTGGAGAAGGACGGCGGGATCGCAAGCGACGGCAGATCTGGGGCAAGGGCCGCTTTGGCTTCACTGATCCCGCCAACTTCGTGGAGGAGGATGGCAGAGTTCTTCCCGCAAATGCCCTTTCAAAGTCATCTGGCAATGCAGAGAGCGTTTAATTAGGAGTATTGTATCGAATTATTTGATCATTAGAAACGCCAATACTTAAATACACCTTAGCATACAATACACATTTATCAACACATGAATGTTAACTATTTCTTTGAGCCTCGTCTCGACAGTTGGTTCTTCTTGGGACTATCATCACCATCGTCGTCATCATCACCTTCATCTTTTAGGCCCTCGTCTTGATCCACTTCCACTCTGACATCCTTTCGTTTCCTTGTTCTCTGACTGCGTTTTGGCTGAGATTGCTCCTGCGAAGCATCCATGTCTTCGTCTTCATCACTGTCGTCACTTTGTGCCGTGGCATGCCTCACCCTTCTCCGCTGGTCATCACCATCTCTAGCTGCGTCTTCACCGACAGGCAAGAGTGGTTTGCCGGCATTTCGCGGCCAATCAACACTGCAGGCAGGACATGAGCTGCGATGTTTCCGTGTTTGCGTGAAACAGCATGTATGCACTCGAACTTTGCAATTCGGCGTGTGGCATGCAATGCCTTTGGTGACCATCTATAAATATGAATTGAACTAGAGCGGAAACGATGGAAGAAGAACAAGAATACCTCCTGACAGATAGTGCATTCTAAAATATCATCGGGATACGTGTGTTTCAGATATGGCTGGAGCTCCAGCTGTGTGCGCACGGAAAGAGAATATCTCCCCCGCCCAGATGATAGTTAGTAGGACGCGCAGACAAAGCAGAATCGCGGCTCACCTGCTCTTGAGCAACCAGCCGTTGGCGACTAAGCTGGCTAAAACGTCTTCTGCCTGGGACTTGGACATGCTTGGTTTCACTTGACTAACTTCGCGGAGAGCAGCAAGAGACGAGACCGAATATGCTTCACGCGGTGCTAGCATGATTTGCTCGACCTGTAAACGCGTCAATGTAGCCCGCTAGGACCTGAAACGATTACACTCACGACCGCCTTGAAGAATGCAATTTCACCGGCAGTGTAGTCCGTAGCCAACTGAGCCACCTCATCGTCCTTCAAGTTGGCCTGGGCGAATGCTGAGCAGCGAGAAATTCACATATTGACCGGATTTCCACGCACCAGGACATACATCTTCTTACCAGTCAATTCGTCTTGCACGAGGCGAAATCCGAGATCTAACGCGTCGAGTGCTTTGTTCACTTTTGCTACAAAATCATCCCAAGAAGCATCGGATCCGGTATGCTGCACATTGACATCCTTATCTGCAGCTAAAATAAGCGCGTGAGCATCTATCTACTCTCAATGTTTTGATAAGAAGCTAGAACCTTTAACGACTTCAACGCTTCGCGCCCAAAGAATTTTTGCCAGATTCTCAGATAGAACACCTCTGGAGAGCACTGCCTGAAGAAAAACTCTCTGAACGTCATCTGCAGAGACCATGGTGCATTCAGACGCGTCGAAGTGATGGGGTACAGAGAGGAAAAGAACGAGAGAAAGAGAAAGAAACGCGTCGGTAGTCACGGTGTGATAGCTATGTCACATTGAACAAACAAATCGCAGCTAATTGTCGCTCAACCAAGCCTCAACATGACGCTGAACACATGGTATTCGTATACCAATTTTCACAAAGAAATGTGCTAAGAAAACCTTGTCCTGTATACAGTCAAAGTTTGGGAACACGTAGCGTCTTGCTGACCATCGCTGCCGCCCAAGCCCCGAAAATTATGCTGACCATATGCAGCTCGCCTCGACCCCCTTCGCTACCCCATAATGTAATTGTTCCATAGGGAATCCCATCTTGACCTTCTATCCACCCTTTCTTGACCCAGAACGACAGCGTGCCCACAAGAACCAGGGATGAGGGAATAGGGAGGCCTTCAAAGTATTTAGCTTTGCCTGAGTTATCTTTTGGAACAAGTGCGACAGTCGCATTGAAACGAGCAAGACGAGCGAGCCCACAACATATGAAGCCGGTAAGGATGGCGGTGTCGAGATATGTTCGCAGCCCGACGACGAACGCCAAAAGGGCAGGGGCAACTCCGAAAGAAATCTGCACCGCGGTGAGCTGAGGCACAAGACCAAGAATTCAATATGCATACCAGGTCCGCTAAGCTGTCCAGCTCCTGCCCCAACATACTGCTTGACTTCCTCCACCGTGCAACCTTCCCGTCGAGGAAGTCAAATATAAGGCCTGCTAACGGACACCAAAGAGCAGTCCAGAGATAGTCTGGATCATTTGTAACAAGATATCTTGCTGATGAGAATATAGAAAGCGATCCGCAAACGCCATTCATTATTGTCACCATATCTGCAAGTCGGAAATTCCTACAGATAGGAATCATCAAACTACGCATTGTTCGAATGGCAAGGCAGATATCTACCTGACAAAGGAGAAATGACCGTCAAAATCTGGGTATCGGTGAAGAGCATCACAGTCGTCATTGTCCTCGTTAACAACGTGAGCATTCGTGGACTCGGCTTTTCGTTGGTTCATGTCCAAAGAGGATGTAGAAGGCAAGAAGGAAAACCTTAATTACAGACAAGTACAAACACACAATTGACTTGTCACGGTGTCACCTGTCGCGGCGGGGCAGGGGCGCAACGCATTCATCCTAGTCGTCCACATCCATAGCCTCCGTCTTGACTTCCTTTGATTTCTCCAGTTCTATACTTCGCGCAGCATATTGGTTTGGATGAGTCACACTTTCACCATCCCCTACCCCTTCACCTTTCTTGATCCCACAGTGTCCGTGGGTGATTTCAAAAATCCGAGTGCATCCTACGTGAAAGTGCTCTGTCTTCTTGGTATGCATGATCTCAGCAAGATCTATCGACTTCAGACCAAGGGGTGTATAAGCCGCCAGTAGTGCAGTTTGTAAATTATCAGGCGTGAAGGACCGATACGGACAGCCGTATTCATCATTTCCTTGCAGCAATTGCATGCAGCTATATGAAGACCTGAGCAAAGGCTGGGAAAATACCGTGCAAAACTTACGTTTTTGCGGGATAATTAGCCCGTTTACCCTCCAAGCCATACGAGTGACGAATGTTGTACTTGTATTCCTTGTTAAATCTGTCTTCGGTGACCTTCCCTCCCATGAAAGATTTCCTCCAGAAAATGATGGCTTCGTCGACGGTGACTCCTAGGGCCTGCTCGGGAAAGAACATGAACGGATCAGTATGTATAAGGAAAGCACGCACTTTCAAGAAGAGTCCGTAGTTAAGTCGACCAAAGTGTTTGAGATGATGATCTTTTATCAAGTTCGAATGCATTACACGCATGCACAAAGGGAAATGCTTCTTGGCCATATCATCAATCATGTCGGCTGTGATGCCGTCGCCTGCCGATTCAGAGGACATTCCACTCCAGTCTGAAGCAACACCAGCCAAAAATCCCTGTGACAGATTGTTCAGTATTGGGACCAGACGTGTATCTTCATCTAGTCGTGGCAGGGATTTGGCAGTGACCTGAATTCCGTAAGGAAAAAAAAAACAGAGGCACGAAATAACGATGACGCGCACGTTCAAAGCCTTGTCTAATTGTACTTCGAACTCTTGGAACACGATACTGGCTAGTTCCCGTCCAGGGACGTAAGCCCAACCGCCCTTTAGAAAGACCTTGCGTCGGTCGACTAAATCTGGCACACGCGTCCATTTCACCTTGATACACATCATCCCCCACTCTCCTTGAAGGACCAAACTCCATACCTTGTAAAAGTTATCAGCCGCAAACGCACTCTGCCTATCAGACTCAGATTTAAGCCCATGATAGGCGGCCTTCAACTGTTCTTTGTACATTGCTTTTTCAGAATCATCGACCTAAAGTATGATCAGTGACAGGGCAACAAGAGAAAATGTGGGGAAAGATATGCACCGCTATCCACCGAAAATCTCGCGAACTCAAAAAATTTCTCCGTTCCTTCGAGTCATCAGTATCGTAACGTATCTTGAACAGTGTTGATTCTGCCTTGATAAAGCGTCGTCGAAGGTCCTCCCTTAAACGCGTCAACTTTTGAAACAAAGCAGAGTCACGACACGTACGAGCGGCAGAACGCAAGCCTCAAAACAAAGTGCCCCAGATGATCCTTCCGCCTCTCTGAATCCCTATCCACCTTCTCGGCTGACGTCGAGTTAAGTGGAAGATACTTGAAACATTGCGACACAGTCACTGCTTTGGTCTCCTCCCATGTCCGGTTACGAGCTGCAGACGACTCAATTTCTGCGAGGATTCGTAAGCGATCTAGGGCACATTCCTCGAATTCTTCAAGGGTCACGTCAAAAAGAGGAGGAGAATCGTAGCTAAGAAGAAATAAGTTCAGACTGATCGTTCCGACATGGTTTCAAACGCACAAGTTGAGCCTATGAGGGTACACAAGGTCGGAATGACTGCTGCCTTGAAATTTTGAGTCACCTGCTGCTGAAGTTCTAGCTTGCTGGTTCCTTGCTTTCCACATATCTAGGACGTAGTCACAGTCGCAAGAAATCGATGGAAACAGAAAGAGATGCAAGGTAGTGGAAGTGATGAGCTGAAATTCTTTGAAAGTTACGCACACGATGTGTCACGCGCCTGTCACGGTGCCCAATTTCAAATCAGGGCCTCAAATCCATTAATCAGGCCGTCTGAACGGTCGAAATCACTTCAATGATAATCACCTTCGCTATACTTGGTAGAGACATTGCCTGTCAAGGAACGTCCAGCTTGATACCTGCACCAGGAATAATGAATTCTCCATGGAACGTATCACTAGTACTAGCCCAGATATAAAACAATGTCTACTAAATAATACATGAGTAGGTTATTACAATACATAAATCCTCACTAGATATACATATTATGGATTACAGCACTCATGTCTCCGGGGTATTAGCTTGAATGCTTCGGACTTCCCCTGGGACTCCCTCTAGATCTTATCGGTCTCAGTCGCGGCCTATCCTCCGCTGGTTCTTCGGCCAACTCAAATACCACCCCCGGACGATTCTTCTTGCCATTCTTGCGATAACTATCCGCATTTTGCTCGCGCCATTCCCTTGTGGCAACCATAGGATCTCGAGGGGGGGGAACCTGCAAAGGGGTTTGGCTATGCATCGATGCTGTCGGAGAACCTACGACTGTATTTGGCTAGATCGAAGACTAAGTAGTGATTCTTGGAATAGTATAGTCATACGCACTGCGGTACCATCGACAGCTTCTGCCGATGCCGCTGATACTGTACGATTTCGCTTGGATGCAGCCGCAAGGAGTTTGAAAGGGGTGAAATTAGTCTTCGCTGGGCTTTTTCTACTCGCGTTGGGGATAGCAGTTGTAGTGGGCACAGAGACGGGCGGTGGTACCTTGACTCTAGACGCCAACCCCTTGCTGTGATAAGCAGATGCTGGTTCGGCGGTTTTTGAGTCACTTTTGCGGGGACCGCTCGGTTCTGGAGGCTTCCAAATCTCGTACTGCGAAGGCTGGGCCGTTTTAGATTTGAACAAGCCTAAAAAGCCTTTCTTCTTGGCTTCATGGGATTGAGAATTCATCGATGCAGAAAGTGATGTGCGAGATGGTGTTTGCTTTAAAACAGACGGTGTAAGGGACGACGGCGTTTTGAGGATAGAATCTTGCGATGGATGCCGACTCACAGGACTCGGATGGATAGGGACAACAGGGGACTGGGAGCTGCTTGGGCGGGGAGTAGAATTAATATTCGCTTGAGACGGTGCTGATATATAATTCGATGAAAGCAATACAGACGGATGGTGCTGCGATGGCGGCGCAGAGGATGAAGATGAGGGACCAGCAGCCTGTGTGGTGGGCGGAGTATGTAAAGCAGCATCCAGAGCTGTGACAGGATTTGAAGCTGAGGTTAATGGTACACCGTACCGTTGACTATATGAAGTGTACGTCTTTCCGGAGGTTCTATTCACAGCAGTTGAAGCAGGAGTTGGCGTAGAATGGGGTGCTTGAGGCGTTGTCCTTTCTTGTAAACGAGTAGAGGACTGAGGGGCCATCGCGGGGCTCATGATGGATTGCATTGTGGGGTTCCATATCATATTGTTCGACACACGGCTGTTTGATAGATTTGCCAGAGTAGCATGACGGTCACCCCCGCCGGTTCCCGAAGAGCCTACACTAATTGAATTCGCGGGTGTATACGATATCCGCTCATGTTGTAGTGGCATAATGGAGACATCCTGGATCGATGGATTTGGCCGAACACTCTCCATCCGATTTGTGGTCGGTGGTGTCGGAATAACGTCAAGTTTGGTCTGGGATAGACGTGACGTAGACAGGTCATTAGATCGTAGTATCGTGTACTGAGAAACATTATGGTTGTGGCTCTTACGCAGAGGTGGGGGCTGCGGAAAGCAATTGAGTGCTTGGGCTTCGGATATTGACAGAGGCGTCGATTTTGAGGACGAAGGCTGTACAAACCTAGCCGAAGGACTTGACGGTTTTGGTGAATATTGAACAGGTGCAGGGGGCTGCGTAGCAATGTCTGGTGCATACGGCTTTGATGGTGTCTTGGTTTCATCTACTTGACCCGCGTGCGGCTCCTCTACATGACACTCTACCACTTTTGTGGAGGTAGAAGTCAAAAGCTCTGCTAAACGTGGGTGTCTGTATACGGGTCTAGGTGTAGGCGCGTCACGCGCCGGCGCTCTTGCGGTAGTAATATCGGGTCGTGCAGAAAATGCAGGTGTTGAACTGTTTGGAAGACCATATGTCTTTATTTCCGACTTCAGCACAGAGTTACTAGTCGTCTGAGACAGACCTACGCCACGTGAAGCTGTTTCAGGGATAGATGGAAATCCTACAGCGAGTTCGACGACATCCCGTGGATCATCGGTCGTCGCAAGCTTTGGGGTACTAGATGCCTGCATGAAAGGAGAGTTGCTCGACTGGGGCATAAGACGAACTGAAGGAGTCTCCGCAGGAAACGGAGAAGATTTCTCGGTAGCAGGTGCTACGTTGATCACGGAACTGGAACTATCATGCCTCACTCGGCCCATATCATTCGCGGGAATAGCTGAAGAAGGAGAATGACGCTGGGCGTTGCTATCACCTTGATTAGGAGCGGATGAGTTTCCTGAAGGAGTCTGGATCTGAGCTTGGGAATTTAACAGCACATCCCTACGAAACTCGGATACGACAGGGCGCGTATTATCAGGGCGCAAGGACTGCGATGTTTGCACACGTGTATATCCCACGGCGGTAGATGGGCGGTGCAAAGATGCGCCGATGACGGCATTCGAGGAGGTTTGGACAGAGGTAGCAAGCGGTATTGGAATGCTGGGTATTTTATGTGGTGTCATGCCCATTGAAGTAGATGAACGTGGTAGAGAAAGTCCGATGTTCATATTTGGCACAACACCAGGTATACGACCATCGACACGCGTAACCGGTGGTACATTAGCATCATTGGCACTGAAATTCTCTTTGTTCACGTAGATCGAAGAGTGTTGGTTTGTATCAACAGCGCCTGTACTGTTCAGTCGTTTGTGCTTCTAATAACCCATCAATAATAGCAATGATAATGCTAGGCTTGGGACGCACCGGAGATGATTCATCGATGATACTCGGAAAGGCCATGGGCTTAATAGAACTGTCATTGGTAGAATTACTAATCTGGCGTTCTTGTGAAGTGATTGGTACAGAAGATGGATTAATCTCCCTAGTTTGCTGCTCCATGGGCGAATTCTTAGGTGACACCCTGGTATCGGACTTGGAGGTGCTTGATAATGCTAGGATTATCGCTGCGTTAGGATATGCTTCGGCTCGGCCATTTAGAGTTCCAGATGTCGGTTCAGGACGGAGAACCTATATAAAGTCATTATAAAGTTACACCACCCGAGGAAATGGAAACCTCTTGCCTTGTCTTTCTCATTTGAAGTCAACGAAGGAACATTTCTTGGAGTAATGGAATCCTTGCTTCTTGACTTACGCGCAAACTTGGAAACTCGGGAAGTTGAATCTGTCTCAGCGCTGGCGGGAGCAATTGTGGCAGGTGCTTGCGATTGCGTCGACGAAGCTGTGGGTACAGATGATGAAGTTTGTTGGATGTTCGATTCCAAACCTCTAAGACCAGAAAGGGGCTTAGGTGTTGCCGATTGGATTGGTGGCTGTGGCTGGGAGATAGAAACAGGAGTGCTAGGGGCACTGGGTGCAGGCAAAGGTGTGACAATGTTAGTTCTTGGGACCTGAGCAGGTAGCTGTTCTGGTACAAGTTTTTCGGGAGGCGTTGATCTGGACAGGGGTACAGTAATAAGTATTTCCGTTTGATCTTGCACCTCACGGGTACCCAAGGCCACTGGTGTGCGTGACATCCCAGAGAGACCTATAGTAGACTTTTCGATACCTGGAGGACCTTTGTTGACGCCGACAGCATTTGGCAACTTTTCAAGCATAGAGGCAGAAGCAGAGTTTTGCGACCTTCCCTCTGTGGAGAGGTTGGTGCGGTCGACTGGAATCTTCATTACCTTCGGGTTCAGCATGCTGAGAAAATGGAAGTAAAGTACATACATCTTTGCGAGGCGTGTCCCAAGTTGGTTTCTGAGAGTCAGGAGTAGCTTGGAACGACAGAAGCATGGAAGGAGATACCGGACGAATGGGAGGTTCGCGGCCCAAACTTGATGGAACGATTTCATGGATCTTCATTCTCTAAAGAAGCGTTAAAGACAATCTCAAGGAGGACATCGAACACTTACCACAGTATTTCCTTCATCAATAGTTCGATGCCTTCGGTGTCTGTGCGCCACCGGTCGGGGCTTAGAGCTATCAGAACTGTCACCCTCTTCATAAGAGCGCGTTGGCATTGGGACTCCACGAAATTTGTGCTCGAGCTCCCGTGCTGGCTCTGGTGGCATCGGTCTACTAGCATCGCGCACCCTTGCGCGCATTCTTTCTCTCTCAGACTGCCGGACTTCGGAACTGAGATGCCTTGAGCTCTCTGCCTTCTTGTACCGCTCCGAATCACTGTGCCAATGTCTATCCGTCTCCAGGTTTCTCTCCCGCCGCTTGTCCTCCTTCTCTCTCAACCGTTCTCGTTCCCCATCATCCTCTCTCCTTCGGTCCCGGGTTTTCTCTGGCTTGTCGCGCGTTCTTTGACCTTCGTCGTCTGTATGGTTAGACTTTTCTCCTGGTCTTCGCGAAGATGAACCTGCTGGATCATGAAATTCTGCGACTTTCTTGGTGACTTTCTCCCGTTCTCTCTCCCTCTCTCTCCCTCGACTTTCCCTTTCTCTGTGTTTCCTAGACGAGGCCGATGCAGATATCGGGATCCCAGCCTCCATGGGCTCGTGTGCCTTCTTTCCATCCCTCTCTTTCTCCCTCTCTTTGTCGCCGTCCCTCTCTCGATGTTTCCGAGGTAAAGTATGTCCCACATCTGGTCCTAAGATTGAGTTTGGAGGGAGTATTACACCCGCGGGATCAGTTCGACTACGCGAATGACCGCGTCTATCGCTAGGTTTCTCGGTGGAGGATCTGACTGAGTCCTGGGGGGGTATCCAAAATTCGGGATGCGTGGAATTCGACACGGTCTTGATGCGGGAATGGCTCTGCCTGATCGGCTTGGAATTCAACCAAGAGCTGATCTCAATATTGGAGGTCGGCATTGGATCGCTAGGTCTTAAACTGCCTTGCATCGTAGAGGATTGTCTCGGGACTGTCGGTGCAGGAGTTGGTGACTTAAGAAAAGCAGAACTGACATTGCTTGCCGGTGGAGGACGTGACGCGTGAGGCTCGACAACGGGCGGCGGTGCAGGATAACTGGGCGACGTAGCCGAACCTTTGGTAACAGGTGTCTCCCTGACCAGAGCGATATGAGATAGGTGCAACGCGGGGACTGACTGGGGATCTGGTCGCCGACTGCTGCGTTGCTTGCCGTCGTCCTGGGCGATTTTTTGCCTAATATCGGTAGGCTCTGGCTGCCTCGAGGTATTCTGACGAGATGAATCGCCACCTGTTGGCAGCCAGCTCCTGTGATGTTCGGATTTTTTCTTCACGGTCGACTTTGGGGCTGGTGCTTCTGGGACATGTTTGCGGTGAAAGAAACTCTTCATTCAAGTCTCCTGGATGTCTTGAACTGGACTGCCACTTCCCCTGCGAAAAAAAGGACGAATCGGCAAAGAAATGGTGAGGAAAAGGCAAAGTTGGTGGTATCGACATGAGGCGAACCCAAATGAACCCCGCTTTAGGCGACATCAAGCCAGCAAGCCGATCACAACTGTACAGAGCCCGAGAGGGCAACGTCCTCGGCGATGTAGACTGAAACATTTCGCCTTTTAGCATCGTCAGAGCAATCTCTTTGGGGCCAACATCATGTATATCATTCTACTAAGTACATGCATTACATTGAGTAAATCTGTAAGCCTACTTCGTTCGAGTGTCATTGAGCAGTAAAAAGCGACAGCGACCTTTGGAAACGAAGAGGCAACGCCAATTGAGAGTGAAGTAGCACCTGGATGGTCATAAAACCTGACCATCCCGGCGCTTAGCTACCGGTTTCAAAACGAGCGCAGCAGTCGAACACCCCCTAGAAGCCTTCTGTTACACGATGTTGACTCATTACCGACAGTGGACAGCGGAAAGGCTGGCGAAGTCCTGTTAAAAAACAAGGATATCCTGTTGAGACAATTTAAGGATCGTGACTGAGTGAAAAGGAAAATAGGAAAACGGACCAATTTGTACCCGGAGGATGCCGGAGATGGCATTTGTCAGCATTTGTGGCAATTCCAGAGTCACTTGGTAAGGCTCAACACCCTACGTATCTAACATCCAGTCTCTCCAACTCTGTCATCCACGTCTTGCTGTAAAGGTCCTTCATTAATCAAGGCCTGGGACCATACCTTAGATTTACCTGTTCCAGGGCATGGTGCGTCGCTATCTTTTATCCGACATCTCTCATGTTGACCGCCGCCTCGTCTTTATTTACAGACCGACAATATGGATGTTCTAGACGAGAAAGTAAACGGAGGCCCCCCCCTTGAAGTCAACGAGGTTATTTCTGTTCGAGATCGTATGTCATTCTACGTTTCCCTCTTCTTTGCGCATATCTCATCTCAAATCGTGGCAGATGAGGCATTCGCCACCAAACACCTCCCTGACATGGGCTACGATGTCAAAGACTTTCAAGTTTCTCATTGGCGGGTAGGAAACTGGAAGAAACTCGACAAGAAACTCACAGGTCCAGAGTTTGAATGCGGCGGTCATAAATGGTGTGTCGCCTATCTGACATCTTTCTGTTGCATCATCCTCAGCTTGATCATTTGCATTTCAGGCGTATACTACTTTTCCCATTTGGAAACTCTAATGCCCCTCCAAATGATACCGTGTCTGTCTATCTTGACTATGCGGACCCTAAGAAGGCCCCCGAGGGCTGGCACGCATGTGCACAGTTTGCACTCGTTATATCAAATATTAATGACCCTACTGTGTTCACCGTCAGCCGTGTGTATGAGCCATTTCTTCCGGTGCTCAAAGCTGACTATTGCTTATAAGATGCTCATCATCGATTCATCGCTGAAGAATGCGACTGGGGTTTCACCCGGTTTAGTGAACTGAAAAAGCTGTTCTCTAAGCAGGAAGGTCATACTCGACCCATAATCGAGGAAGATTCTGCAGATATATCTGTCTTCGTGCGCGTTCTGGAAGATCCCACTGGTGTGCTTTGGCACAATTTTGTCAAGTGAGGATGCACGTTTCCATTCTTTACCTAGGACTTATTTCCCTTGTCCAGTTATGATTCGAAAAAGGAGACAGGATTTGTAGGTTTAAAGAACCAGGGTGCGACCTGCTACATGAACTCGCTGCTCCAATCGCTCTACTGCACTCGATATTTCCGTCGAGTATGTTGCGTCTCGTTTTGGCGGTATCTGCTTATCAAATCCTGTCCTTCAGGCTGTATATCAAATTCCTACAGAGGATGACCATCCGACTGAGAGTGTTGCCCTCGCTCTACAGCGTGTGTTCTATCATCTTCAAACCTCCGACCAACCCGTAGGTATGTAACCGGTTTGGCTTCAAGTTATAGGCTTCGTTGTAACGACACGTCTCAGGCACAACTGAGTTGACCAAGTCCTTTGGTTGGAAGTCGTTGGATTCTTTCTTACAACATGATGTTCAAGAGTTCAACCGGGTCTTACAAGATAAGTTGGAGTCTAAGATGAAGGTCTGTCCATCTCTCAAAACATTATGGATATCCTTCTTACGCTCTGCTAGGGTACTATAGCAGAAGGCGCTATTGCAAAGCTCTTTTTAGGAAAGATGAAAAGCTATATCAAGTGCGTCGGCGTGAATTACGAGTCATCAAGGAGCGAAGAGTTCAATGGTACGATTTTCCCCCAATCGTCAATGGCGTGTTAAGCTGATTGTGCGCAGATATTCAACTCAATGTCAAGGGCATGAAGAACCTTTATGAGTCCTTCAAGGATTACGTAGCTGTCGAAACTCTGGACGGAGAGAACAAATACCAAGCCGAAGGTTATGGCCTTCAAGATGCGAAGAAAGGCATAATCTTTGAGTCCTTCCCACCCGTTTTGCATCTCCAGCTCAAGCGGTTTGAGTACGACATCCAGCGTGATGCCATGGTCAAAATCAATGATCGCCATGAATTCCCGTTTGAGATTGACCTCGCCGAATTTTTAGATCCTTCAGCGGATCGATCGAAACCTTGGTTGTACAAGCTTCATGGAGTCTTGGTGCATTCGGGTGACCTTCATGGCGGACATTACTTTGCTTTGATCAAGCCTGATCGTGAAACGCGGTGGTTAAAGTTTGACGATGATCGTGTGACACCCGTTACCGACAGGGAGGTCTTGGAGGAGAATTACGGTGGGGAAGTATTAAATGGTATGCATCAGGGTTTACAGCAGCGAAATCAGACCCGTGCAGTGAAACGTTTCACAAACGCGTATATGTTGGTGTACATTAGGGAATCGGCCATTGATGAAGTACTACCTCCGTTCACGGAGGAGGATACCCCTGCTCATCTCAGTAAGTTCATTTTTCCAAGCGAAAATCATATCTAATCATTTGTAGAGCGACGACTGGACGAGGAGCGGTTACAGATTGAAGCCAAGAAACGAGAAAGAGAAGAGCAACATCTGTTCTTAACTGCAAAAGTGAGCATCTTATCGTGCCTTGGCTTTCTGGATCTAATGAGATTTGTAGGTCATAACTGATGACACTTTTGCTCATCACGAAGGTTTTGATTTGGCCACGTTTGATGACAAGAACTGGCCGCCCTCTGAATTGCCGAGCTTCCGCGTCTTGAAACAGGAAACATACAAAGTCTTTAAGGCTCGGGTCGCTCAACATTTTCATTATCCGGAAAATCAGATTCGTTTATGGGTTCTTGTTAATCGACAAAATAAGACCGTGCGGCCTGATACGCACATTCCTGAGAACGAGCCAACCTTGAGTAAGTTTAGAAAGACTATATTTATGACGTGGACTTCTAGCTCACAAATATCTATTCTAGCTGTTGAGGTGATCCGTAATAATATGGCGGCAAGACAAACCGATCTTCGCTTATATTTAGATGTCATTCCTGATCCAACCAAGGTAAGCAGCATCCATAACTTGTTATGATATCTAATTTTCTCGTAGGCCGATATTCCTCCACAATCCATTATGGTCTTTCTGAAGCACTTCGACACGTCAAAGCAAACGCTACTAGGAGCTGGGAAGGTTTACATGCTACGAACAAGTAAAGTCGGCGATTTAGTTGCTCTGATCAACGAACGGATGCGGTGGACGCCAGGGACGCCAATCAAGTTGTATGAGGTATGTCTACGTTACCTGAGCAGTCTTGTTTTCAGTTATCTGACTCGACCCTGTCAGGAAATTAAACCTGGCATGATCGAAGCAATGAAACCAAAGATGACATTCGCCCAAAGCGAGATTCAAGATGGGGATGTGATTTGTTTCCAAGTTGATTTACCGGATAAGGAGTGAGTCTACCGCTATCGTACAGCAGTGTATGTACCATTGATACCACGACAGGATTCACGACCTTGAGAGCCAAGGTCTTCACTCCAATCCCATGGGATACTACGATTTCTTGCAAAACCGGGTCATGATTATCTTCCGACCCAAGATAGACGAATCCGATCCCGAATTCAATTTGGTCTTGAGCAAGAAGCACAATTATGACACGGTGAGATTTCCCCACACGTTTTCGCAGCTTGTCTGACGGAGTTATGTAGATGTCTATGAAAGCCGGTGAATATCTACGACACGATCCAATTAAACTACGATTCACGACAACTCATGCTACTAACGGTCAACCCAAATCAATTCTCAAGCGGTCTTTGAACCAAAGCGTGGGAGAAATCATGACGCCCTATTACACCACAAGTACAGTCATTCTCTATGAGAAGTTGGACGTCAGTATAGTTGAGCTGGAGACCAAGCGAAGTCTAAAGGTTGTGTGGACGGGTATTCACAACAAGGAGGAGGCATCCCATTCCTTCTTACTTCCCAAAACCAGCTCTGTGCACGACTTGGCAGAAAATCTTGCGAAGCTTGTGACGTTGACGCCAACGGGTACAGCGAAAATCCGGGTCTTCGAGATATCGAAGGATGGAAAGACACAGAAGGAGTTTACCGGCTCAGAAATGATAGGGAACATTCCTGACCCAGTGGAGCTCTTTGCCGAGGTATTACACGCTTCTATCCAGTCAACTTTTCTCATGACGTTCATTCTAGGAAATTCCTCGAGAAGAACTAGAAGCCGATGACTCCGACAAGGTCATTGGTGTCTTCCACTTCTCGAAAGAGGTTTCTCGTACGCACGGAGTGCCTTTCAAATTTGTTGTGAAGCGGGTGAGCTTATTTCTACCCTTTTAAGGTCGAAGATGATTTATGATGTCTTAGGGCGAGAAATTCGCTGACACGAAAAAGCGACTACAAGCACGGATAGGTGTATCTGATAGAGATTTGACCAAATATCGATTTGCCTTGATCCAAGTGTCTACGTTCAAGCAACCATCATACATCGAAGATGGTACGCATCTTCTGTTCCCCACAACAATGCTTAGTATTGATGGCGTCTTCATCGCAGATGATACCATCTACGAACATCAGTTTGCGCCGGAAGACGTGCTCGGCCTTGACCATGTAGACAAATCCGGGAAAACAAGATCAGGTGCTGGAGAGAAAGCAATCGTAATCAGAGGATAAATATGGATCTGTGTTATTCTTGCGTTTTCGTTCGTCAGGGAACCTTTGTTACACATCTCATTCACGCTATTTCTTCCCGTTCATCATTGTACATTTCTCGCTCACTCGTCAATTACAGTAAATTTCTCAGCTTTTGCTATGTAAAATGGAATTATTATTGCGCCAGGCCTATATGAGTGGGGAAATAAATAATTGTGGTATCCTTATTGAGGTCACTTGCGTTTCTTATTTTTCCTAGCCTGTCCACCAAGAGGTTAGTGGTGAATCTTACTCAGGACGGCCAATGACGTACATTCTTTGACACGAATTTTTGGGACCCCTCACCGTCACTGGAGGCAACGCTTTCGGCACTGTTGCTGGGGAGTGGTGGTTGGAGACTATTCGTTGACTTTGGGCTTGTCGCGCTTATAGACGCCGCGGATGCTTTGGGGGAGTTAGATGAAGGGGCTGTCGATGCCGGTGGAGGAAGCGTAGGCAGAGCATGTGCCTTCACGCCGTATTTCAGTTCTACCAACAAATTAGCATTTGAAAGGGAAAGTCAGGAAACAGACTTACCCAAATCCACCTTGTTGTTTGAAATCTGCTCAAAGGTTGCCCGAATTTTATCGTTGGCAATAATTTCATTTGCTGTCCCAAAGATCATTTGGCCCCAGCCTTCCAAGAAAGAGTTTGCCTCGGTGACGACCTCCATAACTTCGCCTTCGAGTTCTCTCTCCGCAGCAAGCAGGCTGTTCCAAAGATCATCACCTACGGATCCTTTTTGAAGCAGGTTCTGAAGTGCAGGTTTATCCTCCCTAACGCGAATGACTCGATACACATCCGCGACTGCTCGACGGACAAGAGCAGCTTTGAGCAGCGCGTCCGGAGTTGGCGGGTCAGTTTTTTGGAGAAGAGTTACATAGGTATTTCGTTCTGGATGCGAAGAAAAGTATGGTTCAAATGTCTGCGCTACGAAACGCGGTCACGTAAGTCTTATCTTGTCCGTCAGAAGAGTGGATGAAAGAGATACCTGACGTGTGTTTGCGGTAATAGTGACTGAAGATGAACAAGGCTCCGAACACAACGATGATATATGCAAAAGGAACGAGAATGGAAGCCATTATCAAAAAGCGTCCGGCGTCGTTGATAGCGTTGCAATTAAGGAGACGAGGATAGCTGGCGGCAGCATATTCCCACTGCCAACGTGTACACTTGTAATTTGCAATGCTATTTTGCCATATTTGTTTCCCAAGGCGACAACCTGATGACGTACGTCGGGAAGCCCGCAGATATTTCCGGTTATCTTTTTTGCAATTACCCCGGATTATAACGGGGCAGTCTGGCACAGTTTGGGGTTAACGTTGAAGCATAATTCGAGTATAAAAAGGGCTCCCCGCATCCCCCCCACATCCCCCCCAACTTGTGCTCCAACCACCACCTTCTCTCTACTCAAAATGATGCGCCAGACTTGTATCCGGATGCCTGCGCGTCCTATCGCTGCCAGGTTGTACTGCAGATCCCTCTCCACACAGGTGACCTTACTTACGTCCCCGCCGTTCGACACGCTCACTGATCGACGCAGTCCCTCAAAGATGCTATAAAGGAGACCATTCCTGTCAAGCAAGAGCAGCTCAAGCGCATTGTATGTCTCCTTCACGCTCCGTCGCGTCCCCAAAGTCATCTAAGTCATTGTTCAGAAAGCCCAGCATGCCGGCACGACGATTGGAGAAGTCAAGGTACGAGTCGGATGATGCTATCCATCAGTCATGAGCCCAACCCATCTACCTCTCAGGTCGAGAACGTAATTGGTGGTATGAGAGGTCTGAAAGCTATGCTTTGGGATTCATCTGTGTTGGATCCCGAAAAGGTGACATATAACCCCCCCTCGTTTGACAACGGCTTCGTTCCCTGACAGATATCGACATAGGGAATTCGTTTCCATGGACTATCCATTCCAGACTGTCAGCAGCAACTTCCAGCTGCTCCAGGAGGCAAAGAAATGATTGCCGAAAGCATGCTTTGGCTTCTGCTCACCGGAAAGGTTCCGTCTGAAGCCCAGACGCGTACTCTTTCTCGTGATCTTGTCGAGCGCGGAACGCTACCCAACTATGTGGAGAAACTAATTGATTCGTGAGCATTGACCCCATCGTGCCTGTCTAGACTAACCTTTGGATATGAAATAGCTTACCGGCAACGCTGCACCCAATGACACAACTGGGAATGGGTGTCGCCGCATTAAACCATGACAGTTTATTCCAAGCAGCTTACGAGAAGGGAATTAAAAAGTCTGAATATTGGGAGGCAACTCTTGAGGACTGTCTCAACCTCATCTCGCGTCTTCCTGCCCTAGCCGCCCGAATCTACCGCAATGTCTACAATCCCGGTAAAGCTATGGAAAGCCTCGACAAGAATTTGGATCTTGTCGGTAAGCCAAGTCTATGGCATATCCTTGACGCGTCCAATCTCCTTTGTAGGAAATTATGTCCGCCTGCTAGGATTCGGGGACAATCACAGTCTAACCGAATATTTGCGGCTATATATCGCTCTCCATGGTGATCATGAGGGAGGAAACGCGTCTGCTCACACCGCTCGTATGTATTATTGATCATTGCCAAGGCCTCCACTGATGCTACCAATTCATTCTAGACTTGGTAGGATCCACCCTGTCGGATCCGTACTTATCTTATTCGGCGGCGCTCTTCGCCCTGGCCGGTCCCCTCCACGGGTAAGTTCTCTACAGTCGGAAGTGGACACGGCCTGACGCGTTTTCTCTGTAGCTTGGCGAATCAGGAGGTTCTTCGATGGCAAATGGCTATGCAAACGGAGATCGGCAGCGATGTCACTCATGACAGGATCAAAGAATATTTGTGGAAGACCCTCAAGAGCGGTCAAGTGGTACCTGGGTATGATCGATGTCTATTACTGTTCAAAAATTCGAATCTGATGATTATTTGTTCAAGATACGGTCACGGTGTCTTGCGTAATCCAGACCCTCGCTTCATAGCCCTCCAACAGTTTTGTGACTCCAAACCCGAACTGCAGGACAGTCCAATTATCCAGCTTGTGAAGAAGGTACGCGAAGGACCGTAAATCAACTCCGAGTGCTAAATCGTCCTACATCATAGACCTATGAAGTTGCTCCCGGCGTACTGAAAGAGCACGGCAAGGTATACGACAATCCTCCTTTTGTCGGGACAACAATGATGCTTATGAAATGTAATACTTAGACCAAAAATCCTTACCCTAATGTTGATGCGACGTCCGGTAAGAACGCATCCTCTGTTCGGCTCCACCTGGGTACTGATTCCATGAACAGGTTGTGTTTTGTACCACTATGGTCTCACCCAATTCAAGGTAATTTCAACACTACTGTTTTGCATCAATCCAACTCAATGTCTTCCAGTATTACACTGTGATATTTGGTGTTTCCCGAGGTTAGTCAAATGTTTGGGTCTTGAATAGCCCGGTAATCTGACTTGGCATCAAGCTCTGGGTTGTATAACACAGCTTGTTTGGGCTAGAGGTGTGTTGCTCAAATTTCAGTACATTGCGTACTTCAGTTGACTGACTTCTACTCTCACAGCACTTGGTTTGCCTTTGGAAAGACCCAAATGTAAGGATCTCGTTCTCCCTGTCTTGCGATGCTCTAACCTTCTCTGTAGCCCTCTCTTTGGATGCCATCGAGAAGTTGGCAAAATCTGCTTGAACGACATGTAACATAATCATACTGAAATGGCAATGACCGTGGTGTTGAATTGCCACCTCATACCTAAGAATTACAATTACACGTCCATCGATCTTGAAAGAGAGAAAGAAAGTACACGATATAGGGCACAAGATGTGATAGTAATACTTCATAAACCCAGTATAAAGTGATAGATAAGGGTATCCGGATGCACAAGCGTTGCGAGGAACAGTCTCTAGTGCTAAAACCTCCGTACTTGCTGAGGGCCTTGTCCATGATGGTGAGAGGGCATCTGCTGCTGCTGTGTAGGACCAGACATCATCTGTTGGGGTGGACGGCCATGCGCCCCTGGCATATGACCGGGGCCTGGTGGCATGCCAGGACGCATCTGAGTCGGAGGAGGTCGGCCATGTGGGCCAGGGCCAGCACCCGTGGGGTAGCCTTGAGCTTGAGGCAGAGCTCCATATCCTGGTCCAGAAGGTCCTTGTCCTGGAGGAAACCCGCGCTGGGGCATTGGTTGACCTTGGAATCCAGGCCCCGGGTTCACGTGAGGGGGTAAGGTATTGGCGTGTTGAGGGGTAGGGCGTGGCTGAGGAGGAGGCATATTCACAGGTGGTCGTTGCGATGTGTTTGTGGCAGGACCAGGATCACGAAGAGAAACAGGGGAGGGTCGGCCTCCGTTTGTTATCGGAGGTTGTTTAGTGGGGTTCTTTTCCGCAGCTTTGACAATTTCATCGCTGCGAAGACATAAGATGATATGCAGTAGACAGACAATGAAAAATATTTTAGAACATACTCAAGCAGATTGAGAGCGGCGCAAAGAACGACCCATTCGACGCAATCCTCATTCCCTTCGCCCAAAGTCTGCCAAACAGCCTTTTCTTCCGCAGTCTTGCCAGTGATGCTGATCCTTGTTCCGCCACCGTTAGGTCCGGGAGGATTCTTCTGTATCTTTCCAAACTCGATGCGCTTGGGGGGTATATTATGGCCAGCATAAGCAAAGTAGAACATGCTCCAGAACGCCGCATTAGGATTTGGCTTTGAGATCTGAAATAACGGTAGATCCGCTGAATCTGGGGAAGGCAGCGAAAGCTTGTATATGGGAGAAATGACGCCGGTATTGGCAATTGACCATTTAAGGTTGCGAGAGGCTTCACAGCGTACAACGCGCGAGCCTGACGACGATGAATGACCGGGATCTGATGCTGAAGCCTTGCCGATATCTTTTGGGCGAGGGGGGAACAGCTTAGCAACGCAAAGATCACCTTGTGGCGACGGCGTTAAGAGATAGTTCTCGGAATTCTATGGAAGTATGACAACGAGGTAAAGTCAAAAGACGAAGATACGCACAAAGTTCGTGTGCAGATAAGAGTACAAGATATTGGAAGGCTGGCCTGCACGATATAAGCCAAATACCCGGTCGTCGAAAGCGGTTAGAACCTACCATGAGGAGTAACGATGAGGGTTGGTAGGTGATCCGGGATAGGTGGGTGGGTGGGTGAGGTATAGACTGAGTATATTGCTGCAAAGGAGTCAGGAAAGGGGCCAATATAGATGCTGTAGGGCGGTACTTGCCTGCCATCCGTGTCGCGATGATGATTGTCAGAGGTCAAGGTCACTTTCGCAGCAGCTGCAGGAATCTGTCACGGTCACGCTTTGTCACAATTGTCACGGATCTGCTCCATCGACTTTCCATCGATCCAAGCACTCAACGACGCCAGCAGTTGCACCCTTTACTGGCATATCAGTGTCTTCCTTTCTACCATGAAGGGCCTCAAGAAAACATTGGTATGATTTCCAGCTTCTCTCAGCGCGTATCTTATCGTCAACGGCGTATAGCTCAACCGGAAAGGCTCCCAAACGTCGCAGGAAAGCCCATCCAAGAAGGAGTCCAAAGCGAATCATTCCTCTGCGCCTTTACCGCCGCCACCCAATACAGCAAAGCCGCTCCCTGTTCTAGGTGGCTCTGCCGTTGCCAGTGCTCTAAATACGCAACCGCGGTCTGCTTCGCCAGCTTCCACAAGTCCAAGCGTTCCAGATCGCAGACAGTCTGCTGAAGCGCCAGCACCTCCCTCAATTGTCGTCGTCAGCTCCGATAATGGACATGATCCTGTTCATCGTCCTCCTCATTTCGGCGGTCAGCCAGAGAGACATCCCCCTCCTGATGCAATACCACCACGCGCAACCCTCAATCGTCTCCGGGCTGGTCCTAAGGATACTATACCAATCGTCGGGAAACCTCCGAGGAAGCAAAGAAGCAGTCGTTTTGTTGTTACCGAGAGGGTTGAGATTGAACGGTTGCCTCCATTCATGGGTTCGGTTTCACATTCGTCCTTCCTTACGCCATCCATTCATTTTCGTGCTTAGAAACTGCTCCAAGTGAACGTCCTCAGTTATTTATACGAAAGCTCCATCAATGCCGCGTCTTGTTTGATTTTAATGACGCAAGCTCGGAACTGAAAGGCAAGCAGATTAAGGCCCAAACTCTACACGAGATGCTGGAGTACATCACTACTCAGAGGGGCGTCATCACTGAGAGTGTATACCCGGAAGTTGTCAATATGGTTCGTTTTCACCACTCAGTTCAGTTGTGCCATGCTTATGCCAGCTTTTCCAGTTTGCTTCCAACCTCTTCAGATCCATACCCCCACCTGTAAATCCGACTGGTGATGCTTTTGACCCTGAAGAAGATGAACCGGTTCTTGAACTTGCATGGCCGCACCTTCAAATCGTTTACGAGTTCTTTCTGCGTTTTATCGAAAGCCCTGATTTCAACACAAATATGGCTAAACGCTACATCGACCAACCTTTCGTCCTCAATCTTCTTGAACTCTTTGATTCTGAAGATCCTCGGGAGCGCGACTTTCTCAAAACTACACTGCATCGCATCTATGGAAAATTCCTTAACCTCCGCGCCTTCATACGACGGTCTATCAACAATGTATTCTTCCATTTCGTCTACGAAACTGAACGGCACAATGGTATTGCGGAGCTACTGGAAATTCTAGGGTCTATCATCAACGGTTTTGCGTTGCCTCTCAAAGAAGAGCACAAGATCTTCCTTACTCGGGTGCTCATTCCGCTACACAAGGTGAAAAGCCTTTCGCTGTACCACCCGCAATTGGCGTATTGCGTTGTTCAGTTTTTGGAGAAGGATCCAGCATTAGCCGAAGAAGTTATGATGGGCTTGTTGAAGTACTGGCCAAAGGTGAATTCACCAAAGGAAGTCATGTTCCTAAACGAAGTAGAGGAAGTTCTGGACGTGACGGATCCGGTCGAATTTCAAAAAATACAGGTTGCCCTTTTCCACCAGCTTGCTCGCTGTATCAACAGCCAACACTTCCAAGTGGCTGAGCGGGCACTGTTGTATTGGAATAATGAGTATGTTGTGAACTTAATGAGCGACAATCTTGCCATCATTCTGCCGATTGTGTTCCCTGCGCTGTATACTAATTCAAAATCCCACTGGAATCGGTGAGTGCCCTAGAGCATACGTTTAGATTTTCCACTAAATGCACCATTAGAACGATCCATGGAATGGTGTACAATGCATTGAAGTTATTCATGGAGATCAACCCCGATCTTTTCGACGATTCAATGCAACAGTTCAAGGAGAGGCAGTACAGGTAAGCGCCTGAGACTCAATCTGGACCTTGATTCTTACCCGTCGACCAGAGAACAACAGCATGCTGTTGACCGTTACAACGCGTGGCAGAAGATGCGGGAAAAAGCGCTGCGCAACGCTCCCGGAGGCAAGATGCCTGTAGGCTATCACGAAATTCCGCATGTGCCTCCACCACCCCCACCGACCGTCGACGACAACGATATTATGGATCTATCTATGGAGCTCAACGCGGCCTCAATTGATGATGTAACGGGTGATCTAGACGAACGCGGGATTGAGCGGGTACCTATGGCGGATCCAGGATTGGACGTATGTTGATTTGCCTGCGTACGCTGGAGACATCAGTCTTACTTGGCGTGATTTAGCGAACATATCCCGACGTCGGGACCACTGAACTAACATCAGGTCAAAGCCCACATGTGCGGCGCAAAAGTGTTCTCCCAGGTGCGTGCCTCTTTTTTTAAACTAGGATCAGTCGTTGTCAACGATTGTCTTCAGTTGATCCCAGTGTGTTACGCGACTTGCAGGCACATCGAAGCCTTGACGATGTTGCAGGTCAGAACATAACTGATGGCGGGATGGGATCGTACCCGGGAGCATCGAGTTACTCATGAACCGTTAAGGTTTCCGGGACCCATTCCTGGCGGCTCTTCCATGAACATTGCTATTTCACCTGTTAAAAACCGATACCTTCATGACCTTTGTCATTATTTTACCTTCCTTGTCTCCCGTAATCCTGATTCATCGATTGTATGCCTCTTTTCAGTTCCCTTTGGAAAACTTTGTACTTTACCCGTGCTGTTGGCCTTGCATAAAGCTTCTTCGGTCTCTCTTTTTCTCTCTGATAGTAGCTTACACGTAGTACATCTAGAATCATAGCTGCTTTGAGCTGGATGTGCCACTGTAATTGAGGGTTTGCGAAAGAGCAGGAAGACGCCGGAAAGTTGTAGAAGGGAATAGAGTCACACGAGGTGACATCAGATATATCACGTGTACAAGAATGGCTATAGAAGGTTCTGTACGTTTCTGCATTATTCTGTCAAGTTCTGGCGGTCGATGAAATATAAAAACAAGATTCTCGTGCGCCTTTCTCCTTCACATCTTGCCCCCCGCATTTTTTTCTTCACCACCTCCATTGCATAGGTTCGTCACTCGACAACCGACTCGACTGCATCCTTAGCGTTCCCGTAGACATTTATCTTTAACCATGTCGTCGTCAAAAGCTATCGGTATTGATCTGGGTACCACTTACTCGTACGTGTCTCCAAAAAAAAATTTCCCCTTTCGTTTTCATGACCTTTTTACTACAGCTGTGTCGGTGTCTGGCAGAATGACCGTGTTGAGATCATCGCCAATGACCAAGGTAACCGGACGACACCTTCGTATGTCTCCTTCTCCGACAACGAGCGTCTCATCGGCGATGCTGCCAAGAACCAAGTCGCCATGAACCCCCACAACACGTATGTGGTCTCGAGTTCCTTTTCAAGTCGGTACTCATAGATCATACACAGCGTCTTCGATGCAAAGCGTCTCATTGGACGCAAGTTCCAAGACGCGGAAGTGCAGGCTGATATCAAGCACTTCCCTTTCAAGGTCTTTGACAAGGGTGGAAAGCCGTACATTCAGGTTGAATATCGGGGTGAACAGAAGGATTTCGTATGTGGTTTCACTGCTACATTCATTTATGTTTGCTCATCTTTTCTCTAGTCCCCCGAAGAAATTTCATCCATGGTCCTTCTTAAGATGAAGGAGACCGCGGAGTCTTACCTCGGCACTACCATCAATAACGCCGTCGTTACTGTCCCTGCTTACTTTAACGACTCTCAACGTCAAGCTACCAAGGATGCTGGAACCATTTCTGGCATGAACGTCCTTCGTATCATCAACGAACCCACAGCTGCTGCCATTGCCTACGGTCTTGATAAGAAGGTGACCGGTGAACGCAACGTCCTCATCTTTGATCTTGGTGGAGGAACTTTTGATGTGTCCCTCTTGACCATCGAAGAGGGTATCTTCGAAGTGAAGGCCACTGCTGGTGACACTCACTTGGGTGGTGAGGACTTCGATAACCGTCTCGTCAATCATTTCGTCCAGGAGTTCAAGCGAAAGAACAAGAAAGGTATGTTTTCTATACGTGTTCACAATAGCTAGCTAATGATATTTCTCCAGATCTTTCCTCTAACCCTCGTGCTCTCCGTCGTCTCCGTACCGCTTGCGAACGTGCAAAGCGTACTCTCTCATCTGCCGCCCAGACTTCGATCGAAATCGACTCTCTCTTTGAGGGTATCGACTTCTACACTTCCCTTACCCGTGCTCGTTTCGAGGAGCTGTGTCAGGACTTGTTCCGAAGCACCCTCGACCCTGTCGAGAAGGTTCTTCGGGATTCCAAGATCGACAAATCCAACGTACACGAGATCGTCTTGGTCGGCGGTTCCACTCGTATCCCCCGTATCGTCAAGCTCGTGTCTGACTTCTTCAATGGCAAGGAGCCCAACAAGAGCATCAACCCTGACGAGGCTGTTGCTTACGGTGCGGCCGTGCAGGCTGCTATCCTCTCTGGTGACACTTCGGAGAAGACCCAGGATCTCCTGCTTCTCGATGTTGCCCCCTTGTCTCTCGGGTGAGTTACCTCTTTCTTTCCTCAGCAATACACATTTCTGAGTACTTTTTCTTTAGTATCGAGACCGCTGGTGGCGTCATGACTGCCCTTATCAAGAGGAACACTACTGTTCCCACTAAGAAGTCGGAAACCTTCTCCACCTACGCTGACAACCAGCCTGGTGTGTTGATCCAGGTGTTTGAAGGTGAACGTGCTCGCACCAAGGACAACAACTTGCTCGGTAAATTCGAACTCTCTGGTATCCCCCCCGCTCCACGTGGTGTCCCTCAAATTGAGGTCACCTTTGATATTGATGCCAATGGTATCTTGAACGTGTCAGCATCTGACAAGACCACTGGGAAGTCGAATCGCATCACTATCACCAACGACAAGGGCCGTCTATCGAAGGAGGAAATTGAGCGCATGGTTAACGAAGCCGAGAAATACAAGGGTATGCTATTGTTTATAATCAGCAGTGATTCTTTGTTGACTTTGTTATTTCTAGCCGAAGATGAGGCCGCTGCTGCCCGTATCACTGCCAAGAACAGCCTCGAGTCGTACGCATACAATTTGCGCAACTCGATGACAGAGGAGAAACTCGCCGACAAGTTCGAGGCCTCTGATAAGTCCCGTCTGGAGACCGCTGTCCACGAGACCATCTCATGGCTCGATAACTCGCAAGAGGCCTCCAAGGAAGAGTATGAGGAGAAGCAGAAAGAGCTAGAGGCCATTGCGAAGTGAGTATTTTCTGTTTCACAGTCGGACCCGTCGTTCCTTACTGTTCTTCTTCTAGCCCCATCATGCAGAAACTCTATGGTGCTGCAGGTGGTGCTCCTGGTGGTGCTCCTGGTGGCTTCCCCGGCGGCGCACCAGGCGGTTTCCCTGGCGGCGCAAGCGAGGATGGCCCTAGCGTCGAGGAAGTGGACTAAATGCGTCGGTGTTGCTAGGTCTCCATGCGTGTTTCTTTCGGACTGATGATCTGTACGGGCAAAAATTATAATGATTGCATTTCATGTACGCTACGCTTAGATAAAAATTCAACACCTGTATTTTATGCGGCCAATGAGTCTGATTGCAAGACTTGAGCCAAGTTTGTCGAAACAGCTGGCCATGGAAAGTGAACTGAGTGGTCGGTCATTGCAACTGAATGCGACCATGGGTCGCTCAGCGCTCAGCGTCGTCAAGTAAATAACGCGTTTCAAACCACTGTGGGCTCGTGTTCCATTCGGCATCGTCGAGTAGTATGCGGCCAAGTACGGGAACAAGCCTCTGACCGTTCCCCAAGGCTTCACCGTCGGCTGGCAGGACCCAGCGCATTGCTATCCGATGTTATGAAATCTACTGTATTTCATCGGCCTCCGCACTGTGGGAAGAGCCTCGTCCCGGGGGCCTCATACAGTCGAAATACTTGGTCACAGCAACGAGTCTAGTAGCAAGGCCTCTTAAACTCTGCGCCAAAGAGTTCTCGTTTCTTCATCAAAGGACATCATGCTTTATTCTTGAACAACGCTCGACAGCTTGAGTCAGCTCGAGCTCGGCGGCATTAACTATCCAATGAGGAGCTGAAGACCCGTCGTGCCAAGATATCTCGGAAACCTTCATGATTTGTCTAAATATTTCTAGGCTCTCCATTCATTTCTTCTGCTACCCCGAGACACAGACTGGGACACGATACTTTCCCTTCTTGATGCCAAATGCAGCTGCAAGATGCCTGGAAATTGACCTTCGACATCACAACCCAATCGGACGTCCGCGTCACGTCTTCAACTGATAGCAGAACCCGGCCCAAGTTTCTTCTTCCATGACAATTACCAGATGAACCAGTCTGGCTGTTGTCGATGCAGAGACATGAACGCAATCGCGACTGTGATTCGGTCCACCCATGCGATTCCCCATTGAAAAGAGTCACGGGCGTCAGTGGTGAAGTCAGTTCCGATAGTATTACTACTAGCTCTCGAACCTTGTCGCCGAAAGGAAAATGGGCGGAATTAGTGGATCATTTACTGCTCGTACGGTGCTTCCCTTGGTATTTATGACCTCGCGACTTCACTACGGATCTTCTTATCGGCTTTCCCGCAGTCCATCCTACTCCGACTGACGAAATTTGTAAATATCGGGGATACACCTGTGAAACCTATACCCTTACACCTGCCCCTTCACGTACTACTCATCGATCCTTCGCTGGCATTATCACCAACGAGGGACAAGAATTCCCAACCACGGTGAAAGGGACTGCGGACATCATAGAATGCACGAAGAATGCAGAAGCCGAAGCTGGACGGAGTGCGTACAGATTACGCTGATTACTTTGTTGACCAACGAAGAAAAGGTGGCGCACCCCGGGGCGTGGGGGTACTGTGTACTGCGTGCAATTCTTCAGCCTTCCTTTAATTAATATGATTATTGCAATGTATAGCAATATGTATTGAAATGGTGGGTTCGATTTACACACTTGAAAGCGTTGATAGGAGTTGAACTGATAAAAAAACTGGATAGTTCTGTCAATTTCAACTTTTCAGAGCCCCCGCCAAAACAGTGCCGCCAGCTACAGGGCGGGAAAGTTTGCTCTCTCCAGCTTTCACAATAAACTCTGCAGTAGCAAAGCCTTTCAAATTAGCGGAGGCTGTGTATCAATCATCAAGAAAGCACCGTTCAGATAATACTGTAATGCGAACCGATGTCATTCATGGCGTAGAACGTTGCATTTAGTTGGCTGGGATCCACCTTCAAACTAAAGAATCCGCGGTAAAAACCTTCACTCCATTGTAAGTCCGCGTTAGCGGCGACGAAAGCTTGTGAAACGATGACTGTTTCCGGTTGTGATATCGGACCGAACGAAGATGGAGATGTTACCGCTGTGCCTCCGAACTCAACACCAATAGCGCCTTCTCCCGAGATTGGATTGTACCTGTTTTCATTAATAAACGGGTGCTAACATATGAGTGGGTGCCGGTGAACTGACTTCGTTGTATCATTCGGGTCTTCTCGAAAAGAACTTCAAAATGTAACATTAGGCTAACTTGGTAGGTCACTCACAGGCAAGGTCAGACACCCAGTTGGCATGACTATCGCCCGAGAGGATAACCGTATTGCTGATTTTGTTCCCGTAAAGATGATCGAGCACACGGCGCCTGTTGGCTCGGTACCCATCCCACGCATCCTTGGACAATCTCAGCCAGTGCTGGAGACTGGACGTGTATCAAGGGCATACTTACCAGATCAACTATTGGAGTACAGCAATATAGAAAAGTCACATAAAATAAGTAGGGTATACTCACATGTACCGCTGAGGTTCAGCTGGGTGAAAACTATTTGTTGCCTTTAAAGTTATGAGCCGAAACGTCAAAGACGAGCACCTAGAATTTTCTTACCCAATGATACGCCATACAGCGCCTCGTGCCTGCGACTGGGAAAGTGTCTGGAAAAACCCTACCGCATCGATCGAATGGATGACGAAACGTGTCGCAACAACAGACGCACACTTCTCTTGCTCTGCTCCCATCAGACTACGGTTTTCGTACGAGGATATGGTATTGACAACTATACAGAAAAGTAAAATGCGAGACTACACCGACGTGTTGATGTAGCGTACATTCTGAAAAGGAGGGATGATAAGTGCAATGCCACTCTAGTTACGGTTCGGTAAAACTTGCCTGTGTTGTAGTAAACCTGAGTACGCATCAATTATAGGTAGTCGTTCGGTGACGTTTGTCAATCACACTTACATCCGTCAAATCTCTGTCGTACTGTCCTGCCAGAATATAGCGGGTGAGCAAATGTTTGAAGAAATCGTGACTTTCGAGATCCCTTACGGGTATCAAGCATCGTCAAATCCATGAGCCTTCCTATCTGGAAATTTCTCCATATACGTAGCTTATCGTTCGAGACCACCTGTCGTATAGGCATCCATTCATGATACGCCCGTACAGCACTTAATTTCCTGTCAGTGAAACACGCTCCCGATGGAGAAAAAGAGCAGCCTATGGAAGTATCGTTGGAATCTGCTGTGCCAGCTTTCCAGGCATTATCAGCGACCTAAAAAAGTTTCTTGGGTAGTCGACGATCTGTATAGAGATGAACTTGCCTCGTGATCATCCTAGAGCATTCTCTGCGTCACAACGTCAGAGAAGCACGATTAGATCACATACCCTAATGGCACTCAATATTGCCCATTCCTGAGGGAAATGAAGAAACATACCAGACTGTAATCCATGGTCCACTTAGATGGGCAGCACGAAGACTCTCATCAGTTCTATACTGGGCCAAACGTTGGCGGTAGTCAAAAATGGTCGCCAATTCCCTGCCCAGAGTTTGTCGTCCAATCGAGGCACTAGTCACATTTAGAACAAATAGAAAAGTCATTGAAGTGTACTAACCCGTTCCCCAGACCTTCGTATATCTGGTTGTTGGTTCGACGTGTATAAGATTTCGATATAATGATATCAAGAAACATACATAGTCTCCAAGGTGAATATAAATGTCGGGCTTCACGAAATTGGCTGCGTATCCGTACGCGTTGAACCATCCTGGGATTATATCAGTGGAATGAAAAGGGCACGACATCATATCTACCTGCTTGATATTGAGAACAAGAGAACACAGCAAGAATAAACGGGTTTCCTCCATTAACATTGTCCGCAGCGGCTACGGTTCACCACGTAAACTCTGAGAAAATCCGACCAGTTTTTGGAGACGTACTATCAGGCCTGGGCAAAGTTCTAGTGGTACCGATAGGACTAGTGCTCGTAGGGTCTGTGCAATCAGAGAATCGGTAAAAGTATTTTGTGTCAGGCTGCAAGCCAGTCGCTTCAATCTTTACTGTCCAGTCCACATCATAACTTGTGAATGCTTCGCCAGAATCAACGGGAGGACCAGATAGATCGGCGAATTTGGACACTTGATACGACAGACAAACAGGAACACTCTGATCAGGTAGCTTCGATGATCCACTTGATGGCAATGGGGCTGCCCGTGCCCACAACAATACAGAAGTGTCGAAAGGATCGCCCTATGAGAGAAGTTGATATGTAAAGGATGTTGAGCGCATTACGCATTGGAAGAACGAACACTGGCGACTGCAATATAACATAACTGGATGGTAAACAAAGATGTTTAGTAACAAGCATCTTACCAGCATGAGTAAAGTTCAATCCGCCACTCCAAATGAATGGACTCTAAGTTGAATCGTAAGTAGAGAAAAATGGATATCTGGACGTTATACATTGCTAAAATCGCTCCCATAGAAGGTGACATAATGTTCATCCTCGAAAATCCCCGCGTCTTCCATCTGACGACGAACATGCTGAACCTGTCGCTTATGCAGGTTGTCGATATTATGTCCCAGCTACAAAAAGCATGTTCAGCGAAGCAACTGACGAAAACTCTACGTAACATTCACCTGGGGTGCGTCCAAAAAAGGAGACTTGTACGCTAAGTTCCTCTCGAGAAAACGGGTAGCTGTTGCTCCGAGACAAAGAAAGAGATTGAAGATGTATATGTTACGCATATCGATCCGTTGTCCAGAGGCAGAGCCTGATTACATGGTCTCCCTTTTATGCCCATGGCTATACTGGCGTTTGCTTCCTCATCACGTCCACCCTCAGCTGATTGGTATAAGAATCTGATCTGGAAACAGAAAGCGCACGTTCGTCCGCCACTCGAGTTCTATCATGTGGATTTCAGACTAGAGCGCACAACCTTCCTATTGGTGACCGCCTGCGAAGAGGCCCCATGCTCCACAAACGACAGCATCTTATATCGAATACATGCGGTCTGAAAGGCAGCCTTAAAAGTGCCGCCGGGATGAACTTGGTGGAGTGCGTCATCATTCCCACGAGCCTTTACTTGCTTTGACGGAGACCAGAGATATCGGCAAAGTACACCAAAACTTGATGGCAGTCGTGCTAAAAGCCTGGCCCATCCACTGAGAAAAATATCTTTTAGCATGATACTCCGGACATTACTGACTTCTTGAACAACGGCCAGCGCAGTATACGTTATATGATCGGTCGGAGGTACAGCTATTTCATATTTTCCGCTGCGACAAAGCACCATGTTGAGAAGAACTTGAAACATACTATTCAAGTGAACTCTGTGTTTTACCAAGATTGAAAATCATCCAACTCACGGACGCCCCGATCATCACCGTCGCCTAAATGAATTTCTTCCTTCAGCATCCCTGCCGCCCCCAAATTTCACGTCGTTCAGACATGGTCCGTAAATCAGGCCATATCTGAATATTGTTGATTCCCTTGTCCTTAATACAGGTTTATTGTAGGGAAGGAAGACGTGAATCATCCATTCATTCAGTCCGGCAAAAAACTATAAGCAAAGTTCAACACCGAATTAGCATAGCAGCTTCGGAGAAGCAGATCAAGCAACGGGAAGCGCCTGCATGACCGATCTATTAGTGGTTTGATTTCCAAGCAGACAGTCATCACAACAAGGAAGACCGCTTGTCCCTTTGCCAAGCACGAGACCCAGGGTGAGATCCTCGCGGCCAGAGAGGCTCATGCCTGTTCACTATGTCTCGTAAGAAAGGGTTAAAGAGGTAACCCAAAATAGCATGTGGACAAAGCAAGCTGGGAAGTCGAAAGTGCGTTGGTAATATATCAAGAATCCAATACCGAGTCCAGCGAAGGAAAATATTGTCCCTGTTGAAAGAAAGATAGAAAATGTTAGGCAGTCATGGATTCGAATGTAGCCCTACCAGTATCTAGCGTCAGAACGAAATATTTATCTAACATAATGACGATGTCCTTCCAGTGTCACGGTCCGAGTTCACCTATAAATCCGTCAAGATTGAATTCGCACAAGATACTTCCTCCTATCCGTGAAACACCATTGGTAAAAGGAGAAGAAGCCAGGCGAAGCATCACAAGAATTGAGGTTCTAGCTTTCATTGTCCTCCAGCATGCATCAATAGTACACCGCTCACCGCTCGAAGATCTTCATCAACGATTTTCGGCAAGATTGGCTACAGCTGAAGACCTTGGGGAAAAGTCAACACCGACTCATTGCTAAAGAAAGGAGTTATAGCCTTACATCATAGTACGTACATCAACTGTGAAGAGGCCTTCCATGTCAATCCTCTGCCGATTCAGGCGCTAAGAAGAGTCGAATACCGCTGCTATTTATGTTTAACATTTATTATTGATCTAAAGCTAGAGGCCCCATTGAAACGAAGGATCCGAACGCGGGGAATCTTATACACCGGTGTCCAACAGACTTGTATATCGGGCCGACAGCATATGGGAAAAAACAAACTCAATGTTCCTCGGTGAACATGGTTCGATACTGGGATTGATATACTCCGCTGTGTCTCCGAAGGCTTTAAATCATTCTAATGAAAGTGGAGCGTCATCTATAATTAGAGAGCGCACAAAGCGCGAAGCTTTGATATCTCACCGGATCGATAGTGAGGAGAATGAAACAAAACATAAAGGGAATCCGAGTCAGCACGCCGACTAACAGTCCTCTATTCACCATATGGGCTTCAGCCGTAGAATTTTCTGACGACAGTGATAACGTTACCACATGAAACGCATCAGTGGTACTCAAGATGCACTAGAAGCAGGGACAGATAACGTTTTGGTGCCTTTAGGCTGGCAGGGTCGGGGGGTCCGAAGGTTGACAGGAGAATTTTGTCGAGGTCGCGAGGCATCACCAGAGTTATTACCGGTGTACCCAAATAGGTCAGCGGATGCGAAAGTTTGATGCGAGGAACACCTTCAGGAGGCACTTTCGACACCCACTAGAAGGCAATAGAGCCGTCAGCGTCCATATGAAAAACAGACCATCAGAACGATCGTCTTGGTGAGAAAAGTGAAAATGAAGCACAGCAAACGCCAAAGAAACTGACACCAGGGATTGAATTGTTGAATAATACAGTGAATGATAAGACGCCTTGAAGACATCCGTAAAGCATGTTCTAAACAGGCAAAATTCAGGCCGCCAGTCTAGGTTATTGGACCCCAGAGCGGAGAAATAGGTCGATTAGAATATGTGGGAAGAGTACGTACATCATACTTGGTGTTTATGAATGAGCATCGTGTGGTAGCCAAGCTATGCGAGGGGTTAGTCTAAGAATACGAGATTGACAGACTGCTCACATGAGGCGCGTCGGTAAAGTGGGGTCAGGTAATTAAGGTCCGATTGCAACCAGCCAGGACGATGTTGAAACTGCGCACTGATATCGATCGTTAAGTTATTCCAAGAAAGCTACGCTCATATTCCCAAGACGTGCGCATTTTGCACTCCTCGTTCACGCAGAAGAGGCCACGTTTCTCGCAATCAATTGGCCCCAATTGCAAGTTGATATCCGCTAGGCACTAAGTACAGGCACTGCCAGTAGCCGCGAAGTATCCGAGAATAATATGACGTAGGAGCCAAATCGAGACTATTTGCATTTTGACGGACATCATTGTGCGGAGAAATCGTCGAGTCGAGCGAAAGGCTAAAATCTGAAGATGGGTGTATTCAATTAAGCAGCTGATCTGCTGTTCTTTGACAAAAACGCGCACCTGGTTGTTGAGATGTCGCAATGATTCCAAGTCCAGTTCATTGGCTGAGGGCAGCCTAAGCTAAGCATCGACCTGATCATATCACACCGAATGTCTCCCAGTTGATCACGTCACCCCGAATTGGACCGCAGAGTCCAGACGGACGTTCTCTATACAACAATTCATGGAGCCTTTTCCACTGAACTGGATGGATTGAATTGGCAACCGCAGTACTCTGAAAGGGTTGGGTAAGGTTGAAAGTTTGGAATGCATTGTCGGCACTTCGGACCGGAAAAGCGCACGAGGATGATGTTCGGTGGATCCGGTAAGGAGCGTCAAGGGATGACACGCGGTGACGAGTCCTGTATTGAGTTCCCAAGTTTATTTTTCTACGAGGTTATTTTTTAACGCCACAGTGGATCTGATTCTGGAGTAAATGGAAATCGGGCTGCATTTTAGGAACGATCCACTCACACGGGCTAGCCGTCTCTCCACCGATGGGCCTTCACATTGCCAGACGGGTGCTGCACCTTTGTCACGGTAAAAGGTTACCATACAGTCTCTGGGCCAGAATAGTTGGTGGACCTTGATTGATTTATCACAAAGTAGATGACGAAGCCACCAAAATCAGGCTCGGCCGCTTTGTTCGAGGGTATCGGAGCATTGATAAGTTGCTGACCAAAGTGGTGGATGTCTTCGTGTCCCCCCCCCAGGAATCGTATTGCCTTGGAATTTAAAAGTCGGACAGAAAAATGGTCACCGCAGCCAACTGCGACCTCCTCCAAGGCATTTATGAGACTCTAATGAAGACGAGGGCGTGTTCTCTGCAACTCGACTCGTTCCAAATCTGCCATCAGCCGTGAAGCTCGGGCTTCTACTACGGAATTCCCAGGGAACTAGTGAGGCCCAACAGTTTGGATGCAAGATCAGTAGTGTAGTGACACCATCACGCTTAGGATTCTGTTGAGATTGACATTTGTATAGGCACCTGAAGATGTAAGATATTTTATTACTTGAGATGCTGAACTGGACCACTGTCAAATGCGAATACGGTTTAAGTACAAGTTGCCGAAAATGCCGCTCGGTTATCATTCACGTGTTGTTTATGTACAAATTGATGCATTGATGTCCGGAAGAAGCCGCCCGAAAGGGCAACTGCTTCTCTCCCATGCAATCGGCATATAACGCCGTTGCTTCAATGTCGTCTCTTTCCATCATACCCACCGTTCCTCCTAATGAAGACGGAAGGCGCTTCAGACGCTCTAAACGCAAGTATTTCTCCTGTTAACGACACCACTCTCTTCCATTTTTTTGGTCGCGAGCACGGTAGCGACGAGTCCGACGAGCAACCGCAGGAGGCTGAATCATCTCGTCGAAGTTCTCGCGTCCCCTTCAACAAAGCGTACGTTTCTAACATGACTCCGCGAGTTTTGATTTATATATTACTTACTTCCCCAGGTCTGGTGCATGCGTGCATTGCAAGTCGTTGAAGGTCTGCGTTAGCCTTCAATTTACTATTCTGGTTGCTCAGATTATTCAATCAGGTTCGCTGTGAATTCAGCCCGGGCGAAACCACTTGTCAAAGATGTCAAGCTGGGAGCTATGAGTGTATCCCTCGAACGCGTAAGAAACGGAAACCCGCGCCGTATGTTGTTCTTTTACAGTTATGACACTTGTTCACCTATCGCAACGTAGTACCCACGAAGATTTGCAGACAAGGGCAATTAACCAAGACTGCCAAATACAGGCTCTGCTTCAGCAGTTCGACAAACTCAAGGCTGACAATAGAATCCGCGATCGGATGTCGCGGGCGCATTTGGAATACCTGGCAGGAAACCGCACGTCTGACCTTGGTGGTAGGGTTGTTTCATAGGCTCACTTTCGTAAATTTTACTGAACGTGTCGCAGGAGCTTCCAAGTATGCCCATCATCCTGATAGATTCGAATTATCGTTTGGCGGAGATAGTCCGACCGAACACCTCTTCCAATCCTTTCCCCCAGGTAGGACTCAGTCATTACAGAGGTGTTTTTTAATCTTTAAATCAGAATTCAATCAAGTACACGGACAGAAACATGACATCTCTCACACAACACCTCCCGATATTGTCAAGTACTGCTCTCTTACATCCGATGACATCCGGGCACTTTTCAATCTGTACGTTTTTTATCCGCATAGGCCATGCATTCATGTGCTGAATATTTACTAGGTTTTTTGAAAGAATTAATGTTTGTTCTGGCTCTCAATAGCAGTTACAGTGCTTATGTGCCTTTGATTAGCCCTTTTTCTCTATTCTCGACCCCGAGCTTCATACTCCCCAATCGCTCATCTGGACTAGCCCGTTTCTTTTCACCGTTAGTGCGTAATCTTTTCGACCTGCCTCTGGTAACCATCCTGAAGATCGTTAATAGTATGTGCCACTGCGTCTCGATATTACCACTTGCAGCCAGAGCTATACTATCTAGCTCAAGATTTCGCGCGTGACGTAGCTGGAAAGTCTTTGGTAGATGGCACCAAAAGTGTCGATATATGTCAAGCATACCTCTTGATGGCTGTGTATGCTGCTCCCAGGAAGAAATGGGAAGAAGACCGCAGATGGCTTTTGATGGGTGTAGCTATACGGTATGTTCCAGACCTTCTACTGGACGTTCGATCTCTCATAATTGATCACAGCATGGCCTTAGAATTAGGGCTTAATAAGCCCGCGCCGCAATGTGGTGAGCGTGAGGCTATGAACAGGACCAGAACGTGGTAAGTATCATTAGCTAGCGCCTGCGTTCATTGGATGACATGGCTGTTGGCACAGGCTTAACTGCTTCTGCGTTGATGGCTCACACTCAATACAGTTCGGGAAAATACCAATGCTTAGCCTAGACGACCATATGGCGGTTCACTCTGAAGGCTGGTACAAGGCTTCACGCCATAATTTACCTTTCGACGTACACCTTTGTGCCTACGTGCAGATAATTGTGATCATGGCTCAATGGCGTAAGCGCATTGGTGAAGGAAGTCTGCGACAACGGATCCGCGATGTAGGTGGTCTGTACTTCCTATGTCAGGCATTTCATAAGAATTCTGTGCAGGATTTCGATGTCGTTTCAGCTGCCATAGAGACAGAAGAACATCTTGACCGAGAATTACGCCTTTGGGTTAGTCGATACGACGAGGAATACAGCTATAATCGTAAGTCTACCTTATCCTTGATATCCGGTGGCCGTTAAACCTTATGTCGAATGTTAGCTCTCCAGATATGCGCCTATCGTGGAAGCACTACCCATATGTAGGATCCATTGCTTCTACACACCGTTTCGCGCGCTGAGCGAGATTCAGGATTACTGCATATCTTAGATTAGTGGTCCTAGCCGTCGGCTTTCAACATGCAGCAAAATCCGGGCTCTCTCGAGACTCTGAAGTGCTGACACGGTCCATTGATGCTGCACGATCTGTCATTCAGATTACGGTGGAGCGACTTTATCCTACTGGACATCTGCGATATGCGATGGAAGCCAACTTCGTTTATGTTTCTTTTGCAGCCGCTTACCTGGTTAATGTAAGCACTTTGTATTTTATCGCTATTTCCCTCCTGATGGTTCCGGGTTTCAGCTTCTGAGAGCCAAGTTTTTGCCGCTTCTGTCGCAGGAAGTTCAAGAGGAAATTATATACAGCGTCAACAAACTCATCAGAGTGTTGGCGTCTGACAAAGTGGCCTTGGACGGCCGCCATACTCCTGCTTTATATTCTCGCTTCTTAGCCAACTTGATGGCAAGAAACGTTCCCCACCTTCGCACCCAACCCTACGCCGAATCCGGTGATCATAATTTAGACTCTTCATCTTTTGGCGGGGATTTGCACGTTCCGCCGCCGAATGAATTTTCTTGGCCCGATATCCGGTATTCAGAGTCCCCTCCCGGCGCTAATGTAGAGCCGGTTGACAGCATACCTCGTCGTACACGCGAAGCGGATATGGATTTTAGTTTGGACAACTTTGGTATGTCCTATCGACTTTCGTCACACTCGATTGATGCTGATCTACAGTTTCCAATGTCAGTGAGGGCGGTCTCGCAAGATGTTCCTACGACGACATATGATACAGATGCTTTCACGAGTTCTTGGGGTGGGTCTTGGGCGACGCAAGAAAGCGCGCTTTACAATAACTGGTCTCAGTTTAGTAGTCCAGGCTGGAGACATTGATTGGTTTCATACGATTATTTACACTGGTACTTTTATTTTTCTCTGTTGCTGTTGCTTGTGTTCACTGTATTTCTGTCCCAGGTCTGCTATGGATCACCCTCTACTACTCTACATTTAATTACATCGGTTAAAATCATGCTATCTCTTTGCTATGTAGTTGTTTTATTGTTATCTGTTTAATCTCTGTTGTAGTCATACAAATCATAAGAATTTTCACTTTTTGTCGGACTTTTCTTACGTCAGACAACAGCGGTCAATACTACATTCGGTTTTAGCGCTTCCATGTCTGCGAGGCCGGCGGAAGCAGGTATGACCACGGCGAGAGCAAGAATCGAATCAGTGGAGTCCGTAAATCTTTCTTCTCTTGTTAAAGTGGCTTCGTGGTGACCACTGCACTGCAGAAAGGCGTTCCACAGTCTGTTCAGCTCCGGCACGTCTCTTGCGAAGATTAAAGATGCCTCTTTAGCAGATCGTCTGTTTCCTTTCTCTGACGATGTTCTGGAGATTCCTGGGCGGAGCATTGCATGGAAGGTGTGCGTATATCCACCACCATCAACAACATGCCTCACCTGCATAATAGCTCTTCCTCGTACGCAGCGAACCCCTCAAAGCTTTGGTAGAAGCAGATTCTTCTCCTTTGATTGATTCTTTGCGAGAGACACGAAGTCAGTATGCTGCATTGCTACTGCAGAAGATGCGAGCACCGGACGGAAGCTATGAAGGCGGATTCGCCCTACCAGGGTCATTGCCATCGCCAAAGCATGAATTTAGGCTGGAAGTCAACCTTGACAGGAATAACCCTCTAAGTTTACATACGGAGGTATGTTATGCATGGCTGATTTTTTGCTAACCTCTCAGAATGACATGATAGAATCCTTGGACAGAATGGTTTGCTTCCGTCGAACTGCGGAAAACGATTTTACAAGACGTTGAACGAACGTAAGTCGTGACTGATACCTGGTGTCCGCTTGACTGAGATGGGTACTTAGGTTTCCCGAAATCGATTTCTTCCGACTTCCAGATGTGCAAGCCCAATTAACCAACATCCTCTTTATCTATTCAGTCATGCATCCCGACATAGGCTATCGCCAAGGTGACTTTCAACTTGTATGCTCGCACCGTTCTGGCTGACTATTGTTTTGAGGTATGCATGAGCTGCTGGCACCGCTATATTACGCTGTCGAATACGATTCGGTATCCGAAGACGATCAGGAATACGTTCACGACTTCAAAGTACAAGAAATATGTTCTAAGTCCTGGGCTGCAGCCGATGCTTGGTGTCTCTTTAGCGCAGTTATGCAATCTGCCTCTCAATGGTACGAATGGAGAGAGCCCTCCGTCGACGCGAAAGGACGATCTCCGCTACCCTCTCATGTTCATTTACACATTCCAGGTCCCATCGATTTAAAACCCTATGTGCCACCCATTGTTCAGACGTGCAACAACATACAGGCAAATCTTCTACGGACCACAGATCCACAGCTATGGCAGCGGTTCCAAACAACCGGCATAGAACCCCAAATATATGGAATGTAAGCTCAGGTTGATAATCCTCAAGTCTTTCAATATTCATAGCACAGTCTTCTGGCAGCCGGTGGCTGAGACTTTTGTTTACTCGGGAATTTGCTCTCTCGGATGCAATGAAATTATGGGATGCACTTTTTGCATGTGATCCATCCTTTGATCTGGCTCCATGGATCTGCGTTGCGATGCTGATACGTATCCGCAACGAATGTGAGTTTTCTACACCTTGCATCTTCTTGCTGATAACGATGGTTTATAGTATTACCATCCGATTATTCCACCCAGCTCACTGTCCTATTGCGCTACCCGTCCGTGCCACGCTCATTCGAATATGGCACTTCTGTGCACCCAACAAGCCTGCTAGTGCGACAAGCGCTGGCTTTACAAACGTCTCCAACGCCTTCTACTGGGGTTCTATTGGTCTCTGAAAATCGCAACCTATTGAATATAACGATGGATGTACCAGAAACTCTACCTGCTCCTCGCCGGCGGACTGCACCACCTGCTCGAAATAGACCGCTCTCGACTCCGGCCTCTGGGAGCGCGCAAGGGCACACTCGACAACAACCGTCTCAAAGTTTAGGGTTTTCCGAGATGCTTGCACGTGGAATCTTAGAAAGAGGCGAAAGCTTGGGTATCAATAAGACTTTCATGAGTGCTGTGTCGGAACTAAAGGTAAGCATATTTATTTATTGTAAGTTTGTTCTGGATGACCATTTATTATACAAGCGCAACATTCCTGAACTTGCATCATCACTCATGCGCGCACCGGCTAATGCGTACCAAATGACTGATGAGAATTTAGGAGAACGGCCACCTTGGGAGCCTCGGTCACGGCTCGAGATGGAAAAGGAATTATCCGACCTTCGTGCCATGAACAAAAGACTCGGTGACTCTTTGGGGTGGATTGTCGATGTTCTACTTCAGGATGAAGATCAGACGAACGAAGAGCGCCTACGGAAGCAGCGACGGCAGGCCATCGAATCACTTTCGTATATGAGAGACATCCTGATCAGTCAATCGACGGATGACATTGAAGAGGAGAGGCTGTACAGCGAAGAGGAGAATGCAAAACGGAAGTGGGCAAAGACAAAGCAAGCTGATGCGGTTGAAGTTTTTGAGCCAAAAATACCTGCACCAGTGAAACCTAGCCCTGTGAGAGGTAAAGGGCTGCGGCCTTTGCTGGATGCCAGTATGCCGCCAGCTGGACGTGTGTCGTCATCTTTGAGCCAGAACAGCCCTGCCCGGCTAGCACCTTGGAACTATACCCGGTCAAACTTCTCGTCTCCTACTTCCTCTATACCTGAGACGTTGCCTCGACCTCCACCGCCTACAACGTCAAGGTCTGCACCTGACGGCCGACGAGAGAAGATGTCCGAGGTACTTCAGGATCCACTGGGGGCCCTGCCTTGACGAAAGATTTATACTGGAAAGGGTAGCTTTAGCGGTAGGATACTTTGTAGAGTTAGCATATAATGTTGTCTTATGCGGGCTGGTGGCTCGCTTGGAAGTTGGTAAAGCCGAAAGCCGAAAGAAATCACGGGGATATGATTGGTTGAGATTCTGGTCGGAAGAGCTCGTCACGATCGGAGCAGACATTCTCCAACCTACTTCCATCTCGTCTGGGCGTGCCCCTCTCCCTCGTCCTCACCGCCCACCATGCTCAGCAGGCGTCTTACCAAATATTTTCTATGTTCTCAGCGCTCCCTTCATTCGTCTGCTGTCGCCAGGAAGGTCGTTGCGACCAACCCTGTCAAGGCTGAGGAGGTCAAGGTATGGCCAGCATGTCCTTAGAGCTCTTCAGTACCCTATGAACGGGATTTTACAGTCTTGGTCGTCCGGGAACTATCCTCTCATTGAACATGAATACGACGCCATCGTTGTGTGAGTCCTCTCCGCATGTCACACTGTAACCCCGCGTTTATGTGATCTCAGAGGTGCTGGCGGTGCTGGGCTGAGAGCAGCATTTGGCCTGGCAGAAGCTGGCTTTAACACTGCATGTATCACCAAACTTTTCCCGACGCGAAGTCATACCGTAGCAGCACAGGTAGGTTGGTTCTTCGTGGTCACATTCGTCCGATTCTTACCGTCGGTCAGGGAGGCATTAATGCTGCGCTCGGTGTACGTTTTCAATCCAATGCACGCAAGTTTGTATTGATGTTTGGTCGTAGAACATGACAGAAGATGACTGGCGATGGCACATGTATGACACAGTAAGTAGAATAATTTCTATCGACCGCTCAATATGTTCATTATTCTTGCAAAAAGGTCAAAGGCTCCGATTGGCTTGGTGATCAAGATGCCATTCACTATATGTGTCGCGAGGCGCCTAATACTGTTATTGAGGTGTGCTAGATATTCATTGCTTGACTGTTGGCTGATTTTCGGCAGCTGGAACATTTTGGGGTCCCATTTTCTAGGACTAAGGAGGGAAAGATATATCAGCGTGCCTTTGGAGGACAGTCGTTAAAATTCGGAAAGGGTGGGCAAGCCTATCGTTGTGCTGCCGCCGCGGATAGAACTGGTCATGCGCTTCTCCACACGCTTTACGGACAATCTCTTCGTCACAACACCAACTTCTTCATCGAATATTTCGCTTTGGATCTCATCATGCAAGATGGAGAATGTGTTGGTGTCATTGCTTTGAATATGGAAGATGGCACTCTTCACCGTTTCCGAGCTCACAAAACGGTTTTGGCCACGGGAGGATACGGTCGTGCGTACTTCAGCTGCACGAGCGCTCATACTTGCTCCGGAGATGGTAATGGCATGGTTGTACGAGCAGGCCTTCCCCTCCAAGATCTTGAATTCGTCCAGTTCCACCCTACTGGTATCTATGGTGCCGGATGCCTCATCACGGAAGGTCAGGCACTCTTACTCTAGTATATGGACTGCTATAAATGCCTCATAGGTTCCCGTGGGGAAGGAGGCTACCTACTGAACTCGGAAGGTGAGCGGTTCATGGAGCGCTATGCGCCCACCGCAAAGGATCTTGCCTCTCGTGATGTCGTTTCCCGAAGTATGACTATTGAAATTCGCGAAGGGCGGGGCGTTGGACCTGAAAAAGATCATATCTACTTGCAACTGAGCCATCTCCCTGCCGAGGTTCTTCACGAGCGATTACCCGGTATCTCCGAGACTGCAGCTATCTTCTCTGGTGTTGATGTTACTAAGGAACCTATTCCTGTCCTTCCAACTGTCCATTACAACAGTGAGTGTTACCATACATTTCAAACATCTCTTCTTACTTTCTTTACTTTATTAGTGGGAGGCATTCCGACGAAATATACTGGCGAAGTCCTCACTATCGATGAAAACGGCAATGATAAGGTGGTTCCTGGATTGTATGCTGCTGGTGAAGCGGCGTGCGTGTCGGTCCACGGTGCTAATCGTTTGGGTGCAAACTCACTTCTCGACATTGTCGTTTTCGGTCGGGCGTGCGCACACCACATCAAAGAAACGTTGACTCCTGGAACACCGCACAAGGCCATTCCTGAGGAGGCGGGAATTGAGAGTATTGAATATCTGGACAAGATTAGGTAAGGGTCACTCTTTTGGTGTTTGCCCATCGAATCATGAATATGGCCATAGGAACTCGGACGGACCTGTACCAACTGCCAAAATCCGCCTTGATCTCCAAAAGGCCATGCAAACCGATGCGGCCGTGTTCCGGTTTGTCTGTCCGCATATTCATGTGACGCCATCTTAAACAAGTCGCAGAACCCAGGAATCATTGGACGAGGGCGTTCAGAAAGTCAGTCAGATTTATAACACCTTTAGCCAAGTTGGAATCAAGGACAGGAGCATGATTTGGAACTCGTAAGTAGTTCGCCATCCTCTCCTTTAGCACTTAGCGTAACTGCTTCCAGAGATCTAGTTGAGACACTCGAGCTACGGAACGTCCTTCAATGTGCAATCCAGACCATCACCTCTGCAGCAGCCCGAAAGGAATCTCGCGGTGCTCATGCCCGTGAAGATTTCCCTGATGTATGTGTGCTTCCTTTTTGTTGATGAAGATATCTGACAGACTGTTTCTTTCATTTAGCGTGATGACGAGAAGTGGATGAAGCACACTTTGTCATTCCAGCATGACGTGAACAAACCAGACGTCGAACTGACATACCGGCGCGTCATTGACACCACGCTAGACGAAAATGAATGCAAGCCTGTACCACCATTCAAGCGAGTGTATTAGGATTTTTTAAAACTTTTGCTATGACAAGTTTACTCTGCATGATTGCCTTTCGGATATATTTTATTGACACTGAAGCAATACAGTCGTAAAACCAAAGAAAAAAAAACACTAAATTAAAGGTCCATCAAGATTGAGTTGGTTGAACAGTCCCTCAGGGAAGTATTGAGCACGGACGGATCGGCCACCAAAATACCGACCGTCCATTTCCCGCACGGTCTTCCACGCTCCTGCAGGACCAGCAAATAAGACAAAAATGCGTACGGCATCTGCCGGATTAGGAGGGGAGGGGTTCACGAGATGGACCACCACCCGTTCTACTGTTCCGTTCTTGGAACATTCGTCGCCTGCACTTATATATTAACAATGACCAGGCTCGGTGTTACAGACAGACTCACCAATCTCTTCTCTTAGATCACCATCATCGACATCTTCAGGACCAACCATATTCGTGAGCACCATCACCCTGCTCGGTAATCCAAACCGTTCCCTATCATCTCTCGTTTTGGCATCCTCATTGTCGTTGATAATTCTTCCCCGATTAGACCCCGCGGCAACGCCCTTCGACCCTTTGTTTTTCATTTGCTCCACAGCCAATGCATTCACAATTCCAGAGCCGTCTGCACCCAAACCTTGTCCCTCCTTGTGACCCCATTTTGCCATCAGTCGCGCGGCGAACCCATGCGGGTCGGGTCTAGAAGTCCAATTCATTCAGTAAAACTGTAACCCTGTGAAACGATTGGCACGGCTTGCCGCTTTGATGATCCTGCCGACTCTTCAAGAGGCGAAGGCACAGTTGTTAGTGCTGGTGCCGTATTAGCCAAAGCACCTAAGCGTGCGGCAATTGCTGCTGCTGCTTTGACTTTTTCGTCTATCGTAGCTTGAAGCACTGCAGCCGGAGGCCCTGGAGGCGGGGGTGGAACAGACGGCGGGGCGAAAGGATTGTAAGCGAGTTGAGGCGGTGAAGGAGGACGGGGTGCTGGTGCCGGTACCGGAGGGCGACTGCTCATTACCAGACGTCGAAGATACGCCTCTTCACCGGTTTCAGTCGCAGGAGGAGGAGCGAGGGCAGAGCGACTCGTAATGTCGTCTTCTTGAGGTGGTGAAGGTGCTCGAGGAGGCTGAAGCCTCGACAGAGCGAGCCGGCGCTGGTATGCTTCATCACCTGTCATGTTCTTGTCGAGGGGGACCACTGGATGAGCAGGACGACCGATGCCATGTTTCTCATCATCGCCTCTGGACCAGTGGCCGTAATACTCATCATATCGACCTGTTGAACAATTGGACCAAGTGTGATTGCTCCATAAGCGAACGTACCAGTTTTGTGTGGTCGTTCGTCTGAAGACGATCCGCCATCACTGTCCGTGTAATCGCTGCTTCGTCCCCGCTTCCGATGCTGTTCAGCTAAACGTACCCGTCTCTCAATCTTTTCCTTCTGCCTCCAGACTTTGTACTCGTTGTAGTCGTTTGGCTTCAGGAGATCATACGGCTCCATTGGATCCCAGACAGCTACAACTAGCTGATTTTTATTCTGAGGGAATGTGAGGATTGAAAAGAGACGTGTCTCGAACCATGCACCTTTCTGCCTTTCCCCTTACCACCCTTCCTCTTCTGTCCAGCAGCCCTGAAGCCGTTGACATCCTCTTCCAGCACCATCGACGGGGGCTTGACTTTTTTACCCCATCCTCCCTGGGTCGGGACGGCTTCTTGTACGGGCTCCAACGGCTTCGGCGGTTCAACCAAAATGGGTGGCGCAAATATAACTGCCGCAGATGAAACTGTTGCAGAACTGGCTGTTGCGAATGCCGCACCAACTGGGAGCCTGGGCACTGCAGGTTTCGATTTTTGCTGATTTCGTCGTACGGGCGCGAAGGCAAGGGCAGCAGACCACCCTTTATCATAAGAACAAGGGGAGCATTTCAATGAGAAGCTCTAAACACTCAAGGGCGTAGTAGATGAGTAGTACCGGCTGTGGATTTTGCGCCTTCGGGCGCAGCTACAGGCGTTTCTTGTGGTGTCGGTACCGTTACCGACTGAGGTGTTGGTTCGTTATCTGGCGATGGCCTAGACTCGGTAGTAGAGAAGGTAAAAGCTGGCTGAGAGGCAGAAGCTGGCACAGCAGCACCAGACGAAAACTGGATACCGCCGTACAGACCGCCTGCTCTGCTCGACATGGTGGAAAACAGAAAGTAATATTTTTGTTTACAACATGGTTTTTGATTTATTTAATAAATACTACCGAATTTAAATGTTTATTCTCTCAGGAGCATGTAACGTACATTTACGCCGCCTCCGTCGTGCGACTGGCGCTTTTCCAAGCGTCATCTAACGCACCTTGTGAGTCTACAGACTGTTTGCAAAATCAGTTCAAAATGCACCATTCCTGTTGGGATCGTCGTTCAAAGGATCAATATGTGTTGACTCTATGATCCCTGGGCGGCCTTCAATGACACCGGCTGCCTGTCTCATGGCACGGGCTGCTTGTCGGTCGCCCTTGTAGTGAGCACCAGCACCAGAGTGGCGCGCCTTCCTCGTATGATTAGAGGCCTACCCACCATGAGCCACTGTCCGCCAGTAAACAGAGGAGAAAACTGTACAAAATTGGTGTCCATTGGATTAGGATTGTTCGATGAAGCAGTCGGGTTTGCAACCCCAGGATGGATATCGGCGCCCATCGCGCCCATAGAAGCATCGTTCAAAGACATTATGAAAGTTCAGCTGGATGTCAATGTCTTGCGGACACATCTATATAGGACGCCAGTGAAACATGACGCATACGTTGACGCAAGTATGACGCCTCTAACTCCACCGACAGTCAGACGACCATACGGTGAAATGAAATGAATTAGTGGTAATATGGTTTATCCATGCTCGAAAAGTATCTTTCTCGAACGGTCCGGCTGAGTACATGAACAGCGAAATCGCCAGCATCAATCATGGCCCATTCGTTCAGCATTCTTCCCTTGAGATTTGGTGGTATGGGCAGGGGAGGTTTCACTTCAAGCAACTGCGAATATTTGATTTGCAGGAGAAGCCAAGCAGTACAGGCACTCACCGTCTTTCTTACGACACGAACCACCGATTCGATTGCACCTCTGTTCTCTGTCCCTTCTTTCACCTGGTCCTCTGGTCAAAGCACGGTCGAGTTTTGACCTCACCACCACTTACCTGAGCAATGACGACCCAACTCCATAGGCCATAAGGCATATCATACATAGACTCGCCAGCATGTGTTCCTCCGCGTCTCCTCCGTCCTTGGGGTAACCGGTGAGGAAGAGGCGGCCCGGGGCTGGGTAATGTAGGTCTCTCGACGGTCAAAAAGGATGAATCGAGATGGGGCAGAGGCGCAAGCTTTGAATAGAGCTCTCTCACAGGCTCTGGAACATCGGATGGGATTGGGGGAGCAGAACCGGACACCTGTGGCTTCGGGATGGGGGTCTCTTGGTTGATGAACCATGGAATGTTTGACGATGATGGGCCGTTGGTGAAATATCGAAATTGAGGCGAACGACGCGGTGTACAATGTGCGAGACGACGAAGGGTTTGCATAGTAGGAAAGAAGAGTTATTTATTGATTATTTATTTTTTGATAACGACATCTGCTATGTTATTATCTATATCCTGACCAACCGTTCATTGGTTCGTCGTTGGTTCTACCATATGTCTCTATGGCTCCCTCGCCCTTCGCCCGCCTTGCTCGTCCGTTCCTATAGCCACGTCCTGCGCATACACCCAGGCCCCGTCTTTCCACGTATATATCACCGTGCAGCCCCTTCCTCTCGTCGTTTCCAGAGCACAAAATCTCCCGAACAACCAGCGGCGACCCCTTCAACGGTAAAGTCTAGTCCACCCGTGAAGGAAACACCCAAGAGCCCCCTACTGCCTCGCGTCTGGAAAAAAGTCAAGCATGAGGCCGCCCACTACTGGCACGGCTCCAAGCTTCTCGTCTCCGAGGTTCGTATTTCAGCGAGGCTGCAGTGGAAAATATTGCATGGAGAGGTTTTGACGAGGCGAGAGCGGAGGCAGGTATGATGTCTGTCAGTTATGTGCAAAAAATGAATTGCTGACTTGCCCTGCAGCTCAGACGGACAACCCAAGATCTCTTACGCCTTGTACCGTTCGCAGTGTTCATCATCGTGCCGTTCATGGAATTGTTACTCCCTGTTGCGCTCAAGCTTTTCCCCAATATGCTGCCCTCTACGTTCGAGGACAAGTTTGCTGCTGTAAGCAGTTTCATGCTGCGTATAGCTTCTCGATTAACAGACTATTCCAGCAAGAAAAGGAGCGCAAGCTACTCCGTGTCAGACTCGAAATGGCCAAGTTCCTTCAGGAGACACTGCGTGAATCGGGTTTGAAGGCCAATGCGCATATAGTAGGCAGTGAAGCATTCAAAGAATTCTTCCGAAAGGTGCGAGGACTGGCTGGTCTTTTCATGTAACTGCGTTCAATTATACTCCTTCAGGTTCGTTCTACTGGCGAGTCACCATCCGCCACCGATATCATCAATGTAGCCAAACTCTTCGACGATGACCTCACTCTCGACAATCTATCTCGTCCTCAACTTGTCTCAATGTGTCGGTACATGGGTTTGAACGCGTTTGGAACAGACAACTTCCTCCGAGGCGCCATTCGGTCGCGACTTTTGCATATACGTCGGGATGATCAGCTCATTGAATCGGAAGGCGTCGATGAGCTCTCCACAGCCGAGCTTCAAGCAGCCTGCCAGTCGCGCGGCATTCGCACCTCTGGCGTTTCTCCCGCAAGACTACGAGAAGAACTTTCGACATGGATCAATTTACATCTGCATAACAGAGTCTCCGGTGTTCTCCTTGTTCTAGGAAGGGCTTTCCACTTTGATAGAAAGGCGGGCGAGAATGAGGATGGAAAGACAAATGTCATCAAGAGTTTGGAGAGCGTCCTGTGTGGTCTGCCTGACAACTTGGTATGCTTTACATTCCTATCTACTTGAATTTTGTCCTTACGGTCGTCTTCAGTTGAACGAAGCCGAACTCGAGGTTGATTCAGACAAAGCCAGCTATAAGCAGAAACTTGAGGTTCTGCAACAACAGGAGGAACTCATTGAGGATGAAGAAGAGCAAGAGCAAAAAGAGGAAGACGCGCGTCGTGCAAAGAGGGAAGCAGATGAACTTGAGGCGGAAACTGCCCGTGCACTTCTTCCTGATTCTGAAGCAAGTTGATCGTAATATCGTCGGTGAACCGTATTGACCAAAGCTTAGCTTATGCCGGAAGGCATCGAGTCAGAGGATGCTCGCATGACCTCAGAACAATTAAAGGAACTTGCTGAAGCCCTGTCCGTCCTATCGGCAAAATCCAGCGTTTTGAAAGAACGCGACGAGCTGAGAGCGGTGATGGAAGAAAATCTGATGGCCGAAGAAGATCCCAAGTCACCTTCTGGCGCGCTGACGAAACGTATACGGACTATGCTCACCAAGATCGATTCTCGGATGCAAGACTACGACTCGCGAGTGGGTAGCTCCTTGCAGATGATCTCTGCTGATGCACAAGGGCGGATTTCGGTGGAAGATCTCGAAAAGGCACTGGCTGTGATAAAGCACAAGCCTGATGATGAAGTTGGCCAAGCTGTGATTCAAAAGCTTGACGTGGACAAGGATGGTTTCGTGGAGTTGGAGCATGTCCTTGGACTGGTGAGGGAAGAGGGATTGGGTATTGTGGTAGACGATGAGGCACAGACGCTCATTGGACTCGGGAACGAAATCAAAAATTCAAAACCGCGGAAGGAAGACATTGTGCAGGAGGCTTAGATGTTGGAATTTAGACAGGTTATACTTATGTATTCAAGTAATACTGCCGTAGTAACGTATAATGCTTAAGCCTGGATGTGAGCAGAGGGAAGAATAGAAGATAAAGGACGACCAGATGTTCGACCCTGAAGCCCAAACTCTCGTGATTTGGACGTTGGTTGATAGCTCTACTACTAGTGGGAGCAACAAACTACAGCAGATATCCACCCTTTATTATAGTGATAAGAGCACTCCAACAATACATCCAAAGTCATGCCATAAAATTTTTTAAAGAGATGATGGTTCGTTAGTTAGGAAGTGGAACGGGGGTTTTGGCGCGCGAGCGGGTGCCTTCGGTGTCGCTTTCTGCGGCAACCTCTGTATCGACATCGTATGTTTCTGCCCAGAACCTGCCTGCTTGGAGGGCAAGGACGCCGGTGAGGGCGACACTGCAGATGAGGTTGCTTGACGCCAGGTCGAGGGTGGCGCTGCGAAGGAAGGCAGGGAAGGCATCTGTGAGTTCATGGGGAGGTAGGGAGGTGAAGCTGGAATATACGACTAGAGAGAGGGATATGTCACGGTACATTTGTAAAAGTAGTGAACGCTCCAACCTGGTATTACAGAGTACAAGTACATGGCCACTGTAGTGCCAAACAAAACTACAAGCACTACTGTTAGAATCCAACACGAGCTAAGGCAATGGTGCTCACATATGCTCCCGCCGTCGAACATAAGATTTCCGGCCTCGCCGTCTCTGAGGCTGAGTAGGATGGTGACGGCGCCAGCGAGAACTGTAAGAGCCATGGCGTAGTACATCTCAGCTGGCGCCTTTGTGAGAATAGAGTAGTAGGATGCAGCGATCCATAGATTTTTGTCAGTGACTGGGGATTTCCAGAGGGTGAGGGCGTCGGCGATCCAGTGGGTGAAGAGCTGGCCTGGAAGGTAGGAGGTGAGGCAGCTGGCGGACAAAGACATTTGCTGGCTCACCGAGAAGAAAACTGGTCACACAGACAACGATGCTCGCCCGTAACCCCATCGCTGCTTCAACAGACCCACAATTTGCCATGTGATTTCCATTACTATTTTTATTTATTACTAATTACAGTAATATCGCGGGAACAAAATCTCGAGGAAACACCTGTCGTACATTTATGTTGATCCTCGTCTTACTCATGTAGCTCGCATACCGTGCCCAGTCCTCATCTCCACAATCAGCGAGATGCGGCGGAAGTGTATCATCTAGTATACGTGGGACACCTGTCGGTAGTCAGTATCCTTGTTCGGGCGGGACAGGTCCAGGTTTACCGTGGTATGCCCTTCGACAGGCAGGACCAGACATGATAACAACATCTCCAGACCGAAGAAGAATCGGGACAGGTTCGGTGTCCCGTGTCGGTCCTCCAATCAGAAATACAGCCGCGTTACCAAGACTAGGGAAAGGCAACTTAGACTGTGCCGCGAAAAGACGAATTCAGGACGTACGATATGGACACTAGCGGGGCAGTAGCACACACTTCAGAGCGATCGACGTGGGCCATCAAGGTATCCTGAAAGAGAGTCGGCCAATCACTTTATTGAAAAATAGATACATATACCGACTTTGGTCTGGTAGAAATTCACGATACCAGCGTCTGGCTCTGGTGGACATAAGTATCATTGAGCAAGATCACAATTCAGTCACACACCATAATTCTCGTTCCACGACTTCCAAGAAAGCTGTTCATCACCCCAGTCCAGACCATCCCAAGTATTATATATTTTATCCCAGTCAATTATTCGTACAGCCTCTTTACAAACGTCGCTCAAAACATCGTCGACCCGAGCCTTACCCTTTGCAAAATCATACTGTTTGGTTCCCCAGTGGTAGTACCATCCAATATTGGCCCACCGCATTTTACGCAGAAGATGGGAGCATGGCAGCGGCTGAGCAGTTGCTGATGGAGTCGGAGGCGGTTTAGGCATTTCCACCATGGTCTGGAAGTTGTCGGTGCTGGCTGGGGCGTTGTTTATCAGCTGTCGGGGCCCAGTGCAGGTCTCGTGAGGCATAGATGAAGGGTCTGGGTTCCGTGGTTGCACTATCACATCTTCGTGGGCACTTACGTTCCAAAGACCCTCTTCCGGAATAAAATAGTGGGTGTCCAGGTTCGTTGGATTGGGATGTCGCGCCTGACTGGATAGTGACCAACGAATGAGATCTTTCTGCCTCTTGTGAGACAGAAAAGAAGGAAGAATAACAAGACCTGTAGGAGCATTAGCACTCAACAAGGCTTCACACATACACAGACCAGGTATCGATGGTATCGCATACGCTACCCTCGCGTCCTTCAGCTTGATTTCTCTGAATTCAACAGCTTCCGAGCGTCCGACCCAGAATCCGGCTTCGAGTTCCTCTGATCTTGTGTTGTCTAGAGTAGCAAGGTCCAAGACATTGGCGAGGCTCGGAGGGGGAAACCGCGCCTTGTACATCTTCTCAGCTGCCCTAAACGGTGTCCAGTCCACATCAACTGCATTGTTTCTATTCTTCGTTGTCTTTTGGTGTTGCCGTTGCGCCTTCTTGTACGCTGCGCTAGACGTATCTTGGAAGGAAGGCATGGGTGGTCGGCATCTCCCGGCCGAACCTGAACCTTAAACTGTACAGTTCTGCTCTTTTCCCACGCACTCTCCTCCGCCAGTATCGTTTGGCTCTTGGTATTATCTTTCATAGTCGAAATGGAAAACGACCAGGTAGGGTTTCTAGCAATTCTCGCACGTTGTGTTCTAGTACTGAATCTCTATGAAAAGGGTGCTCTCGTTGATCTCTACGTCCCTCGCAAATGCGCGGCCACAAGTGCGCTTTTTTTTTTTGTCTTGGCTTCCACTGTGGACTTATGTATCCGTAGACCGTCTCATTACCTCCAAGGATCATGCATCCGTTCAAATTAACATTGCTGACGTAGATGCGAATGGCCGTGCTTTGACTACGTCTACGACGTTTGCCCTGTGCGGACAGGTGCGGTCGCAGGGAGAGAGCGATGACTCCTTGAACAGGTTGGCAACCCAGGCAGGCCGTAAGTCGTGGTTCTTCGTTGTATATCTCTTGCTCTCATAGTCTGTTCTTAGTGCTTAAAAACGTCTGGTCATACCAGAAGTGATTCGTCATTGTTTTGTTATACTTTTTGTTACCAAAATCGAATTACATAATCATTTTCTGTTTTGCGAACACGTGGAGATGACGTACCCTATTTTGGTCACTGCGCTGCTGTGCAGTCGATTGATGTATATATTATATATATTATCCGTCCCTCAATGAGCGAAGACATTTCCTCCTCTTTTGAGAGTTCTCTTTCTGCATTTTCTACTAGCTCAGTGCGTCGTATCCGTTTTCTTTGGCGCCTTTTGCGCATCTGAACCCTATCTTGCTCCAGTTGGACTCTATGGTGGAGATCAAACACACTGATTCTGTTCTCGGATCTTCTGCCAGAGCCCAGCCCTTGGAGGATAGGTACCGCTTGGTATATTCAAAGAGTAAGGTGTATGTTAATCCGACGGCGTATGCGAGGGATAACATTCCCGGCTTTGTGGCCCTTGTGAAACGAGTACGTCCAACTGAATCATGTTTGGCTAACGCTCAATGGCTGCAGGAGGCCTTCAACCCGACATATCTTCTCGCCTGGATTCCGGAGACACTGTTGAATGAAAAGGGGACCGAAGAATGGGATAAGTTCGTCAAGATTGAGGAAAAGGCCCCAATTGACGACGAAGATGACGGTGAGTTCTGCTGTTATGCATGGGTTCCGGTCTGACTTGATGCGCTGCAGATGTCGTCCTCATCGACCTCCCAACACAGCGACCCGAGTCCTATGCATTCTCCGTTCCCTTGACGTCAATATATTCCTTGGTACTCTACCCACCATCCTTCTCGTCATGGCGTGCGTCGTCGGTCCAATCCTCTTCTTCAATGCTCACCTGAATTCGTTTAGATGGCTCCGTTGGAATCAACCTCATCAACGGTGACACACTTCCTACCTTGTACTTTCATGACGATGAATCACGTTCTTTCGCCGTACCAGTCCCTCAACCCCAGCGGAAGCAAAACAGTGTCACATCCTATCCACCTCCACCATCGCCTTCCGTAGCTTTGAAATCGCCTAAACCCAATTCATGGGGCGGCGAGGACCTCCTAACCCGGCTACGTTCATTCGCCCATGTTTTACGATCTACCCTGCAACCTTCGCTATTCCTCATTGACCCTTCTCGAGCGGACATTGAAGCACATTCTACCCAACTATTCGATGACGATGCTGTAGACGATATCTTGGCCCAGTCTTCATATGTAGACTCTCATTCTCCCGTTCCAGCTCACCGACGCCCTCGACCACTTTCGATGGCATCACCGAATCCCTACTCGAACCGTTTATCTGTTCTTCATCGTTCACTGGCACCCCCAGCCACGAATACGAACGGACAGGCAACCTCCCAGGCTCGTGTTGCGCTTCTTCAATCTTTCTCCAACATCACCCGAGCTACGCGCCATGCCGCACAGAATATTCTCTCCCATCCTCTCGCAAAGCCCATAGTACCCCATCTACCCGACCCTGTCAAGAGTCTCGTAAACGCGAACGGAGAATGGGAATGGGGAAGCTGGGTCGAGAAAGGAGGCGTAGGTGAATTCGAGAGTGCTAGGGTCTATCTAGCGCGTTGGGCCAGGATTGTCGCAGAGGAAGGCGAGCGTGCTCGACGGCGTGAAGCAGAGGCACTTCCGTCATCGTCTAATTTGGCCGAAGAATCCTCCTCGTTAGGCATTTTTGAGTTGCTCCATTCAACGTCGAATCTGCCGACACCCAAGACGTCCCGGAATCCTAATCATCCTGTCAACGAGCTTATGTGGTCTCAGTGGTTTGCGGAGGATGGCCGGCCGACCGTTCGTATAGAACATATGAGACGAGAAATATTCCGGCGAGGTATTTCGGCTCGTGGGACGCTGAGGCAGCGAATATGGCCCTTCCTACTCGGTGTTTTTGATTGGGACGTGACGTCCGGGGAACGAACCAAGAACTGGGAGACAAAGAGGTGAGCTCTCTGCCGTGTTCTATTATCTTCTTCACACCCGTATTTCAGGAAACAGTACCAGGACATAAAGGACGAGTGGTGCGGTGTTCCGGATGTATTCGACAGACCAGACGTTCTGGAGGTGACTGTTACCGACTTTATGCCTATGGCATTCAATGCTCAAAGTCATTTCCAGGAACGCCACAGGATCGATGTGGACTGTCGACGAACTGACCGGAATCAACCCTTGTTCTCGACGCCGCCGACCACATCATCGTCTACGCCGACTCCAGGTGAAGACGATGAGAAGGAGAGGGCAAAGCGGTATTCCACAATTTCACCAAGCATGAATGATATTGGAGCACAATCGCCCAGCAATGAACATATAGACCGGCTTGCCGCCATTCTCCTTACGTACAATTTCTATGAAAAGGAGCTCGGTATGTTTAGTTACGGAAAGGCACCATCATGTTCACCTGGACGCTTTTTATAGGGTACGTGCAAGGAATGTCCGACCTCTGTGCGCCGGTCTATGTCGTGATGGATGCCGACGAAGAGTTGACATTTTGGTGCTTTGTTGAGTTCATGCAGCGGATGGTAACGACATTTTTCAAAAATTATTGCCACTGGTCTTAAGTCTCATGGGGATTTTAGAAACAAAACTTCCTTCGCGATCAGAGCGGCATGAAGAAGCAGCTCTTGACTTTGCAGCAACTCATTGGCATGATGGATCCAGAACTTTATCGTCATCTCGGTATGTTTTAGTTGATTTGGGTTCTAGTGAAAACTAAATTAGTTCCAGAAAACACCGACGGCTTGAATCTGTTCTTCTGTTTTCGGTACGGAAAGTCGTTCATGCGTGTTGAGATTATGACTTATGTCGTTTACTTAGCTGGGTTCTCATTGCATTTAAGAGGGAATTTCCCTTTGATGACGTTTTGCGCTTGTGGGAAGTCTTATGGACCGACTACTACAGCAATGACTTTGTTTTATTTGTCGCGTTGGCTGTCTTGGAGTCTCACCGAGACATGATTTTGCGGTATTTGGTAGAGGTGTGTAATTCCCTAAACATCCGATGGTCGTGTCTAACCGCTTCCCTCTGCTAGTTTGATGAAATTCTCAAGGTAAATACCACAGTCGAGATCTCGTTTGCTGAATACTTATATATATGCAGTACTGCAACGAACTGAGCATGACCATCGAACTAGACACGACACTGGCACAAGCCGAAGTACTCTTCCTATCTTTTGCGCAGCTCGTAGCAGACATAGACAGACGGCAAGCAGAGGAAGCATATTCTTCCCCGAATCAAACGGGTCTTCGGAACCGTGGATCCAATGAAGTGCGGGTTGCGAATCTGCCAGAATTATCGAGCAATTTGAGAGAACTACTACAGGCAGGACGAGCATAGAACGTTTGAGCAGGATTTATGTACCAATTGGATGTCCAATGTATGTTTTAGCTTAGTAATACTTTATACCTTCCTCTTAACTGAGAATGGTTACAAAACATGGACTCTCTTCGCCAGACCTCAACGTCGACGGCAACAAACGTTTGCGGCTGGCAGAAAATGATACTACGAAACATTTGGAGTACAAGTCAACCAGCGCATGTTTTCAAGTACAAATCGACCCCGACGTCCAGCTCGATGACGACGACGCTGTTAATCCCTACGACAAAGACGTTCCCGAGCACCTCCAGCTCGCCACTCTTACCGTCGGCCCTGGAAAGAGCGGCGAGTTCACCAAGCTTTGCTTCAGATCTGCGTACTGGGCGTGTCTTGCCATCCATGTTCTACTGAGCGGTCTTCGTACAGATGTCGGGAACGTCCTTGTTTCTAGCCAGATTTACTGTACTGTTCAGTTCATTGTCTAGAACGCGTTCTCTCTTGCCTACCCTCTAATTCACGGCGCAGATGTAACTCCTGTTCCAGAGTCCCAGTTCTATTTAGGAACGATGCAGCCGAATTTTGCCTCGAAAGTTCATCGGAAATGGGCGCATACGTCAAGAAAATTTGTGTATCTTTGGAATTCAGCTAACCACCCGTGGCTCAGGAGAATATTGGAAGTTTTGTTTCTTTTGCCTTCCAACATCATATCAAGTTCGACTTGCGAGTTTTTCTGGTATATCTCCTCATTGTTCGTGCACAAATAGAGGATCCGCGACTTTGCTTTCCTTGGCCACAGGAAGGATGTCAAGGCTGCACTAAGTGTCAGGACTGCCACAATGCTCGGAGACTACTCCAAGGCGAGATGTTGCTTCGCTCCAAGATGCTCTGGGTTTCTCGCAGGTACCAAGCCCAGGAATTGAAGCTATTGACAAGCTCATCGATCTTTCGTGCGGTTGGATCAAGGAGTGCTATTCTGCAATGAGCGACAGCTGCATCAAGAAGAAGGATTCCCGGTCTGAAGTTATACCTCAGCTTGCATCGGTACGTCGTGCCGCAAGTCAAGCTTATGATAATGGCAGCAGAGTGTCTAGGAACCCTGGCCAGAGAAGAAGGCCGAAGTTTTAGGGTAGCTAGAAAGTGCATGGGCTGGTATAGCCAGGGTAAGTGAAGTCTGAAAAGTTTCAGCAAATCTGACTGTTTCAAAAGGCTTGGTCGCAAGATGTACGCGGATACAACCACATGCGTCTTCAAGTAACATGGCGGTATTCTAGTATTTCTTACGTTCCAGGCGGACCCAAACCGCTGTCTTGTGTGTGCCTATGGCCAGTCGTATTGCGATCCCATCCCTTGTCGGTGCATGCATACATGGCTATCAATATGCGAAAGCTCGCCAAGTATACCAACGGCCTGTCGAACTCTTTCGCCAGCAGGACAGAAAACGGCGATTTGGACAAAAAAGGTCGGTCGAGACCAAGGACAACGAATTACATCAAGACGAGGACAAAGCCAAGAAATGTGCTGCAACTACTACTCGCGTATATTCTCCCTACCTCGTCCTTCGAGTCTTATTTAAGTTGATCATTATCACTGTGCTTAGAAAGTACACCTTGGTCATTTACATCTCGCTTACAACGCACCCCACCTTTGAATCTACAATCATCTGGCATGGCTGCGTTTACTAGGGTGCCTTATTCAGACCTAGTAACGAAGATGCTTTGGTACTATACCGTGAAGCTATGCTGTACGAGCAACTCGCCAACTTAGATTTATTAGACCGGCCTACTGTGCGCTTTTGTGGTCTCTTCGAGGACTGCGATGGTATGACAAACCTGGTAATGGAAGATGCTGGTGTTGAATGGATAAGTTCGATGACATGAGTCGATGTATGAAGTACGTGATCTTCTCTCTGTTGTGTAGGAAAAAGACTGATCAATTCCAGGATAAAGATTTACGATGCATTTTGTCGTCTTCATGGTGGTTTGATTAGGAGATGGTGTTGGGTATATAAAGTCAAAAACTTGAGACTTTGTTAATGTACAAGTTGTCATATAGCAATGAAGTTCATGACATCTGAGCTTGGCTTTGGACCACGATGGCAAACCTAACCATCCTACGCAGCTACGCAAGCAAACTGCCAAGCAGTCTCCCACCCTCTGTTCTCTTCAGCCACACCGACACAACGCTCACCATCTACGATGCATTTCCAAAATCCATCTTCCACTTTCTCATCCTCCCACGCGTCCAGACCGATTCGCCGCTAGATCTTTCCAGTCTGAAATCACTCCTCAAACGTGATAAGATGCGTGCCAAAGAGGTTGTGGAGAGTCTGAGCGACGCTGCGGCGGCGCTACGAAAAGAAATCGAGGAAGAGATGGTCAGGCGGTACGGCTTCAAGTGGGGGATATGGACCGGGTTTCATGCTGCGCCTTCGATGGAGTGAGTGCTTGAGCCGGGGTTTGCTTTGATTCTTGACGACCTTGGGGGAATGTACAGGCATCTCCATCTCCACGTCCTCTCTGCAGACTTCTGCTCATCGAGGATGAAAAACAAGAAACACTACAACACATTTCATCCTAAACTTGGGTTTTTCTTGGATATCAACGAGGTCCTGTCTTGGTTTGACGCTGACCCGTCTTATTTCTCTTCAGTGCGTGTACTGCTCATCTCAACCGCTTCGATTTACCAAACACATTTAGATGGCCAAACTGGATCCTAAAGAATACGAAGCTCTTTTGAAAGAACCTCTAGAGTGCTGGCGCTGTGGAAATGAGATGAAGAACATGCCCATCCTGAAAGCACATCTCCAAGAAGAATGGGACAAGCAGGCCGCTCAAGAGAAAGCCAAACTAGAGAGGAAACGCAAATTTGAGGCTAGATCACATAAAAACGACGGCGATGAGCATCACGATAAGAAACCGAAACCAGAAAGCGAAAATGTCCACACTCTATGACGAGTCTACTAAAACACAATGTTGTACTTTGAAATGCCTATAAGTTTCTAGCGTCGTACAGAACTTGGTCTATAGGTTACTGTTTTAAGCTTTGTGCTCACTTGGCGGCGGCAGCGCTGGCCTTCAGTTTTTCAGCTCGGGACTTTTCACTGGCACGACGAATAGCCCAGGTCAATTCGTAAGTCCTGACCGCATCTGAAAGACGGAGCATCAGAACGCTCGAGCTCATATGATTGACCGCACACACTGACCATCGTACGAGCTCAATATCTGTGCCGCATCTGGATCTTCTTCGATATCCTCGATGATATCAATCAAGTTGGATACCTCGGAGAAGAAGGGATCGTCATCGGGGAAATTAATGGTTTGTTCGTGATCGTCTCCAGGCCTACGCACACAAAGGACAGGTTGCACATATGGGTTAACAAGCCTAGGTTGAAGAGCACTGTCAGATAGGTGTCCAAGAACGGGGTAGGTATATATTTACTTGAGGGAGTACCCGTCGGCGTACACTTCCAGCTCGCAGCTGTAGTTCGTACCCTGCAACGCTGCGATGTGAGTAAAACTACCAACGGCTCCACTGTCGTACTTCCTATGATACATGTCCATGTGAGCAGCTGTCATGATTTACGTCCTCAAGGAGTCTTACCACGTAGCGGCGGTGACACGAGGGATTCTATTTTCAGGAGCAATCTTACTCTCATCCACTTTTATCGCCGACAGATGTCCTGCATTCTCGTCCCACTCCAACGAGTGAGCAGAAACGGTAGAAATGTCGACTTCGCCTCCAAAGTAACGCGAAAGATCACAGAAATGAGTTCCTTGTTCCACGATTGGTCCTGCGCTAATCAACCCCATAATTTAATGTCAAGGGAAAAATGATATGAGCTTACAGGAACCCACCTCTTGGACTTGTCCCACCAATCTGGCTTAGCAATGGCCTCATATGCGCAGGCGTAGCGAGCGATGGTAGCCATAACTGTCAGATTATTCTCTTCGATGATCTGTTTCATCATCTGTACCGCCTTGAGGTATCGCAACATGTAACTAGTGACCGCATAAGTTTGATTACAAATTTGTGCACAAGAACCCGTACCCAACGGAACAAATGGTTTTGCTGTCACTGATGGTCTTGGCAATGGTAAATGCATCCTGGATCTCCGCCTCAGGGCCTGTCGCGATGGGTTTCTCAATGAACATAGCAACACCAGGGAAATGCTTGAGTATCTGCATCTCGATATCGCGACCAGGTTTTAAGGTCCCACGAAACATGGGGGGACTGCCGACAATAACAGCGCGGGGCCTGTCCTTTGGCGCCATGTTTTTGACGAAGTCCTCGAGAGTCTTGAAGACACGGGTACCTTGGTATGCAGACACGACGAAGGAGTCGCATTTCTTCTGAAGAACGGCAGTCGCACGTTCAATGGCGGGATCGATAAGAGCTACGACCTTGAGGCGAGGACCAAGTTTGCTGTCAAACGGAACGTGTTGATAAGAGCTGCACAGCTGGTCCAGACGTACTGTTCAAAACGGAAGGAGTGGTTCCAGGGTCCCTCATCGGAGCCTACATCGAGATAAGAATCAGATAAAGACGTTTCTGCTCAAGTAACCTACCGAACATGATGTTCCCGGCTCCGATGAAGAGAACATTGAAGTCATCAGACCCTCCGACATGAATCGCCCTTTTTACGTGTATCAGAGAAAACAATGGATGATCCAATGCGAAAAATACGGACTTGTCCATGGGAATGAGCCTCATTGGATCGATAGAGGGGCGGCGAGAGCCAGCAGAGTAGTTGGAGCCTCTGCGCTCCGAGCCGCGTCGCTCCGAGGCTCGACGAGCAGCAGTAGGAGAGTGCAGGGGAGAAGAAGGCATTCTGAAAAAGCGACGATGGTGGTTGAGTAACAAGAGAAATTTAACAGAGGCGAGGCGAGATGAGTACAGAGTCACATGATCAATGACATCATAGCGAGAAATTATGAATTAATTACTGAATATAAGTTGGTATGCGATTTGTGTGAATTTGGGTACAAACAACGAACAAGTAAAAAAGAGTCCTTTTAGGTAGATGACGGCTCAAGAATATGCTGCTGCTTGTTCCTCTTCTGCGCCAGCTGCGCTCGTTTCCTCTCTGCCGCCTCCAGTCGGTCCGTCATCGCCTTCAGTTCTGCCTTGAGCTTCTCGTTCTCCTCCGCCAGCTTCTGCACATTCGACGCTCGCTTCTTCACTTTTTCCTGGTCAACGTCAGGACTGTACACCACCGATCATCAGCATCGGACCCATCGCCACAGCGAACGGAAGGTAACTCACTCGCTGGACCCACTGATGATGCTCGATAGGTCAAAGTCCAGGTTAGGAATTTCAGGAAGGAGTGGGGAGGTAGTGAAGGCTTCAGATTCGGTATCCGTGCCTAAATGAATCGATTCTGTGTCCTTTGCTGGCACGCTAAATGCTGTCTGGTAGGTCGTTGTTGCTGCCGTCTCTCGACTATTGGAGCATAAGATATGTCAGATTGGGCTACATGACGACCGATGAGAGGGGGCACCGACGTGGGCATATCGTCTCGAGAATCAAAACGGGAGCTCATTGCGAGAGGCGGGCAGTCGAGAAAGGTAAGGAGGGTTTGACAGCGCTGCAACTGAGTGTTGGTAGTAAAGGCCAGTTGGAGAGCTTCATTGGTGTCATTGGTAACACGTCACGCGTTCGTCACTGATCACTGATTGTTTGATCGCAAATTGTCGACTGTCTCGTTCATGACATTTCCCATTCGTGATGCTAAATGCGCTGAACATCGGGCACTGGATATTTTTCTCGTCCACAGCCTTCTTTCTTATCGCATCTTATGCTGTCCTCTTCAGCTCATTCCTCCCTTTGACCGGTATTAGTGTAACACATACATAACTATCCAGTCAAGATTAACGACGTCTCTAATCTTTTTTCAGGTAATCGATGCTCTGGCACAAGACACACATTACAAGTATTTTGCTGTCTTCCTAGTGCCGACAAGCGCTTATTTCGTGATTGCCAATTGGGTCGGTTGGCAGTACTATCGAAACACTTAAATCAAGTACGCGCAGTGTACGTGAAAGAATGCTTTACACCTGATCAGAACCTTTTTCATTTGCAGGACAATCCCATACCATATGCGAGAACAAAACATGATGCATGATGCAGGATACATAACGCATACATAGAAATAAATACGTCAAATAAATACCACTCATGGAGATCGCCTTCCAATAGACTGCTGGATAGGAGCCTTGGACTTTCTCTGAACATTTTGAAGCTCAAGCCACAGCCGGCTGGGTCCCTCGCTACCGATACCGCTCGCAGTGGTCGATGGTGCAGGCGGGAAAGCTGGACTACGTCCACGGAAACCACTGATCCCAGATTTAGTTGAACGAGCGGGGCTCGGCTCGCGCGTTCTACTTGATATCCCGGAACGCGCGGGACTCGTTTCTGATCGCGGTTTGGAAGGAACTAGACTGCTTCGTACCCCAAATGGCCTTGGCGGGCTAGGTTCCCGGTCCGTAACAGAATCGACAAGTGGCGTCCGACGCAGGAGCACACTTCGAAATGGTTGTGAAGGCGCCCCTTCCGGACGTGGCACCGTCGGTCGACGTGGGGTGCTGCTGGCCGTTGGCAATCGAAGCTGTCGTGCCCGTCTATACAGATAAATATTAAACCCGAATCTGGAACATACTTGATTTCCGGCACTCACGCAACTGCTTTTCGGGCAAGCTTGGTACGATGCGCCTGAACCCAGTTATCAAGAAATCTTGCTATACAGAGATGAATACACCGTAAATTTGCTGAATAAAAGCACACATACTTAGTGTGTTCTTTTTGTCCACCTCGCGAGCTTTCCTAGCGAGCATTGCGCGAGGCATTTGACTAGTCCAGATTTTCCAATGCTTCGTTTTGATGTGAGTTGCATGGAACCGAATGGCAGGCAATGACTATATTTTTTTTTACATCAAGCCGAAAACTGAGGACAGCAAAATTCCTTTTGCGTACCTTAGTCTTAGTTTTCCATGCATTGAATACCTGACGTAGTGCATTTAGTTGATTCCGAATGAGGAGCTCATATTCCTGGTCATCTAATTAAAAATGAACAGAACTCGTAAGAAAATGACACTCACAATCGGCCGAAGTTGGTCATCTTTGAATTTGTCTCTCCACTTGTCCCATGCCATTTCCATGGTTGCCAGCTGGACTTCATCTTCTCGCCGCTGTAAAAGAAGCCTTCGGTGGCGAGCTGCCCGAGCTGCAGTAAGCCACTGATGGAAAACGCGCCGAATATTATCTGTACCGCTATCAGCGCAAGAACTAACTACAAGTGGATGAAATGAAGCCCACCTTCTCTTTTTACGTCTCGATAGCTTTCCATGAGACTTAGCTCCTCGACGTGACGCATACATATTCGCTTCCACTTATTAAATGCAGCCCTTTCCCCGCCGTCAGTCCGACGTGCTCGCAAGGGGAAAAAAAAAAGTGCTCACTGGAGGATTCCTACTTCATGTCGCTGAGTCACCTCAAGTTCCTGCAGCTTGATGTCGATGACACGGTTGGTCCATTGCGTTAATGCCGATCGAAGGATTCTCTGCAAAAAGTTAAGCCGGTAATAACGTAACTGAAAGTAAAAACGAACGTGTTTGACCCGAATGTCAAAGAGGGTACACTCCTGATGGCGCCTGGCATGCCCAGCCCACACTGAAGAAAAGATATCAGAATCCCCGCAGTTGCTAACATTATACTTTCGCACCCATAAATAACTTCCGGAGTTTCTGGACTTTGAACGTTTGAAACTGGCGTTCTCTTTGCTTGTCGTGGTACTTCGCTTTCATGGTATTCCAAGCACGCCGCATAAGAACGAATTTCTCCATGAGACGCGATTTTTTCATCATCTTGAGCTGCTCGTGCCATCGAATACGCCATATTAATAGCATGCGGTAACGGAGATGAGACGAATGATATTGAACTGCGAACAGATGCGAGTTCTGATGGGTCGATAAAACCTGTCGCCACGTCTGGAAGGTCTTGCGAGCGGTGAGTGTTGACTGCGCATAGAATGAAGATGCGATATCTGGAGGAACATTAGCTCTTGTGGAAAAACAGAACTCTAAACAAACCTTCCCGAGCCCGTTGCTCCCGCAGCTGCTGTTTCCATGCTAACCAAGTACTTTTGACCAGTCGCACCGCCTTCACCCTCTCGAGCAAGCGCCCTCTTTCACGGGCTTTCCACACCCTTGTGACGGCACGACGAAGAACATCATCCTGCCTAGCAAGATGCTTATCCGCACGGCGTTCCATGTGCTATATTGAAATAGTTATAAAATGTTATGAAACGCGCAATAAACATAAAGCACATACATGAATAGATAGCTGTGCGGCTTTCCATCGTCGCATGACGTTTCTTACCACGATTAGATTGCGGTATTCCTCTGCTGAAATTAAGTCATTCCTGACAAAAATAGATGAACAAATTAGACGCGCGCTTAGTGGGTGTGATATATACTCACATCTGTTTCTGCCAAGTTCTCATGACTTGTCTTTTAACCGTTTGCCCGACTCGTCGCACAATTATACTCTCAACAGTGCGCAAGTGTGTCATCTGCCGCCAGTGAGTCCAGCACCTCTCGACAGCATGCTCGGCTCTCGCGCGCTGTACCTCATCGGCAACATCCTCCAGACCGTCAACTGCAGACAGTTTATCTTTCCAACGTTGAATGAAGCGGAGGGACAATCTCTCATTGTAATGCTGATCGGAAAGATGTGACTTGTACGATTGACGCCATTTAGCCCAGGCATCTTTTCTCAACCTCTCTTCCCGCTTAGTACGAACAATCTTCATCTTCGACCGCATCGAATTTCGCCAGTTTTCATGTTGTTTGCCGACAAGACTGCGTCTCCAACGCAAAAAAGCCTGCTTCATCTGGCGATTATTCGCCATCGCGTCGGCATTTTGACATGTCCGCCGGTAAGCAACCAAGCGACTGTTCCAACGTTGAAGAGTAAGACGCATAACAAGATTGTCGCGAGCGTCTTGGATTTGATCATTAGTAGTCTGTACATAGATGAAAAAAGAATGAGATGTGTGACGGTACTAGGCTTACTATAATCCATTGGAAGCCTTGTTTCCAGACATCCCAGCATCGTTCAATCAGCCTAAGCCGACAGAAAGCGTCCGCCTCTTGTTCGTCACGTAACATATCAATCTTCTTCCATGCGTCATCTTCACTGATGGCGCTAGCCTTAACAGGCAGAACTGTTGGCTTGCCATACGGTACCGGCGTAGCGCTTTTGGGTGGGGGCCTGGTTCGAGACAACGGGCTCTGATAATTTTGTCGGTGTATCAGATGATCATTGGCAGCAGCGTTGTATGCAGGGGGTGTAATCATGTTATCGCCGGCCATATCGGACTCTGACGATCCGAAGAGGCTGAGGCGGCGTTGGCGAGACAGTGGCATTAAGTGGGATGGTGGAAGCGGTGAAGAAGATGGCGGTATTCCCCTAAAGTCAAGACCAAGAGAGTTGGTAGTGATATCAGACGGGGGTGGAGACTGTCGTCGTCGAGCACGAGCTCGGATCAGGACCGGATGATGGTAAACAGCATCTATCACGTCTTCTGCTGTTTCATCTTGTTCGGATTCATTTTCGTGAGAATGCAGTGTAAAAGAGTCATCGTCGCGTGGAGGGGGGTTGGAACGGACAACAGCGCGTTCTGGTGGAGGTGCTGCTCGCTGTCGGCTGGTAGGTTGATTACTGCTTGTGCGAACAGCTATCGTGGGCTTGCTTTTCTCAGCATATCCTTGCTGCACCTTGACCATTTCCCACTTGTCAGCCCAGCTTCCGCCCTTTAAGGTACCCAGCTTCAGGAGTTTGCCGTAGTAGACGACCTCATGGGGATCTAGCCCTCGCTCCTGTAAGATATCGCTGTATGCCTTGAATACGGTGAGGAAGGTGGTGGCAGATGCACCTGCACGGTCGATGATGGCGTCCAACAAATTGACATCTTCTTGAGATAGACCAGTGAGCTCAGGTACTGGGGGAGCGGAACGCGACGAGGCGAGAGACTGGGTGATAGACTGGGCAAGTTCAGCAGCCTTGGAAGGAGGAGAGGATCTTGTAGGTCGAAAGGCCGACATGGTGCCCAGGCAAGGACATACGACAGCAGTCGCCTTTGCTGGCACTGACGAAGCGGACAGCAAGTATGTAACAACGGCGTCCCCCGTGAGCCATCCCTTGCTTAGGTCAACGTGACATAAGCATGACCGTAAGCGCACCGTAAGGGCCGCAACTCCACAGCCGCCACATCCAGGCCAGCGCAAATTGTTTAAAATTTTACAAGTCCTATTATAATTTCCGGTCGGTGGTACTATTACAGTGCTGTACACGTGAAAAGAATCAGAAGTATACAGGTAGCGCCGAAGATGCCTGCGACTCTGTTGGACAGTATGGACACTTCACTCGCCTATACGTTTAACAGAAAGCTTGAGAAACGAAGCTGTGGAATGCAAAGACCGACTCACCCTCCGGGTTTGCTCAGTTTCTGTAGGCTGTCTCTTGCTATAACATGGCCACATGTCATCATCATCGGCGGATTTGCTTCAGTGGACTGTTCCTTAGAGACTGGACATGTGAAGATTGAATGGTATCTGTTCTCTGAGGGAACCGGTATTTCAATCTGTTTCACAAGTTAAAGATACGCCAAAATCAAAATCGGCAGGTATATACACACCGGTAACTCGTCAGATTGGCTCCATTCACTCTTTCTCTCCCGCATCACGCGTTTTCCCTTTTCTATCTTGGCCAAGGCACCACCTCCACCGATTTTGGTCACTACTTTAAGCGGTATCTGTTTACTCATCCCTAAACTGGCACAATACTCCCTGGCGAAGAGGGGCTCAAGGTCCCAGTGTAGCGATGGCGATGCCAAATCCGCATAGGGAGAGGTCTTTAAACGGGACAACGGCAGGAATGCGAGGCAGGTCATCAGGCGCTTGAACTCATCTTCGTGATGATCATAAAACGATCGCATTGAAGAGTTCGCATATGCGAGCGCCGGGCGTGGGTCTGGGGGATGTGAAAATAACAGAAGTCGAACATATTGGGAACGATGTAGATAGAACTCTAGGGGAGATGCCCGTGATTTCAGAAAGTCTCGGTTTTCTCGTGCCCATCTTGGATACAATCAGCACATGGATTGATGAGGACGACATGAATCATACTGAAGTGCCGGACCCGTATCCTGATCCTTCAGGGCCTGTAGAATCCTATGAAGATCGATGAATTGCTCCCGCAAAACACTCGGAATATCCGTGTTGGATTCCTATAATTCTGTCTTCAATACAATGCACAAGATAGACGAGTCCCAAGCTTACCTCTAGAAGTGTCTGGGCCGTGTCGAACTGGCCTGTGCGTAGGAAGTGTAACACTACGGTTCGCTCCAACGCAGTAACGGCCTCTTCAGATGTGAACAGATTTGGATAAGAAGGCAGTGTGCTAGTGAATTTCTTTGGCAGACTCAGCATTCTCTCGACGACTGAGACAGACCACGCGTACCTTTTCCAGGGCTTTCCCAAGGCGAGACATTGAGGAATAAATCTCCTTCTGTCGCTCGTCGATGTCCTTTTTCCTTGACTCCGTAGTACGCGATAAATTAATGCAGGAGTCATCAGGTAAGTCACCTTCTATGCAGAGTTGCCTGGCAGTGCGGAGAGAATCGATAAGTGAATCCAGTGAGTCCGAAACGGAAGCAGATTTCGCCTTGGCTGAGGAGTCGCCAGTCAGCCTTTCCAGTTTGGTGAGCTCCTTTAGAGCGGCTTCCATAGTGTTCGTGATGAATAGAATTCAAATGTCGACAGCTAAAGACACGAGGCAGTGACGGTTCATCGGTCCGGGCACGTGACTCTTAGCCAAAAAAAATTTTTTTTTTTTCTCTGCAGGCTTTCTACTTTTAAAATGCCTCGCTTTGTCACTGGTGATTCGCTAGGAAACATAAAGTCATTGACATACCCTGTTTCTGGTAAAAAGACGGAGTTGGCCGTGCTCTCTGAGGGCCCAAAAAACTCTGAAGATTTTCAAAGGCCAATTCCTATCCAAGCTTTGGCCGTAGACTACAAGCCGGAATCAACTGTGGTATATACTCATCTCGAAATTCTGCCAGAATCTTATTTCATCTGCTCAAGAAAAGGTGGCTGCTGCGTATGGAGATGGCTCTGCTTCCACGTACTCCCTAAAGGGTAACACTCTCACCCAACTGCACCACTGGAAGGAGAACCGCGTAAAAGCGAATCAAAAATATGTTGGAATGTCCATAGCATCCCAGTTCGTCCATTTCCCTCGTCTCAGGACCCCGATTTAAGCGCGACACAGAGGAATATTTACCTGCACGTCAAATGGAGCCTTGAGAATGACCCCGCCATCTGGCACAGCTGCTCAGGCTCAAGCCGAACTGCGAACTGCACTTCTCCCCACCCGACTCTATTCATGGAAATTAGCAGCGGATCAAGAAACTTTTGCTTATGGCGGTGACGAGGTTGATCTATCCTTATGGAATACCGAACAGGCGTTCCAGCAACCTGCAATGCCTCCCACAGCAGCTGTCACTAAAAAGAGGAAACGCAATACTGATCTCCTTCCAGGCGAGATATGGCGAGCCAAAAATGTGAGTTGCTTTGATGCTCCCATACTGTTTCATTCATCCTTTCTCGTCTAGGTCTCCAACGATTCGCTTAGTCTGCGCCAGCCCATACGAGTCACCTCCCTGGCATATTTATCTACAGAATCCCCACATCATTTCCTTGTCGGAACTCAGCTTGGGCATTTGAGACGATACGACACACGAGCGGCCCGTCGGCCTGTAGCTGATTGGATAGGCATCGTCAAAGCCGGAAGTGTCCGAGCAGTGGAGAAAGGGTTTTCGGAACAGTTCGTACTAGAATTACTTCTTCCTTGCAACACTCTCACTTCTCATTACCAGTGAGGCATTTGTTAGTGATAACAGTAACAGCATGTTTTCGGTGGATCTTCGCACAGGCCGCGCGCTTTACGGTTATAAGGGTTAGTGTCGCAGTTTAGCCAAGACCAGATAACAATATTTATCATCTTCAACACAGGAATATCAGGTGCAGTTTCGTCAATAGCGCCTTCGCCTACTATACTCGCATCGGCATCCCTGGATCGATATTTTCGATTGCACAGCACAGTCCCGCCGCCTTCTGAAATTGGTCAAAACTCTGAGGACAAAGGACAGATTTTGGACAAGGTTTATTCGAAAAGTATACCCACTGTCATCGTTTGGGATGGAGATATAGCCGCTGCGTCAAGTGCTGACGCATCTGCCGGTAATGAGGACGATGCTGTTTGGGATGCCATGGAAAATGTTGGTGAAGATAACGATGACAGTGACAGTGAACTAAACGATAAAAAGTGGCGAAAAGTTTGACAGATGTGAAATGCTTACCACTAAGTGTAGATATACGGCAATATATCATCGATTTATTTGAGTACATCATTTAGCTTATTAACATTCGGCTGGGGGCCAAGCTTTAAGCTTTAAGGGTTGTGTTGCCATTTTTTCGTTGAATAAAAAAGAAAGGATTTGCGACAGACTCGTAAATAAATTAGCTGGGAAGGTCAGAGACGCAACGATTATGGATTAGTCGAAGGCCCGTCCCTTTCTCCACCACAAATACTCTCCAGCATCTCCCGTAAATCCGCCGACGACAGCAGGTTCTGCCTCAATGCGCTGGTATACATATTCCACGCGAGATCCCTAAAGGAATCATACTCCTCCAGGACCTGGTCCTGCACGAGTCGAATCAAAACGTTGACCGTTCTGTCATCTTCCAGATAGAGCTTCAAACGGACAATGTTGGCATTCAAGTCTCGCTCGCACACAGCTCGAAAATTGTCGTTTAGTTCTTCCGCAGCAGTTTGTGTCGCCCATTCTTGTGTAATCAAAGGGGCGTTAGCAGCATCCTTTGTCCGCCAAGCGGTGTTGAACTCATCGACGCGGTCTACCCACGCATGGAGTGGCGCGCATAATGAATCGACACACTCCGATATGGCCTCTCTGCATGCTCGTCGTAGTTCGTGATCGATCCCCTGCAAATTCTGTCAGATACAGGCGAGGAAGCAAAAGTGACATAGATGCTACATGTTTTGCACCTCTAATACTGCCATCACCCCGCGGCATGCCCAAAGTCGAGAATAAGGCATCTGGGAGAAAAGCAGTGGTTTTATTCAGCAAAGACGACAACGTGTCTGTAGCAAATAGCAGGACTTGGTGTAGCAACAGTTCGATGAAACTTACCGGTAACACCAGCAAAGTTGATGCTGGGATCATAATCTCTCTGTACGAGATCCAGATTATTTGTAATTTCCTTCATAATGAGAAGATGACGGATAAGAAAAAGCTGTCCATCAAGACGGCTGGTAGGAGGGTTCTGGAGTTTCAGCGCCTCAGAAGCTGTAACGAGGGACTGTCGACACAGACTGAGAGCTTCTTGTGCGATATCTTCGAAGATGGCCGGCTGCGTTGAGCCGTTAATTGGATGTGAAGTAAAGCGTGAGGTGCTTGTACCTTTACAAAGTCATGAAGTTGCGACAGGACCCAGACGGTCTTCTGCAGTGTAGGAAACCAGGTGTCCTGTTTATCCAGCGATGGTGTCTTAAATATTTGGCTGATACTTTCCTTTTCTTTTATATCTGATACCGAGGCTGGCTTTCTTGCATCTGAGCACATTACAATCAAATCGTTTTTCAACTACCACTGAGAATAGCGTACCTAAAAGCTTATCAGGATAAGCCAGGTCCTCTGGTTTCAGCACGTAGTATCGGATATCTGACTGAATCACAGATTGTGCTTTGAAGAATAGTCGAGTCTGAGCATCCTGAAGGACCATCTGCAGAAGCTGGCTGACATGCAGCCGGCTGAGACCATGTTTCTTCCTCGGCCTCCCAAGGTCCAAATTGAGTTCGTCATCCTCATCGCCCTCATCCTCCGACAGATCAGGAATGTCAAGCACCATGAGTGCCTGTAAGACTGTGCATACTTCACATAAAGCCGTGAGTCTGGGCTCATGCAAAATTCGAGGCCGAAGGTCATCATAAAGGTAGTCGCAAAGGTTTTCTAGATACTGGCTAATATCTGGTTAAGAAGAGTAAACAAAGAATAGTATGCATACTCACTATAGCTGGTTTTCTCCCGAGTTGAAGAACTCCCTGAACAGATTGAATTCATCCATACATAGCTGTTTTAGATAACTGCATCCCGATCGAGTCTGAAAAGGGAATAAGCACGGGGGTTCACAAGATATATGAGCGACACTACGCGCCAATTCTACTAGCTCCGTACGGGTGGGGTCTAGTCCTTTGATCTCTTCTATTAGACGAGCCACCAAGAGTGCTTTGCGCGCACTGAAGTATGCGCTGTGACATTCTGATAGCAAGGATGAAAGTTCGTCCTTGTGGGCATATGCGCGACGTTCCAACTCTCCAAGGAGAGGAGCTAACTGGGGCGAAATACTTCGGAAACGCGTGTAAAGCAGATGCATCTGAGCCGTCGATGAAACGTCCTTCTCTGACAACCGCTTCGAAATGTCTGCTGATAATGCGCGCAAAGATCCTACGAAATACATCTTGATGAGCGTCATGGCGCGTGTCATACATTGTTGAAAGCGAAGTAGATAGACCTCGGCTTCCCGGAAATGACGCTACACAGGAGCGTAAGAAAGATATATGTGCAAGGGCAACCAGAGACATACATGGGCCTTGAGATAGTCAATACAGACGTCGACCCGTTCTACCATATACAAGAAGTCTGCCTGAAGTACAAGTGACTCCCCGGGATGATTGAGCATTTTTGTGGCATGCTCAAGCTCCTGGAAATATTCGAGACGCGCGCCAATGTCATCCGTTAACGTTAGAAGTCGATCCTGAGCATACTGATCAGCAATCGCGAGCCAGGCTTGGCTTGTGCCGCTCACTCGTTCTTCTAGTAGCCGTTCACAAGCATCTTTCAGACTCCTGCCGCCTTCCTCGACACCACGCCAGCCCTGCTGCATTCCATCCACTTCTTTGTCGATTTCATCAACGTGGCTAATTAGTTTGTCGCATGTATTCAGGTGCTCCGAGACGCTGGCGACGTGTGCCCGAAAATGGGCCTCCTGGCTATGGGCAACGGAACGGTCAATAAGGGTAAACCAGTCGTAGAACTGTTGTGGTGTCTGTATGGGCTGTTTGGGGTGTAATGCATGGGTCGACAAGGCAAGTCGTGACGAATTGGGTGTACTTGGTCGGGAACTTGGAAGGAATAATTTGTTCTTGGGCGTCGACGGCCGCGAAGGAAACTTCTCATCGGCACAAAACTGAAAGCAAATGAGAATCCAAGGCTTCAAAATATCTGTCCTGTGACGCACCTTGTGAGGTAGAGGCGGTCTCTCACTGGCAGCCTTTATGATGCCAACACTTCTGATCTCGACTTCGCTCAAGGGTGCTCTTGCTTCCCATTCCTCGACATTTATCGTTGGTCGCACCGGCGAAGGTGTATTCAATGGTACAGGGCCTCGGCGTGTTACCTTTCTGTTGGCCATGACATCGTCCAATGAAGGTGAAAGGTGGCTGTGCCAAGCTCAAATTATTTCCACTACTTTCAGTGTCTGCAACTACATAACGGTACTATACGTATCAAGCTCCCTGACCTATAGCACTACGCCAAGTGTGCGCTTTTTCGAACCCGTTCCTTCCGGTTTGATCTGCACCGACAAAATAAGCGTATTGAAATGAAGAATCGATTATTTAATGCGCTGCTTACAGTCAATAAGCGTCTTCTGTATCTCTTCACGGGTAGTCATTACAAATGGCCCATACTGGTAAACAGGTTGATCCAATGGTTCCCCTGCAACCTGTTTGCCGGCGCTGGTGAGATGACAGACGCATTTGAATCTAGAAGAAATACCAACCAGTATGAATTCGGTATTATTGTCTCCAGCTTTCACTGAAACCCCCGTCGACTCAGGCTCGCTCGACAGAGTAATCGTGTGGAATGCATTAGTAGCAATAGTGTCGTTTCCAATGATAACAGATCCTTTCCAGACTACAAAGTCATGTCAGAACAGGATCCATATGTGCACTTCTTCACCCACTGTAGATAAAAGCAGTCCAACCAGAAGCTGAGAGATTCGGCGTGAGTACAAGCAACTGGAACAATGCACCATAGACACCTACGGATATCTTGGAAGACGGTCGTATCCTTCTTGTCAAAAATGACATGGAAGTACCAGCAGCCTCCAAGGGGTCTCACTGGTGATTCGACTCCGTGACTCTTGCCACTGATTATCTTGATTCTGACACTGCCATCAACACCGTCTGGATATGCAGTAGGAATTCTGTTGACGCATATCTATAACGCAGTCACGAGTGTTAAAGATATAGACGTACTGCTCAGGTCCCAACTCCTGGTACGATGGTTCCACCATTTTATGCTGGAAAAGAAGATAATTAGGCTTTGCCAGAGACTCGTTATCATATCCACCTCTTTCGGAAGATCTATCCATAATTGTAGGCCTCGAGGGTCAGGCGCACCGTGGGCATGAACGGGCATCTCAGCGTGTATAATACCCTTTCCGGCGCACATCCATTGAACCCCGCCTTGTTCTAGCAGAAGATATCAGCTTAAGTGACTAGTCTAGCAATGATGTGGCTTGCCAATGGTACCCTTGTGGCCCGCTGAGTCCTCGTGCCGACTTGTCCTGTGCAGCTTAAGATGAAACCTCAAATCGAAAGAGAAAGTATTTAGCACTTACCCCTCTAACATATACGTGACTGTGGCCTGCCCACGGTGGGGATGATCAGGGAAGCCCTGGTACGGGCCCTTAAATAAAGAGATACTTGAAATCATATCAGACTCACTGCTCCTTGCGATACATGAAAATGGTCGAGCATAAGGAAGGGCGTTAGATTCCTGAGAGTCATGGAACCGATGCTTCGCCTAACCAGAGCTCCAGCGCCCTGAAACACAAGTAACGGATAAGCACTTGGATATGCAGGTAAAACCCCAGCACACTTCTGGCGTTTCCACAGCCAAAACTTTCTTTGCAACAGTTCGAGATAAAGCCATTGTGTCGGACGTACTGAAGCTGTGTGGAGAAAATAGAAAGGATAGAAGAGTGATGGCCGTCACAGAAAGAGCCGGAATTTTATACATGCAGCTATATAGCTAGACTCAAATACACTTATTAAATAAGAAAAGCATTGATCAGCAACGTCAGGGCACGAGAAAAATATTCCTGGTAAGGCTCGATGACGATCACATTACACGAATCTGCTGACACCAAGACTTCCCATTATTCAGCTGCAACACGCAGCCTTGAAAGTTTTGTACTCCCCACTATTCTACACAACTTGGTCATTACATCACTCATACATTTATATGCAACGCAACGTGAATCCTTCAGTGATTACTTGCGTGAGTTCTGCTTTGCTTCTCTAATATCCTGGGCTAGTAATGCATCGGGATCCCGACCACGTACTTCAGGGAGCAGAAGAGAAAAGACTAAAAATTACTTAGATGGCGGCCACCATGAAGGATCTTATGATCTACATACCGGCACCGACAATACAGCATCCGAAGAAGACTGAGAACCGCCATTAGTGACAAATTATAGTAAAACGCATGGACTAGACTTACTCCAGAGAACAGCAGGGGTCCCAATGTCTTTGCTTAGGGTATTGAATGCAAGGGCAGAGATAATAGCACCGGCCTTGCCGCAAGCAGCACTGATGCCATGAGCAAAGGCACGGAAGCGCGTCGGGAAAACCTCAGCTGGATAACACTGATGGCAGGATCAACATGGCACATGTGAGTAACAGTTTTCAAGACTTACGTATGTCGTTCTATAGATAAAATTTGACGTTCAGTTCAAGTGACCCAGACTGTCAGAGTATTTAACAACGCACGTGTTTGCCCCAAAGTTAAAGAAGAACTGGGCGAAGAATCAGAAAGGCAGAGCAGTCAGGAGCACAAAGCGCACCTGCAAAAATGCAAAGCAAACGATGAAGCCAGCACTGCTTAGCGAACTGAACTTTCCAGCCAGAATGCCCACTTATAGAGTAAGGTTAAATCAAGCAAAGGTAATGTACAGACGGATAATTGCTCACAAAACAAGGCAGCCATCAAGAAACCCTGGATCTGGATCCATTTCCGCCCAAGCTTTTCAATGGTAAGGACCGATACATAGTAGCCTGAACAGTATTTCAATGAAGAATCTCAAGATGAGATATTATCTACTGACCGGGAACGAAACCGAGAGCGGTAATGATGATACCGCCAGTAGAAATTTTAAAGAGCTTTTCCCAAGGTGTCCCGCTGCTGCCATCAAATCCAATCTGCTGAAGGACAACATTTTGGTTCAGGTTTATGCCGTAAAATCTACAAAAGCATCAGGCTAAAATATTTCGAGTCAAGATGACGCGTACGCTATATCAAGCAAGAACCAGCAAACACATGTTCCAACAAGCAGTTTGGCACGTCGCCATTCCGAGAAATAGTGAAGGAACTCTTTGAGATGAGCCTTCTTAGTCGCGATGATGTCAGGGTCTTCCATGGAGCTTTCTTGTGGGCTGTCCTTCTCCTTAGTATCACCAGCCGCTTCTGATCCCTCTTGAGCCTTCTTGATCTGCTCGATATCATCCGATTCAGGCTTCTTCTGAGACTCGATGAACCGTGTGGATTCAGCAAGTGTCAGACGCTGGTAGAGGGTTCCAAAGGCAGGAATAAGTGAAACACCAATAATAATGCGCCATACTACAAAGAGAATGAGATGCTAGCGTGCCCGTTGGATGACTGAAAGGAACATACCTCCATCTACTTTACTGGTTTCTCCCTTTGTATCCATGACGTGCTTGTATGCAGCGAGGACAATCATAGTTACCAAGCTGCCTGCGAGAGAGCCCCACCCCTGGTTTGCGAAAATATATGCCAGAAGTGTACCTCTCTTGCGAATGTTAGCACGATCAGAGGCGACCGACGCGGACATGGGATAATCCCCTCCAATGCCGACGCCCAGCAAGATACGAAATACGCCTAGATAAACGAGACAACTGTCCGGAGATAGCGATCCTGAATAATGTAAGGTTCCGGTGATATTATTGATGTATTAAAAACGCGTACCAGTGGGCGTGGTCAAGCATAGTATAGTGGCCAGGATGATGAGCATGAGCTCCTTGCCATCTGTGCCTAGTCAGCCCCAGGTGCTCCATATTCAGCGACACATGTACGTACAGACTGTTTTTCTCCCGAAAGCGTCCGCAAGATACCCTTTTCGCCAAGAATTGTATGAACAGTTTGTAGCCTGATAGTGGGACAGAATATCCTCACCAAATGCAAATTGTCCGATGACACTTCCGATATTTGCACCTGCTTTCATGAAACCTTCTAGGTTGGCTGGGAGCGAATGTCCGCCGTAAAGGCGGTATTGCAGCATGGTAGCGACAGGCTAGAGGTATGATGAGCATAGCAGCATCACGGTATAGATAGGATACTTACATTGATGATGAAAAGATCATAAGCTAGAAGGCGGACATGTCAACCAGTATATATGCGTGCAGGACAATCATGCGCACCGTCTAGGAAGAATCCAACCTGATATAAATGTCGTCAATCACACTGCAGGCTCCAGGATTCTGACGACTCACTCCAGCAATGCCTAGTAGCTTCATCTCAGTAAACGTAAGGACAAACGGTGGCTTTCCATCTTGTTCGTACTCCTCCAAGGCGGACCTGTTTGGAACATGAGCGGGCTGCGTGTCAGTCGTACGAGCGTCAGTAGAAGCGCCAGACATGATAGTCAACTATGAGGATCTGTGTCGAGCGGTAACAACGTCAGGATATTTATTTATCGCGTCGATGACGCACATTCTCCAAGTTGATATCCCACCGGTGATGCTGGGTGGAGCGAGACTGTTCTCGTATAAATTGGTCGTGTGCCGGTAAAAGTACATTTTGATAAAAAGACGCCCTCGGCAGGATCGGCTGTCGATGCGATCGGAATCAGAAAGTTGTGCCGCAGCTGGCTGGCCATGCGGTTCCACTGCACATGGGCCTTCGTTGGCTCTATCCGCAAACAGTACCCGAACGGCCATACAGTTCGACCCTTCTCTTCCTTCCGCACATTCCAGTCGCGTTTCACATTAGTCATGTTAAGTATAGACACATCAGGAAAAAGCCTTTGCTACGTAGCACTACGCAAACTACATAACCCAGATACCTTGCTGCCAGGACTACGTAGCATCGGATACTGTCCTATAGCTCTGTGTCTATAATATGTATAAGCGCATAGCGTCTCGGCAGCTCACTCCAGTACCAGGTCTCAGAAAGGCTCCACATAGTAAGAAAATTCACCAAGTTATACATTTGTCACATAAGAGTACGAAATCAATAAGTCAGAGGTACAGACTCAACACATGCGATAACCTAAAGTGAATCCCAAATTCTCTGCAGCCGAGTCCGAGGTCCTAGTGCTGCTTGTGCAGCCACAAACTGTTCCTCCTCTTCGTTTATGGACTCCAGTCCTGTTACCAAATCTACGTGTTCAGGCGGAATCTGTTTAGTCTTATAGTAGAGCTTATACCCCACGTAGAAGACGATAAACACCGGTATGCCGATATAGGACGTGATGAAGGTGTCGGTCGTAAAAGGTATGAATGTATCATAGCCCTTGAAGAGGGTGATGATGCATGTTGCGACGAGCGCGAACCAGCTCCCATAGGGCTGAAAGGGCGCTTTGTACGGCAATCTGTCTCGAGACATGCCTTGAGCTTTGAGAGCTTTCATGAATGCCCTGAGAAACTCGTCAGCCCGCCACAAATGAGAATAAGTCGTGTCAGTCTTACAGATGAGCGATACAAATGCATATCCATGTTATTGCGCCGAATGTAGAAACAAGGTTGACGAACCAGGTGAAAACTAGAGAATAATAAGCACTTAAACAGGCTTTCGCAACCTTGCCTCACCTTTGGCGCTGGATGAACTAATATTGAGATACACCAGACCACAAAACAGGGTGCAAAACGCTGATGCAACATATGGAACACCCAGGCGATTCACGCGAGTGAAAATTTTTGGGGCCTTCCCCTCAGCAGCAAGAGCATAAAGAGTACGCGAACCGATATACAGATCGGAATTAGCCGCGCTCATGACAAAGATTAGGATAGCAGCATTGATGACATGGTTTAGAACTCGAATGCCAACCAAAGTAGTCGCTGCGCCAAAGATGAATGTCTTTCCAAACTGCTACAAAAATAGACTCACCAACTACAAACGGTGAAGCAGCAGCTAGTAGAGGAGATCACCTGTGAGGCTCTGGAAATATACAAAGAAATGAAATACAGACCTCCCGTTTTGGCGCTGGTAGCGACGAACAAATCGTTTGCCGTACTGGGAACGATGAGACCAATAACGAAGACCCCTCCTACATAGAATACGAGAATACGCCAGAATGTGCGTCTGATAGCGATGGGGATATTGCGACGAGGGTTCTCGGCCTGCACACATCTCTCTCAGTATAACACGTAAAACGGTCAAAGTTTAGCACAGACCTCTCCGACTGTAACCTAAAACGCTACTGTCAGTATGATACAGGATCAAGGAGATGAAAGGTGTACACCAATAAGTTCTGTGCCGATGAAGGCGAAGAGGGCATTGGTCAGAGTAGCCCAAAATCCCAGGAAAATAGACAAGTGCTCGTTGTGAACTTGGGACAAAAGGTAGTGTCCCATAGGTCCATCTGGATGCTGCCAATAACGGAAACCAATACGGTCATGGTGAGGATTTCCACCTAAACTCAGGTATAGTAAGCCTCATGCAGGAAAGATAGAAGTCCGGAACATACCCAAATCAATGATGATGCCCATTAGCAACAGCCCAATTAAAGATATAACTTGAAGCCAGTGTCAAACTAGAGAATGGATGATGCTGGGGAGACTTTCACCTTTGATACTGGAGAGCCAAAATTCGAGCTCTCCAAATACACGAACTCCAAGCATATTCACAACAAAAACTAGATGAGAAGTTTAATTCTGTTGTTCCTGCCATCTGAAGTGGAACTTTGCTCACTGAAGATAATAAAAATACCTGCTCCAGTCAGCAAAGTTTAATCTTCAATTCGGCTAGACTTACTCATCCATATGGCAGTGTGAACTGCCCTAGTCCAATACTGTACAACCACTCCCGCGGCGTTGATATTGTTCGGTGTTACTATAAGCTAAAGACACACTGAGTCCGGGAGGATAGGCTGAAAAATGGCCGTGGTACCCACATATTTCATGAGATAATTATAACCCAATGCAAACCCCAGCGCGGGATCAACAAATCGAGTTGCATAACCGGAAAAGCCTTTTTTATGCGGTAGATACGCTGCCATCTCTCCAAGAGCGATCATGACCATATAACATACAATTCCGACGAACGAATACCCCAGAAGAAGACCAAGAGGCCCTCCCCTTCGGAGCGCCGTACCCGACCCACTGCAGAAAGATGAGTTCAACTGGCTGGAAAGTAGAAAAAGACGCCAACATGATCAGTCCTGTACCAACGGCGCCACCGAGCTAGGAAACGGACTTAGTTACACCAAGTCCGAATAGGTGTTGCAAGAATGTCAGCATACAGCAATCATGGATATCTGCCGGGCCTTGAGACCACGGTGAAGAGTGCTCTCTGAAGGCGGCTCGTGGAGATCCTCCTCATAGTAACCGTTGACATTGATAGAGCTCAAAGAAGTGTCACGGACGTCCTTCTGAACTTTTTCGAGGTCGACCATGGGTGGAGAGCAAAAGAGGATCGGAGCAAGAAAAGCAGCGCAGGCGGAGCTTTATGTAAGGAATGAGAAGCGCCTCATCAGAAGGACTCCAACTTGTCGTGCCAGGAGGCGATCGATCACAAGATCACCCTAACTTGAATGCGTGGATTTCACCGCCAAGCTACTGTTGCACAGGCGATCCATATGGATACAGATTACAACTAGTACCAATAAGTCAATGACGAGGAACAGCAACTATAAGCAACTTTCAACTGAGTATCTACTCCAAGCGTTCATGAATAATATCATCACCGCGTCTGAAACACCGATTTATACCCTTCAAATTGCGCAATCTACGTCTGATCTCACGCTTGACAATCTGTCCAAACCGTTCTGCCGGTATCCCGCTTGTAAATCTTTCGTATTGCGCTGTAAGGGAAGCGATAAGCACGGAGTCCTCGACTTGGTAACAGTCCAGGCGTCAGCCATAGAACATACTCCGGTCAGCGAAGGTAACGCTGGCACCTCCCTCTGCAACAATGCCTATGCACATCATCAGTGCAAACATGTACATTCGTTAGAACGACGTCTTAAGGCGCATAAGAGTAGAACGTCACGGTAATATTTTACCCATCATCGGGCCATTCAAAGCAGCAATCACGATCTTGGAATGAGAATACAACTGTCAAGACATTCAGAAGAAATTCATCAGCATTCTCGCATTAGAACTCACGGCCTGTCCACAGTTAGTTGCAGTGTGTGCCACACATGCCAGACGTCACTAAGCACAGGCACGCCGCCTACCTTCCATTGTAATGGCATTGAGGCTTTTAGAACGATTCAGTTTCACTGTGGCTGTCCCGAGAGATTTCAACGATAACTTCACTCATTTCGACAGATATTCAAACATGCATCGGGAGGACAAACGGGGCACACTGCGGATAAATGATTGCTGAGTACCCTGCCAGCAAACAAGAAAAAAAAACTCTGCGCATATCATTAACAGTACATCCCAGAAAATAAATCAGCCGAATTTCGGTACAAATATAAAACTTCTTCTTATGATCCGTCACGCCCAACTCTCCAGAACTTTCTTTGCGCCAGCGACAAGTGTTGCCTCTTTCCCCTGAGGAGTAGGCAAATCTTCGATGACCTGCTCCAATACAGGTTTAACCACTTCCTGGAGCTTTGGGATGTCCTCCCCACTTTTATGCCTTCCTACCTGCCAGAGCAAAGAACAAACGTTAATGCGAACCTCGACTGGAAAGTTGACGGGGTTATCCAGGTTTCTCAGAACTGCAACGAGCATCTCTGCTGCACTTCGGGGTGTGGGTAGTTGGCCGCGTGTAGAGGGTGTAGTTAGCGTAGGGGAGCTGACATCGCTATTTGAAGAAGTGGATGCGGACGGAGGCTCTGTAGGGGGCGGTGATGGCAACTCGAGGGGTGCTAGAAGAGCTGTCAAGACAAGAGGTCCTAATGAAAGAGTAAATGCTAAACATACACAAGGAAAGAACGAGATTACGCACTTCCAGCCTTCTGCGTGCTGAGCAAACTCAGGGCAACAACACCTTCATTGACAAGAAGTGGGTATTTGGCGCTATGTGCAACAAGACTTGCAAGAGCAGAGGTGCATTCCAGCGTAAGAACACTTTGAATGGCAGTTTGCCGCTTACGCTGCTTTTGCCGCGTAGCATCGTCATCAATGGAATTGTGAGCTCCCGGCACATCAACGGACCACAAAGACTTAATGACGTTTACCAAAACCCTTGTACCCTCACTCTTGACAGACACAGTTTCCGAGCGCTTGAGAAGAGACACAATTTGCGACAGACCCGTAGACATTCCGGTGGGCTCTGGACTTGGGAGTACTAGGGCGAACGTGCTTTCCACTGCAAGATGACGGTTTGAGTCATAGTCCTCGACAATACCAAGTCACCCATACCATTAGCCCCACACATATGCTTGACCACGCCAATTGCACTAAGTTGAACAATTTCCCCCATCTTGTCGGTCTTCTCATCCCATACCCCACTCCGTGAAACACTCTGTACGATGCCAGCTTCACAAAGTGAGATATGGACATCAGGAGACAATGACGATTGTGCCATATGCTTGAGAAGCCCGATAATACCGTGCTTCAACTTGATGTCGATTGTAGGAGAAAGAAGGTGACTAGAAGCTAGCACGAGCGCTAACGTGTACGGTGGCGATAACAGCACTTTGGCGTGTTTTTCTAATTTATATCTACATCAGCTATCGGCCACTTGAAGGAGACTAGGAATCACCTCGTCGTGCCAAGTTGCCTAGGGAAAGACTAGCACAAATAACGAGATCATCTCGAGGGGGATCGGAAGCATTCTTTCCGGCCATGTTCATAAAAGTAACATACCGCTTGATCCAGCCCACCATCCTGGAAACAAACTCACCTCCAGGTTGGGCGGGATCGGAGTCAGTCCATAACAGCTCGTCCTTGCTATCCTCCCCTGCAACTTCCACCACGGCTTTAACAAGTGCAGCCTTACAGATGTCAAAAGCTTTTTCCATGCGGTTTCTTTCGCCGTCTGTTGTAACGACTGAAGTTCTCCATGAAGCGGGATAACCACCATGCTCAATGAAGTCTAATATTGTCCCCAAACAAGGAACGCCATTATGCTCGGAAGGCGAATAAAACCCACGAGCTAGCGAGAGGCGAACATCTTCGACGTCGAGCGACAAAGATTCTATTAGAGAGCATGATTCCTCGAGCACGTCGAAGTCGCTGTGTACAAGCGTGTTGTATATCTGGGAAGCTGGCGAGAAAGGGGTCTGCAGTCTTGCTGTAAAGGGATGCATAAAGGCAACAAGAGGAGGTGTCAAGAAGGGAAGGATGTCTGGAGAGAAGACTTGGCGACTTTCTAGACGCAAGGAATCAATCTAAGTTCGACTCTGAAGATGCCTATCACGACTTACTTTCATCCTTACCATCTTGTAACTCTGTTATGGTTCTCCAGGCCCAGTTTGAGAGAACACTGCGTATAGTCCATGATTCATGGGCACGTTCCGGCGTCTGTTCCGCAGAGGAAGTCCCTTGCCATGACCCAGGTGGGTAAATGGACGCCGAAAGTTTCAGCACAGTGCCTGCGACTTGCATGGAGATTAGTTTATCCTTGATAGCATCTTCGCTGCTGTTAAATTCGACACATCTTACACAGCAAAAAAGACCGCGCACCGAAACCAAGACTTGCATTGAGAAGTACCCCAATCGCAGTCCTGACGATCTTCAAATGATCAATCGAGAGAGGTAACGGTTCGGTTTGCGGAGGAGGAGGTATCAATTCTGCGTAACCCTCCAGCAGAGACACGATGGCCTGAAGAAAGCCGGCGCCTAACAGAGCGCCACGATTATTATCTAAAAGGACGCGTCAATAAAGCTCAGAGATTGCGAGAAGAACCACGTACCATGATCCAGGCATAAGTTCGCCCCAACACGGAGAATTTCAACAACAGGTTTGGCGTAGAAATCCTCCGGAATGGACGAATGGACATTATGCAACTCAAGCCCCAGGAGGCCTGTGAGAGTTTGAGAAAGGGGAGTCCTGCCTAATGCTGTATGTATATCATCTGTTGACAGAATTTCGAACTATTGTAGCACCCAGGATACAAATGAAACATACGATGTTCATCCTTGGTCCGTAACGCGTTGGCGAGCTCATGAGAAACGATACTAATTCGTTCCCAGGACTCCCTCGAGTTTGATTCACGGACGTCTGAAAGAAGATGGGATAATTCAACCTCCAGGTCTGCTGGAGATGTTGAAGGCATGAGGGAAAGGTGGTGGTATGAAGTAGAGTAGCTACAGCTGGAAGATCGATCACAGTGGCTGTGCAGCCGGACCGATTTTAATTGTCAGGCCACAGGGCACAGGCTACAGTAACAAAAGTGATACAATTTATCTTTGCTTTTCTTCCTCCAGTTTAACGCAGTAGGGGTGGCGCGCTATCATGAGAGAACACAATACGGTGCGCCTCATCCAACACCTGTACCACCGAATCTGGAAGCAGTCCCTTGAGTCACCCGATGCTCTCATAAAGGAGGGTCTTTTCGGGCCAGGATGACAGGGTAATCATACCGAGCGCGCTGTTTTCAAAAAGGCCAATTTGAAGCTCTGAAATACCTGAAAGGCATTACAGGTGTAGGTGCTATTTAAACTTTCGTTTTCCACACGTTAATCCATGACAGGCTGAATATCACCCTCGTTTAACGGAGATTGCCCTTCGCTAGTGTCAACACCACTGGCGTCCGAAGATGGTGTTGTTTTGGGTGCGAGTAGTGCTAGCCATCTCGCGAGGACAGTCTCATTCAATAGCAAAAAATCCTCCCCTAGAAGCACGAAACCCAGTCAAAGAGCTGCTCATGCTGGCGAACTCACGCGGGCGGATTTGTAAATGACTAGATGAAGTCCAAATTTTCGCGCACAAGGGAGGAGTTCGACCTCCATCTCTCGCGTGATAGAATTATACATTCTGTACATTCAGAATTCGTTCAAGAGTAACATATCCTTTCGCCATGCAAATTCCAACTACCTCCGCAGCCTATGCGCTTCATCAGCTTGTTTCTATGCATAGAGCCCATAGAACTAATCTCCCAGGCCGCTTAATTACTAAGACCGACTATTTCGCTTCCAGTCGGAAGGGTCAGCGCATCAACCAATAAACTCCGGGATTAGACAAACAAAAGCCCTTCGCGATGTAGTTTATCTACTACCTACAAAGTATCCTCGAAGGGTATTTTTCGGTTTGGAGCATGAAGGTAGAGGACTCTGACTTCTTGGCGATTCAGCGCCTTCAATGAAGCCTGGAAAGTTTCCCATAATGCTGGGTGAACGTGACCGCCGGGCTTCACAGGATGCACCCTAGATCGAAGGGTTAATGGGGGACGTAATAGAATGAAGACAATCACACTTGGTATCGATGGAGGCATCGGTAGCCCCACCACAGCATGGCCATGCCGTGCCTAATTCCTTGGGTCCGAAATCCTTCTTGTCAGTGACACGAATAGCGGAGGATCCAGGGTCATGGTTCCCTAGCAGGACAGGTCAGGAGCACGCTGTCAATTAGATGCGACACAATATTTACAAAAATCAGTGGGATACGGGTTTGTGCTAGAATAAATATTGAGATGGGTGTTAGAAGCAAGTTCAGAAGAGATAAGATAAAGACCCATTAAAAATAGATAAGATCGCGGACTTGGAAGTCAAGCTGTCTCTTGCAGCCATCCACCCGTCATCCACCTCCCCAAATAGCCTTTACTTTACCGTGAAAGCATGGCTGGACCGAGGAGATCCAAGCTCAAGAAATCGGGAAATGGTTTTCAGCCGCCGCCGCCCGAGGTAGACGATGACGATCTTATGAACGACCTCATGGCTCAGCTTGATTCTCGAGACGGGACTGTCCAGGTCGAATCTGCGGCTGTGCTGCAAGATATGACGTTGAAAAAGGAGATTGAAAAGCAAGAGAGGCCTCAAGGAAAGCGATCCAAGGATAGGTTCAAAGAGCGACAGGTAGGCCCTTGCTTCCCGCCTATCACTCCAGCTGACAATGCATTGGAAGGCGCGGAAGGCGGCTACTCTGGCGAATTCCTACGCGACAGATGATCCAGAGACCTCTCAACAATTAGAATTGGAGGCGAGACAGGAAGAAGAATCTATCAGACAGGTATGCACTGAATTGAAGGTCCAGATACATGAGGCAAGTGCGACTTTAGTTCATTATGGATTCGACTGAATACCCCCCAGATTAACCCAGATGGACACTGCCTTTTCTCAGCCGTTGCGGACCAGCTCAGTTTACTCGGAATCCTTCAGCCCGTCCAAGCAAACTATGTTACCGTCCGTCTGGCAGCGTCCAGCTATATGCTTTCCCATCCCGACGACTTTCTTCCTTTTTTACCCTCGACCAGCGGCGAAGACGCAGCGGGCTCCTACGACGAAGGCCTGATAAGTCCCCGCGAGTTCGAACAGTACTGTACCACAATTCGCGATACGGGGGCGTGGGGCGGCGAACCTGAAATTCTAGCGCTCAGTTGCGCCTTCAATGTCCCTATACATGTCGTGCAAGGAGGTGCACCACCGGTTGTTGTTCATAATCCCAACGACGCACCTGGACAAGACGATATACACACTAAACGGGCCGTTCGTATTAGTTATCACCGGCGGATGTATGGGCTTGGAGAGGTAAAAGAGCCAATTTCCATGCCACACATATTCTCACCCTATCCACAGCATTACAACTCCCTCCGTCCATCATCAGGTCTGACAAAGGTGACTAGAGTTATCGAAAACATTCTGTCATGATGTTCACAATGCTGGATATGGTGTGGAATTCTAATATAATCAAAACAACAAGTCATCCTCTTCACCGTGTCGTCCTCTGTGATCTGCAGCATTTATGGGCTTGGGCTCATCTGCCAGGTAGCTGCCGAAAGCACCGCCAAGATTGGAGTATGGGTCATTGTTTGCTGCGCCCCTTGGTTCCTCATCGTCATCATCGGGCACTATCCCTACCTCACTCCCATCATCGGCTGGATGACTCCCACCTACATCATCGTCCTCATGCCCAGACTTGCTGGGAGGAGCAGGTGGCCCTGCAACCATAGCCGTTTCAGGTCTTTCCGCTCCTTGAGAATGTGATTCAACAGGTCCAGGCCCCGGTACCGTGACGAGAGACGGTGGAAGCTGGCTACGGGCCAAAGGAACAAGAACTGCCCGTGAATGGGCGTTTAACGCCGGACTGTCCTTCAGAGCTTTGCCGGCAGCATTTCTGATGAAAGTCTGTGATTATGAATTAGTCAGATATCTTTTCCACTACAAATGAACATACCTCTGGGTTCTTGTGATAAATGCTACCCAAGGTGCCCGTATGTAAAAGCAGCTGGTCAAGGGCTCCCCTGTCCATTCTATCGGAATCGGTTGTTATCGCGGGTTTCTCAGCCAGAACAATTTCTCCCGCAGCTAAAGGGTTGAGAGCAAGCATTCGCCAATACATGAAGCCTCGATCGCGCAGATCAGGGTTATCGATGTCCTCTGTCACCCATTTGAGCACTTTATGAACCAGCTCCTTGACCTTATCCATGTTACTTTTATATGCAAACAGCTTGACAACGGCGGTCAACAGCGCAAGTTGAACCTGCAAGAAAAGTCTCTTCAACCTACCGGCAGCTAAAGAAGAGACAACCTCACCTCGACGCTTTCGTCAGTGTATGTATAACACAAATCATCTAGCAGCTCATCCGCATTGTCTATTATATTAGCGAACTGGCCAATAATCCACACCATTGCGGCCTTGGCCTCAGGTTCGTCTAAGACATCAAGGTTTTCGCACAGAGTCGGTATGATACCTTCATACTTTCCAGGGTACCGTCTGAAGATGTCTTTGATAACGATGGTAGCTTCTTGCACAACGTATGTCACTTTGGTCTCGATGAGACCTAGCAATGTCTGTATGCAGCTATCTGAGGCAGCCTCAACTTTGATAGCTAATCGGCCAATGGATCGTACAGCCTTTCGCACAAAGTCGATGTCAACTTCCGAAGCGTATCTAGACCTGTATTGAGCATAGTGTATATGATTGTGTCGGAGGTACTGACTCTTGAAGCTCGTTAAGAACTTCGTTGGCATTTTCTGCTCGGGCTAAGCGATACATGATCTCCAGTTTGGCAAGCTTGACATAGATAGGATCATTGTACTTGCAGAAGAACACTCGGACATCGTTCTTCAGAACAGCTGGTCGTCGTTGGATGATGAGCAATATGTTACGCAAAGCAACGTACTGCACTTCCGGCCCAGAAGATAAAAGGGTGACTAGATGAATAAAGCATATGAGAAAACGCAACAAACACCGTTAATATCGACATACCTAGAGGCGGCCCCATTTTCTTACATATATGGTCTATGAGCTGTCGATTTTCCATGTAGTTCATGAGATACAACAAGGCTTTAATGGTCGTGAGTACAACGGCGGAATTGCCGTGTTGCAGCTGTACAATGATGCGTTCACCCAGCATTTCGGCATCCGCACACCGTTCCGGGACATATCGTAGAAGGGAATCTAGTATGTAAATTTGACCCCACCTGTGAAGATCAGAGAGTGAAAACGTCCCGTACGGTACAGACGTACTCAGAACTTTCCCCTAGAGCTGCTAAAAGTTTATTCGTAGTGGCCAGATTCAGCTTGAAGATGACGCCATCTTGGCGGTCACCTATTTCTGATAGAGCAGCAACGGCATTAGCTACGACCGTAGCATTGTTGTCCAACATTAAATCTCTCAATAGCTCGACAAAACCTCCTTTCTCAGCCCTCCGAGGATCTGCTGCGTAAAGCTTTGCTACGCATATGGCAGCTGTTTTCCGTACATAGGCATCACGGTCCTTTAAAGCGTGCCGTAGATTGTCAGAGAGTGCATCCGTCACGACTGGTATAGGGATGTAGGACATGGTTCTGATGGCAAGAGCACGTATGAGGGGATTGCGGTCGCCGCAGTCCTGAAGCAGCATAAACTAAAGTCCTCTAAGAGAACAGCTATTTACCTGGAGAAAATTGGGAATGACCAGGTGTATTTGATCTGGTTTCGCCCGACCGTAGCTCACGAGGAACAGATACACCACTGAGACGATTAAAGCGTGCACGGACCAGGATCGCGATATAGCTCACTTTTCTTTATTTCAAGCAAAGGAGTTCCAAGACACTGGACGACATCGGTGAACAAAGGTGACACTGCAGAAATGGTCTATTTCAAGTTGGCCAGACGACGGAAGCAAGTGCACCAACTGTCATTGCCCATGGTAATATTCGCGACAATCTTCTTTAACACAGTCCTTCGCTTCTGGAATTTCTTGTCCTTTGCTTCTGCCGCGTGTAATTCAGCTCGAAATTCCTGAAATATGCTGCTCAATGACGAGTTCCAGGTGAGGCGAAGGGCCACGCACTTCGATCTTTCCTCGCTGGAAGAACTTGGCATCCTGACCGGGCTGCGCCATGTCTGTCTCTAATGTGTGAGCTCGTCGAGCTAAGCAGTTGTCGAGAATGCCGATGTTCGATGTAGCAGTCCAAAAGCACGGACGTGTGACAAATTGTGACATGTCTCGTCTGTACCGACCGCCTCCCACCAATCAGCGGCCTCGAGACACGCTCGACCAAGTATTGCATTTGCCAGTCGACTCAGCTCTCAAGGAACTCAAAAAATGCAGGAATCAGTTCAAAGTGATTCTTGCTACTTTTCAAGATGAACATCATATTTTGGAACGCTTATACTACAAAGGAAAGAACCAGCACAACTCAGCTTTATTCTGGAAGCGTGTGGCAGAGACTCGTCGATACTGCAGCCGCCTCTACGAGCTAGACCTTGGCAAGCTAATAGACGATGTCCAACTGTCATTCTTCGATGCCAACACGGCCAATAAGTGAGCTCAGCCAGGCTCTGTCTCTGATACCCTTTTTGACGCGACGTTCCAGAAAAAAAGCTCTTAAAGGCGCATGGACGTATTATCCGGACCCCAAGTTCGTTGCATATATGCGAAACCGATTAGAATTGGTTTACAATCTCGCTTCAAAGGTCGTTCTATTTTCTGGAAGACTGTACGGATCGCTGAGTGAAAATTAGACACATGCACGACTAACCCAGGCTTACAGGCACGGCCATACGCAGTTATTTGGATCGCTGGTGCTGATTTTTTAAATAGATCACTAAGTCTTGCAATGCAATCGGGGGCGTTCATTCAGTATATTGTTCTCCTCGTTGCTATCGTATCACGAATGGATATCCTCACTGTTGAGCTTCTGGCGGGCGTTCAGCAAGCATCTTTTACTCTTCGGCAACTGTATGATATTTTGGAAAAGGTAAGCGTAGGAACGATCGTCTGTTCTTGGTGTTTCATGTGCCTATTCACAGCTAGCTCCCCTCCCATCGCCAGAGATAGTGCCTCAGGGTCTTGATATAATCAATTCCGCACCGTTGGACCCCAGTGCCTTGGACTGTTTAGTCTTAGGCATGATTACGCCGGAAACAAATGCATTCAGGACGCCCAACTCACTTCCATCAGTTACTCGTGTGGCCGTTTCTTTTTTCTTCTTCGGAAAGTCACTTATCAATGTATCACTCAGATAAATTTTCCCTCCACAGAGATCAGGGCATTCCCACACAGGCAGGGGAAGTAGTTGACATTATCAAGAGGAAAAGGACAAGGACAAAGACAAAGAAGAAAGACGAAATCGATGATATCTTCAGTTTCTAGTCCTCTCCATGTCTCTGTAGGTGTCAAACCTGGTCCATTGTAATGACTACCTAAAACAAAGTGTTCCTGGACTCTGTACTAAAACTGTAGCACAAAAATCAAGTGAAGAAAAACCAAAAGAGATCACAACAACGAAACGGAAGAGCTGTTATAGTCCGAAACTTGCACGGGGAATCAACGGTATATGATCATATTCTATAAAGTCCATGAGGCCAAAGGAAAGGATCAAAGCGTATTCATGGCAGTTACACAAGGAAGATTGTAGCAGCGACAACCAGGATTGCAACAAATGCCTTTGGCGAGGTCGTAGCACCAGCACCATTCTGCGCAGAATGTGAAGATGCAGCGCTCGAGGCTGCCGTAGAGGAAGCAGCGCTCGAAGCGGTGCTTGGCGAGGAAGATGCCGACACAGAAGACGATGAATTACCGGCAGCGTTTTGAAGTACCGCAGCCACATCCTCGGGAATCATCAAAGGAGTGCTAGACGTTGAGCTGAGGTCAACTGAACCATCTTCCTTCATAACTTCAGGGTTTATAGCCAAAAGGTTTCGAGTGTAGAGCACATTCTCCATGACAGACTCATAAGCCCAAGAAGGGAGCTGAGACATGTCAATGTTCTGACCCCAAGTGCTGGCAGGTTTGCCGACGGTCGCATTGTTAGTGTAAGTAGCGTAGCTCATGACCGTGGAGCTCTGTAAAATCCAAGTTAGCTACAGACTAAAAGATATCATGTTAGACTTGTACATTAGCTGCAACACCCTGCATCATTCCTGCGACGGAGGTCGAGGCCATGGCAGCATTAGGCGGGTTACTGAAAGCGTGGTTCAAATGAATAAACATCAAGAATAGAATCAACAACTTACATGATAGCGAACATGCCTTTCTGACAATGTGTAGGAACACCGCAGTAGTAGAAGATCGGGTTCGTGTCATTGATGACTTCGGTGACTATAAAGCAGTAAGTACGGGCACTCATTGATGATAGCATACGCTGACAGGTGAAGCCTTTGAGCTGAACTCCGGAGGCGAAGGGAGCGTCAGATGTCTTGTTGCAAGGGGAAAGCTCAGAGCTTTTAGTAACGGTGTGGTTGTTCGCACCCCATTGGAACATAACTGTGTCTCCAACAGAAGCATTCAGAGCGAAGGGAACATATCGCAAAACACCCTGCGTAGGTGCAACAATTACTGTATGAGTTGCTCCGGTGCCCGAGCTACCAGCGGTCGTTGTAGCAGTTGGCGCGGTATATGTAGCAGCAGGTGCTCCAAATGATGCGATGCATTCTACGAAGATAAGTGTGAGTACAGTGCACATATATACATGCAAAAAACCCTTACGTTGAACACAGTTATCATATGAGCCCCAGTTCTGGCTGCCAGACCCGTACGTAGGTGAAGAGGTGCTGGTAGCGGCCAGGCTAGTCATCATGGCTTCAGTGGTCAACGCAGCTTCCGTGGTCATCGCAGCTTCAGTAGTCATCGAGGCTTCACTATCCATCATGGTTGCGGAAGAAGCCTCTGACATCATGGCTTCAGAGGCCATCGTAGCCATAGTAGTAGCTGCCGCCCCGTAATAACCACCATTCGCCGTGGAACTTGCAGCAGCAGCAGCTTCAGCTGCGGATTGACTGCTTAATATTAGTTAACGTATTCAAAAAAAAAAAAAAAAGATGAAACACCTCTGGAGCTCAGCTGAATCAGTAAGAGGTATGCCGTTTGGCGCAGACACTCCAACTTCGTCACCGAGTGCACTGTCAGGTCTCGGTAGAGCAGAGACAAAGCCGGAAAGAAGGGCGGCACCAACGAAAGGAAGAACGAAAATCATGCTTGAGTAACGAAAGAATAAACCGTAGGGGTGTGGATGTCGTAGGACTGTAAACAGAAGAACCTCCCTGGAGGATTAGAACGAAATTCTCTATCGAAGAGGTGATCTGTATCATTATAAGTACGCGCGAAGAGAAGTGGGGAGAGCGATACATGCCTCAAGGCTGAACGAAAGAAAGGATGCCAAGTCAACTCGACGTTGAAAAAGACAAAGAGAAATGGGAGAGAAAGAAACAAAGATATGGGAAAATGACGGCGGCCGCATTTATAGGATGACCGGATTGAGAGGGATCCATGGCAACATGATTCCCATCCGTGAACTAAATATCTCCTACAGCCCCTGAAACGCTGCTATGAACGGCTTTGATTCTCTCACCATGATTGGTGGACGCATGTTGCTCATGTTCCAATCTGCCGATCCGTAAACGGTCATCTCGGACGCCAGTTGCTACCTTGTTTTCGAAACGACATGCCACTATCGCTTTTCCGCGTATACAAAAGGTCCCCTTTCCTGTACAGCTGTACAACAAATTGTCACTGGTATTCAATAAGATAAGTCTTACAAAACGAAGAGTGCCACGCTCCAGATAAGCTACCAAGAATAAGGTCCATTCTCTGTACCACATCTCCGGTTCTGTACACGCGGTTGCATCAAAGATAGAATCTAATAGGTCGTTCATCATCCAATCAGTCACCTCGCTGTGACCTCGTTGCAGGTTGACGATAATCCAATCCGGTCTCGTTCGCCGACATCATGGTCCGTGGTTTGACTGCACTGCGTTTGGCGTCGCGAAGCGCCTTCAAACGATCTGTGGCTTTCGATGGTTGGACATCGTCCACATAATTAGGCCCACGTGTTCGTTCCGAGTTTGAGGGTGTGGAAGCAGTGACAGTTGCTGTATCGTAGGCGTCGCGGAGACCTTTGGGACGCGGTAGCTCGGTAATTGGATTCTCAGCGACCTCGTATCTATCATATCGAGGAAGCGGAGTACGCTCATGTTCATCAAAGAGCCACGCAGGCAGATCAGAGGGATTGCGAGCTTTTTCAATGTGGTAGGCTTTCATTGCACGCGTGAGTCGCGATTCCTGCCCTGGAGGCGTTTCTACAAACCATTCCCATTTAGATACATGTCAGAATAAGTCTCTGGTACTCACCCTCGCCTGACATTGTTGTAACATTAGTAGTCCAGGCTTTGCTAACACTGACGGTCAGAGTACTTGCTGCTGTGGCAACCCGACTCCAAATCGTGGCACCGTCGCCAGTATCTGCCGAAGTGGCTTGCGATAGAACATAGGCTTTGACAGCATCAGTTCAAACTGTAACTAGCATATCTTTGAGAAAAAACGCACTCGGTTCAACTTTGGCATCTGACCGCATAGGCCGTCGAGTACGAAGAGAGTGACCGGGGTTCCCGGCTGACCGTTGCTCCTCGTCGTCAAGGCTTGTGAGAGAAGACGAATAGCTTGCGGTAGGCTTCATGCGGCTGAATAGTGATGGAGCAGGCGAGGAAGCCGACGACTGGCCAGACGGGTGATAAGAAGTGGCGTCAGATAGATGGTCGTAGGGGTGATTCGAGCACGAAGAAGCCCATCGCGCCTGTGGCAAAGGCGGTGGGCGAGAACGACCGCCTTGCATGCGTATGGATGGGGTAGATTTCTGAGGGCGAACTTGACACGGTAGAAATGGCGCTCGATGGTAGCTATCCTCTTCATCAAGTCGGGAACGATCCCTTGTTGAACGAGAGCGCTGGGGATTGCTGGGTAGCCCACCAGCACGAGAATGGGTGGACATAAATTATTCAAATAAACGAATAAAGAAAACGGTCAATGAAAGGAAAGGGCAATAATACGCAGACCAGCTGGAATTAGGCGGGCGAGAGAAGAATAGGGCACAGCCATATGCATCTGAGGATTGAAGCCGGAGGTCGGACCGGTTTCCTTCCACCGCTCCATAACTTTGTACTTGGCTATAGTGAAGGCCGCCTGTTCCGATATATCTTTTCGTGTCTCCACGGTCTTCTTGGGCTGAACGTTGCTTTAATCTAGCAAGCTATCCTTGGATCTCCTCATCTATTCCTTTACGAGGCGCAGCGTTAGCTTCAGCTTGAGTGATAAAGAAATTCTTGGTATCTGCTTTCCCTCGCCAATTAACTAGCTGTGCCGAGGCAGATACGGTTTTTGGTTATCCACGTTGAACAAGCCATATGCTAAGCCGCGAACGTGCTAAGGATACGTCTTGGCTCCTTCGGTTGCCCTCTCCTCGTTTCTTCAATACCTGGTTGAAGAACACGTACGAAAGAACTGGTTTCATACTGACTCCGTCACGTTGCATACCCTCAAACGTTTGTTGCTTCCATGTCGCTGTCGTCCCTGCGAGTGTGATGTGCAATGTGGTCTGATGCATGGAAAAGATCGCTAGACTTTGTGGCCCTATGTCTCCATGCCTTCGAAGTCCAGTTTCCTTATCTTGTCACTATCATGGGTCCTTGGCAAGCATGGCATCAGTGGGTATCATCGCATAGAAGGGTAGGCTTGTGCTGATAGAAAGCATTGTTTCTCGTTTCATTGTATCTGGATAGAAACCGCACAAGTATGCGCGTGGACGACCCAATTCCCAATATCTTCTCCCTTCGACTCTGTCTGCTCGAAAAGGTGGTGCCGAGTTTATCAGAACAACACGTAAGTACTGTTGTATACCTATTTAAACTGATGAAGGTGCGGGCTTCCAACGGCGTTGCTCACGGACGAAATCGATGCCGAATATGTTCGCGACGGCTTGTCCAGCTTCAAGTCTCAAGTCAGATGCCAAAGGGTTTCTTCCGACCTTCGCAAGCCAGATATTTTGGATGGGAATCACGGACGTGGGTACGCTGCGATGACTTTGGCAACTTTGTCAGCCCGTGTTCGTCTTTTTTGCTTTTTGTCCAGACAACTTGTCTGTGTGTGACTTCTTTTTACCTGTTTGCCGATTGTCAAGTTTCGAGGATGACATGACAAGGCCCCTACAAGGGGATATGCGCGGATCACGCTGTGAGCTTCTGGAAGGAGAATGCCCAGACCGTTTCAAGAACAGATCCTGACCTACGTAGCTCCTCTGCAGCTATTCTGTGGAGCAGGCTTTCACTCTTGTATCCATAGATGGGATGTTCAAAGTTGCCGCATTGCTTGCTATTTGCATGGTCAAATCCACTATGGGATGTCACGATAATCTCGTACTAGGTTACTAGTATTCCGAATTCTTCATGTAGCAATAACATTGATGCTCCCACAAGTCCAGTCCGTATTCTGGCGTTTCACGGCCAACGGAACTAGCCACGATCCACATTGAGAGACCTTTGACATCAGCGAGGCTCGCATCGGACCTCGCTCCGACGTTGCGTTGCAAATGTCACGCTATGCCTTTCTGTAGTACTTTTGAGGTACCACCTAAGGCTTGCATAACTTGAACAGGGGGGG